CTAACTGTTGTGATTGATTACAAGTTTGATCGAGGGTTGGTATCAGGTAGAGGACTACTGAAAACCAGGTAGGGAGTACTCTAGACAGCTGTTTCATCAGTCCTAGTTTGGGATTCATCGGCAAGACTTATCAGTGGACACGTACTACCGATGAGTCAATCTCAATCAAAATAGGAAAATAAATCATTCCCCTACAAAAAAGACTCATGATTGACTTCAGTTAGTTAATTCTACTAAAAAAACCGACAAGGACCTATTTGGGACCCCACTTACTGGGGATTGAACCTAGGACTTTCAGATAACATAAGGTGATGGATGGATCTTGTCGAAAATTTAGTCAATGGGTCAAAATCCAATGACTAGCCGTTCGCCAATTGTAACTCCTTTTTGTGAAGACACTTCCTAACAGGCATGAAATAGATCTACAGTATTCCCTATTTTTGAATAAAGCATGAACAACAGTGTGGGGTTTGTACAGAATAAGAAGATGGTACGATCATTGTTTTATTTCGTTGACTTCACAGAAGCTGCATACTACCTAAAGAAATTTGGTTAGGTGTATGAACAGAAAAGTGAGGATCGGGAAAGCAAGACACTTTCATTTCTCTCAAGTCTGTGTTAAGATCAACACTCAGCATTTAGCATGAAAAATAAGATCCAGATTTTCAACTCCAATGTGAAGTCAGTCAGTGCCACTTACTATACGGACCAGAGACTTGCTACAGCGTCGCGTCATGAAGGCCACTTTGAACAAACTACACACCTTCATCAACACCTGTCTTCGCTCAATACTCAAGGTTAGATGGCCGGCCTGTAAACATCAGCAACAGCGAGGAATCTCTGGCAATGAGCGAACTAACCAGTAACCATATGTGCAACAAATATGCAGGAAGAAATGGAGATGGATTGGCTGGCCATACTCTGAGGAAACCATCAAGTGATATCACTAGACAAGCCCTAGAGTGGAACCTGACCGAATGGGAAGCGGCGAGTTGGTCGTCAGTGCAAGGGTGACATGGAAGAGGAGGTGATGTGAAGAGGAGATGAAAGTATGTCAGCAGACGTGGAACCAGATGATGAAAACGTTGGCAGAGAACCGAACGCAATAGAGACGTACGGGTGAAGCCCTATGTCCCTCTAGGAACTAAAGGAAACAATACTACTACTACTACTACTAATAATAATAATAATAATGTACAGAGAAACAGTTTTAACATATTTGAAAATTTTACATGACAGACGATACCAAAATTATTTTAACAGTGCTTAGAAAATTATACTTATATAGTCGTTACTCAGAGAGTTGAAGTTTGAAACTAAATTCAATCAATATATGCATACAATGGTAAAGGTGTTACATAATAAAGACAGAAGAGGTGGATAAGGCCACGATGAGTAACAATATTGTAGTGAGTTTGAACTCAAATCATACATAAATGAGAGATAAGCAAAGTTTACATTATCTCAAGACGGTTGAGGGGGGGGCTGGAGGTATCATTATTATTATTTCCATTAATTCCTAGAGGAACATAGGGCTTCAGCCGCGCATCTCCATTGCGTTCGGTTCTATGGCTCCAAGTCTGCCCACATCTTTTCATCTCCTCTTCCATGTCACCCTCGTACTGACGACCAACTCGCCGCTTCCCATTCTGTCGGGTTCCACTCGACCGATGGCCTGTCTAGTGATGTCACTTGATGGTTTCCTCAGAGTATGGCCAGCCAATCCACCTCTATTTCTTCCTGCTTATTTGTTTCACAATCGGTTCCTGCTGGGTTGGTTCGCTCATTGCCAGAGAACCCTCCTTGTTGCTGATGTTTTCTGGCCGGCCATCTGATCATGAGTACTATTGAGCGAAGACAGCTAGCTGTTGATGAAGGTCTGTAGTTTGTTTGAGATGCTCTTTATGACACGCAGTGCAAGTCTCTGATCCGTATAGTAGCACTGACTGGTTTCACATTGGAGTTGAAAATCCGGATGTAATTTTTTCATGCTGAGTGCTGTTGACTTCCACACAGACTTGAGAGTAATGAAAGCTTGTCTTACCTTCCCTATCCTTGCTTTGATATCGTCGTCAGTTCCGTTTGCCTGTAGTTGAAACGATGCTTCCCAGGTCGGTAGGTGAAGGAAGTTGTTTCTTTCAGGTTTCTTCCATTTATGCTGGCTGATTTTTGTCTGTTGTTGGTGTTGGCCACGAATCTTCATCACCTCGGTTTTCTCTATGTTCACCTGACGTGAGGTTCTATCTTTGATGCTTCTTCTATCGCCAACTTGTTGCTTTTCATTTGCATATCTTCCTGTTTGTGGTAAATTAGACATATATCATCAGCGAATTCCAGATCCTCCAAGTTTTTCGTTAGGGTCCGTTTTATGCCTGTTTCCTCATTGCTCGGCCAGTTGTCTGTCGCACTATCCAATCTACTGCAATCAGGGAAATCATTGGCGATAGTAACCAGCCAGTCCGCCTTGTCTTACTCCCGTCCTCACTTCTAAGGATTCCATAAGTTTCCCGTTGTGGATTACTTGGCAGCATGCAGCATTGTCGTACAACTAACTGTTAGATGAGATGTATAATTGTAGGCGGCACCTCTTTCGTATTAGCGAAGTAGTTTTTCCAAATCACCTCTCGATCGACGCTGCACTATTGAAGCCCTCTTCAAAGTCGATGAAGTTGAGTGAAATAGAGAGCTGATTGACTGCCATTTCAAGCTTTGTTCACGTGATGATACGTAGTGTGGCGATTTGATCAATACATGACTTGTTGCTGATGAATATCCAGCTTTGGAGGGGCGGGGGAGTTTAAAGTCAAAGATTGCATAATCAAATGGAAGAGACACACACACAGGGAGGTAGGGAGTGAAGTGACATCCAGTTACCAGGAGAGGTGGGTGGGGGGGCATACACATAAATCGGGTTTTAACCCCTTTTTATTATATATCGACTACTTCGGCCAACTTAAGATTTAATTTAATTTGATAGAGATTTTTAGAAAACATTTATCATCTTAAGAACAGGGAAATTATTCTATTGTTCAGTACGTTTATCTCACATAAGTAGTTCTTCCCCCACTCCCACCCCATCTCTCTTTCTTGCTCTCCATTTTTCTTCTAGAAATTTCTATTTTTGATTTTCTGTCTCTGAGTGGTTGTCATTGTTGTTGTTATAATCGTTGTGGTCCGTATATTTGGTGCGGGGGGGGGAACACATGTACAAGGAAAATGTAGTTTCTTCTCATTGTATCTACTACGCTTTTACTTTGAATACACTGTACATGATATGTGACATATACATATATATGCATACACACATACATACATACCTCAGTGAGGGTGAAAGTGATTAGTTGGCAAGCTTTGTTTATCTGTCTGTGTATAATTGTGCGTGCATGCGCGTGTGCGTGTGTGGGTGTATGTGAAAAAATGACAGACAGGAAATGTTGAATGCTTTATTTTTTTTTAACCCCGGATGCGCTTTGTTTTCTCAGCTTTGATTTTGAATTAAACAGGAATTCATGCATACACCCACACACACACACCCACGCACACACACACACATACATGCAGAGAGATAGATAGAAAGACTAAGGAGAGCTGAGAGTGATTGAATGAGTGAGTGAGTGAGTTGGATGTGACTGACTGTATAGTATGTTATTATTTCAAGTGTTTAGATAACTAACTAACTAAGCAGCTAAATAACAGAGGGTATATTGATTTTAGATAGGCTAATGTAGAAAGGTATTCACTAATTTCTGGCCCAAAATAGAATTGACGGTTGGGAAAGCAAATTTAAGCGTTATATATATATATATAATTCCCTTGCGTTCAGAGTAGAACATAGGGCTTCAGTTATACATCTCCATTTTGTTCTGTTTTCTGTCGTCCTCTTCAGCTGGGTCGCCGACTGGCCAAACTCTCTCATCTCATCTCCTCCATGTCACCCTAGTACTGACGACCCATTCGTCGCTTCCCGTTTGGATTCCACTCTAGCACTAGCCTGGCGTGCGAGAGATGTTATTCGATGGCCTCCTAAATGTGTCTGCCCGATCAATTCCATCTCCACTTTCTCTTTCTCATATTTGTTGAGCGATCCCTACAAACCAATACTTGAATATTAATGAGATGCTCACTGACGACTGGCCCTATTCAGGTAGGTAGTTACCTGGGGGTTCCAGTGGGAAGTCCTGACCAGTAGGGTGCAGCTGGTCGGGTGTGCGGACAAATACTCGCCACCGAAGACATTGGCTAGTGGTTGAGCTATAACGTGAATTGGCAGAAGTTAGAATTCATGGACTGGTTGGCCATTGGATCAGGTCCCAGTGGCTTAATGGTATACGAGCTAGCTCGCCTTGTACCAGGAAGGTCCTGGGTTCGAACCCCGGTCGGTGCGTAATGCTGAAGAGTCGCAAACTAGGCTGACGAAACAGCTGTCCAGTACTCCCAGGTTTTCCAATGGTTCTCTAACTCATGTCAGCCCATGATGGAATCCTGTAAGCAATCTTGGTCGATTTGTTATATATATATATATATATATATATATATATATATATATATATATATATATATATATATATATATATATATATAATATAATAAATAAAAAATAAATAATTTTTCCTTCACGTTCCCCTGTGGAACATAGGGCTTCAAGATAGTGGCTTGAAGTTTATGTAGCAGTGTTTATTTTACAGGATGAGGTTGCTAGCCTCATGGCCAACCTTTCCTCTTTGCCAGGATTATTCCTGGCTTAGCGAGGTAAAGGAGTGCGCCGGCCGGGAATCGATCCCCGGACCATGTGCATGGTCGGCGAGCATGATAACCGCTATGCCACCGACGCACTTATATATATATATATATATATATATATATATATATTGAAATCGAGCAAATCCCTGTTAATCGGAATTTGTGACAAGGATGAAATACTTGTCCTTTAATGATTACATAACTTGCTTCAAATGGTTTTATTTTCTTTTCTGTTTTTTTCTTTCTCATCTCTTCTGTAGACGTTTACGTGATACTCTTCAAGTATGTGATAGAATTGTGATATGCTTATTTATAGCTGCTTCATATACTCCATGGTAAGTGAGCATGTGTTTTTGGTGTTTTGCCTTTTGCACTGTAGACGGTAGTAACTAGGTGTCATATGTCCAGTGTAAGTGTTGCGTCACTTCGATTACACATGTCAGGTGTGTTGAATCGATAAACAAATCTTCAGTCAATGATTAACTTCACACACACACTCTCTCTCTCTCACTCTCTCCACCTAACTATATCACTTCTGAATATTCACTCTTACCCTGTCCCACCCTCCCCTATTATTGTGTGATTCCATGCAAGTGAACGCAGTGCAGTGCAACAGCTGAGCTGTGTTTCTTCTAAGTTATGTAACTTAGCTAGAAGTCAGTCATTCTAAGTGTCTGGCTAAATTTCTTATGCGGCAATAATCTAGTTGACCCTGATCTAAGTAGTTTGACGACGTATGTAATTGACCTCACTCACAGTTATTACATGGTATTTGGTAAATTATATTATTTTTCTTAATTGTATCTATCAGGTGGGTCCCTAAGCCGACAAAGTTGATCTCTGAGAGAGTTAGTTAGTTGGTTGGTTTAAATACCAGCCCGACTGATTCCAACCTCATTGAGAATCCTACGTAAGGCGTCTGATGTTGTTTCCACATACGGCAATGCTACACTACAGAAACTTTGAACTCTGATGTGGTTGTGTTCTCTGAGCAGTTGGATGGTTGATTTGTGAAGCTTTCATCACCCTACTGGGTGACATCTTCAGCGAGCATACTTCAATTTGAATTGAAGTCAGCTTCTTAGATTTATCCACGAGTTTATTAATCATCTCTCCTGGTGACCTTGGACGTGATTGGTTGTTTCTGTATGTTTTCACACCTTCTAGGCTACTTGTATTGGAACTGATTGTTTCTTTGACTTGAACTTTGACCCTTTGTGTGTGTGTGAAGTTCCTTTCTTATTGGTTGATAAATTTTGTCTATCTCTATGTGTCTATTGATTGATGATTCACTGGTATCCTTCGACGTGACAGCATTATATACCTCCATCGGACAGAAACTAGCAAAAGAAACCATGGAGCAATTACTTAGCAACGACGAACAACTGCCACAACAATCAAAAATGCAACACACAAGCTGGATGGAATGCATAAATCTATGCCTAACAACATACTTCCAATTCAACGGCCAAATATATGAACAAGTCAAAGGAACACCCATGGGATCGCCAATATCAGGTTTGATTGCAGAAGCAGTGATGCAAAGACTCGAAAATATAATTCTACCAAAGATCAAACCCAAGATTTGGATACGCTACGTCGACGACACATTTGTAATAATCAAAAGAAACGAGTTAGATAAAACTCACAACTTAATAAACAACGTCTTCAACGACATCAAATTCACAAGAGAAGAGGAATCCGAGAACAAAATACCATTTTTGGACGTCTTAGTCAAGCGAACAACTACAGGGGAGTTAGAAACTCAATATTATAGGAAATCAACTCACACAGACCAAATACTGAATTACAACAGCAACAACCCAATAACTCACAAAAGGAATTGCATACAAACACTATTCAAGAGGGCCAGTCAGGACTCATTGCAGCACTCATCGATCTCATGGATGTCTTCCAAAAGAATGGATATCCACGGAATTTCATCAAAAGACATATACCCCCAAGCCAACCTACCAAACCAAAAGCCACCAAGGAAAGCACAAAGAAAATCGCCCTACCATATATAAAAGATATCTCAGAAATCACTACAAGACTCTTCAAACCTTTAGGAATTGACGTCGTACACAAACCAACAAAGTCGCTTCACTCAATTCTATGTCAACCAAAAGACTCAACAGCGAAAGAAGATAAAACCAACATCATCTACAAAATAAACTGTAACAAGTGCGAAAAACACTACATTGGCCAAAGTGGACGGCCCCTTCGTCTTCGTATCCACGAACATAAGTTAGCCGTCAAAAGACATGATATACACTCCCTCATTTCACTACACACAGACAACTACGGACATCAATTCGACTGGGACAACGTTCAAATATTAGACAAAGGAAATAACAAGAATGCTAGAGAATTTTTAAAATCCAGCCTGGTATTCCAGTGAATCATCAATCAATAGACACATCGAGATAGACAAAATTTATCAACCAATAAGAAAGGAACTTCACACACAAAGGGTCAAAGTTCAAGTCAAAGAAACAACCGGTTCCAATACAAGTAGCCTAGAAGGTGTGAAAACATACAGAAACAACCAATCACGTCCAAGGTCACCAGGAGAGATGATTAATAAACTCGTGGATAAATCTAAAAGCTGACTTCAATTCAAATTGAAGTATGCGCTGAAGATGTCACCCAGTAGGGTGATGAAAGCTTCACAAATTAACTATCCAGTTGCTCAGAGAACACAACCACATGAAAATCATCCACACCTGAGCTACAAATCTTCTCTATCATATCTAAAGCTTTGAACTTTATATTATTTTTGTCATTTTTATTGTTAATTTTAATTTTTCTATGGTTCTTCGTATCTATTTTTGAATAAATTCTGGTGGGTATTGTGTTATTCACTAGTAGTACTTCCTTTATTTGTTTGATTTCATGATTGAAATCTCCTGGCTTACAAGTGCATTGCATTAGTGGCATAGCGGTCAGGACGCTCGCCGACCATTCGCATGGTCTGGGGTTCGATCCCCGGTCGACTCACTCTTTTACCTCACTTACCCAGTAATAAATAAAGCTGGTAAAGAGGAAAGGTTGGCCATGAGGCTGGCTAGCAACCCTATCCTGTGAAATAAACACTGCCTCCGAAACTTCAAGTCACTAGCTTGAAGGTGCCCTATGTTCCACTGGGGAACGTGAAGGAAAAAAAACAAATGTTTCATCCTATTAGGAGACTCGGCATCAGTTTGGGTGTACTTCAGACAACAATTTATGAGATGAAGTGGAAGACTGTTGACACCTCATGACCAAACATGTTGCCTTGTTCGGTGTGAAACGGTTACTTGGTGTTGAATGATTATCAGGAAAGGCACCAATTAAAGGTATTATGATCCCACACTGTAGAGAGTGAATATGAGCGAATAATTGGAGAATAAAATAGAATAGTCTGAGTACTTTCAGCTTACCACTGTCGTAACTGCTACCTTGACCTAATGGTGTTCAGGTTTGCATATCAAAATGATCCAGTCGGTCTGTCCATTTCTCGACATAGAACTTTGCACATATGTGAGCTGGTTCAAGTCGCCACACTCCCTCCTTGTACCACACAAAGGAAGAGAAGTAAGTAGAATAAATGCACAACAGAGACAGTAAACAGACGTGTGAGACAAAGGAATAGTAGTAACGAAGAACAAAACAGTCTCATTGGAAATCATAAGTCACAAGGAGTGGATGCATCTGCACCAGCCATTGAGAACGATGAGGAGTTTGACCCATATCACCAATTGTTTCCAGCTGTCATTGGTTTTTACCGTCCCGAGGACCCCAACCAGTCGGTCAGGAAGTCTACACCTTCCTACGTGGCTTAGACTAACTGTTGTAGATTTCATTGACTGGTGAAGCCATGTTTTGGTTTGACCACCGCTAGCTCTTTTCCAGCCTGACCCTATGTCAGTTAACATTGCACGTCGAGGAAGGCGATGACTAGGGATGTACGCGGAACACATGTCCTAACCACTTTTTAATGTACATTATTGTTAGCGGAGAAGCAACCTCTTCCGACTTGTTGTTTTCTTGATGAAGGTTATTTTTTTATCTCTTTGTGGTCGTTTCTCAGAAAATCAAGCCACATATCTGCGAATCATATTTCCACACGTTAACTCCGGTGTGATTGACTGATGATTTTCTCAAGGTTAAGCTTTATTATCGTTTTTCTCATGACCCTGATTCGCGACATGAACATTGACGTAAATTTCTGTCTGTCGATTTCGGTTTGCAGCCAGCTCTCACCACAAACTTACATAATGTGATAAGGAATTATTATTATTCAGTTCAATTTGAACTTTCCAGGCTGATTGATTTTACCGAAGTGCTCGGCCTCAGGTTGACATGTTGGCTTCTTGTGAAGATCCTTCGATGATATCTGGTTATTTAACGTGAAGCAAATTAGTAGATGGTGACTAGCAGTGGAGGAAACCAGGATAATGCGAATTTCGTCCTACTTGAGACTCGTTGACTGAATGTACCTGCATTCACACAGTTAGTGAATGATGGTGTTCCCACTGGGGCTTGAACTCAGTGTCCATAGTTTCAAACGCCAGACCATTTAGACCACGAGACCCACATAGTGTGCAAGTAATAACTGATACCTGTTACAAAATAGGTGGCTTTTGGGCCCCCAGTGGTCTAGTGAATAATGATCTGGTATTTGGTATTGTGGCCACTGAGCTTGAGCCCCAGCGGGAACATCATTATTCACTGGCTGTTGAGATGCAGGTACATTCAGTTGATGAGTTCCAAAGGGGACAAAATGCATATCCTGGATTCCACTGTGCTACTCACCATGCTTCAAGTTAAATATGGAATTATATTGGTTAATGTCAATTTGTAATATTTGTAATTTTAATGTTTTATCCATCTATACTTTGCATATTTTAGGTTACTATTACGTGATTTTCATGCTTCTTGGGGATTGACTACTTTGTGGTCTGTATGGATTGCTGCTATTTTAGGATGTGCATTTGAATATGTTTATGTTGACAGGTAAGCAGGTTTACATTAACATTATTTTATTCGCAAATTTATGCATATTAGTACACACACTCACACCCACACTTAGTTTAGGCTTAATATTTCGAATAACTATCGTCGTCTCAGGTATATAGATGCAGTAGAGATGAATACACAGTCCATTCACAGGGATATAATGAATCTCACCTTGCATGCTTTCATTTTATTATATTATTATTTCCTTTAATTCCTAGAGGAACATAAGGCCTCAGTCGCGTGTCTCCATTGCGTTCGGTTCTCTGTGAACGTTTTCACCTGGCTCTAAGTCTGCCCACACGCTTTCATCTCCTCTTCACATGACCACCTCCAAGTCATGCTTGCACCAACTCGCCGTTTCCCTTTCAGGTTCTACTCGAGGGCTTATCTAGTGATGTTACTCACTTGTTGGTTTGTTTTCTCAGAGTATGGCCAATCCAATCCACCTCCATTTCTTCCTGCCTATTTGTTTCGAAATCGGTTCCTGCTGGGTTGGTTCGTTCATTACCAGAGATCCCTGTTACTGATCTTTTCTGGCTGGCCATCTGATCTTGAGTATTCAGCGAAGATAGCTAGCTGTTGATGGAAGGTCTGTAGTTTGAGATGCTCTTTATGACACGCAGTGCAAGTCTCTGATCCGTGTAGTGTAGCACTGACTGGTTTCACATTGGAGTTGAAAATCCGGATCTTATTTTTGATTCTGAGTGCTGTTGACCTCCACACAGAATTGAGAGTAATGAAAGGTTGTCTTGCTTTTCCGATTCTGGCTTCTTTGATATCCTCGTCAGTTCTGTCCGCTTGTCGTTGAAACGAGGCTTTCATTTTATCTCCCCTAAATTATGATCACTATCGATTGAATGTGATAAAATGGAGCTAGGTATGGTGGTTTTTGTCTATGCTTTACCATATCACAATGGGAGATTGGTCAGTAACACGTTGGTTGGCTAAGCTGTCTAGTAATAGTGTAACGACAGGGGACAAGAGCCAGGCAACAGATCGTTTATTGAGAAAATCAAGTGATATTTATGAATTTTTATGTACATTATTATTATTATTATTAGCGTTATTGTTAGCAGAGAAGCAACGTCTTCTGATTGGCTGTTTTCTTACTGAAGCTTATCTTGTACTGTTTGTAACCGTTCCTTAGAAAGTTAAGCCATATATCTGCGAATCGTATTTTCACTCGTTCAGTTTGCTATGATTGGTTGGTGATTTTCTCAGGGTTAAACTTTGTTATTGTATTTTTCTCAACTTCTTCAATTGACTTCACGTCTCCCCACATGCCTTCATCTCCTATTCACATCACCTCCTCCATGTCGCCCTCGCACTGACGACCAACTCCCCACTTCCCATTTTGTAGGGTTCCGCGCGAGCGATAGCCTGGCGTGTGGTGTCACCCGCTTGATGATGGTGTGTTTTCTCAGAGTATGGCCAACCGATCCACCTCCATTTCCTCCTGCATATTTGTTACACAATCGGTTCCTACTAGGTTGGGTTGGTTCGTTCATTGCCGGAGATACCTGCCTGTTGCTGATGTTTTCTGGCCGGCCATCTGATCTTGAGTAGTATTGAGCAAAGACAGCTAGCTGTTGATGAATGTGTGTAGATTTTTCGAAGTGGATTTTGTGCCGCTGCGCGGTGCCAAGTCTCTGATCCGTATAGTGAGTGGCACTGACTGACTTGACATTGAAGTCAAGGATACGGATGTTATTTTTGATGCTGATTGCTGAGTGTTGTTGATGTCCACACAGACTTGAGAGAAATGAATGATTGACTTGCTTTCCCGATCCTCGCTTCTTTAATATCCTCATCACTTCCATCTCCATGTGGTTGAAATGATGCTTCCCAAGTAGGTAAGGGGGGGGGGTGAAGGAGTTTGTTTCTCTCAGATTTCTCCCATTTATGCTGATTGTTGTCTGTTGTTGTTGCTGTTGGCCAGGAATCTTCATCACCTCTGTATTCTCTATATTCACCTGAAGTCCTATCTTTTCTGGATGCTTCTTCTATCGCCAACTGGTTGCTTTTCATCACTTGCATACCTTCCAGTTTGTGGAAAATCAGACATATATCATCGTGGGCGAAGTTCAGATCCTCCAAGTTTTTTGTATAGGTCCATTTTGTGCCTGTTTCCTTGCTGACCGGCCCGCTGTCTGTCACATTATCCAGTCTACCGCCCTAATTCAAGAAAATCATTGGAGACATCAAAAAGAGATCCATGTTATTCTGTACCAGTGTTTCTTTTTCCTCTGCCCATGTTTCTTCTTTGTTGTCAAGGTGCCTCTCTGAACATCTATCTCCGCCGATTAGCTCACAGATAATATTTAGTACATTTGAGAAGGTTTCTCTAGGTGTATGAGAAGTGAACACTTCCACTAGACTGCATTCATTTTTTTTTTCAAAGGTACATAGTCCTAAAAACGAATATACAATTGACGCAGTGATTCTTGTTTCGCACATATGTTCATTGTATTATTCGATATATCACGGAACGCACACATTGCATCATAGGAATTGTTTAGAAAAAAGATGGTCGCAGAATTATAATTAGTGGAAAACTCGTTAGTTTGTATAATTACTTACTGGTTAAAGAAGTAGGATTAACGAAATGGGTAGAAGGTTTGGACGCATAAAAATAACCAAATCTAATAATGCAGATAGGAATTTAAAACCGTAAATATATTACAAGTAATCGGGAAGGTTGGACAGGAAAGGTAAATTGGGATAATCATTATTAGTGAGCTTGACTTTTCATGATGGTCACTGTAGAGACAACGGTTGGATGTATTTCTTTTCGACACATAGAGTAGTCTTGAATTTTTCGATCACCAGTGCCTCAGTTATTCCTAGATGTCTTGATTTCACTCCCTTTGGTAAGTTGGATAGGATCTTGTATATTGCTTTGGAGGACTTTTCAAATGGAGCTGAATGTCCAAAATTCACTAGATGTTCTTTTATGGAACTGTATACTCCTTTGTGTTCTCCCGTTGTTAACCATGTTGGTAAGTGTTCCCAAGCGCGTTTTACAAGTGGATGCATGGTACGGTCAATGTACTCGACTCCACACGATATTTTTTTCTTTTCTGATTTACAGCTTGATCCCACACTGTATTTTCGGTACAAGTATGGAATTTTCAGCATGGATATCGGTAGCCCAAATTTTGCAGGCCAACCATAGATATCAGGTGTGCATCGGTGCGGGCTCGAACCCCGGACCATGTGCATGGTCGGCGAGAGTCCTAATCACTGTGCCACCGACGCACAAAAGCGCTCCCGCGCCGGGAGTCGAACCCGGGCCGCCTGGGTGAAAGCCAGGAATCCTAACCGCTATTTTTCTCCCCTAACAGCGGAACATCTTTATTACTTTCTCATGAATGAATTTATGTCGTCATTCCAAGCGGAACAGACAATTTGTTATACTTATTTAATTGAATTTTAGATTTTCCTGTCGATTGATTGGATCGAGCACTTCGGGTCTATGCAGTCTAGTGGATAACGCATTGGCGTTTGAAACCATGGACACTGAGTTCGTGCCCAGGTGGAAACATCATCATTCACTGACCGAAGGAACTCAGGCACACTCGGTGGATGAGTCCCAAGTAGGACGAAATGTGCATTATCCTGGATTCCTCCACTGCTAGTTACACCATCCTCCAATTAATTTGTTATGCTGCTCACAAAATTTATAGCATATGTTTTATTACTACTTTTTTAAATTTAAGTAGACTGTTTAATACCCAAGTAATTTTCTTTTGTTCGTTAAAAACTTTTAGATTTAAATCTGTGGAATTAATGATCTATCTAGCGATCTCTGTTCTCCCTGCGTATAGTTTCTTTTATATGGTAAGTACATTTGTGTGTGATTGTGTGTGTTATTGATTATGTATGTTCGAATCTGAGAAGGGATACGTCTTCCTGACTAACGAGTGCCAACTAGAACCAAAGTTAGGTCAAATTAAGGCTTCCTGCTGTCCCCCAACCATCTAATATAGATATTTCACGGTTCACTACATTGTGATGGCGAGCTGCCTAGAATGTTTAGCCTCATTGCAGATTTGACTGACTATAGAATTCAGTCTACATCAAAAAAACGACTAGATGCGTATTACACTAGTCCATTTCTAACAGGCTACTGTCACCTAGCTGCCACCGTCGCTTGCCCATACTCAAAATCAAATGGCTGGTTAGCTAGAAAGAATTTGAAACAAGAAACTCCGGCTATGAACAAACCCTAACCAGGAGCCGATTGCTCAACAATTATGTAGTAGGAGAAGATAGAGATGGTTCAAGCACACGTGTTGAGGAGGTCGTTGAATTTCCATCGCGCTCCAAGGTTGACCTGGAAGAGATCAAAGAATAAGGGCAGTCGTGGGTTCAGGTAAAGAGAACAGAGAAGAGAATAGAACAAGGTGGAAACGTGCTGTTGAAGGGCCTATGCTTCAATTGGAACCCAAGGGAACAATAGTAATAATAATAATAATGATAATCACAAAATGAGATGGGATATTCAAATGAGTATCAACGATTGTATGTAGGTTGTTTATGGAGAAGAGATTTTCAGACCAATTATTCTTAGATATTTTCTTGCCAAACGCAGTAAAGTCTAATCGTAATTTCACTCATTCTGTAGTTATATCATCGTTGTAAGAAATTCATAAGGATGCACAACACATTGGCTTCCAAACACTGGATCCTATGGGTTGGGTTCCTGCTGTATCTACTTCAATCTGAATAATGACATATAGGTCCTCACACACACACTGATGTAGTCTTATATCACCGGTGACTTTTTCCAACTGTCTGTCTGTTTTCGACATAGAACTTTGCACCGATGTGCAGCAGTTCAAGTCGCCACACTCCATGTACCACAAAAAGGAAGAGAAGAAAGTAGAATAAATGCACAACAGAGACAGTAAACAAACGTGTGAGACAAAGGAATAGTAGCAACGAAGAACAATATAGTTTCATTGGAAATCATAAGTCACAAGGAGTGGATGCATCTGCACCAGCCATTGAGAACGATTTCGAGCCATATCACTAATTGTTTCCAGCTGTCAATGCTCTTTACCGTCCCTAGGACCTCAACCAGGAAGTGTAGTCCAGTCCAGCCCTGTAACATCATCTTATATTTGTCGGGAGCGAACTGCTGACCAGACAGTCTATGCATACACACTATGCTTCAGCTGTGCATCTACAGATGATGTATTCGAAGTGTTTCCATGCGATGATGAGGAACTCTGTGTAGCACTGTAAAGTATTCATGTGCAGGTGTTCGTCTGTCCAGCATTGAAAAGGTGTTTGAGGATAGAACTGCTGTTATTCTTCTTTTCTCCTCTGGCTGGCTGGCTAACCAAACTGGACAATGTTCCATAATACATTTGTGGACTTGACTTTGCATACAGCCGATTTATACTTTACTCCACAGGAATTGGTAAACTGATAAATGCGCATAGAGGTGGCCAAAAGTGGGATCTTATCCTTAACGTTAAGAGTGAATGAACTGTCTGCTAGAGGATATGCTGCATAGTAAGGTGGCTGCTTGAAATGTCTTCTTTAGACATTTCGTAGAAAGGCAGTTTCTAAAACTTTCTGCCTCGTATTGTATCTTTGTATTGTAGGTTCATGAAGAGAGTTGACTGACTGATGTAGTCTGATACACGAATGGTCTGTGTTACATGTTATTAAATATAAACAAAACTTGAGAATAATTTCACATTCAATAAGAACCCTTTTGCTTTGTTATGTTACTGGGACAAACAATTGGAGAGTTCATGAATTGTTGTCAAGTGCAGTTCTGACCACCTTTTACTCTTCTTTCCCAACTCAACCCAACTCGATATCAACTATAATTACCCGTCGACAAACACGATGGCCAGGCATATCCGTTTAAATGTCCTGTTCAATAATGCGGTTTATTTAAAATATTTTTATTTATTTGCTTGAACGAGTTGATCACGGATTCATATCAGTTAGAGAACCATTGAAGACCAACCAGGGAGTATTGGACAGTTATTTCATCCTATTTCAGGAATCATCGGCAGTACGCACCCACTAGGACTCGAACCCAGGACCTTCCAGTTACAAGGCAAGCTAGCTCGCATACTATTCAGCCACTGGGACCCGATTCATCAATGGCCATCTCATGTATTCTAACTTCTACAAATTCGTGGGATATACTTCCACACACGTGACATCTAATTGAACCTCACTGGTCACGACTTCCCACTAGAGCTGACTCCAGGAGAAACTCCAACCTGTAGCAAGTCACTAGCGAGCATCAGATTAATTTTCTATAGTTTGGTTTGTAAGGTTTAGTTATGTTTTTACGAGTTAATCAAGGATTGATATCATCAGTTAGAGAACCATTGAAAACCAGGGAGTACTGGACAGCTGCTGTTTCATCCTAGTTTGGGAATCATTGGAAGTATGCTTGAAATATGTTTTTCAAAGATTAAATGTTTTTATATATTTAAAAAAACTTTCTGTTTTTTTTTATTTATTCTCATATTATTGCTTTACTAGCATGAACGTTCCGGTTTACCAATGATGATGATGGGTGCATTTGTTTACCTATCTGGTGTTATATTCTTCAAACTAGACGGTCGTATCCCATTAGCTCATGCTATATGGCATTGTTTTGTTTTCATTGCAACATTTCTACAATATAGTGCAGTAGAGACATTTTTATTAACTGATTAATCGATTGATTGTAGGCGACTTTCAGTAGCTTCTTCTTGAATACGCGACATCATTTTATGTCATTTTTGTGTTCTGATGTTTTGACTTTTGAGTGCAATCACACACAACCTTTTTATTTTTCCCTGTTCCTTTTTATTTTTCCTCATTTTGATTTTGATTGTTGTCATCGCCTCATGGTTCTATTTGTCACTGGTAGTAATAAAAGTGCATTTAGTAAAATCCATGACATGTTGTAGCCCTATTTTAAAAAAAAGAATTGTATTTCACCATTGTGATTTAGAGGCATTTTATTATTTTCTGTATAACTAACTAACTGTCTTTGTACCAATCACATCCATCCCCCTCACGAATTAATCGACGATCAAATACACACATTTACAGATAGGTAGAGAGATAGACAGTTAGACAGCGAGACAGATTGGTAGATAGATAGACAGACACATCATCTCATCTGTCTGAAATTGATAGATAACCAAAGACATACACACACACACTGATGGATGATAGGGAGGCAGACAGGCACGGACAGGTAGACAGGTAAATAAATGGATCGGTAGCTAAAGAAAGACACACACACGGATAGATAGATAGACAGACAAGGATATGTACATAGCGAGAGAGAGAGACATACACACGCACAACGAATAATCTTGTCATTACTGATTGGTCTAAACGATGTGTGCTAATTTCATGTCATTCTTTTCTTCTTCTTCTTTTTTGTTATTGTCGTTTATTTGAAAAAGTCATCACTATAGTAACCGTATACTTTCATTTCCTCGTTTATTATCTTAAAAGTGAAATCTTGAATCATTTTTTTGGTTTTCTACTTTCATCATCAGTATTGTCATCAGTGTTGCTGCCATTTATTTACATTTATTTTTTCATTCATTTATTGAGTCAGTCAGTCAGTCAGATTTGTTGTTGTATTGTCTTCACTACTCTTATTATTATAATTTCATCAATCCTAGAGACAGAATTAATTAACATTATTATTATTTTCAGATAAACACACCCACCCGCACACAGAGAGAAATAAAAGATACCCCGTTTTATTTAACCTTTATTAATTAAAACAAAAAATTCATATTCTTCGATAACGAAGTAGTTTTTCCTCTTTTGGGCTTGTGGGCATAGGGATGATGGGTGGTTTGTATTGTTGGAGGTGGGAGGGGGTGGTGTGAGGATAAAGGCAGTTACCAAGGTGTTTTCACACAAGACCAACTAACTAACTACCCGAGGAATTTCAGACCGTGGTTCTACCCATTCACGCAGACGTGGTAAATTAGTTTTGCTGTAAGAAATCAACCAGTGGTAGTGCTTGCCAGACAGATCGTAGTGATGTGTGAACATCGGATGGGCATTTCAGTTGTCTGGGATCAAGCTCATTAGCAGTGTACGAGGTTTGATTTAGTTCAGGCGGCTGAATCAATTCTAATTACCTTAATTCTGGTTAACTAACTACTTGACCCCATTTGGTAATACATTGAGTGAAATTAGCAATTTTTGCAAGTTAAACGGCATTACTTATTAATTGATGTGAGTGGTGTTCAGCTAACCGAACCTTCCGTCTACGACGCTAGCTTGTAGATCACTGAGACCGTACGTACTAAGTGTCTCATAAATTCCAACTTCAACATGGTGCGCACTGTTGAAGAGTCCTAAACTAGGACGAAATATCTGTCCAATACCTCCCGTTGGTTTTCGGTGGTTCTCGAAATGAAATTAATTCATTGTCAAACTTGAAAGGAATTAAATACCTACAAACTAACACTTGGTGCTCACTAGTGACTGATTACGAGGAAACAATGCCTGAATTTCCAGGGAAAAGTCATGACATGTAGCGTCCACTAGGTTGGGTGTGAGGGCGAAATAATCGCCAATTACACTGACAGCTGGCAGTTGCTCTATTTATCGCAAGTTGACATAAGTTAGGTTTCACAGTTCATTAAATTCGGGCCTAATTGTCTGAACAGTCTACGGAGTTTGGCGTTGTAACCTGAAAGTCCTACGTTGGGACGCCGGTGGGTGCATACTACGGGCGACTTATGGAAATGAAATCAAACTGTACGCCAAATAGTAGTATGTTATAAATCATGAATAGTCCTACGTAATCTAGAAAGTGCACGACTTCTATATATCAAACGAAAACGGCTATTACTCACCATCTTCAGTAGTCTGTTGCAAATGCTTTCAGTGACTCGCACAGCAAGTTTGTAAACCAACCATATAAAAAGGATTGACTTGCTGAAAATTCGGATCTGTGTCGTTGTATTGGGATTTCTGTAGACCTGAACATTGATTTCTCATTAATGAACCTCTCCCATCATTATGCACATAGGATTTCAACGAATCCACTAGTACGGAGAAGGTGGGGGGAGGGGTGGCAGAGTGAGACTTGAAATAAAGTGCTGAAGAACTTATGCGAAATTACACTCTAACTATAACAATGCCCACGTGCAAACTGTTCGCATATTATTCGTTGTGAAAAGCAAACTACTTGAAAGTAATTAGTAGTTTAAAAATGGAAACTAAATTTCACCGAGTTTCCCAACTCATATAATGAATTCCCATTCAAAGGAATTAGGACAATTAATGACGTCAAAGGGAACATGAGTTTCATAAAAAATCCAAAATAAGTTCAAAGAATTAGTTGGTTAGTTCTGAAATGTTTATTTACAAACTTTACAGTATCACAATGGACAACAACGTTGTATGCCTACAGTATACAATATTGTCGTCATCAGGCTAAGTAAGGCCCATTCTGGTGCTCTGTGAATTGATTTTAGATGATGATACGACAAACACAGTTTAAGTAAGCTAATATGCATTTTCAGTAAAAAGAGCATTCCCTGGTGCTGCTGTGTCTTCAAAATCACCCACCGCTATTTTGCGTTCGGGAGTAAAAGATAAACTGCCTGCCTAATTTCGCCACTCTTCTATGTGTATCTACCAATTTAACTGCTCCTGTGGAGTGAGCCATTTAGTTGCATAGGCTGTACAATTAGGTGTGTTTCTCATCAAATTTCCGAACATCATCCTGCATAGTGGTTGGTTAAGTAAAAGAGGAACAAAGTCTACTCGCATTGCGCTATTCTGTCTCATCTTGTGGATACAGAACACACAAGATTGATGTCTATGAGGCAGCTTTCAAAGTCATTTACTGAATACCAAAATATCTCGATTTCGCTCTAAGAGTTCGATTACTAAATACTGCTAAGGCTGGCCGTTGGGATCCATATTAAGAAGCCTAATTTATGTGTTCCAAAAGAAGTTGGTTGGTTCAGACATTATCCTTACCTTGGCCATCTAGGTTTAAATGATCCTGAATTTTAGTTGATATTCTATTTGCTACTATATCTTTATTATTATTATTATAGTTTAAGCCTCTTTAATGAGCTGTAATTCCATTGTGATCTTACTTGACAAATCGATATTATTTAAAAAATACATTAATATTGTTATTGACTACTATTCTAGAATATTCTATGTATATAAACATGCACATATATCTAATTGTAGAGCCGGAAGAGGAGGAAATTATCGGAGAGGATATTCTTCTTTGCTAGCTCAATTATTTTGTGTTTTATAAACATATAGGAGAAAATCCAGGGTGTAATCGAAGATGATTGTTGAGTGGAACCCAACAAACAGGAAATAACAAGTCAGGGGAACGGATTTGAGGAGGCCAGTTGTGAATACAATTAACCGTTGAAGCCTTATAATGTCCCACACTTGGAATACAAGGCATATGAACAAGAATAATAATAATAAAACTGTATTTTGTAAAAATATATGCATATATATATTTATATATTTCATTGCGTAATCTTTAAACGATTCAAAAGACACTTGTGAAGTAATCAAAAAATATTGAAGTAAAATTTAAAGAAGAAGGAAGGATTTTACTAAAGACAAGCAAAAGAAGAAGAAGACGACGACACCCAGAGAAAGCAACGTGCAGGAGGTTCACTGGTGGTGATAGGATAGTGGTAGGGGAGGGCAGTGAAAGGGATGCGGGTTGAAGGGCATTCACACTCATCCATCCATCCATTCATTCCTTCATACAATTCTTCCTCAATGTGTGTGTGTGGATGAGGCGGTGATTGGTAAGTCATTTCACAATGAATCATCATGCGAAGAGATCGATGCACGAGAAAAAGAAGAAGCCAGTTCGGTGGCGACAACAATAAAACATACAACAAGAAGGCATCAACAGTAGACAGACAGATGGATAGATAGACAGACAGATAAAGTCAGCTAGGCAGGGGATAAGAGGAAATGGCGGAAAAGATTGCCGGGGGGGGGCGGGGAGGGAAGTATGATAAATACATCTTCTGTACAGGAATACAAAAAACAGACAGTCAGACAAACAAACAAACAGAACAACAACTTTTTGTAAAAATAATTTTGTTTATCTGTAAAAATTATCAATATAGTGTTGTTTTTTGGCCAAGGATAAATAAAGGAAGACAACAAGGAGACAAAGGGGGTCAGTCAGTCTATGGAGAGAATAGACAAGACAAGACACGAGAGGCAAGGCGACGCAAGACAAGACAATTCTTATTGACAAATAGGACCATAACTCAATGCCACGGGATGATTTTGATAACGAGGCACCTGATTGTAATTGGAATTAGAAGGTGTGGAATACACTGGTGACGACAATGATGAGACATCTGCACGATTGACACGCATACAGGCTTGAATATACCGAAACTGGGCTTTTCTTATCTGGAATGTTAAATTCAATCCCCAGGTGAGATAATCACAGCGCAACTGTTGTTTACTTGTGCCTGAATCTCCGGTGAATACAACATAGACGGGAGGAGAGATTGTTGCCGCCGCTGCTGAAGGCGAAGAAGGATCAATACTTAGTATATGGCCATTGGTTGGATGAATAGGCAGTGGAGTTATTGCATTCAAACTGGTGTGTAATTTCAGGTAGACATCATCTAACCGATGATAGTGTAGCATAAACATGAGGGTAGCATTTTCAGTGAAATAGAATGCCGGTTGTTGTGGTTGTTGACCTCTAGTTAAGTTTGATTGTCCATTTTGCTGAAAAAAGATAATAAAAAAAACAGGGTAAAAAATTATCTAAGAGTAGAATTCAGGTAACAGACAACAATGAGCCAGCGTAAATGTGAGAATTCTGAAAGACGGAACCTCCTTCACCTACCTACCTACATACATACATACATACATACATACCTGGGAAGCATCGTTTCAGCAACATGTGGACGGAACTGATGAGGATGTCATCAAAGCCAGGATCAAGAAAGCAAGAGAAGCTCTCATTACTCTCAAGTCTGTGTGGAAATTAACAACACTCAGAAATCACCATGAAAAATAACATCCGAATCTTCAATTCCAATGTGAAGTCAGTCAGTGCCACTTACTATACGGATCAGAGAATTGGCACCGTGCCGCGCCGCGTCACGAAAGCCACTTCGAACAAACTACACACATTCATCAACAGCTAGCTGTCCTCGCTCAATACTACTCAAGATCAGATGGCCGGTCAGAAAACATCAACAACAAGGAAGGATCTCTGGAAATGTGAATGAACCAACCCAACCCAGCAGGAATCGATTGTGTAACAAATATGCAGGAAGAAATCGAGGTGGATTGGATTGGCTGGCTATACTCTGAGAAAACACACCATCATCAAGTGAGTAACATCACACGCCAGGCCATTGTTCGAGTGGAACCCGACGGGATGGGAAGCGGCGAGTAGTTGATCGTCACTGCAAGGGTGACCACATGGAGGAGGTGATATGAAGACGAGATGAAAGCATGTGGGTAGATGTGGAGTTTAAGGCGTTAGCAGAGAACCAAACACAATAGAGACGTGCGACTGAAGTCCTATGTCCCTCTAGGAACTAAAAGTGACCATAATAAATAATAATAATAATATTATGACGGATTTCACCATGAGCTGACATCAGTTAGAGAATCACTGAGGAACGGTTCTACCGAAATTTGATGGGTTCATTAAATCCTGCTTTATTAATACCTTTTGTTGCTTGTTTTAAATTCGTATCGGGAAATAAGTGTTTTCAATTCGATTAGGAGCAAGGTGAAAAATATTAATATATAACATTATTAATGCATCATTTCATCATGAGCTGATATCGATTAGAGAACCATTGGAAGTACTGGACAACACCAGCTGTTTCCTCATAGTTTGAAACTCTTCATCGGTACACACCCACCGACACCAGGGTTCGAACTCAGGAACTTCTGATTGTTCAAGGCCAGTAAGCAAGCTTGAAGACCATTAAGCCGGTCACTCGGACCTAATCCAATGACCAGCCTATAAATTCCAACTTCCCCAAATTCACGACATTACCACAACCAGCTAGCTGTCCAGTACTCCCTGCAGGTTTTCCAATGGTTCTCTTTCTATCAGCTCATAATGAAATCCTTCAACCAATCAATCAAATCCTTACAGAATCAATACTTGAATAATACAAAAAAACAAAACAAAAATACTTACTACAGTCATATTAATACATTCATGGATTGGATTTTTTGAAGCAATCCAATTTTTCAATGAAATATCACGTATACACCAAAATGCTTGATCTGTAATCAACATAATAACCCCGGTCATTTGAACTGGTAGAATGCATAGTACAGATTCAGGTGAGTTGAGAAGATAACGCAAATGAGGTGATGGTAGTTTTGTGGCGGAATTACACGATTGTAATACATAAGTTTGTAGCATATGACTTGTAGACTGGGAAAGGTTAATAGTCATGTTATTGTCATCTTTACTACTACTACTATTATGATTATTATTATCATCATCGTCGTGATCATCGATGTTAATATCTGTGAGGATTTCTTCACCAATTTCAAAAGTCTTAGATGATGATGTTATCACTGCGGGATTTAGGAGAGTTGACGATGATGAAGACGACAAAGATGTCGATGAATAATGATGATGTTTTTGTAAAGATGAATGACGTTGTACGTTGGTGAATAATGTTAGATAATACATTTGTAACTGGGCAACCGATTCATCTAAGTTGTAAACACTTATTGGTCGAGGAAAATACTTTGAGAGGCCAGCACGACGTGGTCTACGCCTTCGTGGACGATATAAATTCGAGGGACAAGCAGCTTCACTAATTGAACTCATCATACCAGAGACAAGATCAAAGATACCACCGACAGGTTTAGTCACTGTGCCTAACAATCCACGACCGATACCATAGACAAAACCCTGAAGAGAAAAAGAACAGAAAATATTATTGAACTTGTAGAATTTTAAATCTATACACACTCTCATGTTGAGCAGCTCAAGGAATAATCTTTGAGCAGTTCCAAGTGGAACATGAGGGGGGGAGGCGGTCCAACAGAATATCTCTATTTTGTCCTGGTCTCTGAAGTCTTCCTAGTCAGCTGGCCCAACGATTCACCACCACAAGTACTCATTATCACTTTCTTACAAGATCACCTCTTCATATCAGCCTCCGAGCAAGGCTCAGCTCACAGATTCCCATTCTGGTTCCATTCAACTTGATGACCTGGTTGGTGCGTGATGTCACTCAACGTCAGCGCGTGTATCCGATCCATTTATTTCTACTTCCTTCGGGATTTTTTGTCGAGAGATAGGTTCTTGGTCGGTCGGTTGGTTGGTTCCCGAAGTTTCTCATTGCTAATTCTTTCTGGCCGGCTGACTTGGCCATCTGATTGTTAGTATGGCGCCAGCAAAGAAGACAGTTGTTGATGAAAAAACTGCAGTAACCTGTCGGAAATGCTTTCCGTCAATGCTGGTGCCAAGTTCGTGACCCGTAAATAGAAGAATCAACTGACTTTACACTAGTGTTGAAAATCTACATTTTATTCTTTTTACTAAGTGGACCACTAGATTTTCTGTCGTCTCACTCCTTCTCCACAGTGGTTATATACAATTAGTTTTGTCTAACTATTTCTAAGGAGGGGTTATCCCGCAACAACGTGAGCCATTTGTTTTTCCCTCTCTTCAGATTGCTGGATTCCTATTGGCTGTTAATACTTCTAATGCATCACTGAGTTACTGCATTTTCAGGGTCATTCCAACGGTAAATATATAATGTAGTTTCTAAAGTCCAGTTTGTATTTAAACAATTTACTAGTTGCGTCGTTTCAACTACAGGCGGGCTAAACTGATGAGAATATCAAAGCAGCGAGCTTCAGGAAAGCAAGGCAAGCTTTTATTCCTCTCAAGTCTGTGTGGATATCAACACCACTCAGCAATCAGCATCAAAAATAACATCCATATCCTTAACTCCAATGTGAAGTCAGTCAGTGCCATTTACTATACGGATCAGAGAATTGGCACCGTGCTGCCGCGCCGCGTCACGAAGGCCACTTCAAACAAACTACACACATTCATCAACAGCTAGCTGTCCTCGCTCAATACTACTCAAGATCAGATGGCCAACCAGAAAACATCAACAACAGGGAAAGATCTCTGGAAATGAAAGAACCAACCCAACCCAACAGGAACCAACTGTGCAACAAATATGCAGGAAGAAACAGAGGTGGATTGGATTGGCTGGCCGTACTCTGAGAAAACAAACCATCATCAAGTGAGTGATATCACACACCAGGCGATCGCTCGAGTGGAACCCGATGGAATGGGAAGTGGCGAGTTGGTCGTCAGTTTGAGGATAACATGGAGGAGGTCATGTGCAAAGGTGATGAATTTTTGTGGGCAGACATGGAACCAGGCGGATAATCTAGAGGAGAACCGAACGCCATGGAGACGTACGGTTGAATCCTTATGTTCCTGTAGGAACTAAAGAAGACAATATTAATAATAATAATAATACAAAGAGGAGTACATTCTGATGCGAAAACTTTCTCGTCAGAACGATAACAGTGACTGACCGACTAGCTGACTGATTAACTCAACTATGCACAGAAGTGCATCACTTCAACTTGCCACACACTTCATCTAATACAGAAAACAAAAGACAAAAGATAAAATCGAGATCTGAGAGAACACTAAGAAGCAGACATATGAGGGGGAAAAGACCAGAGACAGTGAGTGTATTTTCTCCATTGACAACAATTTCGAACTGTAGCACCGATTATTTCCAGCCGGTGGTTCTTAGAATCCTGCAGACTCCAACAACCGAATAGTCTATACCTTCCTATGCGCTAACTGCTAAAGATTTCAAGGATTGATGAAGCCATAATTTTGTCTGAATGCCAATAGATCTTTTCCATTTCGATCCTATGTCAGCTAACATTGGACCCTCCGTCCGTCGACGGAGGTGATCGATGGCTAGGGAGATGCGCATGCGTAACATATGTCATAACCAACTCAATCGATGTAGCTTCATAACCTAATCAATTGACTTTCCCTCTCTCCTTATCTAACACTCAACACCTAACCTGAACATTACTCACCCTATCGTATCATCTAATACGGAAGATAGAACGCTGAAACGTATGATCTAAGACGAGTTAGCTGGCCTTCTCATATCTTCCACTTTGTATGCTCATCTCTCACAGCCATATTAGAGAACGCAGAGAACTGCTGAGCTGCATACACGCGTGTTTTGACCAATATCCAGCCAGATATCAAGTCTAAACCAGAGATGATGATGTGTGTTGTCAAATTCCATATGAGCATTTTATTTCCTTGCAATGTGATCACCATTCTAGTTAGTTCGCCGTCACAGTACACTCTGAATTGTTGATGTTAGATGGTTGTAGGCAATCGGCAGCAGGAGACCAATCGCCAGCCCGAATAGCTGGCTCAGTGGTAACGTCTCTGACTGCAGCACTCGCTGGATGACACGGGCTCGAATCTCTGAAGGGGCGTGAGTTCCTTTCAAGTTTGCAGATACGCCTTGCTGACTTATGAGTGCCAACTAGCACGAAACCTAGGTCACGCTGGGCTTCCTGTGGCCGATTGCCTCCAACTATCTAACATCAGCAATCAGTCCGTCGGGGGCTGATGCAACTTTCCGTGTAAATAAGTAAAGTGGTCAACACACTCTACCACTTCCCTCCCCTCTTTGTCTTTAAGCTAAGAGTCGGTGTAGCTTAATTCATAGTCCTATATGTTGGTTGAATTAAAAATGCCGCACGCTTTTCGATTAGCGCGCTACAATTGCTTAGTTACATAGGAACCTGAAAGAAACAACCTCCTTTACCTACCTGGGAAGCATCGTTTCAGCTACAGGCGGACGGAACTGACGAGGATATCAAAGCAGTGAGGATCGGGAAAGCAAGACAAACCTTAATTACTCTCAAGTGTGTGTGGAGGTCAACAGCACTTAGAATCAAAAATGACATCCGGATTTTCAACTCTAATGTGAAGTCAGTGCTACTTACTATACGGATCAGAGACTTGGCGAGTCATAAAGAGCATCTCAAACAAACTTCAGACCTTCATCAACAGTTACCTTCGCTTAATACTCAAGATCAGATGGCCGGCCAGAAAAGATCAGTAACAGGGATCTCTGCTAATGAGCGAACCAACCAGGAACCGATTGTGACACAAATAGGCAGGAAGAAATGGAGGTGGATTGGATTGGCCATACTCTGAGAAAACAAACCATCAAGTGAGTGACATCACTAGACAAGCCATTGCTCGAGTGGAACCCGAAAGGGAAGCGGGCGGCGAGTTGGTCGTCAGTGTGAGGGTGGGATGACTTAGATGAGGTCATGTGAAGAGGAGATGAAAGCATGTGGGCAGACTTGGAGCGGGGTGAAAAAGTTGGCAGAAAGCCGAAGGCAGTGGAGACGCGCAGCTGAAGCCCTATGTTCCTCTAGGAATTAAAGGATATAATAATAATATGTTGATTGAAGAGTCCCACCATTACCAAGCTAGGAAGAAACAACCCTCCCGTGCTCTCCCTTCTGGTTTTGAATGCTAGTGACATGAAATTTCGAAGTCAAGAGTTTAAACAAACAAACAAACAAACAAACAAACAAACAAGAAGGAGAACATTACTCACCTTGAATTGATCTTCTTTAGCTCCACGATATGGCTGCGTGACAATAGATGTCATCCCGCCGACAATTCCATGCATAAGACCACGGATACCAGCACTCAGTGGTGCTGTCACTGAACGATTTATATCAAAGCTCTGTTGATTGGTAGCTGGTTTTACACTTGATATAGACGGCGATGACGATGATGGTGTGTTAAGTGTTGAATGCGACTGCGTATCATCATCCAAGTACACATCATGACATGTCAATTCAAAGTCATCCAAAGATTCATTAGCATAATTTAGCGGTAAATCACCTCCTTCAAGAAAATTGTTACCAATACTACTACTATTACTCCCACCACCAATCCCACTCATACTGCTACTACTATTACTTTGATAAGTAGTATATGGTGAGGAATCAGCTCGACTGCCTAGTATAATTGCACGTTCTTGTTGATGTTTATCATCGAATGACATAACATTCAATAACTGAGATACACTTCCAGCTACCTGAAAAAAACACAAAAAACAATAACAACAGAAATGATTTTCAAGTGTTGGTTTGTAGGGATTTGATTGATCGGTTACACGATTTTATCATGAGCTAACATTAGTTAGAGAACAGATGTTTCGTCCTAGTTTGGGACTCTTCATCAGTAAGCACCCACCCACCTCCAGGGTTGTAAACCAGGACCTTCTGGTTACAAGGTGAGCGAGCTCGTAGACCATTTGGCCAGTCACTGGGACCCGATCCAATGGCCAGCCCATGAATTCTAACTTCTGTCAATTCACGACATAGCACGACCGCTAACCAATGTCTTCGCTGGAGAGTGTTTGTCCTCACACCCAACCTGCTGCACCCTACTGGTCACGACTACTCACTAGAACCCCAGGTAACTACATACCTACCTGAATAGGGCAAGTCGCCAGTGAGAGCACGGCAATTCATGAACCATTGCATCAGGGACAAATACGAGAGAACTAGACAGGCTTTAGACGAGGAAGAGAGTGTATTGATCACATCTTCAGCCTTCGATAGATTCTTACCGTTGGCGTCCAACAATCGTTATATCTCTTGAGGTAAAGACGGCATTCGATTCTGTCGACCGAGACGTTCTCTGTCGATGCTTGGCTGTAAAGGGAATTCCAAGAAAATACATTGGACTGATCAACGCACTCTACTCGTACTCATGCAGCCAGGTGAGAGCTTACGGCGAGTTGTCATCTGAACTGGTGACAACTAGTGGTGTCCGTCAGGGATGCCCACTTGTCAATGGCTAGCGCAGATGTATTCAGTCTCTGTAATCTTTCATATTCCTTTCTACCATTACCCATTCTGTTTCACTCTTATACTTGTGAAACTCTATTAATTCTCTCCACTCATCTTCTTGTCTACCTTTGTGTGCTGTTTGGAACGTGGCAACTCGAATTGCTGCACTTCGGTGCCAAGTTCTATGTTGAATCCAGGCAGACAGACAGGGATGCCCACTATCCCTATTTCTATTCAATTTCATCAGAGATTTACAAATGGAATTAACCCCAACTCACTTTAGCGATTCAGGAATTGACTTGTTACCATCAAGGATTAATTTCGTTGACTTAGAATATGAAGACGATATAGTCCTAGATAAGGACGCTGACATAATGGAGAGTCTCTTGAACACCTTAAGTTGCAATCTGCGATTCGCTCCGCCAAATGTAACATGATGCCACAGGACTGGACTATATTACACTGACTCTTAGCTAAGAAATAGGGAGTGAAGTGGTTGGTAGAGCGTATTGATCATTTCACTAATTTGGTAAGTTGCATTAGTCAACGCCAACGGGTTGATCACTGACAAAATCTCAGAAGGGATACAGAAGGCTCGTTTCACATATGCTAATTTACACCGTCTCTGGTTTAACAGACGTGATATCCGGCTGGCTGGCTGTCGAGCAAAGGACGTGTGTACTACTCATAAGTCCGCTCCGTCCTCCTTTATAGCTGACTGTGAGACATGGCCATTGAGAGTGGAGGACATGAAAGGCCGATTAGCTGTCGTCTTTGATCATAGCTGTTTGCGTTCTATCCCATGTGTGAAGTGGTATAATAAGGTGAGCAATATTGAGGTTAGGCATCGAATGAGTGCTAGATGAGTTGGAGGGGAAACCAATGGACGAGGTTGTGAAGTTACATCAATTGAGACGGTTAGGACATGCGTTATGCATGCATCCCTAGCCTTTGTCTTCCTCGACAATGGGCAATGCTAGCTGACTGACATAGTGCCAGGTTGGAAAAGAGCTAGCGAGTGGTGGTCAAATCAAAACATGGCACCAGTCAATGAAATCCACAACCAGCCCCACATAGGAAGGTGTAAACTTCCTGACCGGCTAGTAGGGGTCCTCGGGGCGGTAAAAACCAATGACGGCTGGAGACAATTGGTGATATGTCTCAAACTCATCGTTCTCAATGTCTGGCGAAGATGCATCCACTCCTTGTGATTTATAATACCCAATAAAACTATATTGTTCTTCGATATTACTATTATTTTTGCCGTATATATGTCTTTATTGTCTCTATTTTTCATTTATTTTTACTTTCTTCTCTGGCTGCTCTGTGTGCTGAGAGAAGTTTGGCAATTTCGAACTGCTGCACATCAGTGCAAAGTTCTATGTTGAAACAAGTCAGTCAGTCAGTCAGATCCCAGTGGGTGAATCGTCTGCGGGCTTGGCTTGTAAACGGAAGGTCCAGTGTTCAAACTCCGGTGGATTCGTACTGATGGCGAGTTCCTAAGCTAGTACGAAACATCCAGTCAAGTATTCCCTGCTGACTTTCAATACTCTCCCAAACTGATATCAATAATCCATGGGTAAACTTGAAATAATAATAATATTATTATTATTACTGATCAATAAATCTACCTTGGCTGCACTATCACCAACTCCATGTGCTACATGTCGTATTAAACCGCCAACGTCTAATTCAACTAGACCAGATATTCCAGAACTAAGATCATTAATTAAACCGATTGGATTGCCAAGGAAATCAACTGATCCAAAGATATTTAAGGCATGTGCACGTAGCTGTAGACGATAATACGCATTCAAGTAGCTGATGATTTGTGTTATAGTTCCAAGCATGTACAATCTTTCAATTGAATCTGAAATAAAAACGCGAAGAGGCATTATAACAATAGTAGTACGATAATAATAATAATAATATGTGTAAAACCTGGGCACTGTGGTAGTAAGTAATTCCATATCAGTTTGTTTATCAGATGTATCACACAATGAGTGTAACAGTATTGCTATTTACTGGATGACACAGTTTCGAACAAAATTTATTTATTGTTTATAATCCTTGCAATTATAATCACACGACTTCGAAACTTCCGTTTTATAGTTTTCTTTGTTCTCTCCTATTTGTCGTCGTAGGGGTAGTAGAATTTTCCAGATATCTGGGTGCATAGGCGTTGAATCATTCCTATTACACCTATTGTCCTCAGTTGATTCGATAAACAAAGCTTCTGTTATCAATCTCTCCCTCCATTCACCCTGTTACATTAGATTTTAAAACTGTCATCTTATCCAATTCCATCCTATTGTATGGATGGTTGTGTGTAACTGCATGTAGTGAGTGCTATAGCTGATTAGGAATAAGGATAATAAGGAATCTAAATCGTCAGCAGTAATTCTATACAAGGAAGGAACCTCGGAAACCACCTTACGGAGAATTCTTAACAATACAGGCAGGAATAAAAGTGGCTAGTATTCAAACCGCCCCACAAACTCAATTTGAAACAAGCTTTGTCGGTCAAATGGTGGATCCTGTGGAGCCTTTAAAACAAAACAATTTAGTTTATCTAATACCCTGCCTGCAATGATTGTCAGGTCAAATACATAGGTCAAACTAGTAAAACAGGGGCAGTCAGACTAGCCAAGTATAAAAACCTAGCAGCAAAATCTAAATTACTTGACCCAAATAAGATAAGAAATCTAGAGAATAGTTCAGCTATACCACTCACTACATGCAATTACACATAACACTTTTAAAATCTAATGTCACAGGGTGGAGGTAGAGATCGATGAAAGAAGCGTTGTTTATCGAGTCAACTGCAAACCAACACGTGTAATAGGAATGATTCATCACCTGTCCACCCAGATATCTGGAAAATTCTGCTACCCCTACGACGACAAATAGGAGAAGACAAAGAAAACTATAAAACTCAAGTTTCGAAGTTGTGATTATAATTGAGAATATGATCATGAACAGTAATAAATTTTGTTCGAAACTGTGTCATCCACTAAATAATAATACTGTTTCACTCAGCGTGTAATACATCTAATAAACAAACTAATATGGAAATAGCCCAATAAGCAATACAATAACACATCAGAGAGGGATCACCTTGACTGATAGGATATCTAAAGTTCCAAGCTTAATAATCATGAGTAGATTGAGTAGTGCTCGGGAAAACCAAACGCAAGAAAACAACCACCAGACAGGCTTTAGATCAGGTAGAGGGTGTGTATTGATCATATCTTCACCCTTCGACTCATTCTAGAATGTAGGTATACTTACTGGTGTTCACCGATTGGCATATTTCTTGACCTGAAAGCGGCATTCGATTCAGTCGACCGAGAGGTACTATGGCAATGTTTGATTGTTCCGAGAAAGTACATCACACTAATCAAGGCACTCTACTTGAACTCATACAGCTAGGTAAGAGATTATTGGAGAGTAGTCATATGACGTGATGATGATAACCACCAGTGTTGTCCGTCAGAGATACCCCCACTCAATGTCTCCATTTCTGTTTCATTCCATTAAAGATGTGCTCTAATCGAATTGACTCCTAAGTGACTTCAGGTACTTAGGGATTGACCTGTTACCAGGGTATAATCCCTTTATTAGATGGTTGGAAGCAATCGACAGAAAGCCTTGACTATACCTAGGTTTCATGGTAGTTGGCACTCACAAGTCAGCAAGGCTTATCTACAACGTTGAAGGGACTCATGTCCCTTCAGAGAGTTGAACCCGCGTCACCGGGTGCTACGGTCAGAGGAGACGTTACCACATTACACTAGTTACTAACTAGTGTCCTAAAGGAGGTCGATCACGAGCCTAAATAGCTCAGTGGTAACGTCTCTGACTGCAGGCAGCACTGGGTGACTCGGGTTCGAATCTCTGAAAAGAACATCACATGCTTCAAGGTTGTAGATATGCCTTGCTGACTGACTGACTGACGAGTGCCAACTAGCACGAAATCTAGGTCAGGCCGGGCTTCCTGCTGCCGATAGCCTCCAACCATATAATATAACAACAATTCACAGTGCAGTGCACTGTGATGGCGAGCCACCTAGAATGGTGTTCACTTTGCAATGTAAACTAGACAAAAAAAAACAATAATCTTGTTGATTTAGAATATGCGGGTGATGTAGTCCTCCAAAGTAAAGACGCCGAAAAAAATGTTCGGTCTTCTGAACACTTTGAGGAGCAGGAATCTTCGAATGTTTGGCATGCGATTTGCTCCTGCTATCAAATGTAAGATGATGTTGCTACAGGACTGGACTGGAATAAACCGTGTGTGGCTATCTAGAAACACCGGCTTAGATAGCTGAAACATGTGCTACGAATGTCTTTATTCCAGAGGCTTCTGTATCGACCACTGTTCGCTAGCCCTGAGACTGGATGGAAAAAGTGAAGAGGTGGTCAGCCTATGAGAAAATGGTGTCATGGGATGAAGGACAATTTGTATTAGGTTAGCACGCGTTGGTGCATCACGACTCCTTCGTTGGGGTCTGACAGATAGTTCGAATCGGTGGCTGGAAACATTACTAGACAAGGTGGAGAATTGCAATCGATGGGGAACAATGCTGCAATTTCCTTCTTTGTTCCCTTTCTAAAACAGGAAGCCAAAAGATTCACCTACATATGAAACCAGAACTATTTGCTTAATTTATAACAAGTAAGGACTCGATAAAGCCATCAAGAGAACTTATTATGCTGCAAAACTTGTTTTCCTTGATACACCACAAAGCGAGTGTGCTTCAACAATCTGGGAAAGACCAGTACTCGCCAATCCTAGGCACTTCAAACTGTGTATATCAATTTGATGAGTGTGCTTGTGGAAGCAAATACACATAAGTCGTACAGAAAGGCGAGTGATTGTTTACTCGCATGATGGAGGGAGCAATTGCCAAAATGGCTGGAAAACAGCTGAATGCAAAGTGCCAAAGATCTCAACAACAACAACAACAACAACAACAAAACATCTTGTGGACTACAGACATGATATTGACGTGTTGTCAAGTCATTTACACTGTTATTTTCAGCAGACAAATAAACAAGAAGATGCTTGCAATTCTGGAGGAGGCTTGTGCAATTCGACTTTACAAGCCCGGTGGTCTCTGTGTACAAAAGGAGATAGTGGTCACTCTGCATCTACCATGGTAACACGTTTTACTTATTATTCTACCTCTTATTATTATTATTCTTGATTCATTTAAAATTATCCTTTATCAGTAGAATTATTTTAATCCACTTCAACACTATTAAAACTGTTATTATAACTATTACTATTGATATTAGTCTGTTTGCAATTCTAGTTATATTCTCTAATGACTAATTGTTTATCTAAGTGATGTAATTGAAGCGTAATGCAATTTATCTTAATTTTGATCTCTCATACTCTACTCTCTCTCTCCTTATCTATTTGATGAACATGACCTGGAAAACATTCGCACTTGTCTTTCTGCATGATTAATTCAATGGCATTAGCTATTCGAAACCTGAAACCGAACCTGTACATACAAAAGCGATACATACATTCTCTTGCCCTACCATGGCCAGAGTAAAGTACTTACTATGATTTTGCTTCTTTGTTTTAATATGTAAGTTCACTATTATTATTAATACTTTTATTATCATTATTATTCCCATCATCCATATTTTTATTACCACTCTATTACTGTTAAATAATAACATTGCTTTTTCATACAGATTTTATACAAAAACACTTTATCGCCTTTCCACCAGTTCCTGTTCATTCTACACGAGCATATTGACTAGTCATTATCTCACACTTATTACGTCATGCCAATATCTGCCTCTTTTCTAACTTACAATTAGTCATCCCATCTCGGTTACACCTTACATCATGCAATACAATTTTTTCAAGGACAAAGTTTACCAGTATCTGATTGGTCTAAAGATTTCTTTTTTGGTTAAATATAATTAACACGATTGTACAGCAGCAGCTCATGAAAATGAATCGTCGAAAAGGGAAAATTTTCTCCTATGTTGTTTGTGCCTTTTTCATATGACTCAATATGGGAATATTTCGTTCAATGTAGTTTATTTGCTTATCAGTCACTCTTATATCTCTCAATGTAATTTCTAAAGTGTATATATATATCTCCGTGTATGTAGAGTATTCAGCTGAGGAGGAGTAATTCTACCGAAATTTGATGAATTCATCATTAAATCCTGCCTTATTAACCACATTTGTTGCTTGTTTTTTGAAATTCATATCGGGAAATAAATGTTTTCAATTTGCTTGACTGATCGGTTGTGGTCAAAAGAATGGTATCCATGGTGAGGATTTTGAATTATTTGGGGGACTCATCCACCGATTAGATGTACTTGTACGCAAACCAGATGAGTGACAGTGTGTTCCCCCATTGAGACGTTGAACTCTATCACTCAAATGGTACCCTCATATGTACAATGGAGTATTCAGTTGTTAGTAACCTCAAATTAGAACTACTTACATCTATCTATAAGATAATTATGATATACGTAGAACTTACCTAATTGTATTTCTGCACCAGTAAAACTCATTAATGATGGTAGTAAACGTTTAGCTCCTTCTAAATGTGAATCAGTCAATGAACTTTTAGCTGTTTGTACACTCAATTTCATTTTGATTGGATTAATAAGAAATTGATCAAACCAGAATATGGAATGCTGATCGGTTTTATGCGATGATATTCTTGTACTATGATGTCTTCTAAAAGAAGAGAATAAAAATAAACAAACAAACAAAAAAATTAAATGAAATTGATTGAAAGGAAATTGTTGGATAGGACAAGCAACCCTCAGCTTTCACCTTGCATCTCCTTCTCAGGTAGAGCTAGAAGTAACTTCAGAAAACTGTATGTTCGCACGTCCAAGGTATAGAAATTCTATGATACCATACTGGGAACGTATTTTATGTGATAAAAATAGTGTCCGGCAAGAATTAACTAACCTTTTTTCGTCTAGTAAATAGACAATTTCCTCCATCCACCCTTATATACCTTCAAGTTTTACTTTTATTATTTCTATTATATTTATGGTCCTGTTGCTTCTTTGTTTGTTTTACTCTCATAATTGCAAGCACCAACTTGTCTCTATGACTGCTGTAATCTTTGTTTTTCCCCTCACCGTATCATGTAAAGAAAACATTATATTCAATATTTTTAAACATGTTAGGATTTCTATACCGCATTGACAATACTGTGTGAAACAAGCCCACGGGAATTTTCACTTGTATTCTTATTATTATTACCCTAGCTGTTATCATTATTATTGCTATTTCCATTTTATATGCTGCATGTTTTTGACACTACCTCTATTGTAAATGTGGAAAATTTTTCTGTGTGATTAATTTTTATTTATAATTTGAGGAAATTAGATGGAATATTGTGTGTGATTAATGCTGAAAATTCCATTCTGTATCACAAGTACTGTTTTCGGAATAAAGTAAATTATTATTATTATTATTATTATCATTATTGTTAGCTGTGGAGTCATGATCGATGCATGCATTGATACGATAACCTGATTGGACAGTTTCTGATTGGTTTATTTATGACTTGATTTTTCCGAGGATTTGTAAACTATATACATATACTCCGTATTTTGTCGTAGTTAAATCTAACTTTTGTGTGTGTGGGGAAGATTTTCAAATGATCGAATGGTTATGGTGTCGTGTTCCTGGAGGTAGATACTTGTTAAGTTAGACGAGACAACCACAAGTCAGTAACACTTCGTTATAACAGAATTAAAGTGTAGAATAATATATGAAGGTGAGGTAGTAACTCATCGAAGCAGAAGACATTGCGAAGCGGCCGTGCAATGTCATGGATTGGCAGAAGTTAGAATTCATGGACTGGCTGGCCATTGGATCGGGTCCCAGTGGCTTAATAGTCTACGAGCTCGCTAGCCCTGTAACCAGAAGGTCCTGTGTTCGAACATTGGCTGTGAGTGCCTACTGATGAAGAGTCCCAAACTAGGACGTAAGAAACGGCTGTCTAGTACTTCTTGCAGGTTTTCCAATAGTCCCCTAACCGATGTCACCTCATGAGGAAATCCCCCAACCAATCAAACTAAATTCCTACAAAAACCAATACTTAAAAAATATGTGTATATATGTATTATTATTTCCTTTGCGTTCCGAGAGGATATAGGGCGACAAGCCCTACCTTTGGAGTTTCGGTGGAAGTGAGTTTGTTTTATTCTTAAGCCATGGCATCGCTAGCCCCAGTCCTAACCTTCTGTCTCTACCGGCATTCCTAGCAGCTTAGCGAGGTCTAGGAGTGCGTCGGTTGGGGATCGAACCCTGGACCACGCGTGTGGTTGGCGACAGTTCTACGGCTAAACACCACCAACGTATGTATATATATATGTATATGTTATGGAAAAACGACGGTTTGGCGTCATGCCCTGAGGGTGTATACACTGAAAGGTACAAGCCAAAATCTGAGGAACTTTACAAAGTGATGTCATGCTGGTTTGTTATCTGACTTTCCTACACTTTGATATCCAGTTATCAATCAAAAGACGTGTGACACACACACACAACATCTCAACCGACTGAATCATTATTCAGAGTCATTTATAAACTGACCACAAGTCTATTACCAAAGGCCTATCTGTTCTTTTTGGAACTAATCAGTTGAGTGCACCTCTAACCTTAATGATTGACGACGTTCCCGATGAGGCTCGAACTCAGCACCAATCGTTTATAAGGCAGAAGTGTTATCCACTAGGGCACTCAGGCTACGAGAGCCACATCTTTTGTAACATGAATCGATTATCTGTCAACAGACGGCGGACATTTCAATCCTGTATAATCAATCAACGGAATGCACAAAGTGAAATTAGACAAATATATACAGTAATATTTATACTTCAAATTTTTCTCTCATGTGTCACATAAACATACTTATCACGAGTGCTGGTCGATAAATTCTTAAATGGCGATGATGGCGAGGAAGTTGAAGACCGCTGATGCGTAACAGAATCATTGTATGAATCTGTTCTATGCGAATGATGAGCATATAATAATTCATTGGTTTCTTCAAAAGCATGTTGGTAAAATTGAATCAATTTAAGAAGTAATAATTCTTCTGCTTGAATATTCAATGGATACACATCAATCTATAATTGAATTAATAAATTAAAAAAAATAAGTAATAAAAATGAAAATTAGTCATATTATAATAAATGAATAAATACAATACAAATTACTGTGAATATATATGGGGTCGAAATATGTGTCACTCATCTTGAGAGTTAATAAAACAACTAGAACGGACCAATCAGATTTAACGTACACCCACTCACTCACTCACTCACTTACTAGCAAAACGTCCAATCAGATTGAAGTAAGATAAAACAGGCAATCAAAAAACATGAACAAATAACCAATCACAATAAGTATAAAACTTGGGCAATGTGGTGGTAGGAGTATACCTCCATTATGGATAAAGTGTTATTTTTGATGTGGTTGTGTTCTCTGAGCTGGCTGGATAGTTAATTTGCGAAGCTTTCATCACCCTCCTTACTAGGCGACATCTTCAGCGAATACTTCAATTTGTTGAAGTGAGCTTTTAGATTTCTCCACGAGTTTATTAATCATCTCTCCTGGTGACCAACTTGAATGTGATTCGTTGTCTTTGTGTGCTTTCACACCTTCTAGGCTGTTTGTATTGGAACTGATTGTTTCTTTGACTTGAACTTTGACTCTTCGTGTGCGAAGTTTCTTTCTTATGAACACAACCACATCAAAATCATCCACCTGAGCTACAAATCTTCTCTATCATATAAGATGTTATTTTGATAAATCACAGTGTTTTTTGTACAGTAATATTTACTGATAACCACGTTTCGAGCACAAACTATTCCTGCTTATAATCATATCAAGGTACTCACTCACACAACTTTTTTCCTTAATTTATATACGAGTAAAATTGATGATTACACTATTGAATTGAATTTTTGATTTTCCCATCGATTGATTGGACCGAAGTGCTCGGTCTCACGTTGAAGTGTCGGCTTCTTGTGCAGGTGCTTCGACGATGTCTGGGTATTTAATTAGTATACAATTGATGGATGGTGGCTAGCAGTGGAATCCAGGATGCGCATTTCGTCCTATTTGGGACTGGTCAGCTGGATGTACGTACATTTCTCAGTGAGTGATGATGTTCCCACCGAGGCTCAAACCCAGTATCCATAGTTTCGGTCCAATCAATCGACGGGAAAATCAAAAAAAATTCAATTCAATAATTAATATGACCCGTTGCACAAGAAATGGCCAGCTTCCGTGGCCCAAATAGTTTAGTGGATAACTCTTTGGCGTTTGAAACTATGGGCACTGGGTTCGAGCCTCTATAGGAACATCATCACTCACTGAGAAATGCAGGTACATCCAGCTGACGAGTCCCAATTAGGACGAAATGCGCATCCTGGATTCCACTGCTAGCCACCATCCACCAATTGATGATTACACATTTGAATAAAATCAATATAAAATGATAAAGTACATTTGGAAATAATATGAGTGTTATCAATCAAAATACAATCAGATGGGAAATAAGACGAGTGTTTTTATAGTAAAAATAAATAAGTAACTTATTAGAATATTGTGATGTGCTTGAATTGAAATAGAATTTTGAGATTATTTATTATCCTCCTCTGATTTGACTGGTAATAGTGTCTTCCATATCTCTGGTATTTGTATTGAGTCATTTCTGTTGCATGTGTTGTGTTGGGTGTAGACTCGATGAACCAGAATTCAGTAATCAGTCTCTCTCTATCTCCACCTACCTTTATTACTTTTCAGAAATTTCACTCTGTCCCACCCACCCCATCGTGTGGTTGTGTGTTAATGCATGCTACTGCATGCAGTACTATAGCTGAGCTTTCTTATAAATCACTCATCTGTCTTAGTGGGATCAATCGCTCTAACCTTAGTTAAATTATGTCCTGATAATCTCACTGTTCCCGATCTACTAGTTTGACCTATGTAGTTGACCTTACTCACAGTCATTGCATGGTATTTTGTAAATCATATTATTTTGTCTAATTGGGTCAACTGGGTCCTTTAACCTACAGAGCTTGTCCTACCTGAGTGAGTTTGTAGGTTTGAATGCCACCCTAATTCTGCTTTATTAAGAATCCTACGTAGGGGCTCGTCTCAGATGTCCCCTGCTTATATGGCAAAACTACTCTAGATGCCTTAAATTCTCTCTTATTTATATTATCATTGTTAGTTTCACAATTCACGGAATATACACATTGGGTCATAGAAGTTATTAAGACAATTGCAGCGAAGAAAATTTTCTTTTCGACGAAGTCATCATCTTGGCCGTACATTCGTGTATTTATATCAAATGGATAGGAAAGTTCCAGAATAATATCCGGTCAAGGGTCAAATTAGTAAAAATTACAATTAGGAATTAGAATGCCATAATAAACAGGGGGATGGATAAAACTCAAACAAAGTAGCATTATAATTACTGAGAAGATTGACATTATGCAATTAGGGGTTAGAAATGTAGAAATAACAAAATAGACAGGATGTTTGGATAAAAAAAACGAATGTGATGAATAACTGCTTATGCAATTAGGGATTAAATATGTAGAAATAGTAAAATGACAAAATAAACACGAAGTTCGGGTATGAAAATATGGTAGTGTAAACAGGGATTAAGAAAAACTTAAAATAACATGAACAAACAGGAAGTTTAGATAAGAAAGGCGATGGGATGGTCCATATTAACAAGCCTAATTTGTGCATCCAAAAGAAACTAGTTCAGACGTTATTCTTACCCGCTTGGCCATCTAAGTATGAATGATCCTCAATTTCTTTTGTACAAATTTCCTTAGTTTTATTCGATATTCTATTTGCTACTATATCTTTATTATTATTATTAGTAGTAGTAGTAGTATAATTTAAGTATCTTTAATGAACTGTGGTAATTCCTCTGTGATCTTACTTAACAAATCGACATTATTGTTTAAAAAACACTGATATTGTTATTGACTACTATTCTAGAATATTCTACGTATATAAACATTTTTATTTTGTTTTTTATTTTTGATTACAGCTTGATTTCACACCGTATTTTTGGTACAAGTATGTAATTTTCAGCGTGGATATCAGTAGCCCAAATTTCGCAGGCCGACCATAGATATCAGGTGTGCGTCGGCGTGGGCTCAAACCCCGGACCATATGCATGGTCGGCGAGAGTCCTAACCACTGTGCCACCGACGCACATAAAATATAGATATAACTGTAGAGCTAGGAGAGGAGGAAATTATCGAAAAGGATATTCATCTTTGCTCAATTAATTTGGTTTTTTCTTAAATGTCTGAATGTATATTTTCACCATATCGATAAATATCTAATAAATAATTACCCGAAATATTTTAAATAGACAAACTGGTAATTCATGTTGAACATCACGACAATACATAATCTCCAGTTTAGGTGGATTCTTCACTTCATCTATACTGGAATGTTGTGATGGATACTGCATGGTAGTTTCATTGCTGGCTTCAATTTTCTCACTACTGGCTAACAATCTTGTATTCATGTGGAATAAAAGCACAGGAAGAAGTGCACCAGCAAATTGACTGTCAATCTGAAAATGAAAGTAGGAAAACAAAATGAAATTCAGAGAGACTTAAAAAAAAAGATTACAACATACATTCTGAAATTTAATTGGTGGATGGTGACTAGCGGCACTGGAATCCAGGATAAGGCGCATTTCACCGGTCCTATTTAGGACTTGTCCTCCAGCTGGATGTGCCTGCATTTCCCAGTCAGTGAGTGATGGCGTTCCCACCACGGAGGCTCGAACCCAGTGCCCATAGTTCCAACCTGAGAGTGAGCACTTCAGTCCAATCAATCGACGGGAAAATCTACCAATTCAATTAAATAATTAATATGACCCGTTGCACAAAAGGTGGCCAGCTTCCGTGGCCCAAATGGTTTAGTGGATAACGCTTTGGCATTTGATACTATAAGCACTGGGTTCGAGCCTCTATAGGAACATCATCACTCACTGGGAAATGCAGGTACATCCAGCTGGAGGACGTTTCCCAAATAGGACGAAATGCTCATCCTGGATTCCATTGTAAGTCACCATCCACCAGTTAACTTCTAATTATATGCCCAGATATCGTTGAACCATCTGTACAAAAAGCCAACATGTCAACCTGAGACCGAGCACTTCAGTCCAATCAATCGATGGGAAAATATGAAATTCAATTTAAAGATATTCTGAGAGTTCAAAGTAACCTATTTGTTAATGGGTCTAGCACTAGAATACAGGGATATGTGTTTCGTCTAATTTAGGGACTCGCTACCCTGGGATGCACCAACTTCTAAGTGTCAGTGATAGTGCAACTATTGAAACTCAAACCCGACAGTACCCACTATTTCAAACGCCAGTTGTCTAGCCACTCGACACTAAGAACCACGAGGGTTCATATTTGTAATCTCCTGTTGAATTATCTAATCTGACTATTTCTCAGAGGGTTTCAAGTATTGACATAAAGTCAGTACTCTGGTTAGGAGTATATTTTGAGATCTAAGGACATAAATACATTTCATACATTGCGATACGTTGCCCCCAGCCACCCCTCACCCAGCCTTTTTCTCAAGTTTGACAGAAACTGGCTAATCAGCAAGCAGGTTGTAAACACCTTTAAAATAAATTAGTCAGTGAAACACTAAGACCCAATCTACAACTCACCCCTAAGAAAGATGGATGTGTACCTCAAGCTATCCTAGATATGAAGCATCACAGCAGCTTAATAACTACACAAAGATTGAACGCTGTTGTGGTTAAAAAGACTTTTTATGCAGCTAATATCATAATAATAATAATTGAGAATATGAAGTCAATGTATCCATCCATCTAAGAACTTTGAACATGCGAGGGAAAATGATGTCACATCCCCCACTGTATTTACCAATTTGAATGTACGCGTGAGCACACACATACATAGGGAACACTTACTCATCGATCTCTGCAAGTAAGGGTTGGCTTCATAGCATATTCCTAAATGGCTCCAGAAATAAATGGAATCTTCAGAACCTGTTAACGGTGAGAACAGGAGGGAGACCTAGCTCCCAGCTCTATTGCGAAACATATTATAGAGACAGGACATAAAATTGACGTTAACTAACACATCTTTTAAACCTATGTATAAAACGTGTTTGGGCGGAATCTTAAAGTTTATGGAAGCCCCACCTGCCAATTAGAAAGTTTAAACCACCTTTATACACTCAAACCAACAATTCGTCATCACACTAAACCACCACCTTCTTTGATAAACTTTGTTTTGAAACTAGCCATGGTAGATGTACTATTACCTCTGTTATTTGGTTTGGTGACCTGAATTGTTATTTTGACCTTAAATATATCCTCCTTTTAACTTGACCTAGATAGTCTATTTTTCTCACCTCTTAACTCTTTATTAATTTTGAACAACACATTTAAGCGAACAGTGATATTGTGGTTTCAATTAGATCTCATCAGGCTTAACTCTAATATATATAAGTTTACAAATAAAAATTCAAATATAAACCAATCCTGGTGTTTTGTCTATAGGATAATACGATGGTGAATATAAATTGTGCAGTTAGTCATAATAGTGGTAATGATAATATTAAGAATAGTAATAATAATAATAATAATGGTCTTATCAATAATAAGGATGAAAAAATGAGGCAATCTGTGATAACACGAATAATGAAAAAACAGTATGATTAAACAAACAATTGTTCAGGTGGACGTAGTAGTCGATAAAGGCTAGTAAAAACAAATGAAACGATTACGTAATGTTAGATTGTAGGGGAAGGAAATGAAACACGTTTATAGTGAATATAAGATAAGATTAAGGGATGATAAGAAAGGGGTTGGAAATATAAACAAGGGGTAGTGTAGAAGTCATCAGTTGGTTATGTCTTATTAGGCCAAGGGAGGGATATTATTATTAATTTCATACATACACAATCCTATGACAAGTCCGTGTGTGATGGATCAGATTGTTTGAAATGCGTGTTGCGCGTGCAAATACATTACACACACACGATTCAGGCAGACAAATTACGTCTTCTTATTGCTTTGTCTAAAGCCGTTAAAATACTCGCAAGCGTAAAACACAGTACCATCAAACGTTATATTTGAATCGATTAAAACAAACTCAGCGAGAGAAATTCTATGCAGTATAACAATGGTGATTGTTCTGGTAATGCACAACTCAAAAAAGACGTCGTTGTGCCGAGACAAGAAAAACACAACGAAAAATCTCATTAAAATTTGACCTTGACGGCTATGGAAAGCTGTTGTGTTCTGTTCTGTTTTCGACATAGAACTTTGCACAAATGTGAGGCAGTTCAAGTCGCCACACTCCTTCCTTGTAGCACACAAAGCAACAGAAGAAAGTAGAAGAAATGCATATTAGAGAAGCTATGACTATTAACTGAAAGCCTTGATAACTGGGAATGCGGCCGCTGGTAAAACGTGTCTGATAAGATGGTTTATAGACGGAAAGCTGAAACAAGATACACCGCACACCGCATAGATGTGGAGTTTGGGATATTTTTTGTCCCAAAGTCTGTAAATACTGCAGATATGGGATACAGTTGGTCAAGAACGGTTCCAGTGTATAACACGTTCTTACTACTACTGTGGTGCAGCATGTGCCCTGGTAATTTATGACATTACTGATAGGGGAATCATTCAATGCTGTCAATATTTGGAATTTCGTCTGTTAGGAACTTTAGCTCCGGCAAACTTGACTATTATATTGATCGGTAATAAAGTTGATTTGGAGGCCAGTGTGAGGAAAGTTTTTGAAATGGAAGGAAAGCAGTGTCCAATTGACAATGGAGCTCAAACATTCCTAGACACTTCGTCGGAAAACGGCGTAAATGTCCTCGAAGCATTCAGAGCCGCTGTTTAAAGTGTTTTGGGAGCAGCTTGAAAATGATTCTAATCCTAACAAGATTTCTTATCCAGTTGGAATTGGTCCCGAACAAATAACCCTTCCTGGATCAACTGATTCCCTTGGAGATTCAAAGTCGTCTAAGTTATGTTATGTTGTCGTACTTGATATATTATATCATTATTATTCCATTGGGTTCCTAGTGGAACATAAGGCTTCAACTGCACGTCTCCACTTGCCACTTCTGTCTTCCTACTGCTGTACTTTTCACCTGCATCCATCCATGTTAGTCCATACTGTTTCAACTCCTCTTCACACGATCTCCTCCATGTTACCCACCCTTGCACTGACGTCCCACTCGCCGCCTGCTTCCCTTTCGGCCTAGTTCCACTCGAGCAATGGTCTGACGCGCGCGCGATGTCACCCAGCGGCCTCCTCAGCGAGCGAATGTCCAATCCATCTCCACTTTCTCCTCCATATTTGTTGGTTAGCAACTGGTTCTTGTTTTGTATGCTCCTTCCCATAGTTTCTTGTTGGTGATTCTTTCCGGCCCGGCCATCTCATCTTCAGTATAGAACGAAGACGGTTGTTGGTTGATGGTCTGCAAAAGACTGTTGTAAATATTCTTTGTGACCCACCCGCCAAGTTTCTGATCCGTATAGAAGAACTGACTGACTTGATGTTGTTTGTATTGAAAATCCGAGCGAATTTTGTTGTTGATGCTGGCTGAGTGACGAAGATTTCCAGATTGGTTTCAGGTTGATGTGAATGTGTTTCTCGCTCGCCTTCCCGATTCTCGCTCGATTAGACATCCTCGTCCGTTCCTCCGTTCCTGCAGTTGAGACAATGCTCCTCCCTAGATAAGTAAGTGAATGAAGTAACTAGCCTCCTTCAAATCCCTCCTGTTGGTGGTGATTGGCGCCGGATGTTGTTGCTGTTGTTGTTGTTGGCCGGTTATTTTCATCACCTCCGTCTTGTCTATGTTCACCTGGAGTCCTGTTTTTGCTGCTTCTTCGACCAGTTTGTCGGTTTTCGCTTGTAATTCTTCGATTTTGTGTGATATGAAGCATAAATCATCCACAAGCGAAATCCAGGTCTTCTAGGTTCTTCACGTCAAGTTGTAGGAGACTTAATAGCAAGCTGAGTAACGGTAGAAAAGCGGTACAGAATAAAACTCCAAGTTAATGAATGAATATTGAAACAGTATATTTTAGAAACTACAGTCAACGAGTAGGTGGCACAGTGGTTAGGACTCTCGCCGACCATGCACATGGTCCGGGATTCGATCCCCAGCCGACGCCCGACACACGATATCAATGGTTGACCTGCAAAATTTGGGCTAGCGATATCACATGCTGAAAATTTCATACTTATACTGAAAATACTGTGGAGAGTCAAGCTACAATAAAACTAAAATTAAACTAAACTTACTTGAAAATGTCCAATAAGTAGATTAAACTTTTCAAATATTTTAGTTTCTACAACTCCATCATCACCACCACCGCAAGTCGCCACATCATTTTCTACAGGTAATCGATCCTTTTGACCGCGATCAGCATGATCATTGTCATAATCATTATTATCAAGATTATCATCATTAGAACTTTCAATTTGACGCTGATCTCCGAAAGCCGATGACGTTATACAACCACCCACACCGTCAATACCACTTTGTTGATGATATGCAGATAAATTGATAGAATTTAAACCACTATGACTAGGAAGATAATCATACATACGATGATGAGAATGAGATAAGATATTGATTCCTCTCTCTGTATAACCTGATGTCGACTGTTCACCATCAACCTCGTCATCTCGATCATGATAAAGGACAACATTTCGATCATTTTTAGACAAATCAATAATATTTGTATATTTTCGATTCAATAATAAATTGATATCACTAAATGAAGCATAAATCAATTCTTCAGTATACGACGAGATAATACTTAATCCGATTCCACTAGGTAGGGTTAAATTAATCTAAAAAAAAAGGAAAAGAGAAAATTTACAAGTCAACGAACAAATAAAATGTGCGTATTATAATTATCGACATCAACGGGAGGGATTTGAAAGAGGCTAGTTACTTCATTCACTTACTTATCTAGGGAGGAGCATTGTCTCAACTGCAGGAACGGAGGAACGGACGAGGATGTCAAATCGAGCGAGAATTGGGAAGGCGAGAAACACACATGATCAACCTGAAACCAATCTGGAAATCTTCGTCACTCAGCCAGCATCAACAACAAAATTCAGTAGGATTTTCAATACAAACAACGTCAAGTCAGTCAGTTCTTCTGTACGGATCAGAAACTTGGCGGGTGGGTCACAAAGAATATTTACAACAGTCTTTTGCAGACCATCAACCAACAACCGTCTTCGTTCTATACTGAAGATGAGATGGCCGGGCCGGAAAGAATCACCAACAAGAAACTATGGGAAGGAGCATACAAAACAAGAACCAGTCGCTAACCAACAAATATGGAGGAGAAAGTGGAGATGGATTGGACATTCGCTCGCTGAGGAGGCCGCTGGGTGATATCGCGCGCAAGTCAGGCCCTTGTTCGAGTGGAACTAGGCCGAAAGGGAAGCAGGCGGCGAGTGGGACGTCGGTGCAAGGGTGGGTAACATGGAGGAGATCGTGTGAAGAGGAGTTGAAAGAGTATGGACTAACATGGATGGATGCAGGTGAAAAGTACAGCAGTAGGAAGACAGAAGTGGCAAGTGGAGACGTGCAGTTGAAGCCTTATGTTCCACTAGGAACCTAAGGGAACAATAATAATAATCATGAATTCAACCACTATATCAGTTATACAGAGAACCGCTAAAATCCAGGTAGAGAGTACTAGATTCAGCTGTTTCGTCCAACCAATCAGAAGACGTTGCTTCTCCACTGACAATAATGTACAAAAAAATCTATAAATATCTGTTGATTTTCACAATAAACAATCTGTTGCCGCCTAGCCCTTGTCTTTTGTCGTTACATTTGGTGTCGCTGCCTACCGACAAATAGAAAGCCCACGCCCTGCAGCTTTTGGATGGAGACTGTTATTCAGTTGAGTAACGTTCAAGATCCGTCAGCAGTGAGGCTGCTGGGTGGTCAGACGAAAGCAACACATGAAAGTGTAAGGCGAAATACTAAGGAATGTGCGCTAGGGTCAGACAAACAGATTCCAAAGTGGGTAGGACCACACATGGTCACTGTCAGACGCGGTCACGTAGATACGATCACAAATGTAAACAAAAAGAAACGGGTGAAGGTCAGCCAGCGTCGGGATTCCAGACAGCAAGATAAACGAACAAAGTCACTAGAACCAAGAAGACCGAATCAACTTCAATCGGAAGTCTTTGACGGGGGGGGGCGAGTCAAAATTGTAGGTAGCAGTTTACATCAATGTTTACGTTCTGAATTAGGGTCATGAGAGAAAACAATAATTCACCAAGATATTCTGTGGTACTTTTTCACAAAAATTAACAAAAGCAGCTCCAGCATTGGTCTGAACTCTAGGCACAGTATCATCTAGTGTTTTGTACTAAAGTTGGAAGTACACTAATAGTGATGAGGTTTTTGTAGTTCCAGGCCGAAATCTGTCCATCATCTGGTTAACAGAATTACAAGCTGCATATCGAACATGTCGGCGTGGATCACTAAGACGAAGAATAACAGAATCTGGTTTCCGTTGAAGCATTGTCTCCATCTGTTTGCGGTTACCTTCGCTACAAGTAGAAATGGCCATCAAACTAACATAGCGTCGTTTCCAATAAGCATGTTGAAGCATATTTGGAAGTGATCGATGTGTCTCACTGAGCACATGCTGACCCCCGACAACACAGATAATCTGTTAAGAGCGAGTTCTACTGTTGTTAAAGCGTTGCTACTTTCATCTTCTTCTTCTTCCTATTCTGCTTGGAAAGTAGGGGCTTAATCGATTCCGACGCTGTGATTGACTGAGTGAATGTTACAATACTCACTCTTATTACTTATCAAAATAAAATTTGGTTACAGGATTTCATCATGAGCTGACATCAGCTAGAGAACCATTGGAAAACCAGCGAGGGAGTACTGGACAGCTGTTTCGTCCTAGTTTGGAACTCTTCAGCGGTACGCACCACTGTCATGGTTCGAACCCAGGACCTTCCGGTTACAAGGCCAGCGAGCTCGTAGACCATTAAGCCACTGGAACCCTATCGAATGGCCCATGAATTCTAAATTCTGCCGATTCATGACATAGCGCGACCCCTAGCCAATGTCTTCGCTGGCGAGTATTTGTCCTCACACCTAACTTGCTGCACCCTACTTGTCACGACTTCTCACTAGAACTTCAGGTAACTGAATAGGGCAAGTCGCTGGTGGGCACCAGGATGTGGCGCCTCTCATAGCTTGTCCAATGGCTGGGATACCTTACTACCCGGATGCCTAGACGGAAACAGGTGGTGGTGATTGCTTCCAGCGGCCATCCACGCCCAATAGAGCCTTTGACTTGAAGTGTTATCCTGACAGAGGGCAGAGGGGAGAAGCCTCGGGAGCTATTGTCTCACGGTTACTGCTGACCCAAAACGCCCTTCACTCATTTCGGATTCTGAAGTCTATGTGTATATAAACGATAGGTTTTTGAGCCAGGGTTTTCAAATCCGCTCAGTCCAGTTCGCATTTGCCTTTTTCACTTTTATCAGGAACACCGCATCCACTGTGTTAAGGCAGCTCATAGTGATATCTAACACCCTTGAGGTTAATCATGGCATGGGGGTTGCACTGATAATGAAATGTATTGTAGAATGAAACGACTACAGATTGTTTCTATTTGTAACTTCATAACAGCTGCAAATTATACCTACAAAACTTCTTATAGATTTCTCAACGAATTGATGATTTCTTTATTGGTTTATGATTTCATGAGTGCGTCGGTGGCATAGCGGTTAGGAGGCTCGCCGACCATGCATATAGTCCGGAATTCGATCCCCGGCTGCCAACGCACTCCTTTACCTCGCTAAGTCAGAAATAAAGAGGGAAAGTTGGGCATGAGGCTGGCAACCCCATCCTGTAAAATTAACCACTACTGCTGCTACAGAAACTTCAAGCCACTAGCTTGAAGGCGCTCTATGTTCCACTCGGGAACGTTAAGGAAAAAAAATGATTTCATGCAAAATAATGACTCACTTTGACATTAGTCACAAACTGATTCTCTTTAGCACTAGTCGTCGTAGTAGCAGCCGGCATATTCGATTGGTGTACTGAATGTTCCCACAATGATTGAACAGGTTGACCGTATGTCTAATAGGAGAAAGAAGAATAGACAAAAATAGAGAAAGTAGGAGAGAAGTTTCACACAATTATACAACAACCGGTGGTGAGTTTTGCCTGCAATTAGTGTTAAAAAATCAGATTCAGATCTTCCACGTTAATGTTAATTGCGCCTATACAGAAACTCTACATAAACTTGAATTTTAAGTGAGATTTAACAAGCGATATTCTCAAGAGAAGGATTACATCATCTTTGAGAAGAGAGCATTCTTTGCAGCAACGCTAAGAATAATAGTGTTGTCTAATAGTCGCCCAGTGATCTGCAGAAGCCCCAAGGATAAGATCCTGAATCTGACCCCTTGTACTATGTGCATATATACCAGTTCACCTGCTGCTGCTGCTGTTTCTGTGGAACCAGCCAGGTACATTGGTCGTTCGATGAGAACCCTGTCCAGAGAGGATTTAAGAACACTATCCAGCCAGCATGGTTGCGAAAAGGCAATAGTGCTAGTGCAATAAGAAGTGCGATAATTGAACAACACCTGGTTAACACTGAGCGAGGTAGCATTTCGCAATGTCTTCTTCGATGAGTTATACTGCCTCATCTTCGACCTGCTATACCCTGAGTCCTAAACTAGCCTGACGAAACAGCTGTCCAGTACTCCCTTGTCGGGTTTTCCAGTGGTTCTCTAACCTCCTCCATTCAAAAATAACATTTTTAACAGTCTTATCTTTTCTACAGAGTCAAAAAAGGGAAACAAACATGTGGATAATAGAAAATAACTTTACTCACGTCTATCGTTGAAAAAGACGCCTTTCTTCCCCAACGAGAATTGACTTTATCTTTAACAGCAAGCGAATGAAGCATAGTAGTACTATTACTTCTCCGATGAGTAAAACCTCCATCGCTATCAATGCCCCCTGTTCTCTCATGAGTAATATCATTATCATCGTCGCCATTATCCATATCATCTTCAATGCGTAGAACACGTGTAGCTTTGTCTAAATATGTGTATATGCGTAGTCTACCGGATCCTGGACGTAACCAAGTCGGTAGAATTACGGCTGAAGTGATTGATGCACTAATCAGACGTGTTGCTGATGGTCGTGGACGTGCTGCTAACAGAAGTGATGGAATGTAGGAGAAATTGTCAATATCGTCAATATCAGTGAATAACTGTGCCGCTGCAGCTGATGAGGAGGAGGAGGTGGACATCATGTTGTCCACTAAATCTCGACGTATCTGGACACAGAATAATGCACTATTGACCAATAGTCCATGCTATAGAAAAAAGAAAGAGGAAAAATGAACGGGAAGAACCCCCTTAGTTATTACAATGACACATAATGATAGAAATGCAGGACTTCACAGCCGGTCCTAAGCCTTGGGAAAAGAGGGGTGCTTGGTAGTGTAGGTAAACCTAGCCAGCAATCCTATCCCTAGAATGTCAAAATCACCGCTAGAGAAACTTTAAATCACAGTTGAAGTGATATGATAACTTGATTAGAAAGGGTTGGTTGGTTGATCGGTTCCATGTCACAGCTGGTAAGGGTAAAACATAGGGTTAATAATTTGACCCCAAATGTCTTTCTGTCTGTCTACTTTCGACATAGAACTTTGCACTGATGTGCACCAGTTCAAGTCGCCACACTCCCTCCATATAGCACACAAAGCAAGAGAAGAAAGTAGGAGAAATGCATAATAGAGAGAAACAGTAAACAGAGGTGTGAGACAAAAGGAATAGTAATAACGAAGAGCAATAGAGTTTCATTGGAAATTATAAGTCACAAGGAGTGGATGCATCTGCACCAGATATTGAGAACGATGAGTTTGAGCCATATCACCAATTGTCTCCAGCCTTCTTTGGTTTTTACCGTCCCGAGGACCCCAACCAGGAATCCACTCTACACCTTCCTACATGGCTTAAACTAACTGTTGTGGATTTCATTGACTGATGAAGCCATGTTTTAGTTTGACCACCACTCGCTAGCTCTTTTCCAGCCTTACTTTATGTCAGCTAATACTGCCCGTTAGTCGAGGAGGGAGATGACTAGGCATACGTAACATATGTTCCAACCACCTCAGTCGATGTAATTTCACAGCCTCGTCGATTAATTTCCCCTCCTTACCTAGAACTCGATGCCTAACCTCAATATTGCTCACCTCATTATACCACTTCACACGGGAGATAAGGCCCTAAATGGGCTGATTGCTGCTGTCGATACAAAAGGCTCGCGTTGGATTTTTCAACTTATGTCATTCTCTGTGGCGTACACGTGATATCTGGTTGGTTACGGATTAAAGGATGTGTGTACTCCACACCACAAGTTCTCTCCATCTTTCTTTATCACTGTGAGGCAAAGACACTGAAGGTTGAAGATATGAAAAGGCCAGCTGTCTTCACTAAAAGGTATCCGTGTTCTATCTCCCGTGTTAAGTGCTATAATAGATTGAGTAATACTGAAGTTAAGTGTCAGGTGTTAGGTAGCTGAAGTCATATCGACCCAATACTGTTGACTGACAGGTTGAAAAACAGCTCATCATGGTCAAATCAAACCTTCAAATCAGTCCATGAAATCTTTAACAGTTAGTTTGAGCGAGAAATGTAGAGGTGTACGATTCCTGATTAGGATCCTTGAAATGCTAACAACCAATAGTTGGAGATAATTGATGATATGGCTCAAAATCGTTCTCAGTGGCGCAGATTCATTCACTGTCTGTGACCTCCGATATCCATTAAACCCTCATATTTTTTTCATGTTAGTGTTCTTTCTGCCGCGCCCTACCGATAGCTGCTACCTTGACGTGGTGGTCGGGCGTACACATTCACAGTGACCCAATAAGCTACACTGGCTGGAACCAATGTTCCTGCAGATCCTACCATGCCTGCCAGGAAGGTTGTTAGGATAGCGATTAGACTAAAAGCAGTTACCGGCATAGTGTACGAATTTTCTTCTTACACTATGGTGGGGGTCTGTGGGCGAAGTCGTACTGCTGGGGAACAGGGATACAACGGAAGTAAAGTGTTTCCCTCAGATGATCAGCATGCCAGAGCCAGCCACCTATTCCGTCTCTCCACTCTGGAGAGAGGGGGTTACAAAAAGGTCCCCTAACCATCCACCCGACACTAAACTATATTTGTAGAAAAAAAGCTTACCTGATCTATTCTCCAAGTTTGATAAGCTTTACGTTTTTTACTCGGTTTAGCAATAATCAGTTGGACAACTTCAAAATGCTTTAATGTCTCTGCATCGATTATTTCCACCGGTTGTTGTTGTTGTCGTCGTTGATGATGATGACTGATTGTATCATCTAGACAACTGACATCCAGGACAAATTCACCTTTATGCTTTGAAAATATTGATGAAGGCCGATTGGACTGATAATCTCTTGTTGTTTTTGTTCTTGTAGTTGGTGGGGATGTCGAGGTATTTTCATGATAGATTAAACCATTTTCAGCCAATTTCCATAGCTGTGAATGACGTCTAGAGGACTAAAATTGGTTGAAAATGAAACACAATATAAGTGAAGAGAAGAGAGGCGTGTGTGAGTGAGAACTGATAAGGAATAAAGAGATCAATTGCACTCTAATAACAACTATTCAATGTATCTATGAGAGTACTATAGCCCTTTCTCAACCATATCGGATAACAGGTATCAATAGCCAGATTATTAATGTTTCCTTTAATTCCTAAAGGAACATACAGCTACAGCAGCGCTTCTCCGTTGCGCTCAGTTCTCTGCTAAAGTTTTAACCTGGCTCAGGTCTGTCCACACGCATTCATCTCCTCTTCACATTACCTCCTCCTCCACGTCACCTTTACATTGACGACCAACTCGCCGCCTACCTTTCGGGTTCCACTCGAGCAATGGCTTGTCTAGTGATGTCACTTGATGGTTTGTTTCCTCAGAGTATGGCCAATTCCAATCCATCTCCATTTCTTCCTGCTTGTTTGTTGCACAATCGGTTCCTGAATGGTTCACTCCCAGAGATTTGTGTTTCGGATCTTTTCTGTCCATTTCATTTTAAAATATTGAACGAAGACAACTGTTCATGAAAGTGTGTAGTTCGTTTGAGGTGCTCTTTATGATGCGCCAAGTCTCTGATCAATATAGTACGTAACATTGACTTCACATTCGAGTTGAAAATCCGGATCTTATTTTCATTTTCATGCAGAGTGCTGTTGATCTCCCCATAGACTTCAGAGTAATGAAAGCTTGTGTTGCTTTCCCGATCCTCGCACCTTTGATATCCTCACCAGTTAGATCTGCCTATAGTTGAGACGATGCTTCCTCAGGTAGTTCGGTAGGTAAAGGAGGTTGTTTCTTTCAGGTTCCTCCCATTTATACTGGCTGATTGTTGTCTGTTGTTGTTGCTGTTGGTGTTAGCCAGGAACCTTCATCACGACATCTATTTTCTCTATGTTCACCTGAAGTCCTATCTTCTCTGGATGCTTCTTCTATCGCCAACATGTTGATTTTCATTTGCAAATCTTCCAGTTTGTAGGGAGTCAGACATATATCATCAGCGAAGTCCAGATCCTCCAACTTTTTTGTGTGGGTCAATTTTATGCCTGTTTGTCACATTATCCAATCTACTGCAATCAGAAAAATCATTGGAGATAGTAGACAGTCTTGCCTCACTCCTGTCTTCACTTCTTCGAAGGATTTCGTGAGTTTCCCGTTGTGGATTACTTGTGATGCAGCACTGTCGTACAACTGGTGGCTGAGGTGTATAATTGTCGGCGGCACCCCGTAGCAGCGAAGTAGTTTCCAAATGACCTCTCGATCGACGCTACTCTATCGAAGGCCATTCCAAAGTCGATGAAGTTGGGTGAGGTAGAGAGCTGACCTCCATTCCAATGACTGATCTGTTCAATGATGATCCTCAGTGCTGCGATTTGATCGATGCATGATTTGTTTCTCCTGAATCCAGCCTCTTCCAGTCGAAGTTTTTCACTCAGGGCTTGTTTGATTCTCTCTAGGATGATGCAGCTTAGTATTTTGCTTGGGATAGATAGGAGCGTAATTCCGCGCCAGTTCTTGCATTGACTTAAGTCTCCTTTCTTTGGTAGTTTGAATAAGTATCCTTTCTTCCAATCCTCGGGTACTTTGCCCTCTTTCCACACCTTCTCCAGTAGTGGTGCCTTCAAATCCGATATTGTTCTTGGGTCCATTTTCAATGCTTCTGCTGGGATTTCATTTGGTCCTGCTGCTTTTCCAGCTTTTAGAATCTTGATCGCCTTCAGGACTTCTGTTCTCGTCGGGGATCAATAGCCAGAACTTTGGCACCCATGGATGAATCGAAGTTGTCTTTTAGAGTCACGCATACAGGACTCAAAATCAAGTGAGGTTATTCATTTAACTCCCCGCCTCGAACTAGTCAACAAGGGAGTGAATCTGAGAAATTCACCTGACAGGTGTCAGAAGATTCTTTGGCTAGTTCACGAGGACTCTCAGGTGTAGGGATAGCATTAAGAGCAGGGACAGAAAAACCCTTCCTCGACTAGATCTCAGTGGATAGTATCCGTGTGTATGCGCTGTCCATCTGAACGGACACGTTATAAGAAAGAAAGGAAGGAAGGACTGCATTACTCGTCGATGTCTCTTCATAATCTCCAGTTATGCACGCCTCCAACCGACTAGAGTTCTGACGAAATAAACGACTACGTCTATAAAAAAGCTGTCTAGTTTACTGCTAAAAACAAAACGCTTCGAAACAATTGTTGTTTTAGCAGGCTATTTCAATGTCGAAGTAGTAGGGAAGCTGTGTCACAATTTGGGAAATGTGTTGGCGATGGTACCTATGGAGTTCCCAGCCGGTGAATCGACAAAGATAATCGTCTTCTACACTTCTTTTCATATAGTCATCTACCTTCGGTCAGCACTAACTTCAAGCACAAAGGGAGACACTGCCTAGCCTGGTGACCTCCATCACCAAATCAACAATGGACTCAAATAGATCACATAGCAATAAGCTGTCGTTAGTGAGGATCGGTAGAAACATGTAAGCGTAGACTCCGATCATAATAGTCTTACATGCGAGGAAGAAAGTCGCAACCAGCTTGCATTTTTAGACATACTTCTGCATCGAAGAGATGATGGTTCAGTAAGACGGTCTATCTACAGAAAGCCCAATTGGACAGGGCAATACCTTAATTTTCACACTTTCTGTCCATTACTGTATAAGAGAGGCTAGGTGAAATGTCTGTTTAAGAGGATTCAACGTATTTGCACGTCTGATGTTATAGACAAAGAAAACGAAATATTGATGGATACCCTGGTTGCAAACGGATATCCTTTAAAATTTTTAAACAGGTGTAGAAATCAATTAGTCTCTAAACCTACAATCCATACCGCCCCTAAGAAAAATGTTTTCATCAAATTATCATATAACGAAAGGGGAAATAAACAGTAGGATTTTGAGACAATGGTTGAATTCGATCATCCGTAGGAACCTATTATGCAGCCCAGCTTGTAATGGTGGAAAAAGCTAAAAATATGCTTCACTGTAAACCTCAAAAGTGCACAAGTGATCATATCACATTCCACACAATTTACCAGTTTTCGTGTGTGTGTGTGTGTGTGTGGATACACATACATAGGGAGGAGTAATCGTGCTTTGCGTGTGAGGCAGGGGGGGGGGTTAGAAAAACAAATGAATTGTGGAAAACCGATAGATTCAGGTGTCAAGACTGCCAAATTCGTCTATAGCGAAACATCTAATCGACATGAACCATTAGATTGATGTTAACTCAGCCTTTAAGGTCATCTATAAAAACGGTCAAGGGCGCTTATTGAAATACGCCGAGGCTACAGCTATTCATAAACTTAAGCCCCCCTTCTTATGTATTCAAAACTGTTTATCATTATTCTTAACTTACCTTGGTAATCCTTATTTGATTGAATCACCAAACGTTGTGTTAATCATTCTTAAATCTTTTTCTTGTCACTTTCTTTTATTTAATTGTCCTTAATTTTTTCACATATGTCGACTTGACAAGTAAATATGTTTTTACGAGTTGATCACGGATTGATATCAGTTAGAGAACCATTGAAAAACTTCCAGGGAGTACTGGGCAGATGTTTCGTCCTAGTGTGAGAATCATTGGCAGGACACACCCACCTCCAGGCTTCGAACCCAGGACCTTCCGATTACAAGGTAAGCTAGCTCGTATACCATTCAGCCACTCACTGGGACCCGACTCCTTAATGGCCAGCCCATGAATTCTAACTTTTACCAATTCGTGATTTAGCGCTACTGGCACCAAACAACCAACGTCATCAGTGGGACATCCATCCTCACACGTGACATCTGGATGGACCCTCACTGGTCACGACTTCTCACTAGAACTGACTCCAGGAAACTCTGTCGTGTAGCAAGTCACTAGAGAGCATCAGATTAATTTTCTATAGTTTGGTTTATAAGGGTTAGTTTTTTACGAGTTGATCATGGCTTGATATCAGTTACTTTATTTGATCCATTTCCACAATGCTCAAACTTTTTACTGACATTATTTAATTCTCCACTAAACAACAAATTTGAATGGGTAACGCCCCCCCCGGCTCCTTAGAGGTTCAAAAGTCGATCACGTAAAAATATCGATGAATTACAGTAAGTATTATTAAACCAGTCAGAGCATGCATACATATTAGTTAGAAGACAAACGAATATAAATATTACCTTTCTAGCACAGACAACATGATTTGTCCCAGGCAATACATCGAATACAAGATTTGGTAGAGATAAACTTTGTCGACGTGATGATGGTGATAATGAGAAGGAGGAGGAATTATTGACAATACTTAACATTTCAGTAGTATCTGTCAGTGGGCCAAATATAGTCAAATAGACAAAATTATCATAATGTAAAACTTTCCTGACGCCGATTTCATTTAAATTGTACACTTCACTGATGTTATCCTACATGTTTGAAAGAAGAAGAAGAGACGGGAAAACATGCAGGTTAAATATTAGAAGATAAAAAGAAGTAATCGAAGAAAAATCTAAATACAGATGGTCACTAGAAGTAATTTGAAGGAAGCTCCGCCTGACCTCGGTTTCGTGCTTGTTGGCTGGCAATCAATCACCAGTCAGCTAGCTGTATCTTCAAACATCAAGGGAACACATCCTCCCTCCACCCCCTGAGATTAAAATCCATGTCATCAGGGACTTTACCACTGAGCTATTTGGGTTCACGATTGACCTCTTGTAGGACTGATTGAACATTAGCCAGTGTCTAGTCCTTTGTTTGGTGCAGACCGAAATTCCCAAGCGATAGCAGCTACCTTGACGTTATGGTCGGGCTTGCAAATCGCGGTGGCCCAACAAGCTACACTGGCTGGAACAAATGTTCCTGCAGGTTCTAACATGCCTTCCAGAAAGGTTGTTAGAATAGCGATTAGACTAAAACCAGTTACCGGCATTGGGTAAGAAGTTTTCTTTTTTGCACTATGCTACGGGTCTGTGGGCGAAGTCTTATTCCTGCGGAACAGGTGTTTCCTTCAGATGACCAGCATGTCAGCCAGCTATGCTGTCTGTCCACTCTGGGGAGAGGGGTTTAGAAAATGTCGACCCCAACAATTGTACATCCCATAACCGGCGGTAAGTTTACAAATACGCAACCAATTCAAGAAACCAGTTCATAAGGGCCGTGTGTAACTGGCTGGCATCAAGCAGTTGTCCTCTGGGGTCGGCAGTCACGCAACACTAACCCTCTCTTTGTTCCAGGTACCCGAAGAGTCAATCAACTTCCACGGCTTGGGCAGCCGGGAAGTAACCACCGCCCACACACTTCCAAAAGAACACGAAGCCTACCTGAAATTCTACCACAGTTAGGTTTCCAATGTGATCACCATTCTAAATGGTTAGTCATTACGGTGCATTGAGTCTCTTCACGAATGCAGATATATCCTGATGACGAGTGACAGCAAGCACGAAAACTAAGTAAGGAGGGACTTCCTGCCGATTACCTCTGACCACCGTGATGGTGAGCCAACTAGCCTGGTGGCGACATTGCAAACCTCACTGATAGAATTTAGTCCTAACTAAACAGGGGACTAGAAGCACGCCACTACTTATTGCCTTACTAACTAGTCTCCAACCAAAAGCAGATGTTGGTTATATTTAGGAAATTCAAATAATAATTTCCAAGTTTGGTTACAGGATTCCATCATGATCTGACAATGGTTAGAGAACCATTGGAAAACCACCTGGGAGTACTGGACAGCCATTTCGTCCTAGTCTGGGACTCTTCATCAGTATGCACCCACCGCCAATGTTCGAATCCAGGACCTTCTAGTTACAAGACTAGCGAGCTCGTAGACCATTAAGTCAATCGGACCCAATCCAATGGCCAGTCCATGAATCCTAACTTCTGCCAATTCACGATATAGCGCAACCGCTAGCCAATGTCTTCACTGGCGAGTAATTGTCCTCACACTCGACCTGCTGCACGAATACTTGAACACCAATGAGATGCTCACTACCCTATTCAGGTAGGTAGTTACCTGGGGTTCTAGTGGGAAGTCGCGACCAGCAGGGTGCAGCAGGTTGGGTGTGAGGACAAATACTCGTCGAAGACATTGGCTAGCGGTTATACTATACCGTAAATTGGCAGAAGTTAGAATTCATGAGTTGGCCATCGGATTGGCGGGTCCCAGTGGCTTAATGGTCGCTGGCCTTGTAACCAGAAAGTCCTGGGTTCGAACCCAGTGGTGTAGGTGCGTATTGATGAAGAATCTCAAACCAGACTGACGAAACATCTGTCCAGTACTCCCAGTTGGTTTTCCAATGGTTCTTTAACCAATGTCAGCTCATGATGAAATCCTGTAACCAATCAACCAAATCCAAAGTTTGTTTAAAATCAATAATAAAAAAATATTTCCGTGCAAAATTTAAAACAGGAATATACCACGAGAAAGAATCAAAATCTTGAAAAAATCAAACTACATAACAGATGTATCGTCCTAGCTTTGAACTATTCATTAGTGTGTACCAAGCGGGGTTCAAACCGAGCCACCGTGTGCCGGAGGTTCAGTGGTATGTATAATGAATGCTTGCCAACTACATCTCACGAGATTCACGTTTCGATCCCTGGGTGTGAGGTTAACTATCCTAATGCTACACCATTGCTATTAAAACTTCAAAGCTCTGGGGTTTGAAGTCCTATGTTCCTCAAGGAACGCAAAGGCATAAAACAAAAAATCAATAATACACAACAAATCAATACGAACTTGAACACTTAGTATAATAGCCGGTTGACTAGATGGTTCTTCCAGAGCATAAGGTACAGAAGATCCCGGGATAAGAAAAGATGGACAAGCTCCACCATTCCACTTATTAACACTACTATTACTAGGATTATCATGATCATGTGAATTAGACTCATCGTGATCGCGTGATGAAAGACTTCCATGATGATGTTGATAACTGTTTGATCGATGTACAAATGAATTGGATGTTGCCAGTTCAATTGACTCAACCATTTGACAATAATAAACAGATATGGAACTAGCATTATCCAATCGAAATGGTGGTAAATGACTGAAGTCACTGATTTGTACGTAGAATGTAGCTGATCGTAGGAAGATGACAATACGAAAGAATAACGACTGTGGTAGATCTGTTTGACTGAAATGATTTAACCTATAAAAAAAATGAAAATGATCAAAACCAAATCAATATTGATATAAGAATAAAACTTGTGCACTGTGGTAGAGCGTAATTCCATTATGGGTAAATTTTGTTTTGATAAAGTCTCACAGTGTTGTCATACAGTAATGTTTACTGATGACGTTTCGACCACAGTTTATTACTGCTCATAATCATATCAAGGTAATCACACGACTTCCTAACTTCATTTATATAGTTCCATTATTTTTCACTTGATTTTCACTTGATTTGATTGGCAGTAGTATTTCAGGTATGAGTGATGACTCATTCCTATTGCATGTGTTTTGTGTAGACTCGATGAACAAAGATTTAATCCTACTCCAAGCGTATGATGGATATATGTGGATGACACTGTCACTCACAGTGTTAAAAACAGAACACATCTCTAGTTTCTTGACACATATAAACTCACAAGTAGAGGGAATAAAATTCACATTTGAGTCGAAAAATGAACAAGGAGAATTAGCTAGCTATGTTAGATTGTAAGATAAAAAGAATAGAAGAAGGCAAACTACACACTCGTGTGTACAGAAAACCAACTCATTCTAATAGATAATTAGACTTTAAAACATCTCATCCGTTAACTGTTAAGTCAGGCTTAGTTAAGTGTTTAACAAACCGAGCAGTAGCACCAAGTAGCACAAGAAAAGACCTAAATGATGAAATAAAATAGATAGAAGAGGCTTTGGTGTTAAATAATTATCCTATAAAATTCATTAGGAAGGTCAGTAAAGGCCAAAGGAAAAATAAAAATAATTGTGAAACTAGTAATAATAACATAAATAAGAAAGAATATAAGTCATCCACAGTTATACCATATAAAGAGGGGACATCTCAAACCCTACGTAGAATTCTCAATAAAGTAGGAATTAGGGTGGCATTTAAACCTACAATCTCACTCAGGGACAAGCTCTAGGTTAAAGGACCCAGTTGAACCAATTAGACAAAATAATATAATTTACAAAATACCCTGCAATGACTGTTAGTTAAGTCAGCTAAATGGGTCAAACTAGTAGGTCAGGGGCAGTCAGATTGTCAGAACATAAGAATTTAGTGGTTAAGGTAAGAATGGTTGACCCCGAGAAGATAAATAATTTAGGAAAAAGCTCGGCAATTGCAATGCATGCGCTAACACACAACCACACAATAGGATGGGAGAGGGTTAAAATTCTAAAAAGCAATCTACATAGGTGGAGAGAGAGGTTGATTACTGAATCCTGCCTTGTTCATCGAGTGAATCTACACCCAACACGTGCAATGGGAATAATTCGTCACTCATACCTGAAATATGGAAAATACTACTGCCAATCAAATCAAGTGAAAATCAAGTGAAAAATAATGGAACTATACAAATGAAGCTAGGAAGTCGTGTGATTACCTTGATATGATTATAAGCAACAACACTGTGAGACTTTATCAAAACAAAAATTTACCCATAATGGAACAAATTAATATATATGCGTAAAACTTGGGCACTGTGGTGGTAGAAGTAAGTAATTCCACATTAGCTTGCTTATTTGATGTATCATACACAGTGAGTGAAACAGTATGGCGATTTACTGGATGATAAGGTTTCGAACACAACTTTTATTGCTGTTCATAATCATTTCATCAGTTATAATCACACGATTTCGAAACTTCACTTTTATAGTTTTCTTTGTTCTCTCTCTCCTATTTGTCATCGAAGGGGTAGTAGTAGAATTTTCCAGATGTCTGGCTACATGCTACAGCACAATAAGAATGACTGGCTGGTCTCAACACAGAACTTTGGACAGATGTGCGACAGTTCGAGTCGCCACACTTCCCTCAGAACACAAAGTCAGAGAAAAAGAAGAAAGTAAAAATGAAACGCAAAATACAGACAGTAAACCGAGATATGAGGCAAAAAGAATAGTAATATGGAACAACAATATAGTTTATTACATACTGTAAGTCACAAGGAGTGGATGCATCTGTACCCAGCCATCAAGAACGATGAGTTTGAATCATATCACCAATTGTCTCCAGCCTTCACTGGTGTTTACCGTCCCAAGGGCCCCAAACAGCCAGTCATGAAAAGTCTGTATCTTCCTACGTGACTAGCTTAAACTAAGTGTGTTGTGGATTTCATTGACTGATGAAGGCATGTTTCGGTTTGACCTCACTGGCTCTTTCCCAACCTGATCCAATGTCATCTAACATTGCCCGTCTGTCAAGGAAGACGATGGCTAGAGATGCATGCGTAACACATGTCCTAGCCATCTCAGCCGATGTAACTGCACAACCTTGTCGATTGATTTCTCCTCTTTTTGCCCAGCACTCGACGCCTAACCTCACCTCAGTAAGAGGATATCGTTTGCATACATGAGATCAAAAAGTCCTTCTCTGAAGAGCAGACCAATACCACCATGTACATCCTTTAGAGGTCAATCTACAATGTCACCGATGGCAAGCTTGCAGAGAAATGAAGACATTAGGTAACCCTGTCTAAACCCACTGTTAGCTGAGAACAGTGGTTCAAAGCTGTTTGTATGCCTTCCATCCAGAGTTATTCGATTTATAAAATGAATAAAAAGTTTTACAGGATTATGTAATCGTTTCTTTAAAAGTATATCTTACCTAAGCATTATAGTGAATGAGTGTGCACGATCAATTTGAAAGCCACCTGACCATAATGTCCATATTTCTTCAGGTTCATTAGAGTTAACTACTGTAGAAGACAAGTGATTAATTGACTCGGGCGAAGAATCCAACGTCTTCACAACAGCACGTATACATAAAAGTCGGTCTAAATCTTCACTGGACCAATGAAATGATTGACTACAATTCGGATGAACTGAAACATAGGCTATATATTTGCCAAGAAAAACAAATAAATAATTTTTAATTCAACTTTGATTTTTTTTCTGGTTACAGGATTTCGTCATGAGCTGACATTAGTTAGAGAACCATTGGAAAACCTGGGAGTACTGGAAAGCTGCTTCGTCCTAGTTTGGGACTCTTCAGCAGTACGCACTCACCGAAGTTGATTGGACCGAAGAATTTGGCATCTATCGTGACATGTCATCCGCTTATGCGGATGCTTCGACGATGTCTAGGGGTTTAACTTAAAGTAATTTGGTGAATGGTGACTAGAAGGGAAGCAATTCTGGAAGTGCATTTCGTCCTATTTGGGACTCGTCATCTGCACTTGCCTATATTCCCCAATGAGTGGTACAAGAGGTCTAATGGATAAGGCTTCGAGTCTCAGCTGGAACATCATCACTCACTCACTCACCGGGGAGTGCTGGTACATCCAGCTAGCGAGTCTCAAAGTGGACGAAACGCGCCTTTTAGATTCTTCCCCTGCTAATCACCATATGTCAAATTAAAGCATATAATAATTATTACAATAACATTACTATCATTAACAATAATGATTGTTTCCATGACCTGAAATTTGACTTTTGATTTATGCGATATTTCCTTCTTATAGACTAGTAAGTCTTGTCTATGTCAAACTGAAGTATACGCCTCAACAAGCTTGAAGCTTTTGAAGTTTCAGAGGCACAGGATTTTTTTTTCAGTTCCGTGCCCAACACCCTCTCTTTACAGAGTTCACTACCGGTGACAGGTTAGATTCAGGAGTACGTCCAACGAGAATCGGACCCTGCGACCAAATGGTGGGCATGTTTGGTGAGTAATTCCCCTAACAGCTAACCAACACCGAAGCGTACCAACCAAATTTATTTACACACAAAAATGAGGAGAAAAGATGATAGATGACGGTGGAGAACTTACCCGGTAAATTATTCACTGTTGTTAAGCAATACCGTTGGGTGATATGTAAATGATAACTGGTAAAATTTTCAACAATATAACGTGGTCGAAATGTCACGATTGTTGACGTTGATGCATAGCATGAATCTTGTCCAGTTTGTACTTCAAAGCCTAAATAGGATATGGAGGATAGGCTAAAACAGAAAAAAGAAACGATTTTATTTCTCGACAGGAAAACTTTAGATAAAAAGGAGTTGAATTGAAAATCAATAAGTACATGAAGTAATAACATAATAATAATAATAAAACAATTAGTCCCTTTGATAAATTTTGAATAAGGCAAATTTCGCGAGATGATGGCATCATTTCGTAGTTTGTTTACAACCGCTTTACAACTAACATGGTTAACAATAACAAAATAAAATAAAGTGCATGACAATTACTTTGTTACCCTATATAATCATATTCATCCAAATATCCGAGTGACTTCCCAACTCGAATTGAATAACAAACTCGGTTTCCTGGATATTATTACAATGACCAGGAGAGATGATGGAACAATTCAATGATCTATTTTTCGTAAACGGACATGGAGTGGACAATATCTGCATTTTACCAGTTTTGTTCCTATCCAGTATAAACGTTCCCTAGTGAGTGGAATGTTTGTTCTCAAGGGCTCGAAAAATATGCACAAGTGACACATTGATGAATGAGTTTCGACATATACATCCAGTTTTATTAGCCAATAGTTATCCGGAAAACTTTATCAACCGTCACAGTAAGGGTAGACCACATCTCGAAACGACGACAGCTTCTGTACCAAAGAAAGCTATCTATCTTCATTAACCTACCATTTAAGGGTGATCAGATTATGCAGTTGACAGCTAGCAAACAGACACTTCGGCCAGCCATCAAACGCACATTCTACGCCACATCTCTTTTTCTCACTTCCCGAACATTTTCGATCCCTGTACCTACGATTAAAGGATGAAATTCTGTGGACTCTACTTCAAACTGTATCTACAAGTTCACCTGCGGCTGCGGTGACACACACATATAAAGGTAGAACCAACAGAATGTTCCAATGTTGTGGTCAAAAAAAACATGTTCCAAAATGGCTACTAAACCATATAGAAAATCCCAACGCGATTAATCTGAATAGAATTCCAGCATCATCCATTACAAAACACTTATTAATGTCAGGTCACAAAATCAATATTAATGACTGTTTCACGATTATTTCATAACACAACTCTAATTCAGGGTTGGTTATTGAAGGTGATGGAAGCACTTTTGGGGATTAATCACATACACCTTAAACTATGTGTACAAAAATCAATAGACTTTAATCTTCGCCTACTATAGACTACTTGACCTATTTAAATGTGATGACTTGTCATTAGTATGTACTTTTGTTTTTTATTTAACCGAGTAATTGTCATGATCTTTCTTTTATTATTGTTAGCCATGGCTAGTTGTAAAGCGGTTGTAAAGAAACTACGAAATGATGATATCATCTCGCAAAATTTGTCTTCTTAATGTCTTATTCATAATAACAATAGTAGTAATAATATTTTTTTGGTTACCGCTTGATTCCACACAGGATGTTTTGGTACAGGTATGGAATTTTCAGCATGTGATATCGGTAGCCCGAATTTTTCAGGCCGACCATAGATATCAGGTGTGCATCGGCAGAGGATCGTAATCCGGCGAGAGTCCTAACCGCTGTGCCACTGACGCTCTATTCTGAAAATTGTTTATATGATGTACAGAAGTTTCACCCTGTTGTCTATTGTATACTAGTTTCTTTTCGTCCACGATCTTTAGATAAAATATTAATTTTCAAGTATTGGTTTTTGTAGGGATTTTGTTTGATTGGTTGAATGTTTAAGAAAAAAAAAGATGAAAACAAGATCTGTTTTCTCAACGTTTCGCTGTGTAAGCCACAGCTTCTTCATCCGGCAGAATTATTCGGATTTTATTAAGCGTCACCATATATAATCAATTTTTTTTTTTTACATTACTTGAAGTCAGTTTATTTGAAGGTCACTTGTTCATAGACATTTCTACGAATAAAAATATGTAATCAGTCATCATACGTGTCTGTAATGACTAATGTCAAATTACATGGAGGATTTCATCATGAGCTGACATCAGTTAAAGAACCACTAGGAAACCTGGGAGTACTGGACACCTGTTTCCACCGTTCTAGTCTGGGACTTTTGAGCAGTACGTACCCACCGCAAGGTTTCGAACCCAGGACCTTGTGGTTACAAGGCTAGCAAGCTCGTAGACCATTGAGCCACTGGGACCCGATCCAATGGCCAGCCAGTCCATTAAATTCTAACTTCTGCCAATTCACGACATAGCGCGTCCATTTCGCAATGTCTTCTGCTTCGATGAGTTACTGCCTCATCTTCGACCTTATGTATCTTACTGGTCACGGCTTCACACTAGAACCCCAGGTCACTGGATGAATAGAGCCAGTCCCTAGGGAGCATCAAATTAATTTTTCAAGTATTGGTTTTGTAGGAATTTTTTTTGATTATGTTATTTGTCATTTGGAAAACGCGTCAATTCACACGTTTAAAGGTCATGTAGGCTCATAGAGTGTTTGTTGTTTTTTTCATCTGTCTTGCTTCATTAGAGTTTGACGTGTAGGTGATAAGTCTATCCCTTCTCTCCAGCATTTACTGCATTCGATGTGGTTAAAATGTACAAGGCTTCAGAGGTCAACCTTTCTTTATGTATTGAATGAAATCCTCTTCCAAGAATTTCAACATTGTCAAAATCGATCTTATGCCCACTGTCTATAGCATGCATTGTCATAACTCATCTTTCGAGACTCGTTAATTCTACTTTATTCCTAGGTGAACGCTTCTTGAACACTTTATCCCATAGATATAGTTGTTTTGTGTCATTTTGGGAACCATATCTTTGACATTCACCAAAGCATTCTCTATAGAATTAGGGGGCTTGAAATAGGATTCAATATTATATGAAGCAAATAGTCTTTGAAAGTGTTCAGCTGTGTCCTTTCGATAGGTAATGGTTACCGTCGATAGCGAAAAAGTTTTCAATTTTCTGTTTTACCTTATGCTCCTTTTTATTAATAATATTATTTATTAGCTCTTCCGGATAACCATTTCTAATCAAAACCTGTTTTATATTGGAGATCTCGTTCTCCATATCATCATCATCATCATTATTTGTTATAATGTTTCTAGGTCTGTTACAATGAGATTTAAAGCTACGGAAACTTTCATTCCTATTGGGATGGATGATCTGATTGGAAATTCAAATACTTGTTGGGTGAGTGTCGAGTTTTCTGTATATTGTAACCTTTAGTTTCTCGTCACTTTGTCTTTTTACAAGACAATCAAGAAAGTTTAGAATTCCCTGGGATTAATTGATATAATTTATAATTGAATCGTTTGTTTATATTCGAAGTGGTTTCCATTTGGCGGGGGAGACAATAATAGCTATACGTTGCTTAAACGTATAGCTGGCTGACAGAAGATTGAAGAAATACAATCAGAAGTATTGTTGTACATTCTATTAACGTTTATTTACAGACTTTGGCACTGTGCGTTGGTGGTACAGTGGTTAGGACTCTCGCCGACTATGCACATGGTCTGAGGTTCCATCCCCTGCCGACGAAGTACACCTGATATCTATGGTCAGCCTGCAAAATTTGGGCAACCGATATCGCATGCTGAAAATTCTATACTTGTATCAAAAATACAGTGTGGAATCAAGCTGTAAATCAAAATAAATAAATAAACTTGAAGAATAAACCGTTTTCTGTTGTTCCGCGCGTCATTTACTGTGTATAATATTCTACGTATTAGACTAAGTCTTCTGAAACCATCGGTAAGAGGTTTAGGATCTTTGCGATTCGCATATTAGACAGAAACCACTTAGGATTATATTCACTCGCTTAAACTTTCAGCACCACTATCGACCAACAATCAGCAAACGACTTTGAACGGACCAATCACATTAAAGAGGCATTTATTATGATAAATAGAAACGAATATTTATAGGAAAAAAAAGTAAGTCTGGTAATATTAGGTATTAAAGTAGTTGCTTTCTTGTCTGCTATCCTTTCGACGAATCGCTTTCGGAGGGAAGTGTCATACAAACCTATTACCCAAATATTGTTAGCTCGCTGTCGACCATGGTTGTATTACTTCTTCACCAACACAGTTTCATCCACGTGCACAACAACGTCTTCTCCACTCAACAGAGAAGTGATTTTCTCCATTTTCGATGAAACAATATTTCTGCAATGCTGATATCATTGAACTGTTGAGATGAGGCTATTCTCCGTTTCAGTAGCTGCGGCGGCTCTCACTGGCTGTTTCAAGACCCAGTAGTTGCAAACATAAAAAAAAATTTGCGTTAAGAGGAAGTGTGACCTTGCAAAAGAAGTTCCTACGAAATATTAAAATTATCATCTTACCCTCTCCAATGCTAACTCGTCTCAAAACATTGCACTATGATGGATGTATCCATCAATCGACCTACTAAAGCTTTTTAAAGTCATGACACCACCACACGAACAAGTTCTCTCCTTCCGAAGCAACCCTAAATCCAAGCAATACTGGAAAACACTATTCTCCTCGAATTGCAACCGTAACCTTGTTAGGGCACGCATTTGAAATGAATCAAGCGCCAGACAACATTGAACTAGCGTTCGTGAATCTCATTGGATAATTCGACGTCGTTTGCTGATTGGTAGTTAGTGGAGCTTAAGGTTTAACTTGGCCCACTCAACAAATTAACAAAGTGCAAAAGAAGAAAAAACAAAACACAACTAACCGATTATTTTCAGAGTAGACTTTCAATTGCAGTGTGTCAACACCGGGTTTATCCAATGATATGCCTGGTGACCAACTACAACGTTTTACTTTACGTTTATTCATGGTAACCTTCTCCTTTGATGATTCATCCAAGACATCATGATCACTGAAATATCTGTTGTTGTTGTTGTCAACATCAATAATTAGAAAGAAAGAGGGAGAAGTTAGTCAAGAGGGTAATAAAATTTTTAAAAAATTAAACATCTTGACAGACAAATGAAATTTACGGCTGTTGGCCATTCGATATAAGCTAATTTAGGTTGAATAAGTGTCGAAATTCTACTTTACTACTCAACATAATCACTATTTAGATAAAGCAATAAGACGACGTAATTTGTCTGTCTGAATCGTGTGTGTGTAATGTATTTGCACGCGCAACACGCATTTCAAACAATCTGATCCATCACACACGGACTTGTCATAGGATTGTGTATGTATGAAATTAATAATATTATCCCTCCCGTGGCCTAATAAGACATAACCAACGAAAGACTTCTACACCACCCTTTATTTATATTTCCAACCCCTTTCTTATCATCCCTTAATCTTATCTTCTATTCATTATAAACGTGTTTCATTTCCTTCCCCTACAATCTAACATTACGTAATCGGTTCATTTGTTTTTACTAGCCTTTATCGACTACTCCGTCTACCTGAACAATTGTTTGTTTAATCATACTGTTTTTTCATTATTCGTGTTATCACAGATTGCCTCATTTTTTCATCCTTATTATTGATAAGACCATTATTATTATTATTATTATTATTATTATTATTATTATTACTATTATTAATATTATCATTACCACTAGTATGACTAACTGCACAATTTATATTCACCATCGTATTATCCTATAGACAAAACACCATGATTGGTTTATATCTGAATTTTTATTTGTTAACTTATGTGGGTATATTAGAGTTAAGCCTGATGAGATCTAATTGAAACCACAGTATTGTTCGCTTAAATGTGTTGTTCTAAATTAATAAAGAGTTAAGAGGTGAGAAAAATAGACTACCTAGGTCAAGTTAAAAGGAGGACATATTGAAGGTCAAAATAACAATTCAGGTCACCAAACCAAATAACAGAGGTAGGTAATAGTACATCTACCATGGCTAGTTTCAAAACAAAGTTTATCAAAGAAGGTGGTGGTTTAGTGTGATGACGAATTGTTGGTTTGAGCGTATAAAGGTGGTTTAAACTTTCTAATTGGCAGGCGGGGTTTCCATAAACCTTAAGATTCCACCCAAACACGTTTTATACATAGGTTTAAAAGATGTGTTAGTTAACGTCAATTTTATGTCCTGTCTCTATAATATGTTTCGCAATAGAGCTGGGAGCTAGGTCTCCCTCCTGTTCTCACCGTTAACAGGTTCTGAAGATTCCATTTGTTTCTGGAGCCATCTATGAATATGCTCTGAAGCTAGCCGTTAACTGCAAAGATCGATGAGTCCACCCTATAAATGTGTCTCCACACGTACATTCAAACTGGTAAGTGACTACAAATCTAAAATGATGTCTATTCTTGATGATAAGAGCAAATTTAGCCGTGATCCCTCCTCAAAAGATATTCAGTTGTTGCAGGGCACAGTGACAGCTAATCTACTGAAGTTTCATGGCCTAAATGCTATAAGTAGAGATAAATTTGACTCATTAAAACCAGCTGGTTTCCAATGGCTATCTAACCGATTTCAGCTGACGATAAAATCCTGATACCGAATAATCACTATCACTTGATTTGAATGACTTAGTAGCATGTCTTATACCAACAGTTACAAAGAAGGAATTCTTATATATCCTTAGCATGACAGAAAGCGACTTAAAGAACAACCCTAAAATGCCTGCAGACTCTCATCAACAGCTACCTACTTCACTGGCTCCATACTGAAAATTAAATGGCCAGAAGGAATTATGAACAAGAAACTCTGGAAGGTGACGAACCAACCAAGAGCTGATTGCTCAACAAATAAGGTGGAAGGAAATCCACATGCTTGGGCATACTTTGAGGAGACCATTGAATAACATCGCGCACCAGCCAGGCCATCGTTCGAGTAGAATCCTAATGAGAAGCGACGAGTGGGTCGTCAGTGTGAGGATGACATGGAGGAGATCGTGTGTCGGGGAGGACGAGGAGGAGGAGGAGGAGATGAAAGATTATGGACAATCGTGGAGACGACATCAGCAAACAGAACAAACTGGAGATGTGTTGCTGAAGCCCCATGTTCCACTCAGAACCCAAGGGAATAGTAGTAATGGTAACACTACTTGGTGCAACCTTCAAATAATTCAGACACTATGTAGAAGTTGACATTATATTGGAAATAAATAAGGTGACATAGAGGAAACCAAGTGAGGAGGGAAGCAGCGATAATGGGCAATCTTGTGGCCAGTCAAAGTGGGTCGGAGAAAATAGAACAAAGTGGAGATGTGTTGTTGAAGCCCAGTGCTCCACTCACAGCCCGAGGGAACAATAGTATGATATAATAATACTGGACAACTGGTTACTCTTAGTTTGGGACCACTCAGCAGCACGCAGACATGACCTCGCAGAGATCGAACACATTTTCCTTCACGTTGCAAGGAGAGCTAGTAAACCACCAGAGAATGTTATCAGTGAGTATCCTCCCTCATTAGAACCCCAGCAACTCCATACCTCATAGTCAGTGACACTATTGAGCATTCAATCAATTTACATTTGATTCGAAAGGATATGAGATACTAAAAGTTAGATCATTTCCTATACAAAGTAACTTGAAGAAACTTGATCAGGATCATGGATGCCAACTGTTGAAGAATTCCAATTCAAGGGCGATGAAACAAAAACCGCTCAGAGTTATTTCTTTGGTCCTCCCCCAGTGATTCTCTAACTGATGTTAATTTTTGACGTTGCATGTAGTGAAATTAATCCGAATTCTTAGGTGGTTGGAGGCAATCGAAAGGAAACCCCAAGTGACGTGGTGTTTCGTGCTTGTTAGCACTCATCAGCCAGTAAGGCGAATCTGTGATCTTGAAGGAATTCATATCTCCCACCGTGTAAGGCTCAAACCCCTTTTCATCACTCAGTTGTGCAGTCAGAGATGTTCCCACTGAGCTATTCCGGATTGCAGTTGACCTCCTGTAAGACTGTACAGGGTAATCTGGTTGGATACTGGGTTGTAAGCAACCACCGGAATCTTATCAATGAGATTTGCAGCAATGTTGCCACCATAATCTATCTCCCTACCTACTTGAAGACATAACACACACACACACACATAAGAAGAGAAAATCCTGTGGAATAAAACAAACAGACTTACCCTTTTCCAATACGAACTCGTAGAAGGTAACCTTCAGATTTATTGGCAAATGAAAATAGCAGTGGCATTAGTACACAAGCCTCTTCATGTTCTGCATATTGACCAGCGGCTAGAACAGACGCTTGTGCAGTGGAAAATGAGGAAAATACCGAAGAGGAAGAGGAGGAAGAGGATGGTGACGGTGATGACAACGATGAATTAGGCTGGTTAGATGACTGGGCAAAGATTAACGGTAGACCAGAATTATTGATTAAACAGATTACAGGGCTGACAGTCAGATGACGTATACCACAGGCTGTGGAACATACATAAACCTAAAAATTAAAAAAAAAAACAAACACATACAATGGAATTTTTAAGAATGCCAAATATGGAAACGGAAACAACACTACTGAAATCCATGATTTATTAGATGGCTGATACAAATTTATATGTCAGCCGCATTTCATGATGAAGAGTTAGAACTAAAGCGAAAGCGGCATCAATCCCAGATGACTGAGTGTCCCTGACGAAATATCACCATGGATACAAAAGGCTCGTATAGGATTTGTCAACTATCATTATAGGTGGTATATAATAGGATGAGTAATTTTGAGGTTAGGCGTCAGTAGTTAAGTAGGTAACAAGGATGCTCAGGAAGGCTTCGTGTGCTTTTGGAAGTGTGCGGGCGGTGATTACTTCCCAGCTTCCCACGGTATGGAAGTTGATTGATTCTTTGGGGTACCTGAAGCACAAATAGGGTTAGTATTGCATGACCGCAGAGCCCAAGGGACAACTACTTGAGGCCAGCCGGTCAAACTGGCTTCCGGGATTGGTTCCGCATTAGTAAACTTACCACCGGTTACGGACCACCGTAGGTGGAGTAAGTCGGGATGTACAATTGTTGTGGTCGACCATTACTAACCTCCTCTCACCGGAATGGAGGGACAGCATAGGTAGCTGGCATGCTGGTCATCTGAGGGACACACCTCACCGCTGTTACATCACCGTTCCCCAGCAGTACGTCTTCGTCCACACACCCCCCAATATAGTGTCAAAAATTCTTACACAACGCCAGTAACTGCTCTTAGTCTAATTGCTATTCTAAAAGCCTTCCTGGCATGGTAGGACCTGTAGGAACATTGGTTCCAACCAGTGCAGCTTGTTGGGTGATTGCGCTATGCAAGCCGACCACCACGTCAATGTAGCAGCTATCGGTCGGGAGGTAAGAAGGGGAAGTCGATCGATTGGGTTGTAAAGTTACATCGATTGAAATGGTTAGGATATGTGATACACATAACTCTAGCCATCGCTTTCTTTGACAAAGAATGTTAGCTGATATAGGATCGATCACGTTGGAAAGGAGCTATTCATGGTCAAATCAAGGCTTCCCATCAGTTAGTCAATCCATAGCATCTTTGACAGTTAGTTTGAGCCACGCTTACGGAGGCGTAATGTAGGCTTCTTCATTGAAGTACCCAGAATATCCTTCACCCCACGACATCACGTAATAGGCTGATCAACCCCTCTCCACTTTTTCCATTTAGTTCCAGGGCTAGCGAACTGGCCATCTAAGCCAGTGTTTTCAGATGACGATACTTCATGAAAGATATCTTCTACTGTGTCCGAAGACACGCTACTGGACCTCAGAATTACTCACACAATGACTCCCAACAGACAGGAGCAATTCAATGCAGCCGCCTGTGATCGAATACACAGAGTCAGATTTCATAGGCACAGAGCAAGACTGAGCACACACCGTAGCGGTGTAAATCCGACCTCTGATAGTTAGACTGACATCACGACATCGCCGAAGGTGGCTCAAATTGGCGTATGCCACCATAGCTTGCATAACACGGTTACAAATCTCTTTCGATACACCGCCAGCACTCACACTACTAACCAGATACACGATTTATTCTTATTATTTTATATTATTTAAACGCATAAAAACTTGGTATAATATGGCACCAAGAAGGATGCGCCACACAATAAAAACAAAACAACATACATCAAAAGTAAAAAATATAAGTAGAGAACGGATAAAGAACTTCATTTGAAGGAAAACAGTCATACTTAACAAGTTCAAAACAGTATTTGTTAACTATCATCGGGAAGGGAAGAAAGAAGGAAATTGCAACACGTTCGCAATTGATTACGATTCTTGGTCATATCCGATAACGTTTTAAGCCATCGATTTGAGCTATCTCGCATAACCCAACCAGGGAGTCGTGACACACCAACAGATGCTAATCTAGCACGAAAATTCTTCATCCCACGACGTCACGCGTCATGGACTGACCACCCCGTCCGCCTTTTCCATCCCGTCCCAGGGCTGGCTAGCGAACAGAGACCTGTACGGAAGCCTCTCGGATGACATTTGCAGCACATGTCCAAGCCACCGGAGCTGGTGTTTCCAGATGACGACACTCAATGAATGGAGATCTCCACTGTGTTCAAACAAACGCCGCCGAACCTGAGAATTACTCATGCGATGATGCCACCGAACGCAAGCAATCCGGCGGAGACAGCGATGATCTAATACGCAAAGCCGCCGCACATCCTTAGCTCGGAGAGGCTAGGTTTCACAGGTGTAGAGCAGGGCAACCCGCACCAAAGCATTGTATACGTGCCAGGCTAACTTCACGACGGCGCCAGATGTGACGGTTGAAGTTGATGTATGCCGCCCTAGTCTTCATCATACGGTTGGAAATCTCATCCGTCACTCCTCCACCAGCACTCATATAACTACCCAGATACTCAAACTTATCGACAACTTCAAGTGGTTCACCTGTAAGAGTGAGGGCAGGTACAGGCTCCTCACAATCTTGTAAGGGTACTTTACATTTAGACGGCACAAAGTACATACTATACTTACAGACACTGATAGCCAACTGATTGAGTGCGATTTGGGCAATCTGCATGCTATCGCACAGTAAGACGATATCGTCTGCATACTAGAGGTCAAAAAGTCTATCTCCAGATAGTATATCTACACCACCTTCACGCACATCCTTCAGAGCTGACTCCAGATACACGAACTTATCGACAACTTGAAGCATTTCTCATACGCAAGCGTGAGTACAGATACACGCGCGCTCTTGCCAACCTTGTAAAGCATATATCATAACTTAGAGACAATAAGGACTATGTAGGTTTAAATGCCACCGCTAATTCCTGCTTTATTACGTATTCTAGGCAGATAGGGATTTCCAATTACAAATAACATATCAGCAACAACAACAAACAAACCAAAAAAGATTTTTTTTGTAAATTCACCACCCCACCACTTACTTGTAATTCTAGTGGTCTATCTAATGTGTCGAATAATCGAATGAACACTTTTTGATTGTAAACATTCGGTGGAATCGATAATGGATCACATTTAGGGAATCCATCCAGATGAATACCAAAATTTACAGTTTGTATTGGAAATAACTAGAAAAGTGAAAATCATAAATACAAGTATATGTAGGCAGATAGAATAATCATGATGTATTTATAAATAGCAAAGATTCTAGCGAGAAATGGTGTCACAATCAGTGGGATCCACCGCGCATTTTGGGTGAGAGGGTAAATACACACCGTGGATGACATTATTGGCTGGACGTCGTGACATATATATATATATATATATATATATATATATATATACATATATAAATGTAGTGTACTCTGAGCTGGATGTTTCATTTGCGAGGCTTTTATCGCCCAACTAGGCAACGTCTTCAGCGCATACTTCAGTCTGAATTGAAGTGAACTTTTAGATTTCTCCACGAGTTTATCAGTCACCTGTCCTGGTGACCACCTTGAACGTGATTGGTTGTTTTTGTGTGTATTCACACCCTCTAGGCTACTTGTATTGGTGTTGATTGTTTCCTTGACCTGAACTTCGACCCTTTGTTTTGAGTGAGATTTCCTTCCTATCACTGCATAGAGAAAACCACGGAAATCAGTTAGACTGGGACAACCTTCCTTCAAATATTAGGAATAGGAGACATCAAGAATGCTAGAGAATTTTTAGAAGTCCGCCTGGTATTCTAGCAAATCCTCAATCAATAGACACATCAAGATAGACAAAATTTACCAGTGGATAAGAAGGAAATCTCACTCACAAAGGGTCAAAGTTCAAGTCAAAGTAACAATCAGCTCTAATGCAAGTAGCCTAGAGGGTGTGAATACACACAAAAACAACCAATCACGTTCAAGGTGGTTACCAGGACAGGTGATTAATAAACTCGTGGAGAAATCTAAAAGCTCACTTTAAATTAAAGTACGCGCTGAAGACGTTGCCTAGTAGGGCAATGAAACCTACTCAAATTCACCATCCACCTCATAGAACACAACTACATTAAAGTCATCCACCTGAGTTACAAATCTTCTCCATCATATATATATATATATATGCTGAAGGCATATGTGTTCCATTCATAACCCAACGGAATAACAGAAATAATAAAATGTAAGGGAGAAGATATGGTAGTTCATTTGGATGATTTTGATTTTGTTGTGTTCTCTGACCACCTGGTTGTAGATTTAATTACAAAGCTTTCGTTGCCCCCCCCCCGCGCCTCCGCATTCTAAACAACATCTTTAGAGCAGGCTTTTTAGTATGATATGAACCAATTTGACAGCAGTACACACCCACCGGTGTTCGAACCCAGGACCTTACACTTATAAGGCAAGCTCGTACACCAAGTAGCCACTGAGACCTGAAACAAATTACCAGCCCGTAAATTCTAACTTCTACCAATTCGTGATTGTTAGCGCGACTACCAACCAATGTAATCGGCAAGAAATCCATCCTCACTCTAGGCTCGATGGACGCCAATGGTCACGACGTCTCACTAAAACTTCAGGATACTCTGTCCTGTATTACTTAGTGTAAAATGTAGTCTAAAATCGGATGACTAATTCAAAAATAATCAAAGGGGGTAGGAGTTGACATGACGTAATAAGTGCGAGGCAATGACTAATCACTATGATTGTGTAGAGTAGACGGTAACTAGTAGGATTCAATAATCGATAAGGTTTTTTTTTAAATATCACACACAGTGATGATACACTATTAACAATTGGATGACAAGGTTTCGAGTACAATTTATTCCTGTTCAAAATCATCATATCAAGCAAGGGGTGTATTCACACTTACATACACACATTCAATCAACAAGTTGGTGATAGAAGAAGCATTAAAGATATGACCTCAGGTGAACATAGAAAAAACAGAGATAGGCGATGAAGATTCCTGGCCAACACCACCACCACCAACAACAACAGACAATGATCAGCATAAATGGGAGGAATCTGATAGAAACAACCCCCTTCACCTACCTACCTTGGAAGCATCGTTTCAAATACAGGCCGACAGAACTGATGAGGAAATCAAAGGACGAGAATCTGGAAAGCAAGGCAAGTCTTCATTACTCTCAAGACTCAGAATGAAGAATGACGTCCGGATTTTTTAACTCCAATGTGAAGTCAGTGCTACTATACGGATCAGAGACTTGGCCAGCACGTCACGAAGGGCACTTCGAACAAACTACACATCCTCATCAACAGCTAGCTATCTTCGCTCACTACTACTCAAGATCAGATGGCCTGCTAGAAAACATCAGCAACAGGAATCCTCTGGCAATGAACGAACCAACCCAGTAGGAACCAATTGTGCAACAAATATGCAGGAAGAAATGGAGGTGGATTGGTTGGTCATACTCTGAGAAATCAGACCATCATCAAGTGAATGACATCACCTGCCAGGCCATTGCTCGAGTGGAACCCAACCGAATGGGGAGCAACGAGTCGGTCGTCAATGCAAGGGTGACATTGAAGAGGTCTTGTGAAGAGGAGATGAAAGCATGCAGGCAGACGTGGAGTCAGGTGAAAACGTTGGCAGAGAACCGAACGGAATACAGATGTGCGGCTGGAATTAAAGGAAACAATATATCAAAAGCGAACACCTACACTTACATTATAAACACACGTGTCTTCTTTTGATTTCAATGAACCATTCACTTCAGTTTTATCAAAATAATAGAAAATATCACATGGTAACAAATTTGTTATCCGTACAACTGGACCAATTGTAATATGATGACTAGGTAGACTGATTGGCAACAAATGTTTACTATTATTATTTGCATAGAATAATTGATCTGATGACCATTGTGGATCTAACGGGAATTGATCATCACGGACAACAGCAACACACATATGAAATTTATTTGTTGTAAACGTTGTCAAAGATTTTTTATTCGGTGATGAGGATGTTGATGATGTTGACGAGGGGAATCGTTGTTGTTGTTGTTGAATAGATGATGGGAATGGACGTGTAGTTGGCGGTAGCAGTTTACATGTAGAGATCAATGCAGCTTCTTGCAAATCGCCTGTTAGATCAAATAGAAATAGAGAAAAACACAAATGACTCACAGTTTGTATGACGGCCAAGATACTATACTATACTACTGGTCAGCTGCCCAAATCAAAGGGGACAAAAGTCTCATCCTAAGACCAGCCAGTATAGCAGAGAGTGAAGAGTAGCTGCAGCTACGTCCCCATGATCACCTGTGAGTCGAACAGGTTTATACAGGGTTTCTTGAGTCTATGCACATAGCATAGGGTTGGAAGCAGGGTTTGCTAGCTACCCTACCTAGGTACACCACCAACATGTTCACCGGTCTGGTTGTAAGCGCCATTGGATCTTACACTAATGTAAGTGTAGTACATGAGCACTGTGTGTGGTTTCGAGCATAAATTGTTGCTACTCATAATTATATCAATTTAGTCACACGGTTTAATAATTTCTCTCTTTCTCTTCCTCTCTCTTCCCTTTGTTGTTTGTTGCCACTGTTCATATCTCCGGTGTCATAGGCATTGCGTCATTCCGATTACACACACCTGTGCCGTGTTGAATCTAATAGTGAATAACTAGCCACCAGAATTTATTCAGAAATATATGACGAATCATAAGAAAAATTAAGATTAGTAATAAAAATGACGATGATGAAAATAATGCAGAATTCAAAGCCTCTGTAGTACTGCGCATAGCATAATTTACCAAGTAACAAGTGACGATGACTGTGAGGTCAATTAAAGCATAGGTCGAACTAGTTAATCGGAGTTAATGCGACAGACAGCGGTAGGCAGCGAGCAAAACACATACAAAATAGACCCACAAAAAAACTTGGAGGATCTGGACTTCACCGATGTCATATATATGTCTGATTTCTCACAAACTGGAAGATATGCAAGTGATGAAAAGCAACATGTTGGCAGAAGAAGCATCCAGAGAAGATAGGACTTCAGGTGAACACAGAAAAAAACGGAAGTTATCAAGACTCCTGGACAACACCAACAGCAGCAACAACAAAACCAGACAACAATCAGCCAGCATAAATGGGAGGAACCTGAAAGAAACAACCTCCTTCACCTACCTACCTACCTACCTTGGAATCATCGTCTCAACTGCAGGCGGATGGAGCTGATGTGGATATCAAAGGTTCGAGGATCGGGAAAGCAAGACAAGCTTTCATTACTCCCAAGTCTATGGGGGAATCAACAGCACCCTGCATGAAAATGAAAATAAGATCCGGATTTTCAACTCGAATGTGAAGTCAATGCTACGTACTATATTGATCAGAGACTTGGCGCGTCATGAAAAGCACTACAAACAAATTACAGACCTTCATAAACAGCTAGCTGTCTTCGCTTAATACTACTCAAGATCAGATGGCCAGAAAAGATCAGCAACAGGGATATCTGGGAGCAAACCAACCAGAAACCCATTGTACAACAAACATGCAGGAAGAAATGAAGATGGATTGGCCATACGCTGATGAAACCATCAAGTGACATCACTAGACAAACCATCGCTCGAGTGGAACCCGACGGGGCGGGAAGCGGCGAGTTGGTCGTCAGTGCAAGGGTGACTTCGATGAGCTGATGTAAAGAGGAGATGAAAACATGTGAGCAGACTTGAAGCCAGGTGAAAGCTTTAGCAGGGAACCGAACGCAATGGAGACGTGCGGTTGAAGCCTTATGTTCCTCTAGAAATTAAATGAAATAATAATAATATATTACTACAAAGTTACTCACCTGGTCGTTTTAAACTTGTCCAATCAATCATTTTCATCACTGATGATCGATGCTTATCCTCAGTGAAATCAACCAACATTGAGGAGGAGGAGGTAGATGACGATAGTCCCGCTGTTGTTGTTGCTGTTGACATTGAGGCAGCTGACAGTGATGGATGCAGAGACTGGCGTTGTTGTTGGTGGTGGTGGTGCTGTGTCGACGGCATCAGCTTTGCTTCTTCTTCTCCTCCACTCTCGTCAAATGTCTGATGATGATCATTATGATGATGCTCGTAGACATATGCCCAATTATAAAGATCATCACTGAATTTATTACTACTACTACTACCAAGGCTACTAATACTGTTGACCGCTGAAGTCATATTTTGTCGATTCATCACAGTTTTAGCCGGTGAAAAGCATAAATTCGCTAGTCCTAATGACATTAAACCAGCTAGATTGATGGGTACAGCATATGTACAATTTGGTTTACATACAGTCAGCAGGATTGGTTCAATGTTTGACGAATTAGTATTCAATAGTGTCAACGATGATGATGATGATGAGGAGGAGGTGATTACAGATGACGATGACGACAACGGCGAAGGCAGTTTTTTAGGAAAGATTTCCAACCCGATTTTAATACTCTGGTTCAGGTCATTGGTGATGGTTAAAGCTGATCTTAAATAAATTTTATAATATTGTGTATCAGGATCACGGACAATATCAATGACAAGACGATTGGCAATTGGTAAATCATACTTCCAACATTCATTACATTGATTTTTCAATATTTCCTGGAAAATAGAAGAAGAGGGAAGAAAAGGGTTAAGTCAACTTCACACACACACACACACATTTTTTTCTCCTGAATGAATTTCAATACACAGGCAAGAACAGAACAGTGGCGGTTTGTGCAGAATTAAAAATGGTACCATCATTGCTTATTTGGTTGGCTTCTCATCAGCTCATCTGTTGCTTACAGGCCAAAGTTATTTTTAAGTATATCTATTATTATTAATATCATTATTTATTATGTCCTTTGATTCCTAGAGGAACATAGGGCTTCAGTTGCGCATCTCCATTGCCTTCTGTTTTATGCCAACTTTTTCACCCCGCTCCAAGTTTGCCACCCACATGCTTTCATCTCCTCTTCACATGACCTCTTCCTTGTCACCCTTGCATTGACGACCACCTCACAGCTCCCCATTCGGTCGGGTTCCCCTCGAGCAATGGCCTGGCAGGTGATGTCATTTGATGGTTTGATTCCTCAGAGTATGGCCAGCCAATCCACCTCCATTTCTTCCGGCTTATTTGTTTCACAATCGGTTCCTGCTGAGTCGGTTCGCTCATTGCCAGAGATGCCTGTTACTGATCTTTTCTGGCTGGCCATCTGATCTTGATTATTGAGCGAAGATAACTAGCTGTTGATGAAGGTCTGTAGTTTGTTTGAGATGCTCTTCATGACACACCAAGTTTCTGATCCATAAAGTAGCACTGACTTCACATTCGAGTTGAAAACTGGAGTCTTATTTTTGATGCTTGAGTGCTGTTGACCTCCACACAGACCTAAGGGTAATGAAAGCTTGTCTTGCTATTCATTCATTTATTCCGCTTAATGAATTTCAATACAGGCAAGAACAACACAACAGATTGGTTTGTGTAGAATAAAGAAAATTGCTACCATCATTGCTTATTTCATTGGCTTCTCATCAGCTCAGCTGTTGCTTACAACCCAAAGGTATTATTAAGTATATCTGCGGAAACAGTTTTAACATACTTAAACAGAGAGTTCATTTTTAAACAGAAATCAATCAATCAATATGTGGTGTGAGCAGGCTTCTAGCCAAATTGGTAGACATTAATTTACGTCAATGTCTAGGTCACTAATATTGGCCGTGAGAAAATATGAATAAGGCTGATTCAACAACCAATCACAGCAGACTTAACGTGGGCAAATATGATTCGCAGATAGATGGCTTAACTTTCCGAGAAACCAGAAACAACGAATCAGAAGCCTGTGTTGGCCTGCTTGAATAAGCTATAATAATGTACAGGAAATATATATAAATACGTGCTGATTTCCGTTATTAAAACGATCTGTTGCCGGTCCTTGTCTTCTGTTGTTACAAATATATGCATACAATAATAATAAACACTTTATCCCGAACAATAATGATCTTACACAATGGAAACTTCCAGTATTACGTTTTCAGATGAAAGAGAGGGTGAAAATATCCAGTTACCAGACAGGACAAGGAAAGACTGATAACCGCTTCTTTCTGAACACATAAATCAGGTTCCAGGAGCTTGGCGGAGATGGCTTCAACAAACTTCAGCAGAATTGAACAAGGAGGTTCACAATGATTCCAATCAATGAAACTATTGAGATTATTTGTCAGCAGTCTGAACTTCTCCCACTCCCAGAGTCGGAATTCAAACGCCTATTGCTTATGTGTACCACGGATGTGCGATTCCAATTTGACGACACTTTACCATCAAATAGATGGTGTAACTATGGGCAGTTCATGTCAAACCTCGAGAAAACAAAGTTGAAGCTTGCAGCTAACGAATTTTCGACAATATATTTGTAGTGTGTAACAATGAAAGTCATGCTTCCTACCTACTCAGATTATTCAATGACGCACATACCAATATTAAATTTACTATGGAATATGAAAGTGGTGAAAAGTTTCACTTCTTCGACAATGCCATGCAACGCTTAGAAGACGGTTGTCTTCAGAATTCAATTTACCGAAAGCCTACGCGGAAAGGACCACACCTACATTTTAATAGTTTTTGTTCAAATAGCTTTAAACATGGACTACTCAAGACTCTATACTATAGAGCTAGGAGATTATGCTCTACAGAGAAATTAGAGGAAGAATTTGTGTTTCTTGAAAAGATGTTGAAAGGCAAATGGTTACCCTCAAAGATTCATTAACACGTATGGAAGATCTGAAGTCTAAAATGACAAACAAATCGCAGTGTGGAGAAAAAGCCAATCTACATTCAACTTGATTATAAAGGTGAACAGATTACAGGAATCGTCACCAGAAGATTGAGTACGTCACTAGCTAGAGCCTATCCTGCAGCTAGCTGAGCTGTTTCCCGTCAATCGAACAACTTGCTCATTGCTGCAATCGAAAATCGACAGATATATTCCTCATATTAACTCCAAATGTATACATAATTTTACATGTATCTGCTGGAGCAGTTACATTGGAAAAACAGAAAGAAGGGCATATCTACGACTTTCTGAATATGCACCAAAAAGCTTATGTCTAAAGGGAACATATGCTTCAAATAGTGAGATTGCCAGGTATCTCCTTGACATGGGTCATGGGGTAGACGTCGCAAGTTCGTTCAAAATTATCAATAGGCAAAAGAGTTGAATTCTCCTCAAGTTTGCCGAAGCAGCAATCTCCATCAAGTGCCTGAAAACCGATTTATGTGTTCAGAAAGAAGTGGTTATTAGTCTTTCCTTGTCCTGTCTGGTAACTGGATATTTTCACCCTCTCTTTCATCTTATTAGGTAACGTCGAAAGTTTCCATTGTGTATGATCATTATTGTTCAGAATAGTGTTTAACATTCCATATATATATATAATTACTGTATGCACATATTGACTGATTTTTGTTTAAAATGAACTCTGTGCAAGTATGTTAAAATTGTTTCTGTAGATATACTTAATAATGACTTTGGCCTGTAAGCAGCTGATGAAATAAACAATGATGGTACCATTTTTTATTCTGCACAAACCCCCCACTGTTGTTCTTGCTTTATTCAAAAATAGTTAAGTTTGACGACCATACTATCTCGTTGCGAATTCACTTCCCGAGCTGACTGTTTCATCAAACTGAATAGCTTTCTATGAGACATTATAGCCAGTGATTTCAGATTAGTGGTCTCACGTTAAATCCCTTCACAAATATCAGACAATTAATTTCACCTTCAGGAATAAATGTGATCTTAATGAACTTATTAGTTCATATGATGCTTGTCGTCTAGAAGGCACTGATATAGAGAATAAGTCAGACATAAAATACCCTTGGTATAGTTCTCTATCCCCTAACCTTTCTTGGTTACCCCATATCCAGTTTATTTCTAAGATAATTACTCCGTCTTACCTTCTACACTAAGAAATTAAGAGAATCTGGAATTACTCACCACCTACTTTTACAAGTTATTAACTCTCCCATCTTAACTCGTGTTCTTTATTGCTCACCCCTACTTAGTCTTGCCCTTGAGCTAATCAAAATGGACTATGTCATATTGCACAGGGTATTAAAGTTTGTCAGTAGGGCAGACAAGAAGTGTGTGCCAGTAAGTCAGCCAACTCTTTAACACCTGGTCGACAGACACTTGAACTCGTGTAAGAAATGGTCTATATCCATATTGTCTGATTCTCATAAACACCCTCTCTATTCACAACTGTTCTCCTGAGTTTCATCTGGTAGGACTAGAACTTAGAATGAAAGATTATATTTTCGCTCACACAAGCAAAAATATAAAAACTCAACGATATCCTATTTGATCCACCCGCATTCTATGCGATAAACATTACTGCTAATGAAAATTTACAGCTGAAGCTTGAAACCCAATGTTCCATTTGGAACGGAAAGGACTGTGTGATTAAAAAGAAAATTTCCTGCCACGGTCTACTGGTTAACACAGTCAAAAGTAGACAAGTATCCTGTTCATTTCAGTTGCAAATGCATTCACCAATTTACCTGCACTTGCTGCAGCAAGTACATAGGAAAGACTAAGAGGAGAGTGTCTACTAAATTCTCCCAGAATATCCCTAAAAGTCTCAGTTTCAAAGATAGTAAATTCTTTTCAAGTGCAATTGCTCAACAACACCTAAATGACACGGAAGATACACAGTGGAAAGTAATCAGGCCTTCAAAATAACCAATACACAAAGCAAGTCATGTTTATTTCGGTTCTTAGAAGCTGATGCCATCAAAAGACTTCCACCCAACCTATGCATACAGAAACAGAGTGTGACTAATCTCTCGCTACCCAAGTAACCGTAATTGTTTTGTTCGTGTGCTTTTACGTTTTATTTTGTTGTGTAACATTCCAGTTAACTGTGATTTTGATTTCCACTTATTGAGTTCAACTCATCACTATTTAATTTCATCCTTGTTTCCAAGGGAAATTTTAACTCTAAACCGATTTTGTCTAATTATACTATAAATAGTTAGCGCCTTTATAGCGCTGATTACATGATTCCTGGAATTATGTTGCTTATACTTTCTATCTATAATCCAAAGCCGTTTTAGAAAGTATATCCAGACGGCATTTTGTAACTTGTAATTGATTTTGTTTAGGATGTACGCAGTTGAATGGTGAAGTCCACGAAATAAAACGAGCTTCTATTATCCTGTCTGGAAATATATTCGTTCATTGTTTATTCAACGGATAATCGTTTGTTGAGGTGAGTCACAGATGTTTTGTTCTGAGTGTTTCATTAGAGATGTACTTGCACAAAGACTTTTTCAATTGGTAAACGATTATGTTATGGTTAGTCATAATTCATAGTCATCATAAAAGGATATTAAATGTCTTTTTGTGTTGTAGATAAACTCTTATATTATATCAATTCCTTAATACATTTTCAGTGGATGGTAATATTATGTGAATTTCACACATCATATTGTTCCACATGTGTTTACTAACTTCCTTGACAATACTCATGGCGACTAATTGTGCAGCATAGACTGTCCAAAGACCTTCAAGGGTAACACATACATACCAACTAAGCCATCGAGGGGAACACAAATGGGAGGATCTATGGAAAGAATCATGGAGAAATTATTCTGCTGAGGAATGTAAGTGGAATCTATAATAATAATTTACTTTCCCTCATTAGACTTCTACACGAACAATGAACAGTTAGAGAGATCAGTGAAAGGTACAGAGTATTGCACAGCTGTTTCGTTCTAGTTTGGTATCCTTCAGCAGCTGGCAACTGAAACTCCATCAGGAATCGAAGCCGAGACACCCACTTAACGATTTCAGCTGGAATTCACTACACCAGTGAATTTTAACTTTTATCAAGTTGTCATATAGGTCTACCTTGATATCTATGGTCGGCCTGCGAATTTTGGGCTACCGATATCCACGCTGAGAATTCCATACTTGTGCCAAAAATACAGTGTGGAATCAAGCTGTAATCAAAAATAAATAAATAAAATAAAATAAATAAATACCTACACTAGGGCCCTTGACAAGCATAAATCAAGTGAAGTGAATGGAGTGCTAAATGGTCAATGAATGGATATTGACCTCGTACACTGAAGGTTCAGGGTGCTCGCTACTGAACAGTTATAAAATAGAACAAATGGTTGTTTAATGCTATCTGGTCTTCGGTCAACTCGCAACAAAATCAAATTACTGATATTAAATTAACCCAAATCCCACTATCTTTAAGAATAATAATAATAACAGTCTTATTATTATTATAGACAGTCTGCTGATTTGAAATATATATACCGTATTAGTTTAATGTCTGGTTACTCTGTAGTCTTTACATAGAATGTTTAGTCCAGACAGATAGTGATAATATAAATACCCTCACCAGGGTAGATCGTAAGATATTTCTTAACAATTAGGTGATCGTGCGGTATTCTAGACAAGTTTATCAATGAGGTCACAATATACAGAGAGAGGCGGGGGCTTTATTCTCATGAAACTCTCACTTTTCAAATTCCATCTGTCTTCTTCTTATGGTAACTTTTATCAATGTGTCTTGAGTTGCGGAATTTTCTACTCTCATTTTGTCTGTTGACTGCACGTATTTCTCGTCTGATTTATTCTGTTATATGAATAGACTCATATTCATTCTAACTAAGTAAGCACGTTTGAGTATAGTATTTTTCATTTTTTAATAGGATAGTGTGTAGCAACTGTCACTCGGGTTGATGCGGATGGATATCTTGGATGCACGTTTCGTCCCTCTTTGGGTCTCGTCAGATGAGTTTATTCGCAGTTTTCTTTAATAACTGATGGTGTTCTCATCACGACTCAAGCTCAGCGTACGCAGATTTCAAGCTCTACTGCCAACTCCTGAAGAAACCAAATGATATGATGTTAAGCTCAAGGTTTCTTTGAAGCCTTCAAAACTAGTATTCAAAACATCAATAGAGACTGGAATATGAAGAATGTGCTTGAAAAAGAGTTTAGATGTCAGTGCGGCAAAGCATCAGATCATTAGTCGAAACTAATTCAATCACGTATTATCAGCGTCCCCCTCAACTGAAAGTGTGGTGAGGGCTGACTGCTAGTCAAAATTGGTAGACAGTAATTTACGTCAATGTTTACGTCCCCAATATTGGTCGTGAGAAAAGAACAAGAACAAAGACTGACTCAGCAACCAATCACAGCAGCCTTTGAGCACAATTTTCAGATAGATAATCTGAACTGCAAAAAACGGTCACAAAGAGATGAAAGATTAACGTTCAGCTAGAAGTCACCAATCAGAAGACTGTGTTTGTTCGCTTACAATAATCTATAATATGTACATGAAAATCTACAAATATGTGTTGATTTCCTTAATAAACGATCTGCTGTCTAGCCCTTGTCTTCTGTTGTTACAGATGAACTCCAGAATATAAGCGGATCGAGCGACGTATGAGCCTGTATCGGTCACCTATGACCATGGAAACAAAGATGTTGACGCTACTCCGCTAACTTGCGAGTAAGACTCTGTTGATTCCCAAAGAAACGATCTGTTGCATGGCCATTGTCTTCTGTTGTTACAAAAGGATTACAGGCCAGCGACATTTAACTCTGGTTATTAAATAACAAAATATAAAAAACGGAGAACACAAAGTAGACTGAATATATATACTTACAAAGTCAGCATTGCCTGGCATCCGTTCCAATATACGATAATAAGTACCAAGTTGATTCAAGGCAATCGGGTAGACTGGTTTCCATCCAGAGACTTGTATAATTAAACGTGGAGTTTGAAAAAAGTCTTCTTCCTCTTCTTCTGTGTGGCCGTTGCCGACGTCACTGCCTTGCTCCTCCCTTCCATCTTCTTCACTCCTCAATTTTGTTGCATTCAATGACAATTTATTCTTATAGGCAAATGATGAAATCTTTAATGGTAGATGTGTTTGTGAATCTTTGACAAGTTCAATGAATTCATTGTCTGCTTTTTCTAGGATTAATCTTTATTAATGATGTGATGCAAAGTTCCCCCAACATAAAAGGAAGATAAAAATGGAAAATTACATATTTAAACTTTCTATAATGAAAAAAACATGATTTCAGCGAAAGGATTTGGCTGTTAATCTCAAAAAGTTTCCATTTGATGCTAGACAGAGTGGTAGTTAAACACTTGATAATTGTTTCCTCGAAAAGAGGCGATTCTTGTATCTAGTGACTGATTGGCTACAGGATGAAGCTGTCTGCAGTGGGTTCTGATGAGAAGGCGAAACCAGTAGGGTCCACCCAATTGGGTATGATAACAAGTACTTGCCAATTATATCAGCTGGTGGTTGCGCTAAAAACATGCATTGGTAGGGAGTTGGAATTCATAGGCCGCTGAATCAGTTACCAGTAAGCTGAGTGGTGGTCTATGGGCTACCGTTGTAACCAGAATGTCTTGGATACGGACCCTGATAGATTTGTAGTGCTGAGGAGTCCCAAACTAAGGCGAAACGGCTGGCTATCCAGTCCCCCCCTATCTGATTTTCGATGGTTCTCTATTAACTGACATGATTCTGTGATCATACATTATGACAAATCAAAACCCTAGAAACTACCACCTGGAAATATTCTCCATACAAATTCAGTAGGAATATGCTTTAAATCTTTCGTAAACAAAGTATTTATTATGTAACGGTAGAGAATATTAGAAATGTACTCAAAGTGACAGTGTGATCCGATGACACCTACAATATGAGATCAAGGACAATGCTGTCTACTTAGATACTCACCTTTAGATGGTTGGAGGTAATCGGCCAGAGCAAGCCTTACTTGACCTAGGTTTCGTGTTAGGTGGCACTCACTAGTCAGTCAGCAAGGCGTATCTGCAACCAGCTTGAAGGAATTCATGTCCCTTCTTCTGAGATTCGAACCCAAGTCACCCAGTGCTGCCTGTAGTCGGTGTGCGTCGGTGGTACAGTGGTTAGGACTCTCGCCGACCATGCACATGGTCCGGGGTTCGAGCCCACGCCGACGAAGCACACCTGATATCTATGGTCGGCCTGCAAAATTTGGGCTACCGATATCCACGCTGAAAATTCCATACTGGTACCAAAAATACGGTGTGGAATCAAGCTGTAATCAAAAAATAAAAAAAAATAAAAAATAGTCAGAGACGTTACTACTGAGCCAGCTATTCGGGCTCGCGATTGACCTCCTGTAGGACTGTAGTGGATATTTTGACTGGACACTAGTCAGAAGTAACTAGTGTGACGACGTGTCTAGTCCTTTTTGTTTTGGTGCAGACTGAATACTATCAGTCAGTCAGGTTTGCAATGTGGCCACCATTCTAGGTAGCTCGCCATCACGGCGTACATTGATTTGAGGATATTAGATGGCGGCCACATTGCAAACCTGACTGACTGATAGAATTCAGTCTACACCAAACAAAGGACTAGACACATCACACTAGTTACTAGTGTCCAATCAAAGATTCATCTTTATTTATTTTTCATTAAAAACACAATATGGGGACCAAAAGACGCGACACACAGCAACTTATCTTATCTTAATTAACCAAAATTAAATATATAAGGAATTAAACGGAGAATGAATGATAGACAGAATTCTCCAGAATTCAAGTAAGCATATTCGACTAGATCTTTGAGTTAGGGAAGAAAGAAGGAATTTGCAGAATGCTCACCATTGAACCCCAATTCTTGGGCATGTCTGGTAACGTTTCAAGACACCGATTTGAACTATCTCTCGAACTCCAACCAAGGAGTCATGATGCACTAAGTGATGTTAACCTTACGCAAATATCCTTAGTACCTTCATTTCACGGTGCCATCTAGTAGGGTTAGCGAACAGTGAACGGTACGTAGGTCTCTGGGATGAAATTCGTAAAGGATGTCCAAGCCACCGAAGCCAGTATTTCCAGATGACGACACTTAATGGAAGGTGATCTCTACCATATCCAAACACACTGTCTGACCTCAGAATTCTTCACATAGGATGCAAACACTTCTACAGAGGTAGCGATGATCGGATATTCAGAGTCGCCCCACTTGCTCAGTTCGGAGAGGCCAGGGTTCACAGGCGTACAGCAAGACTGCGCGTATACCGGAGCATCTTATGAGAAACCTCTGACAGACAGGTTGACATCGCGACGGCGACAGAGGTGGCTGCAAATGGAGTGTACCACCCTACCTTTCACTAGACGGTTGAAGATCTCACCTATCACACCTTCACCAGCACTAACACAACTATCCAGATACAAGAACTTGTCAACAACTTCAAGTGGTTCACCTACAAGGCTGAATGCAGGTAGGTACACATGCTCTTGCCAGTACTGTGTATTTAGAAGGAACAAAGCACAAATAATACATACGAGGGATGATTGCCTGTATGCTATGGAATAGTAAGATGATATCGTCAGCAGCCCTAAAATCAAGAAACACAACGATCTGCTTGGTGACATTACAAACAGTGATCAATATGGCAAGCATAAATGCATAAATAGTACTATATACTACTGAATATTGATTTGAGTAGTTAAAAACAAATGGAATAAAGTTTCCGTCCATACTCACAACCAAAAGCAGTAGGCAATATCATGACAGATAGATAGATAAGCTTACATTTCTGGTTTCAATAATGTATTCATCGATTGACTCGATATCACTTTATACCTGACAGTTGTACCAGTTTGATTAATCAATAGAAATGATGAACCAGTAGGATTGTTATTACTCGCAGATGATGTATTCAGCTTATTATTGATGTCACCACCACCACGAGCTTGAATATTGTGCTGTGACTGTTCTTTGCTTTTTCTTTCATTGATTGAATTTAAAAGATGACGAATCAGATGGATGAATGGCACAGTCAAATTGATTTTTAAACATTGTTGAGCTAGAGAACAAATTAAACAGTGAAGTAAAGTGAAATACTTACTATACTGTCTATGGTAGATTTAGTCAAAAATCTAAAAAATCAGTTGAAAAAAAAATTTATAAAATCCGAATCAGTCTTAGGTTGCAAGTTGAATATACGACTTCAAAAGATCAGCCACATTTCACCATGTTCTATACAGTCCTATTTAGTTAGGTCCAAGATTGCCCATAAGCTTTCATCTCCTGCTCGCATGATCTCCTCCATGTTAACCTCCAACCGACGCCCAACTCGTCGTCTCCCATTCACCAACCACTTCAGTGATAGCTTGACTTCCAATGTCATCCAACGGTCTTCTAAAGGTGTTTTCGATCCACCCATATGCATTTTACCCTGCATATTTGTTTAGCATAAGGTTACTGGTGGATTGGTTCACTAGCAGAGTTTATTACTGCTAATAATCTCGGGTCGGATAGTCATTTGATCTACAGTATGAAACCAGAGAAGAAGGTAACAGTTCATAAAATTCTGAAATAACCTTTTAGTACTGTACCCCATGCCGCTGGCCATTAAGTTTCTGACTGGAGTTCGAAATGCAGGTCTTCAACTGATCATCACCATTATCCCTGCACACATGGACTGGGGTTCCATTCCCGGACAATACATTCCTCCCTAAACTCGCCTAGTTTACTAAGCGAGTAAGTAAGCTTGGGTAAAAGATGATGGTGGTGGGAGTGAGACTAGCAACCCCAACATTAGTGCTAGTGAAACTTAGGAAAAAACAAACGCTTGAAGTCCTATGTTCCAGCTATGCGGTAGGTTCAGGTTCTATTCAACGCCCATAGCAGTAAATCCAGAAAAGCCAGGAGGTGTTAACCAACCCAACCCATAAAAAATTGATGGGCAACTGTTAAATTAATCTTCAAAGCCTGAGGTTTTATGTTTCAACTAGAATTCGGGGGATAAAAAGGACCACGTGTTAAGATAGACTCCCCGACTGTTGATTTGAGTCACATGTCTGCAGGTATATAGACACTGTCTGTTTAGAGTTCTAAACATGCTTTTTTTCCGTTGTTATTAATTCCTTGTATTACTCGAGTGTGTGTCGGTGGCACAGTGGTAGAATGCTCACCGCCAAACCACGCCTCATTTGACTCGGGGTTCAATCCCCGGCCACTGACGCATTCCTTTACCTCGGTAATAATAAGACTGAAAAAGAGGGGAGGTTGGGGCGGGGCATAAGGCTAGCAATCCCATTCTGTAAAAATAAATACCACCAATGTTACCAAAACTTCAAGCCCCTAGCTTGAAGGCGCCCTATGTTCCAACGGGAGCGTGAAGGAGTAAAAGAAATAAAAGATAATAATTAATAATACATTTGAACTTACATGACCAATGTAATAGGATTGTTCTACTAAAATCCTTTTCAAATTTTTCAGACCAATTTAATGAAAAACTTGAGGGAAAATTTTTTAAAAAGAAAATGAGAAAATAAAACATTAGCTATAATCATGATGATGATGAAATAATGGCAAAGATTTATGCGCCACACAATAATAATAATAATGTGGTAAGAGCTGTCTGCTAACCGAAATCGGTAGACAGCGATTTACGTCAATGTTTATGTCCCCAATATTGGTTGTGAGAAACTAACAAGGATAAAAACTAATTCAACAGCCAATCACAGCAGACTTAGCGTGGACGGATACGATTCGCAGATATTTGATCTGACCTTCAAAAAAATGGCAACAAAAAGATGATAGGAATAACTTCCAGTGAGCAAAACAACCAATCAGAAGACGTTGTTTCTCTGCTAACAATAATGTATAATAATAATGTACATAAAAATCTATAAATATCTGTTGATTTCCCCAATAAACGATCTGTTGCCTGGCCATTATCTCCTGTCGTTACAGTGATAATACAGCAGTAATATATATAAATAAAATAGAGAGAGAGAAGGAATGACTTGAGTCTCAGGGCTAGAGAACAGTGACCAGTACGGAAGCCTCTGGGATGAGATTCCTAGCATAAGTCTAGACAACCGAGACTGGTGTTCCCAAATGAAGACATTCAAAGAATGGAATGGAACTCAGAACTACTAGTCACACGATGATCCCATCGAACGGAAACAATTCTACGGAGACAGCAATGGTCGGATACGCAGAATCACCGCAAAGATTTACTCATAGTTTATTGTTTCATTTCTTTGTTGGTGTGAGGGCTAGGATGCTGCCCGGGCTACAAGACCGAAGCAGGTAGTAGTCTCAAAGGTCCGTTTCCCCTAAACTTCGACATGGAGTCTCATTCGCGAGATACAGGAGTAGCGTCAGCAGCTATGTTGCCATGGTCACGAGTGACTAAAACAGGTTCATACGTCACTCAAACTGCTTATATTCTGGAGTCCCCCCTACCTCATAGTAACTGCTTTTAGTCTAAACGCTATCCTAGCAACTTTCCTGGCATGATAAGACCTGCAGAAACATGAGGTCCAGCCAGTATAGCTTGTTGAGTCACAGCGGTGTACAAGCACGCTCATCGAATCAAAGTGGTACTTCACAATTGAGAAAAATGGTAAACGAACACACACAACAGGCGTTCCGCACTCTTTATGAAACTCTTACTTGAATGTACCTGTAATCCCTAGTGAGTGATAATAGTGTCCCCCCCCACTACGAATCGGCTGCAGCACGCATCGTTTGAAACACCAAGGACGTTATCCACTAGACACACCACTTAGCTAACAATATTCACTTATCAGTTTCGCCAGCGCGTTTCAACGTCAGTCAATGCAGAGTATTATTCATTCACTTCGATCGATATATCTTAGATCGACAACTGCATTGTTCTGTAAGACACGACAGTTTAATTACGAGGATTACATATTCCTTCGAAAGATAACACTCTTAGCTAAAAAATATGATGACGATGATGATACTGTCCTTCTGGATGAAGACGCTGATGAAAAGCAGTCTTCTGAACACCATGAGGAGCAGCAATCTTCAAATGTTTGGCGTGCCACTTTCTCTTGCAAAATGATGTGAAACGTAAGATGATGCTGCTAAAGACTGGAATGCACCAACTTCTAGCTAAAGGATAGGGAGTTCAAATATATCGCTTCAATTAATTTCCACCTGGGAGTCTGAAAAGTACAATAGTACCCAGGTATCCATTCACCCAAATACACACAATAGGTATGACTGATCGCCCAGGTCTCAAGTGAACGAGTTCTAACTCACTGACTGACTGGCTAACTTACTAAGCATATCCAAGTTTTACAGAACATCACTATAATGATAATGATCACAGTTTAAATTGCAAAAACAAAATACTCTAAGTCATAGTAAGAGTCAATTTTACATCAAATTGTCAACAGACTGCTAATAGAAGTAGGTTTCCTATCAAAGGTAGACACAACAAGCATAGATAAACGTTTGCAGTCTTGAACACCGGCACCTAACTCAACGCCTAAGAAATGCGGTAAACGAAGAGCATTCCCTGCTGCTGCTGCTGAATTACGCTGTATCGTCCAAACCATCCGACCATATTTTGTGTTCGGGAGTAAAAGACAAACTGCCTGCTTAATTTCGTCTCTTCCATGTGTACTAAACAATTTAACTGCTCCTGTGGTCAGTTGCCTAGGTCTTACAATTAGGCGTGTTTCTCGTCGAATTTCCGAACACAACCCTGTGCGGTTGGCTAAGTAAAGGACAAACAAAATCTATTCATATAGCTCTATTCTATCTCACTAATCTTGTGGATACAGAACACACAAGATTGATGTCAACAAGGCGGCTTTCAAAGTCATTTACCGCATGCCAACAAATCTCAATTTTGCCTAAGGAGTTCGATTACTAAAATATTGCTGAGACTGGTTGTTAGGATCCACATTAAGAAGCCTAAATCATGTGTGCGAAAGAGGTTGGTTGGTTTAGACATTCTCCTTACCTTGGCCATCTCGGTTCAAATGATCCTCAAATTTTTGTGGAAATCTCCCTAATTTTATTTAATATTTTATTCGCTACTATATCTTTATTTTTATTGTTAATATAATTTAAGCATCTTTAATGAATTGTAATTCCATTGTGATCTTACTTTACAAATCGATATTGTTTAAAAAACACACTAATATTGTTATTGACTACTATTCTAGAATATTCTATGTCGGTGGTTCAATGGTAGAATGCTCGCCTGCCACGCGGGCGGTCTGGGTTCGATTCCCGGCCGACGCACTCCGCTTGTGCGTCGGTGGCACAGTGGTTAGGACTCTCGCCGACCATGCACATGGTCCGGGGTTCGAGCCCGCACCGACGCACACCTGATGTCTATGGTCGGCCTGCAAAATTTGGGCTACCGATATCCATGCTGAAAATTCCATACTTGTACCGAAAATACAGTGTGGAATCAAGCTGTAAATAAAAAATTTAAAAAAAATTAAAAAAATAAACATGCACGTGTATAATTGTAGAGCCAGAAGGGAGGAAATTATCGAAAGGGGGATATTCTTCTTTGCTGGCTCAATTATTTTGTGCTTTTTAAATATGTCGAAGAAAATCCAGGGTGTAATCGAAGATGATTGTTGAGTGGAACCCAACAAACAGGAAATAACAAGTCAGGGGAACGGATTTGAGGAGGCCAGTTGTGAATACAATTAACCGCTGAAGCCTTAGAATGTTCCACACTTGGAATACAAGGCATATGAACAAGAATAATAATAATAAAACTGTATTTTGTAAAAATATATGCATATATATATATATATATTTATATATTTCATTGAGTAATCTTTAAACGATTCAAAAGACACTTGTGAGACAATCAAAAAATATTGGAGTAAAATTCAAAGAAGGAGGAAGGATTTCAATAAAGACAAGCAAAAGAAGAAGAAGAAGACGACGACACCCAGAGAAAGCGACGTGCAGGAGGTTCAGTGGTGGTGATAGTGGCAGGGGAGGGCAGTGAAAGGGATGCGGGTTGAAGGGCATTCACACTGATCCATCCATTCATTCCTTTATTCCTTCATACAATTCTTCCTCAGTGTGTGTGTGTGTGGATAAAACGGTGATTGGTAAGTCATCTCATAATGAATCATCAGGAGAGGTGGTAGGTGCAAGACAAGAAGAAGAATCCAACAAAAAAGGCATCAACAGTAAACAGATCGATAGATAGATAGGCGGATAAAGTCAGCTAGGCAGGGGGATAAGAGGAAATGGCGGAAAAGATTGGGGGTGTGTGTGTGGGAAGTACGATAAATACATCTTTTGTACAGGAATACAAAAAACAGACAGGCAGACAGACAAACAAACAGAACAACAACTTTTTTGAACATGCACATATATATAATTGTAGAGCCAGAAGATGAGGAAATTATCGAAAAGGATATTCGTCTTTGCTGGCTCAATTATTTTGTGATTTATAGATGTCTGAATGAATATTTTCGCTAAAATAAAATGACTGTCATGATTTGTCTACAAATTGATAATACACAGACACACAAATGAATGTAGAATATTTTCACGCATAACACTGCATCACTTAAAACTGTCATCCTCATAATTAAATATTACACGTTAGAGTATAGAAGGTTAGGGGAGATCAATACCAGAGAGAGACAGTATACAATACACGATAATGAAACAGCCTGGCTACCATATAGCAAAAGAGTTGCGTAATAAGGGCAAGCAGTGAATTAGGTGATGAAAAACTAATAAGCTGAGTAAATTGAATAATTTGATAAATCCAACCCAAATCATAGAAACAAAAGACAAGCAAGGTTACACTATATCATAAGGGAGAAGATTATGCAATCACACACCCAGTTAACAGTGCAAAGAATGCCTGTGAAGTACTTCTTTTCTAACACATCAGTCGGATTGCAGGCGTTTGACCTGGCTCCAAGTCTGCCTACATGCTTTCATCTCCTCTTCACATCACCTCTTCCTTCGTTTCCATATCACCCTTGTACGACCAACTCGCCGCTTCCCTTTCGGCCAGGTTCCACTCAAGCGATGGCTTGTCTAGTGATGTGACTTGATGGTTTCCTCAGAGTATGGCTAGCCAATCCATCTCCATTTCTTCCTGCCTATTTGTTTCACAATCGGTTCCTGCCATCTGATCTTGAGTAGGATTGAGCGAAGACAGCTAGCTGTTGATGAAGATCTGCAGTTTGTTTGAGGTGCTCTTTATCACGCGCTGGCCAAGTCTCTGATCCATAAAGTAGCACTGACTTCACATTGGAATTGAAAATCCGGATCTTATTTTTTCATCCTGATTGCCGTTGACGTGCACACAGGTTTGTGAGTAGTAAAAGCTTGTCTTCCTTTCCCCACACTCGCTTTGATATCCTCATCAGTTCCGCCTGTAGTTGGAACGATGCTTCCAAAGTAGATAGGTAGGTAGGCGAAGCAGGTTGTTTCTTTCAGGTTCCTCCCATTTATGCTGGCTGATTGTTGTCTGTTGGTGTTGGTCAGGAATCCTCATCACCTCTGTTTGCTCTATGCTCACCTGACGTGAAGTTTTGTCTTTGGTGCTTCTTCTTCCAACTTGTTGCTTTCCACTTGCATATCTTCCAGTCTGTGGGAAATCAGACATATATCATCGGCGAAGTCCAGGTCCTCCAAGTTTTTTGTGTGAGTCCATTTTGTGCCTATCTCCTCATTGCCCGCTGTCTGTCGCATTATCCAATCTACTGCAATCAGGAAAATCATTGGCGATAGTAGGCAGCCAGCCTTGTCTCACTCCCATCTTCACTTCGAAGGCTTCCGTAAGTTTCCCGTTGTGGATTACTTCACGGCATGCAGCATTGTCGTACAACTAACTGTTGGATGAGATGTATAATTGTCGGTGGCACCCCTTTGTAGTAGCGAAGTAGTTTTTCCAAATCACCTCTCGATCGACACTGTCAAAGGCTTTTTCAAAGCCGATGACTGCCATTCCAAGTTCTGTTCAATGATGATCCTTAGTGTGGCAATTTGATCAATACATAACTTGTTTCACCTGAATCCAGCCTGTTCCGGTCGATGATTTTCAGCCAGGTTGGCGTGCTTGATTCTCTCCAAGATGGAGAGAACCTCACTTTATTCAAATTCATGCATGAAATGGAAAACAGATAAGTCTAGGGAAAAAAAAGGATGATAGAAGACGAGACGAGCCAAGACAAGACGAAAATGAATACAACTCACCTCCATGGTTCTAATATCGGTTCCCATGCGATTAAATTTTGATTGTAATAAAAACACGAAACTGTTGAACAATCTAAATTCAGCCTTGAATCAGTTTTACTCCACAATATTTTCATGCCTATACAACACACACATACACAAAATATGACATAGAAAAATAATTTTAAAAAAAAGTTAAAGGTTAAAAGTATTTATTCGTATTCAGTGAATATGATAAAGTGAATTTCGCATTGTATGCAAGATTCATCAATCGTCCCCAGCCACCCAACCCACCCTCCACTACAACATGCAACCAACAGAAGCTAACCCCCCATTTCAACACAATAAGGCAAACATTTGAATTGTGGAGTGATATGTATCCACATATATATATATATATATTTATGTGTGTGTGTATGTATGGTGGTCTCTCTTTCTGTTTGCTCGCTTAGTCTGTGACCATTTCACTTGTATGAACTTGTCTCCTTTAATAACGTGTATTCTCCTTATATTATATTATATATAATATGAGTGTTTGTTGACAGTCCGTTGCTTGGTGACATATATTCACATATGGTGGTTGTTGACATGTCTGCTATATTTCGCTATGTATATATGGATCGATACTTCATTATAATTAGCCATTCATGTTAAGACTGTCTAATGATTGTTCACACCCTTGTCATATACATTTCGTTCTCACAATCTTGTGTGACTTACCTACTTACGTACTTACTTTGGTGTGATACCATTTTATTGCGTCTCCTTGTGTTTGGAAAATAGAAGTATCATCGCAAACCTAGTGGTCTTCTGATTTCCGCCTTCTTGCGTCAGGACAATAAAATTCTCGACCAGTACATAACAATAATTTAGCGACGAGTACATAACAATTTGGTGACGGGGAAACTAGTACATAATATGGAGAATACTCATCATAAAGTCAGTCAGAAAATAAGACGGAATAGATGACTAGTATCGACACAGAAATTTGTACAGAAGTCCACCGGCGGTTCAACATACCACATACACACACAAGAGGACAAAAGAGATTCAAAGGAACGATAATGAACAGCAATGTGAGGAATAAGGCGGGTTGGATAATGGATATTGGAGATCACAAAGAGTGAAGGCGTCTGAGCCACTGACAATGATTTCGAGCCGGAATCACCGATAGTCTCCAATAATTAGATTTTTTATAAACCTGAGGACCCCCAACCAGGCAGTCTACACTTCCCTACTCCATTATGGATAAGACTTTATTTTTATAAATCACACAGTGTCTGTTGTACAGTAATATTAACTGATGACCACCTTTCGAGCACAAATTATATACTGCTCATAATCATATCAAGACATTACTCACACAACTTTCTTGCTTCATTTATATACATTTGTGGAATTGATTACATATTGGAATAATGTACATTCAGAAATAATAATATGAGTGTTATCAATTAAATACACTCAGATGGGAAATAAGACGAGTGTTTTTACAGTCATAGTAAGTAACTTGTTAGAATGTTGTGATGATGTACGTGAATTGAAACAGAATTTTGAGGTTATTTATTATCCTCCTCTGATTCGACTGACTGCTGGTAATAATATCTTCCATGCATATCTCTGGTATTTGTGTCGTGTCACTTCTGTTTTATATGTTGGGTATAGACTCAATGAACCGGGTAGTATTTAGTAATCAACCTCTCTCTCTCTCTCTCTCCACCTATTTAGATGACTCCTTAGAATCTTAACCCTCTCCCACCCACCCTATTATGTTGTTGTGTGTTAATTCGTGCAGTGCAACTGCTGAACTTTTTTCTCGTCTTATTTCTCATCTGATTGTAATTGATCAATAACACTCATATTATTATTATTATTTCTGAATGTACACTATCCCATATTGATTTTTATTCCAATATCTAGTCAATTCCACACATGTGTATAAATGAAGCAAGAAAGTTGTGTGAGTAGTGTCTTGATATGATTATGAGTAACAATAATTTGTGCTCGAAAGGTGGTCATCAGTTAATATTACTGTATAACACTACACTGTGTGACACTTTATCAAAATAAAATCTTATCCATAATGGAGTTATACTCTACCACCACAGTACCCAAGTTTTACACTTATATGAATAATACATTTCCCTACGTTTAGTTGGCTCATACTAACTGCCAAAGATTTTAAGAAGTGATGAAAACTTTTGGTTTGATTACCACTAGCTAACTGTTTTCCAACCTGATTATATGTCAACTTACATTGACCATCGTGGAAGGTAATGCTGAGGAATGAGTAACTACATGTCCTAGATATCTCAATCGATTGATCTACCCTCCTTACCAAACTATCATTCGACATCTAACGTCAATTATACTCAACTGTATTAGACCACGTAACACGGGAGACAGAACACAGACAACCAGCTTTTTCATATCTTCCTGTTTTCCCTAAAATAGCTCAATATGAAGTACTGAAAGATTGTTTCGAGTCAATATATCTGTGTCATTGTTTGAACTCATTTATCTGGAACGGACGTTTCAGGTTGAGGGACTTGACATACCATCCATTTGTTTTTATTAATTAAATAGTTGCAGGGAATCGAAAGGAAGTCTGGATGACTGGATTCTAGGTTTTGTATTTGTTGGCTGGCACTCTCACCAGTTTACAAGGCCTATTTACAATCTTGAAGGAACTCTCATGATCCCTGTCTGAGAATTGAACGCATGTCAACCAGTGCTAGAGTCAGAGAGGCTGTCACTTGAGGTATTCGGGCTCGAGACTAATCTCCTGTAGCAGTGTATTGAATACTCTGATTGTACCATAAGTATTATCATGTCTGTAGTAATTTATTTGGTGCATACCGAATTCTGCCAGTCAGCTTTCCATTGTGGTCACTATGCTAGGTCACTTTACAATCACAGTGTACTATATTTCCTTCAGAAATGCAGGTATGCCCTGTAGTGGAGTCTCTGACAAATTTATTCTGTTGATAGAGATTGCAGCTTGTTGTTGATGTGGACCAACTCCGTCATCGCTATGTTTATTCGATGTCCTGTCTTTGCTGTATCCCTCCTCTTCTAATTTAAATGACATTAGATGCATATCGTTCAAAATTTTCTAGGGTCCTTCTTATCTATCGAAAATATTTCTATCCTGTCGCACTCCAAACATCCTCTTCTGCATAAGGTTGAGGGCTTAACATACTACCCATTTGCTCTCAGGCTGAAGTAGTGAAGGCGGTATTCAAACCCTAGTTCATCAAAGAAAGGCGAGTTCCAAGGTCACGGAGTCATTGATAAAAGTATAAAACTTGGGCACTGTGGTAGAGTATAATTCCATTATAGATAAGATTTTATTTTGATAAATCACACACAGTGTTGTACAGTTATATGAACTGATGACGACGTTTCGAGCACAAACTATTGCCACTCATAATCATATCAAGTTACTCACACAACTTTGATCTCTCATTTATATACATGTGTGGAATGGATTAGATATTGGATTAAAAATCAATGTGAGATAATGTACATTCAGAAATAATCGTACGAGTGTTGTTGATCAATTGCAATTAGATGGGAAAATTGGACGAGTGTTTTTACAGTCATAATAAGCTGCTTGTTAGAATGTGTTTGAATTGAAATAGAATTTTAATATTATTTATTATCCTCTTCTGATTTGACCTGCGGTAATAATATCTTCCATATCTCTGGTATTTGCATTGAGTCATTTTTGTTGCATGTGTTGGGTGTGGACTCGATAAATAAGGATTCCGTAATCAACCTCTCTCTCCACTTAGCTATATTACTTTTTAGAATTTTAACCCTATCCCACCCTATTGTGTGGTTGTTTGTTATTGCATGAAGTGCAATAGCTGAGCTTTTTTCTAAATTACTTATCTTTTCAGGGTCAACCATTCTTACCTTAGCTAAATTCTTATGTTCTGTTAATCTGACTATCCCTGACCTACTAGTTTGACCTATGTAGTTGACCTCACAGTTATTGCAGGGTATTTTGTAAATTATATTATTTTGTTTAATTGGATCCACCGGGTCTTTTAGCCTACAGAGCTTGTCTCTGAGTGAGTTTGTAGGTTTGAATGCCACCCTAATTCCTGCTTTATTAAGAATCCTACGTAGGGCCTCAGATGTGCTTTCCTTATATGGTATAACAGTGGATGACTTATATTCTTTCTTATTTGTGTTATCATTAATAGTTTCACCATTATTTTTATTTTGCTTTTGGTTTTTGCTGATCTTCCTAATGAATTTTATAGGATAGTTATTCAACACCAACGCTTCTTCTATCTGTTTTATTTCATCATTTAGGTCTTTTTTTGTGCTACTTAGTGCTATGGCTCGATTTGTTAGACACTTTACTAAGCCTGCCTTAACAGTTAACGGATGAGACGAATTAAAGTCTAAATATCTATTAGAATGCGTTGGTTTTCTATAAACACTAGTGTGTAGTTTGCCTTCTTCTATTCGTTTTATTTTACAATCTAACATAGCTAATTCTCCTAGTTCATTTTCTGATTCAAATGTGAATTTAATTCCCTCTACTTGTGAGTTTATATGTGTCAGGAAGCTAGAGATATGTTCTGTTTTTAACACCATATTTTTGGAGTGGGGTTAAACGTATTAAGAGCACTACTTTCCCAGCTGTCCATAAATATGTCTGCTACAATAGGGGATATTGGTGATCCCATTGCTACACCTTCTGTTTGTCTATATATTTTGCCTTGGAACTTAAAGATGGTAGATGTGAGACATAACTGAATCCCTAACATAATTTGTTCAATGGGCAGCTTTGTCCTATGATTCAGTTCAGGATCCGCAGTTAGTTCTTTTTTAACTGCTTCTAAGGCCATAATGACTGGTATATTAGTGTAAAGACTAGTTATATCAAAACTAACCATTTTTTCATCATTCTCTAGTTGAATGTCATTTAGCTTACTTTTCATCTCATATGAATTAGTTTAGAATTATGAATGGAGTCACATATTCACTGATTCTTTAGAGTCTACCGCATTTATTTAGTTCGCGAATGATCAAGTTACACCTCCAACATACCTTCAAAATTGAATTTTAGCAAAGGATTCTCTTCATTTGACAGCAGAGTTGAATGTGTCGATCTTTGTGTATCCAATAAGTACAAAGATAAATCCACATTGAACTATAAGGAAAAATTAAGCGGGAGAAAGAGAGAGTGGATAGGAAGGTAAAACAGTTACGTAACATAAATTAACTTAACTTGTAAAATGTAACAAAGAATATTAGAATAATTTATATGAGTGCAGCTCAGTTAAGTAAGAAGAAGAAGATTGCGTTATCACACTAGACAATATTTTCACTGTCATCCTCAAAATGAAATAACATTTTGGGATTCCCTCTGAATAAATTAAACGTCTCTATTAGTGACCATGTCTGTGACATATTATGGTGCATTGTGGTGTTCAGTGATAGAATATCTGGCACCCACACCTCACGTGGTCCAGGAGCTCAGTTCAAGGACACGCCAACACACTCCTACACCTTGCTTAACCAGTAATATTGGCGTTAAAGAGGAAAGGTTGGTTATGAAGCTAGCAACCCCTCATCCTGTACAAAAAAACGAATAACACCATTGCCAATGACATCTGTGTAGCTTTGTCGGAAAGTTGCCTTTCTCTCATTGGTAGATATGCACGGAAGGGGCCAAGTTAAACTTGACGCACCACTAACTACCAATCAGCGAACGACGTTGAATGGTCCAATGAGATTCATGAACGTGAGTTCAATGTTGTACAGCGCTTGATTCGTTTCGAATGCGTACTCTAACGACGTTACCCTTGCAATTCGAGGAGGATTAGGTTTTGCATTATTGCCTGGATTTGGGGTTGCTTAGGAAGGAGAGGAGTTGTTCATGTGGTGGTGTCATGAGTTTAAAAAGCTTTAGTAGGTTGGCTGATGGATATGTATATCGTTGTGGAATTTGTTTGAGGCAAGTTAGCATTGGATAAGGTAAGCTAATAATTTAAATATTTTGAAGGAACTATTTTGGCAAGGTCGCATCTCTCCCTAACTCAGATTTTGTATATTTTCAACTACTGGGTCTTAAAACAGCCGGTGAGAGCCGCGGCTGCTAAAACCAAGAATAGCATCGTCTCAGCAGTTCAGTGGTATCAGCATTGCAGAGACATTGCATCATGAAAAATAGAGAAAATTACTTCTTTGTTGGGTCGAGAAGACATCGTTGTGAACGTCGACGAAACTGTGTTGGTGAAGAATAAATACAACCGTGGTCGTCAGCGAGCCAGCAATATTTCGGTAATTGGTTTGTACGACACCTCCCTTCGAAGGGGATTCGTGGAAAGGATAGCGGATAGAAAAGCAACTACTCTTATACCTATTATTACCAGATTTGTAAAACGGGGATCAATAATAAACATGGATGAATGGAAAGGTTACAATTTTCTGTCATCTCTGGGATATATTCATCATAGAGTGAACTATTCAAGTGATTTCTTCGATCCCATTACGAGAACACATTCAAATTCTATTGAAGGATTTGGAGGGAGGTTGAAAAATAGGATTAGGGTTATAAATGGATCTCAAAAGGATCTCATTTATCGTCATTTGGATGAATATATGTACAGAATGTGGTGTGACTTTTCTATTGACACTCCTATGCTTAACTGGGAGATGTTTCTGTCACAGGTCAGAGAAAGATACCCTATGTAAGAGTTGTATGAAGTTTTTACGCTTTTTTCCCATAAATATACGTTTTCCTTTATCAAAAATCCCTCTTTCATGTGACTGGTCTGTTGAAGGTCGTTTGCTGATTGGTAGTTAATGATGCTGGAAGTTTAACTTTACCCAGAAGGTTCATAAAACCTTATCATTTGATTGGATATTGGCTAGTAACCAGTATCATGGGTCTAATCCTCTGTTTTATGCACTGTGGACATCATTCTAGGTGACTCATCATTACAATGAACTCTGAAGTCAATCAGCCTTTGGGAAGTCCTGTCTCAACTAGGTTTTGTGCATGTTTGCACTCACTCACTCACTCACTCATATCCTCCCCGCCCCCTGAGATTCGAATAAAGACATCGAAACAGGAAAGGCTTTTATTCAAAGACCAAAAACACTTACATCAAAGCTAATCAATCTTTTTGAAATATAATCAGCAAATATAGTTGGCCAAAATTTTGATAATAATAACAATGACGTCTGCTGATTCGACTTATTCCTCTTTGATGATTGTACATCTACAAACATTTTTGAAAAAAAAACTGAAATTAAAATAAAGATAGTTTAATATTTTTTTTAGGAACACGCCAAGTCGAGTGGCATAAATCTGACCTAAAGAAATTGGTTACCACTCACAAGGTGTACAACATAGATGGCACTGAAATTGAAACCAAGTCGGAAATTAAATACGTAGGCGTCACTCTATCTTCTGATCTTTCCTGGTCGTCTCATATCTTGACGATTTCCAAGAAAATATACCGTCTTACCATCTACATCAAGAAGTTAGGACATTCTGGTGTAACCCAACCCTTACTCCTACAATTTGTTAACTCCCGTATTCTGCCTAATATTCTCTATTATTTCCCCTTAGTATTTCCTGGGATATTGAAGAAAGACTCTACCTTATTACGCAGGATGTTAAAGGTTGTCAGCAGGGTAAGCAGTTCGCCACTTAGCCAGCTTGTTAATATTCTGGTGGACAGGCACATGGACTCATGTGAAAAATGGGCGAAATCCATCTTATCTGATTCACAACACCCTCTATATTCACAACTCTCCCCATGTATCTCTCCAGGGAAAACCAGGAGCCTATATAGAAAACTATATGCTCGCACTAGCAAGTACAAAAACTCATCCATACCCTACCTAGCCCGTGTTCTGTGAAATAAAGAAAGCATTAGGTGTGAAACCTTTAACTTATTAAATAGTCAGTAGAACAAATAGATCTCGTCTTTCCAACTCACATCATTTATAGGTACAACGTTTTCTCTCTACCTTTTTTTCTGTGTTTATTTTTGTTATGTGCTGTTTTGTTTCTCTCTTCCTTACAAACTCTACTTAAAACATTCTTGTTCATTCTTTCACACTCTGTATATCTCGACCACTTTGCTATCGCTTACGCCGGTAAATATGCTAGTAGTATCTACTTTTCTAACACCTTCTAACACTGTTTAAATTTTGGTTTTTGCTACCGACATGCTAATATGTTGTTGTCAAAACTGACTGAGATAACTTTAATCTATGTAGAACTATATTTATTGTTAACGTTCTAACTGGATGCAGTATTGTAGTAAAAATGCTGAGAATTCCATTCTGTATCACAAGTACTGATTTAGAATAAAGCTTATCTTATCTTAAAAACAGTTCTCTGGGGGTGGGTGGGTGGAGATTACTTCAAGGAAGAAGAATTTGCCTCCCCTCTTCTTCTCCAAAAAAAGCTACTTCTACACTAATCCCATCAAAAATCGAACGACATCAACAAAAGTATCACGAAAAAAGTAGCAGAAAATAAGAGGCGGATTTCATGGGCTGGCCATTGGATTGGGTTCCAATGGCTGAATGGTATACAAGTACGCCTTGTAACCAAGAGGTCCTGAGTTTTAACCCCGGAAGGTGGATGAGTGTATTCTGATGGGGGAGACAGTATACGATGAAACAGCTGCCCGATATACTCTCTGGTTTTAAAAGGCTCTCTAACTGATATCGATTCGTGATAAAACTTCGAACACACCAAATCCCCACAAGCAAACTTATTGAAAATTAATCTGATGCTCACTAGCTACAGACAGATGCTGTCTGGAGTGAGTTCTAGTGGTGAGTCATAAGCAATGAAGTCCACCAAGTCGGGAGTAAGGACAAAACCTGCCCCGACGACAATGTTCGGTAGTCACCCTAATATCATCTCGAGTTGGTAGAAATAAGAGTTTATGGTTCATTGGATCAGATTCCTCGCCTTGTAATCGAGAGTTACTGGTTTCAAAATCTAAGTGATTTCACACTGTCGAAGTAGAGCAAAACAGCTGGATGTCCAGTTCTCCCTAACTGATTTTCAATAATCCTCTATCCAACTGACATCAATCCATGATTAAACTTGAGAAAACAGAGGAACTTACCTTCATTGAAGGCAGTGATGACAACAACCGATGGTTGATTGCTACAGCCAATATCATCATTTTGTCTATCCATTGAAGGCTTTGATTTGCATTTCGCCATCAGTTGACTAATACAATCTTTGATTAATTCAATATCAGCACAGCTTGATGTGATTTGAATGACAGGTGCAACTAAGGTCATTTTTAGTTGTAACTGGGTTTGCTGTACGACCCATTATAAAAAAATCAGAAGAAGAAATACAAAAATAAAACTCACATAAAATTCAGAAATCAATCAATTTAGCCATACTGTTTAAGTACTACTCATAAAGAGGGCATCGGTTGTTCAGCAGTAAAACGTTCACCAACCACATCTCATGTGGCCCGGTTTCAACTCCTGACTGCCAACACACTTCCTTACCTCGCTAAACCCGTAATAAGGCCGGTATACAGAGAAGATCGCGCGTGAGGCTAGCAACCAAACGCCGTAGAAGCTGTAGCTTGAAGCTAACCACATATAACTTGAAGATCCCGGGTACGATCCCTAATGGTGAAGTCATCAGTGCGTGTGCAGTTGAAGAGTCTCAGTCTAGAAGAAAACAGTTGTCCAATGTGCTCTTTTGGGTTTCTAATAACTCTCTAACTGATTGATACCGGTGAAATCAATCGACGAGGCTGTGAAGCTACATCGACTGAGATTGGTTAGGACATGTGTTACACGTATGCATACCTAGCCAAAGCCTTCTTCGAGTGACGGGCAATGTTAGCTGACATAGGCTCAAGGCTGGTGGTCAAACCGAAACATTACTTCATCAGTTAATGAAATCCACAACACTTAGTTTAAAGCAGCCAGGTAAGAAGGTGAAGACTTCCTGGCTGGCTGGTTGGGGTCCTCGGGATGATAAACACCAATGAAGGCTGGAGATAATTGGCAAGCGCAGATGCATCCACTCCTTGTGACTTATAATACCCAATGAAACTATATTGTTCTTCCATATTACTATTCTTTTTGCCGCATATCTCTATTTCACACTTCTTTTTACTTTCTTTTCTTGCTTTGTGTGTGCTAAATGGAGGGAGTGTAGCGACTCGAACTGATGCACATCGGTGCAGAGTTCTATGTTGAAAACAGACGGGCAGACAGACAGACATATCAATAAGGGCGACAACAATTACAAGTACAAATAAAATAACTCTACCAAATAAGTTAACATACACCTGAATAAAGAGTATTTCTCTGTCGAACAGAATATCCAAAATCAAGTCTACTTGGCAGTAGAGACCATTGAATTAATTTCAGATATGATGTTCCTCTATTTGCCATGAAATCATTTTTATTGTTGTTGTTGTTGAATAATGAAAATGGTGATGATAAGAACAACGAAGATGACGACAGTGATGGTGACAGTGCTGGTGCAGGTGGTGATGACGCCAACGTTTCACCAATTGAAAAATGACATATCTTCGAAGAGAATTTCAATGGATCAGATATTTGAAATAACAATGATGATGATGATAATGATGACGTTGTCAGTGGATCACGAGATAACCGGAGATATTGAATACTGGCTTGAATAACATCACTGAGGATACCATAAATTGTATGAGTAGATTTTAGACGTGAAAAATTCGCACTTAACTAAAAAAAATTTTAAAAAAAGGGGAAAAATAACTGTCAATGTATAAATAAACAAATTTGTCTTTACAGGATTTTCATCATGAACTGACATTAGTTAGAGAACCATTGGAAAACCTGCCAGGGAGTACTGGACAGCTGTTTCGTCCACCTAATTTGGGACTCTTCATCAGTACGCACCCACCCCGCAAAGCTTTCGAACCCAGGACCTTCTGGTTACAAGGCTAGCGAGTTCGCAGACCATTCACCAGCCACTGAAACCCGATCCAATGGCCAGCCTATGAATTCTAACTTCTGCCAATTCACGATATAGCGCAACCGCTAGCCAATGTCTTCGCTGGCGACTATTTGACCTCACACCCGACCTGTAGCACCCTACTGGTCATGACTTCTTACTAGAACCGCAGGTAACTACCTACATGAATAGGGCAAGTCGTTAGCGAGCATCTCATTGATATTCAAGTGTTGTTTTGTAGGGATTTGATTGGTTACAAGATAGTTGCAGGCAATTGAAAAGAAGCTTTGACTGGACTGGACCTAGATTTTGTGCTTGTTGGCTGGCACTTTCATCAGTCTACAAGTATTATGGCAATGCCTGGATACATAAGGAATCACGACAAATACCCATTTATTCCCATTAAGTAAAAACATAGTTTTATTTTTTGTTCAGCGAGGAAATATCTCTTTTCAACGACTTCATTTTCAAGCCAACTGTACAGTCGTATTTATTTATATTACAGAAAAAGGTTAGTAAGTGGCACTAAATAATCACTCAGTCAATATACATATATAAGTGCTCTACAGAGATAATCGATAGCGTACTAGATAACCTTCGATAAAATCTCCTTAACCATGGATACCCAACAAGGTTCATTGAACATAACATCAAGAAAGAATCCGCCCCTAGACAAATCACAGTACCAAAGAAAAAAACTGTTTATGAGTCTAGCAATCAAAGGTGACACAATTTCTGAATTGATTAAAAATCGTTTTTCTAAATGTATTAAACGCACTTTTCCTGCAGATGACTTGCAACTAGTTTTTACCAGCTGAAATATGATTAGACAATGCGCGTCAAGGATAGATTACCGCGTATGTCCACATCTATGTGCATTTACTCTTTTACCTGCTCTTGTGGAGCTGATTATATTGGACGTTGTAAGCGTACTCTCCGAAAACCTGTAGCTGAACACTATCCGGTTTGGTTAATGAAAGGCGAGTGTAGAACTGCGAAGTCGTCTATTTGTGATCACCTGTTAGAGTCTGGTCAATTAACCCCACGTGATTCATCTTTCAAAGTTATCTACATGGCAAAATCGAATAGCTCCAAAAGTTTACGTTTTCTTCACTTATGCATAGCCGAAGCTTTAGCTACATACATGAACAGAAACCTAAATTATGTGTTCAAAAACGTTTTGTCAAGCCCTTTTCTTTACCTTGGTCATAGTAATGTTCTTTCTTTGTTGTTTTGTGTGCCTCAGTAGCATACTTATCACTCCCGCCCTGTGACACGGCAGCAGGAAGCGCGGTCGTTGTTAATCCGGGCCACGGCCGATCCGGCATGAAATTTTGTGAATTTGTTTGGATCATGGTATTGGATGAGGTAGCTGCTTTTTGTTTAACCGCTATCCATTACCCATTCTGTTTCACTCTTATATTTGTCAAACTCTATTAATTCTCTTCACTCATCTTCTTGTCTACCTCTGTGTGCTATTTGGAACGTGGCAACTCGAACTGCTGCACTTCGGTGCGAAGTTCTATGTTGAATCCAGACAGACAGACAGAATGTTCTTTCTAGTTTTTTATTTTATTTTACCACTTGAATTCATTCCATTTCACTTCACATCTTCATTCTTATCGTAATCGTACTCCTAATTTCTAAAATTTTTAGACAAAGCTTGACATTTTTCTTTTAAAAATATTTCTGGTATTAATTCACTTATAAAACAATCTTTAATAATTTTGTAATTTATCCACTTCAACTCTACCCCTTATATAACATTTTAATTATCGTTATTCTTATCACACAAATATATGCATATTGACTGAGTAATTAATTATTTAGTGCCACTTAATAACAATTTTCTGTAGTAAAAATACGACAACTATACAGTTGGCTTGAAAATGAAGTCATTGAAAAGAAATTTCTTCGCTGAACAAAAAACAGCAACTGTGTTTTTACATAAGGAGTGCCGAGAGGTTACATTGCACTGATCAAGCCACTCTCACTCCACTCGAATTCATGCAGTCAATCAGGTGAGAGCTTACTACGAGTTGTCATCTGAAGTGGTGACAATCAGCGTAGTGGTGTCTGTTAGGGATGCCAACTATCCTCATTTCTATTCAATTTCATCAGAGATGTACTAATGGATTTAACTCTAACTACTGACTTCAGCGACTCGAGGATTGACGTGTTACCACCATCAGGGAATAATAGTCTCCTTGACTTAGAATATGCAGACAACAAAAAGTCCTTGTAAGTGAAGATGCTGACAAAATTCAGTAGAGTCTTTTGAAAAAAACCCTACAACAACACCACCACCATAAACAACAATAAGCAAACTTACCTTTAACATTAAAGACATGCGTTCATCATATGGTATACAAACTTCGTTATCTTCTATGCATAAATGTAAACCGGTGTTTTGTATCACAGATGCTGATGACCTCGACTCTTGTCTACGTGGATGAATCAACGGCTCATTATTACTACAACCTTGAGTATGATAATAAGAATGATAATATCCTTGAGATTTAGGCTTGCAATGCTCACATGAGGAATGCGATCTAAATAATAAAAACAAAAGAGTAAAAGTAATAATATATTATATAAGTAATTTGTATATATGCCCAAATGAAGTTCACTTTTTTAAGTTTGAAATAATAATTTAGGCACTGGGTGGTATATGATATATATATATATATATATATATATATATATATATATATATATATATATGATACCCGACCGATAACTGCTACCTTGTCGTGATGGTCGGGGGGCTTGAATACCGTAATGTCCCAACATGCTAAACTGACTGAGACTCATGTCCCTGCAGGTCCTACCATGTCAGGAAGGTTGTTTGGATAGCGGTTACACTGAAAGAAGTTACCGTGCCATGGGGTACATGGGCTCCAGTATCCAATCGGATTAAATGGCGTATGAACGAACCCATATGGGTCACCGTAAACCATGGGAATGCACCTCCTAACGCTGCTCCTCTGACTTGCGGATTAGACTCCACGTTTTTAAGCGTTTAAATAAATAAATATGACATTCATTATAATAAAAGGTTCTTTTTGCATTTTCCAATGAATGAATGACAAAACAAAATGACACTGTCGTTGTTTTTACTGACGACCTTTCGCTATTTAATGCTGCTACGAATAGCTTTATCAAAGTGGTAATATTGAACCAGAAGAACTTACAAAATCCACTCAGCTTATATATGTCTCTGTCTGGATTCAACATAGAACTTGGCACCGAAGTGCAGCAGTTCGAGTTGCCACGTTCCAAATAGCACACAGAGGTAGACAAGAAGATGAGTGAAGAGAATCAATAGAGTTTGACAAGTATAAGAGTGAAACAGAACGGGTAATGGTACAAAGGAATATGAAAGATTACAGAGACTGAATACATCTGCGCTGTCATTGATAACGATGAGTTTGAGCCATGTCACCTATTGTCTCCAGCCATTGATTCCTAGAGACCTGAGGGCCCAAACCTGGAAGTCTGAATCTCCCTACCTACCTGACTCAGTTTAACTGTCAAGGATTTCATGGATTGATGAGGTCATGTTTTTGTTTGGCCACCATTCACTCTTTTCCAACCTGCACCTATATCAGCTAGTGATGCCCGTCGGCGGGGGAGGCGATGGTTAGGTATGCGCACCACGTGACCTAGCCATCTCAATCAATGTAACTTTATAGCCTCGTCGATTGATTTCCCCTCTTTGCCCAACACTCTACGCCTAACGTCAACATTACTTACCTTATTAAACCATCTAACGTGAGAAAGGGATCTCAGACATCTATGATCGAAAGCAGTTAACGTTTTCATGTCTTCAACTCGTATTGTCCATGTTTCAGAGCCATAGAGAAGGACGGAGCGAACTGATGAGCAGTACACACGTCCCTTGGTTGACAGCCCGATGTCACGCCTACGCCAGAGATGGTGTAAGTTAGTTAGCGAAAGCAGCTCGAGTTTTTTGATCCGTGCTGAGATTTTATCCCGAATCAGTCCGTTGGTGCTAATACAACTTCCCAAATAGGTGAAGTGGTCAACATGTTCTATCACTTCACTCCCTATCACTAAGTTAGGAGTTGACGTGGTCCAGTCCTGTAGCAGCATCTTACATTATGTAGGGGCGAATCGCATGCCAAACATACGAAGATTGCTGCTCAAGGTGTTCAGAAGACTCTGCTTATATATGACAACTTAATCATCATCGTTCCTCAGGATGGGGGCATTTTTTGTTTTCAAATTGGCCAATTGGCAAAGATAACAAAACCAGGTGTAGATTGTTGGATTTGGTAAGTGTGTAAAATTATAAAAACAGTGTTTGTTTACACAATGAAATTGCTTATCACATTTGAGTTGATTTTGTCATTTCATGGGGGAGAAGGGTGTTCTAACCAGGTCGAATTCTGTTTTAGTCTATCATTCCTATTCAGACAATTTAGATTCCATTTGACGATATGAAGTGTTTCTGATGATATTAGACGTTCTTTGTGATTCATGAAACTCTTTTTCTGGATGATGATTTCAATATTGTCAAAATCACTGTGCGTTGGTGGCACAGTGGTTAGGACTCTCGCCGACCATACACATGGTCTGAGGTTTGACCCCCTGCCGATGCACACCTGATATCTATGGTCGGCCTGCAAAATTTGGGCTACCGATATCCATGCTGAAAATTCCATACTTGTACAAAAAATACAGTGTGGAATCAAGCTGTAATCGAAAACATTAAAAAAAATCAATTTTGTGGCATGATTCTATTGTGTAGCGTGTAGACGACCTATGGCTGATGATTTTTCAAGCTTCTTTAGTTCACTAACTGGATTTATCGGTGGTCGAACACAGGTGGCATCATGGTGTTCATTTCTTCTAATTATTGTGATTTCTCTCTGGCGATGTTTGTCCGATGTATACCACATCACATACCAATCATTTTATTTTATAGACGAATTGGATTGAGTACCCTCTGGAATTTGGTTTTTTACATGCATGTGTTGAGAGCTGGCTATTAGCCAATTTGGTAGACAGTAATTTACGTCGATGTTTACGTCCCCAATATTGGTCGAGAGAAAAATAAGAACAAAGACTGATTCAACAACCAATCACAGCACACTTAGTTTGCATAGGCGGATACCATTTGCAGATAGATAATCTGAACTTCGATAAACGGTCGCAAAGAGATGAAAGATTAACTTTCAGTGAGAAGCCACCAATCAGAAGACTGTGTTTGTTTGCTTACAATAATGTAAAATAATGTACATGAAAATCTATAAATATCTGTTGGTTTCGTAAATAAACGATCTGTTGCCTGTTGTTACATGCAGAAATTCATTAACGACTGCCTCCTTTTTTGGCTCCATACTGAAGCTCAAACGACTGGCCAGAAAGAACCAGCTCGAAGAAACTCTAGGAACGAACCAAAAGGCGAAAACCTATCGCTCAACAAATATGTAGAAGAAAATAGAAACGAGCTGGGCTAACGCTATGTGGAGACCGTTGAATAACATCGTGCACCAGGTAATCGCTTGAGTAGAACCCGAATAAGAAACGACGAGTTGGGCGTCAGTACAACATTGACATGGAGGAGATCAAAGAACATCAGCAGTCATGGAGTCGGCTAAAGAGGATCAAATAGAGAATAGGACAAAGTGGAGACATGTTGTTGAAGGCCTATGGTCAGCATTCTAAGTTATGACATAAGATTTCTTTGAAAAAAAACCAATGAAACTCGAAATTGTCTGAAACTCACTTCTTCAAGGTGTCCACAGACGATGAAGTACTCACATCAGCTGACAACGGTGGTAGGGTAATGAACGATGTGAACTGGATTAACCAATTAAAATTTAACATTAAACGTAATGAAGTTGAATAGAAGAGTAGAGTTGAATTCAAAGTAGAATTATTCAGTGAAATAATGAGTTTGGGAGGCGATTTTGCCAATTTATTTCCAGCAGGCGATGCCGCCGCCACCTCCGCTTGTGGAGATGATACAGTTGGTTGCTGTTGTTGTAGACCTTGTAAAATAGTGTTTTGACCTACTTCTGAAAATAAAAGTATAAAATATCTCAGAAATTATATTCACGAAGATATATGAATAGTGGTCAAATTAAAGACAGTCGCTTACACTATGCTGATAGTCTGAGAGTATAATCAATCGTAATCTACTTGTAGTGTAGTCTGGGTGACCAACATGCAAGTTAGGCTGGCTCCCTACTCAGGGGAAAACAAGAGGGTTAAACAGTGTATCCTTGTGGCAGTGCCTTAGACGGTGGTCAGGTCTCCCGTACAGGAAACAACAAAAAAAATGGCCTAAAACATACGATGTATGTATGACGTCGAAGACATGTCTCGTGGTCTTTACTATCACGGAACAACTAATGCTCTCTATTTAGTCATTAGTCAGTAAACTGTTGATAGACTTGTCTATTAGTAAGACTGCCACCCATGTACCTGTTAATCATACTACTTCCTGGACATCCTATCACAACTTAGAATGCATGCCTTTCCCCCCCCACCCCCTATCCAGCCTCCATTCTCTCCACTACATCCAGTCTTATCGAACAAAAAGAGCTGATCATATTGTCCAAAGTTTTTTCTTTTCTGTCCTTCAGGGTAATGTTTCTCCTAGTGTTATGGTTTCTCAAATGCAAACCATTGATCACTTCTGGGACTTATTCATAGAGCGTTAGTGACTCTTTCTCAAGTGTGGGAAGTGCACGACATAGTAAATTTGTCAGCTTCAACGCAAATATAAGCGGGCACTCATCCAGTCCAGCTTAATGACATGAAACTGTTGTCGGTCCGTTGGGCTGTCAAACTCTACCATCAGTCATTCAACCAATAACTTCCAGGTATCCTGTCCACTGCCCACTCCACACTGTCGTAAGCCACCTACCTTCGCCTTCGGATCCTGGATGCCAAACAAGTAAAAGACTGGATAGGAGCCTCGTGGGAAGTTCCTTATGTTTCCTTCTTTGAAAGCTCCAAGAGACAGAATATTCACTGTCCAAAGGCAGCGACATCAAATGTAACGGCCGAACACATGAGATATAGGCAAGCATAGTTTATATTTCTTCTCTTCTCCATTATATCTATCCGTTATTCGACATCTCAGAAGATGATACACACATTTTTAATCGAAATTTATATACTACTTATATATCTTGTCAGTAGAATACGGTAGAATAAAATCAATCTAAAACTCAACAAGAAACTAGCAATTTCAATAACAGAAATGCTTATTATTACCTGTTGTTGTACTGTCTTCATGAAATTCCACTAAGCTGATGTCGAAACACTGAAGTTTAATCATTGTACTTTGATTTGAAAAATATTTAAATGATATTATTCCATCAGAGAGATTGATGATACCAAATTGTTTATTATCATTATTCGCCAGATTCAAATGAACCGGTAACATTGAACAATTGAACAAATTGATTTGAATTGAATTTAAACAAATATCAATAGCGAATTTTGTCCAACAAACATCATTAACAAAGGATTTCTGGAATCAGACGACAAAGAAGACAAAAAAATGAAGGAGAACAATAAATTTTCTATAGTTTGCTGTATAAGAATTGGTTTTGTTTTTACGAGTTGATCACGGATTGATATCAGTTAGAGAACCATTGAAAACCAACTGGGAGTTCTGGACTGCTGTTTCTGCCTAGTTTGGGACTTCTATTAAGCAGTACGCACCTACCGCTAGGCTTCGAAACCACAGGGTTTTGGGGTTAGAAAGTAAGCTTGTATACTATTCAACCAATGGCACCTGATTCAATGGCCAGTGGTCATCCCACATCTTATCTATCTCTAAGAAAATGTTTCGTCTTACCTTCTACATTAAAAAACGTTAAGACAATCAGGTATCAACCAACCTTTACTTCTACAGTTTGTAAACTCTTGTATTTTACCTATTGTACTCTATTGCTCTCCATTAATCTTTCCTGGGCTTCTCAAAAAAGACTATATCATATTACGAACGGTATTAAATGCTGTGATTAGGGCTTGTGGTATGCCACTGCATGAGCTCGCCAATATTATAGTCGAGAGACATATAAAATCCTGTACAAAATGGGCAATGGCCGTACTGTCAGACCCCCTGCAGCCCCTTTATTCACAACTATTCGCTTGCATCTCATCAGGTAGGACGAGAAGTCAATATAATAAGAAGTTATATGCTCGCACCACTAAGTACAGAAATTCTACAATACCCTATTTAGCCCGTATTTTATGTGATGAAGACAATGTTAGACATGAAACATATAAGTTACTGTGTAATGAGAAAAGTGAATCGACCCTTTCATCGTTTGTTCATCTTTCTGTAGTTTTATGGTATCACCCTTTCTATCGTTTAATTATAACTGAGCTATTTTATTTTAGTTGTTATTACTATTATTACTACATTTTCATACTTGATGTATATTTTTCTCCTTATTGCATACTGGAATTCTGCTACATAGCTGCTATAACAACGTTTTGTTATTATTAATATTATGTAATGTTTATTTGGTGTCGTTTTGAGTAAATTAGATGGAATATTGTACTGAATGCTGAGAATTCCTTGCTGTATCATTCGTACTGTTTGTGGAATAAAGCAAAAATTATTATTATTACTATTATTATTATTATGAAGTACTTCCAGCTGGTTTTTAATGGTTCTCTAACTGATATCAATCCGTCATCAAACTCGTGAAAACAGAACAATAATTGATGATAATCGTTTACAGTTTTAACCAATAAAATTCCCTATAATTAATCGATAATTGGATGAAGCCTTGATGTGTTGAAGTGAGATACCTACTGGTTTTGAGTGTCAACAGGAACACCAACACTATCGTTACCCCCCGTGCGCATCACAAATACTTCAGAGATGCTGATTAGAAAGTCGCAACCTGGATTCTACACTTCTAGTCGACACCTAACCGAAAGACAAGCAACTCTCACCAAGAAGCAACACTGATCAATTGCAATCAGGTTTACAGACAGTAAGATCACGAACACAATCTGCAAGTAAAGTCTGGCTTCACAGCATATTCCGAAATGGCTACAGAAGGTAATTGAATCCCCAGAACCCATTATTGGTGGGAACAGGAGACCTAGCTCCTTGCTCTATTGCGAAGCATATTATAGAGACAGGTCATAAAATTGACATGTGCACATCTTATAAAACGCGTTTGGGGTGTACCCTAAAGTTTGTGAAAAGGATTTGGGAAGTTTAAAACACCTTTATGCGTTCAAAGTAACAATTCGTCATCACACTAAAACACCTTCTTTGGTAAACTTTGTTTTGATACCAACCGGGTAGATGTACTACTTTGTTATTTGGTTTAGTGATCTTTATTGTTATTTTGACCTTCAATATATATCATCCTTTTAACTTGACCTAAGTAGTCTATTTTCTTACCTCTTAACTCTTTATTATTCTCATGCATGTATATATATTCCTATGACAAGTCCGTGGAGTGTGATCAGATTGTTCGAAATGTGTTATTATTATATTATTATTATTGTATCCTTTAGTTCCTAGAGGAACATAGGGCTTCAGATGCGCGTCTACATTGCCTTCGGTTTTTTGCCAACTTTTTCACCCTGCTCCAGGTCTGTCCACATGCTTTCATCTCCTCCTCGCATGACCTCCTCCAAGTCACCCTTGCATTGACGACCAACTCGCCACCTCCCTTTCGGGTTCCACTCGAGGGCTTGTCTAGTGATGTCACTTGATGGTTTCCTCAGCGTATGGCCAATCCATCTCCATTTCTTTCTGCCTATTTGTTTCACAATCGGTTCCTGATTGGTTCGCTCCCAGAGATCCCTGTTTCTCATCTTCTCTGGCCATCTGATCTTGAGTACTGAGCGGAGACAGCTGTTAATGAAGGTCTGAAGTTTGTTTGAGATGCTCTTTATGACTCGCCAAGTCTCTGATCCGTATAGTAGCACTGACTTTACATTCGAGTTGAAAATCCGGATCTTATTTTTGATGCTGAGTGCTGTGTGTGTTGCACGCAAATTCACAATATACGATTCAGACAAATTCCGTCTTATTATTGCTTTGTATAAATACACTAGTGACATATTTTAATAGGATGCTTTGTATTTGCCTTAATTATTCTTATTCGCTTACGTATCGAGGGGGAACATAACACGGCTTCAACAGCACATCTCTACCTCACTCTGTTCTATGCAGTCCACTTTAACTAGCCACATGATTTTGCATCGGCTGTCATCATCTCCTGCTCCTCCTCTTCCCCCCCCTACCACAATCTCATTATCCATGTCAGCCTCAAAGTGATGCCCAACTCATCTGTCGTTTCGTATTCTGGTTCCACTACGTCGATCATCTGGCTAGCGCGCGATGTCATTCAACTGTCTCCTCAGAGTGAGTCCGATCCATAAATCTCCATTTCCTTGGGGATATTTATTTGGCGATATGTTGTTAGCTGGTTCGTTCGCAGAGTTTTTTGGTCCCTAATTCTTTTTGCATTTCTGATCTTTACTATGAAATTAGCCGACGTGATGTCTGATTTCCCACAAACTGGAAGATATGCAAGTGATGAAAAGTAACCAGTTGACAGAAGAAGCATCAAAGATAACACTTCACTTCAGGTGAACATAAAGAAAACAGAGATAGGTGATGAAGACCCCTGCGCAACACCAACAGCAGCAGCAACAACAACAGACAACAATCAGAAAGCATAAATGGGAGGAACCTGAAAGAAACAACCTCTTTTACCTACCTACCGTGGAAGCATCGTTTCAACTACAGGTGGAATGAAATGGTGAGGATATCAAAGCAGCGAAGATAGGGAGAGCAAGACAAGTCTGTGTGGATATGAACACTCGAAATTCAGGATGAAAAATAACGTGCGGATTTTCAACTCAAATTTGAAGTCAGTGCTACTTTATGGATTAGAGACTTGGCGCGTCATGAAGTGCACCTAAAACAAACTACAGGCTTTCATCAACAGCTGTCTTCGCTCAATAATCAAGATCAGTTAGCCAGCCAGAATAGATGAGCAACAGGGATCTCTGACAATGAGCGAACCAACCAGGAACCAATTGTGAAACAAATAGACATGAAGAAATGGAGATGGATTCACCCTACTCTGAGGAAACCAGTAAGTGACATCACTAGACAAGCCATTGCTCGAGTGGAACTCGAAAGGGAAGCGACGAGTTGGTCGTCAGTGCAAGGGTGACTTGGAGGAAGAGGTAATGTGAAGAGGAGATGAAAGCATGTGAGCAGACGTGGAGGCAGGTGGAAACGTTGGCAGAGGACCGAAGGCAATGTAGACGCGCATCTGAAGCCCTATGTTCCTCTAGGAATTAAAGGATATAATAATAATACTATGGAGTTAGAGAAGGCAGCTGTTGATTGGCTATGTTTAGAATGAAATGCCCGGGTCAATGTTAACGTAAGGATGCTTTAACGATGTCGGAAAATTATTATCGTGATATTGGTTTAATATTGGTTATCAGTATTGGTATCCAGGACAAGCAAGTTTCGTCCTCTATGTAAGATACATCAACTAGATGTGCCTGCATAATCACAGAGTGAAGGTTGTTCCATACTGAGACACCAATCCAGAGCAATAACTGTTTCAAACATCAAAACACTAGACATCTCCTAGCCATCTCAATTCACGTAGCTTTACAACATCATCGATTACCTTACTCTTCTTAACATACCTAATACTCTACACCTAACCCCAATATTACTATGTTTATATTGTAACGACAGAAGACAAGAGCCAGACAACGGATCCTTTACTGAGAAAATCAAAAGATATTTATAGATTTTTATGTACATTATTTTTAGCGTTATTGTCAGCAGAGAAAACAACGTCTTCTGATTGGTTGTTTTCTTACTTAAGATTATTCCGTTATCTGTTTGTGACCGTTTCTCAGAAAGTTAAGTCATATATCTGCGAATCATATTTGCACACTTTAACTCCACTGTGATTGGCTGGTGATTTTCTCAAGGTTAAGCTTCGTTAATGTTTTTTCTCGTAACCCCGATTCGGGACATAAATTTTGACGTCAATTAGTGGCTACAATTCTGGTTTGCTGACAGCCATCACCACAATATGAGCTAACACTGGAGATACAAGGAAGACACCAGTGATCTAAGACAGCTAGTCTTTTCATGTCTTTCCACTTTCAATAGCAGCCATGTCTCACAGTGATAAAGGAGGATAGAGCAAACTGATTCTGTGCATTAGTCACGTCCTTTGATCGTTAGCCAGAAAGATATCACGTTTTACGAAGTTTCACATAAGATTTCGTCATCAACACTCAACTCGTTGGGGGCTGATGCCACTTCACAAATAAATGAAGTGGTGAACACACTCTACCACTTCACACCTCCTTGTCATTAAGCTAGGGAGTTGGTGTAGTCCAGTCCTGGAGCACATCGTAACCCTAACTCACTTCAGTGACTCAGCGACTGACTTGCGACCAACAAGTAATCTCGTTCACTTAGAATATGCAGACGATATAGTCCTCCCTGCTGGGCGAGGATGCTGACAAAAAACAGCAGGGTCTTCTAAACACCTTGAGCTGCGACTTGAACTGCCGCACACACATGTAAAGTTCTATGTCGAAAACAAACAGACAGACAGACAATGAATTAACAAATCAGTGACAAGACAGATACGAATTACGTAACAAACTACTACAAAACACAAAGCCAACATCTGTTTTAAATAAAAACAAACATACCGTTGTACTAACACTAGAGAGTGAATTTTCACCGAAATTCTGTGATAGAATTCCACGAATCAGCTGATATGTATAAGTATTTATATACACTTGACAATCAGAAAGTTGTCCAGTTAATTTTATGTCAGGCAATTCATGTCCATTTGATGAAGTTAAATTACGCTCCAAATTTAAATTTAAACAAGAAATAGGGCGGGAAAGAATGGCGCATGGGAAAACTACTTCCGTTTCAGTTGTTGTACATTCAAAATGATAATTTACAGGAATAAATGAATAGCCTGGAAATCGAATTGGAGGATTATTCATACCTAGGGAAAAATATATAAAATATTATTTATTTATTTAAACGCATAAAAACTTGGTACAATATGGCACCAAGAAGGATGCGCCACACAATCATAATAATAAAACAACATAGATCAAAAGAAAAAAAGAAAGAAAAGAAAATATATATGTATATGTAGAGAACGGATAAAGAACTTCATCTGGAAGGAAAACAGTCATGCTTAACAAGTTCATTCAAACAATATTCGTTAACTATCATCGGGAGGGGAAGAAAGAAGGAAATTGCAACACGTGCAATAGCACGCGATAAGTTTCATTGATTGTTTGTTGCTTTATTCAATTCATTGTGTGGGGGCTGAGACATTGCCCGGGCGCCCAGACCGAAGCAGGTAGTTTTATTTGTCAGGGACCACCCTCTGAGCCTTTGACTTGGAGTCTAATCCGCAAGGAGAAGCGGATCAGCGTCAGAAGCTGCATTCCCATGGTTTACGGTGACCCATATGGGTTCGTTCATACGCCATTTGATCCGATTGGATACTGGAGCCCATGTACCCCATGGCATGGTAACTGCTTTTAGTTTAACCGCTATCCAAACAACCTTCCTGACATGGTAGGACCTGCAGGGATATGAGTCTCGGTCAGTTTAGCATGTTGGGACATTACGGTATTCAAGCCCGCCGACCACCACGACAAGGTAGCAGCTATCGGCCGGGTATAAAATATATAAACAGAGATAAGTTAAATTATTTTCAAAGCAGGCACAATAAAGGGGTATATAGACAATTAAGTGATTGCACAGCTTCCAGTGTCTATTGGAATAACATTTTCCAGTGATCCATAAAGAGTGAATGTACGTACCATTGAGAAGAATTCTAAGCCATGCGCCACTATTGATTTTTACACAACCCAAGGATATTCCCAGCAAGACAACAACTCCTAACTATTTTCTAACCCAATCTCATATTTCAACTAAGATCTCTCGATAAGGAAGACAGATAATTAATTTAACAAAAATATTCATTCAGACACCTTTATAACACAAAATAACTGAGCAAAGAAGAATATCCTTTTTGATAATTTCCTCCTCTTCTGGCTCTACAATTATATACACGTATATGTTTATTTACACAGAATATTCTAGATTAGTAGTCAATAACAATATTGGCGTGTTTTTTAAATAATATCGATTTGTAAAAGAAGATCACAATAGAATTACCACAGTTCATTAAAGATGCTTAAATTATAATACTAATAGCAAACAGAATGTCAACTAAAATCAGGGAAATTTCTATAAAATTTTAAGGATCATTCAAACCTAGATGGCCAAGGTAAGGACAATGTCTGAACCAACCAGCTTCTTTTGGATACATAAATTAGGCTTCTTTATGTAGATCCCAACAGCCAGTCTCAGCAGTATTTAGTAATTGAACTTTTAAGGCAAAATTGCGATTCGTAGGTATACGGTAAATGGCTTTGAAAGCCGCCTCGTTGACATCAATCTTGTGTTCTGCATCCACAAGATGAGATAGAATAGCACTATGCGAATAGATTTTATTTGTCCTTTACTTAACCACGCAGGAGTTTTGAAGACACCGCGTAATTCAACAGCAGCATGGAATGGTCTTTCTACCGCATTTCTAAGGCACTGTGTTAGTATCTGACTGATGTTGTCCGCAAGGAACTGAATTTGTAAGAATAACGTCTTCCTTTTTCGAAACTGTTGGTAACTTGAACTGCTTTGATTTAAGATTCATATCCTTTTCAATAAACTTTTCTGGATAACCATTTTCACTTATCAACCATTTAATATTATTATTAAGTGCCTCCTCAAAACATTCATCCGAACAAATTGCTCTTGCTCTGTGAACCAAGCACTTTATCAGATTGCCTTTTTGAATTTCAAAGGCACGAAGCTGAGAAAATGAGTATACTGACAGTCAGTTGACGTAGGTTTTCTATGTACACTTTTTCTTATTGTGCCATCCTCTTTTCTGGTGGTCATAAGGACGTCTAGAAAGGAAATATTCGAGTCTTTTTCTTTCTCAATAGTAAAATTTATTGCAGGATGAACCTCGTTAAATTTATCCAGGATGCTTTTTGCTTCCTTCTCGCTTTTCATAATCAAAAAAGTATCATCCATGTACTGACAATAAAATTCCAGTTCATTAATAACATCCTTCAGAGGCCCATTTTCTGGTTTCTCAAGGAAAATGTCCGCCAGAATGGGTCCTAGTGGTGACCTCATTGCCATACTGTCAATTTGTCTATATAGTTTCTTATTAAATAAAAAGTGGACATTTATTGTGCATTTTGAAGAGAATGCCAACATCGATGTTTCTTCGTATGAGTTCTTCGCATACAAAGTCCACTGTTTCCATAAGTGATACATTGGTGAATAAGGAAGGTACGTCAACAAATGATATCATGAATTTATTGTCAACATTTAAATCTTTTATCCTTTCCACAAATCCAAAAGTATCCTTTACAGTCTGTTACACCAACTCGGTATGAAGAGGCGGTAAGAGTTCAATTAACTATTTGGCTTCAGGATTTCATCATGAGCTGACATTAGTTAGAGAACTATTGGAAAACCTGCCAGGGAGTACTGGACAGCTGTTTCGTCCTAGTTTGGGACTCTTCAGCAGTACGCACCCACCGGGATTCGAACCCAGGACCTTCCGGTTACAAGGCGAGCTCGTATAACTGGACAGTACTCCCAGGTTATCCAATGGTTCTCTAACTAATGTCAGCTCATGATGAAATCCTGAGACCAATCGAATCCCAACAAACCAACACTTGAATAACCATTTGGTTATAGGATGGATGAGATGGTGAATTTAACATATCTAATACTGGTCGTCAAAGCGGTACACCATTTTTGTGAGTGCACTTTAGGCGAGCCATTTAGACTTGGTGTGAAAGTTCCAGTGGGTTTAAGTGATGTACACTGACTCTGTGAGATGAAGTCTTGTTGTTGCTTCAGTTTTCTCAGTGTTTCCGTTAACTGTTTCTCGATCTTTTCAATCGGATCCAGAGAAGAGGAAATTTTTTTGAATTTTAGATTATCATTATGAATCGTATTCATCTTCGCAAAGTAATCCACTGTAGAGTAGAATGTAGTTCCGTATTAGATAAGTTTATTTTCAAATATCACACACACACACACTGATGATGCAGTATTATTAACAACTGGATGTGACAAGGCTTCAAGCATAAATTACAACTTACTTTTACTTTACTTTACTTCGGCTATCTCCTACGGGAGGATGAGCCGGCTTCATGAACATCTCGAATCATCGCTGCCCAGGCGCGGCGATCTGATGCAAGGTTTCGCGACAGGGTTATCCAATTCTTGTTCCACGGACGGAGTCCATAGACGGTCTGTAGCCCAGCCCAGGCACTCCATATCAGCCTTGACTGTACCAAGCCATGTTTTCAGCTGTCCACCCCTGCGACATCGCCAAGATGGAAATGGCGAGGGGTTTAAAACTGATTTGACCAGATCGTCATCTGGTCGGCGCAGAACATGGCCAAACCACCGAAGGTGACGTTGTTGGACCAGTACTGGAATTTGGTTGATGTTGTAGCAAGAGAGTTCATGAAGTTTCATGGGAATTGGGTACGAGTGATGTCCCCAGAATCGCTCGGCCTTTGGTTTGAGAGTGAAGCTCTTACCTTAACACAACCAAGTGTGACCTACAAGGCAGTAGGAGTGGAGTAGGGAGTCCACTATCCATTGTCAGCCAGCCGGTGACCGGAGTCCGGTTCATACACCTTTTTGAATGGGCAGACGACAGACATCCAGGGCATCCAATAAGCCCTTTGTCCATACGTCTTCCGGTGAGCTCCGGTGAGCTTCATACGCAAGTCGTTGGAGGTTTGGAATCCGGGTTTAGCCATCTCCCCTAGACTGTCATCCAATGGACAGTCAACCCGGTGAAGAGCGCCGGGCATCCGCTTTTGCCCTCTCACTTTGGTGAAAAAACACCTCCTCCACGTGAAGTCAGTGAGTAGGACTTCCTCAGGAGAGGCTATGTAAGACGCCCGGTCATATGGGAGCATTTCAAGAGGTGTACGGAGGGGTGGCCAACCCACAGCGCAAGGCACCCACCCCCGACCATACTGAGGCTTTGGAGGCTGCTCATAATCATATCAATTTAGTAGTCACACCACCTCACAATTTATCTTATACATATATTTTCCCTTCAAATTCCCTCTGTGTTACCTTTTGCTACTTTCCATATCTCTTGGTATCATAGGCGTTGCATCATTCCGATTACATGTGTGCCGTCTTGAATCTAATAGTGAATAACACACTACCCACCAGAGTTTATGCAGAGACATATGATGAATCATAGGGGAAAATACGATTAGTAGTAAAAATGACGAAAATAATGCAGAATTCAAAAACTCTGTAATACTGCCGTAGAAGGAAGGAACATCAGACGCCTTTTACGTAGGATTCTCAATAAGGTTGGAATTAGTCAGGCTGGCATTTAAACCAAACAGCCAACCAACCAACCAACTAAGCAACTCTCTCAGAGATAAACTTGGTCGGATTAAGGACCCACCAGATAGATACGATCAAGATTAAAAGATAACATAATTTACCAAATAACATGATGTGATGATGACTGTGAGGTCAGTTAAAGCATAGGTCGAATTAGTAAATCTGAGTCAGTTAGATTATCGGAACACAGAGAGATTAATCACTGACAGTAGCTTTGTTTATCGATTCAACACCACACACACACGTTCAATCGAAATGACGCAATGCCTATGATACCAAGAGATATGGAAAGTAGCAAAAGGTAACACACAGGGAATTGGAAGGGGAAATATATATGTGTAAGATAAATTTTGAGGTGGTGTGACTACTAAATTGATATGATTATGAGCAGTTGTAATTTATGCTTGAAACCTTGTCACATCCCGTTGTTAATAATACTCCATCATCACTGTGTGTGACTGATGTACTTTGCTGTAACAGCAAAAGACAACACACAGAACAAAATTAGGACTTAATATTGTCAGACCCTGAGCATCCTCTCTATACGCAGCTGTCTCCTTGCATTTCATCTGGTAGAACTAGAAGCAGCTATAGGAGGCTGGCTATATGCTAGGACTACCAAATACAAAAACTCCACAATACCATTTCTGGCACAGCTGTTATGTGGTGAGAAATCCGTTAGGTATAACACGATCAACTTACTGCAGCACTCTAACAAACAGTCCTATTAGTTTTTGTTTTCCTTTCCTCGTTACTATTACACTGTTGTTCTCATCTTCTATCACACATCAACTTTATATTTCATATCCTGTGGTGCATTGTTTAAAATGTAAACGCTACGCTGTTTCTTTTTCTTTTTATCTTATTTTTTGGGGTGTTGCTTTTTGATTTTAAAAATCTTATAAAATTTATGAGGTAATTAGATGCAATATATTGTAATGCACGCTGAAAATTCCATACCTGTACCACAAATACTGTTTGGAATAAAGCTGTTAATATTATTATTATTAATCAATATCAGGGAATTCCTCCACAATCCAATGGAAGAAATCAGCACAAAGGATAGAATAAACTAAATTAATAGCAAAACGTATCATACCTGAATCTAGCATTACGTCATCACCAGACGTATCAATCCGTTCTGCACAGCATAATGAAACTTCATATAAATCCATCGATATTTGATCAATTAAAGGATGTTGGTGTGGAGTAGAATCTGAAATGTTTTAAAAAAATGGTCACTATGATTATGATTATTATAAATTAAAATAAAACAAGCAATTACAGTTTTCGTATTTTTATCTAAATTTGCCTCCTCTTTGCGTGCATCTACCAGCTTGACTGCAGCTGCGGAGGCAGCTACATCGGACGTACAATTAGTCAGATTTATCATCATATTTCCGAAAATCATCCAACACAGTTAAGCACGGGACAGACAAGATCTATTCGTAACTCTATTGTAGCCCACCTTGTAGATAGTGAGCATAAGGTTGACGTTAATACTGCATATAAAATTACCTACCGCATTCCTACTAAGCTTAATTTTGCTCTACGAGTTCGTCTTCTACATACCTACAGCTGAAGCAATAGGAATTCACCTGAAGAAGCCAAACTTGTGTATTCAGAAGAAATTTGTACAGCCACTTTCCTTACCTTGGCCATCGTTATATGAATGTACAAAAGGGACTACTTCGCCCCTAACCCCCTAGGCATTTAAAAATTATAAAAATTATAATTGTCCAAATTATTTTATCTTTAATTAAGTGTTATCCTTGTAAAATTAATTTATTCTAACCATTTCTACCTTTTAATTGTGTGTTTTAATATTCTTCGTTAATTATCACCCCACTAACATATCAGTGCCGCTTGATTGGTAAACTGTTGTGTACTGTAATAAAAAGGCTATAGGTGTATATTAGAGTAGAGCCAGAGTGAGATGAGGATCTAATTGAGAAGTAAATATTTATTCGCTAAATCTTTCTGTCTTCTAAATGTCTAAATGATAATTTTTACTATTCCTGTAACAACAGAAGACAAGGGCCAGGCAACAGATCGTTTTATTACGAAAATCAACACGTATTTATATAAATTTCACAACAGAAGACAAGGGCCAGGCAACAGATCGTTTTATTACGAAAATCAACACGTATTTATATAAATTTCACATACATTATTATATCCTAGTCAAGTAGACAGACGCAGTCTTCTGATTCGTTGCTTTCGAGTTCCTCGGAAAGTGGAGCCATCTATCTGCGAATCATATTTGCCCACGTTTAAGTTTGCTGTGATTGGTTGTTGAAACAGCCTTGTTCATACTTTCTCACGGCACATATTAGTGACCTAGACATTAACGTAGATTAGTGTCAACCAATCGGCTAGCAGCCTACTCTCACCACATTCCCTCGGGTCCCGAGCAGAACATAGGGCGATCCAACATCACACATGCATTCCACCCCATTCTCTACAGTCCTCTTCAGCTGGCCCCAGATCGCCCATAAGCTTTCATCACATCCCCATACGATCTTCTCTAGATCACCCTCACAGTGACGTCCAAATCGTTATTTCCCGCGAAGGTTATACCCAAGCGATGGCCCATTGCGAGATGTCATCCAACGGTCCATTCTCTTTGGGATACTACTTGTTGAGCGATACCTTCTTGATTGGTTAGTTTCCGGAGATTCTTATTTCTAATTCATTCTGACCAACCATCTGATATCCAGTACGGACACAGAGCAGGAGGCATCTACTGGTAAACATCGGCAGTAGAACGTTCGAAATACCTTCTGTGACGCTTGCGCCAAGTTTCTCACCAATACAAAAGAACTATCTGACTTAACGGTGGTGTTGAACATCCGAATTTTGTTCTTTATTCTGAGTAAAGCATATTTCCACACTGTTTTCAGAGGGATGGTCTGTCTCAACTCTGGTTTTTAATATCCTTATCCGTGTCCACGCCTGTAGTGATCTCTTTCAAATCTCTCCCGTTGATGACAGTTGGTGCTCGCTGTTGTTGGTGGTGGTTAGCTATCTTCATCAATGTAGCCTACATCTGAGGCTGACTGGCTGGTTTCAACAAAGAACTTTGCACCGAGATGTGCAGCACCGCGAGTCACCCCACACTCCACGTAGCATACAAAGCAGGAGAGAATAAGAAGAAATGCAAAATAAATTGACAGCTGAAACCGTGACGTAGTGGTTCGAGGCTTGCACATCGCGATGACTCAAAAAGCTACACTGGCTGGAACTATTGTTCCTGCAGATCGTACCATGCCAGGAATGTTGTTAGGATTGCCATTAGACTAAAAGCAGTTACCGGCACAATGTAAGAATTCCTTTAAACTATGCTGGTGTGTGTGAGTGGAGTCGTACTGCTAGGGGAACAGGGATGTAACAGCAGTTAGGTATTTACCTCAGATGACCAGCTATATATATATATATATATATATATATATATATATATATATATATATATGACCACGAAGTGATATCAGTTAGAGAACCATTGAAAACCAGATAGGAAGTACTGGACAGCAGTTCCATCCTAGTTTTGGAATCATCAGCACTACGCAACCACCTCCAGGTTTCGAACCTTAGGACCTTCCGGTTATAAGACAAGCTCGTATACCATTCAACCGCTGGTACCCGATTCAGTGTCCCTTGGTAGAAGTGAGAATTCATCGGCCATTGAACCGGGTCCCATTGGTTGAATAGTCTTCGAGCTTGCCTTGTACCGGAAGGTCCTAGGTTCGAAACTTGGCGGTGGGTGTGTGTATATATTTTTTACATTAACTCACAAAGTAATTAAACTCACCTTGTGTATTGAAATTAGAACATTCTAGAAGTCCTGTTGAATTACTTTTGTTCAACGATCTGCGTTAAGAAGATAAAGAAAGACACGAGAATAAAGGACACAGGAAAAAGGCGAATAGGAAATCGATATGCTTCTGAAAGCAATATTCACCCTAAATGATGTTTTCATATTCAATATATGCGTAGGTGAATCAATCATTGTGAACGGTTAACCGATAGGACTATCAAAACCACCTTAAGGATCCAAATCCAAGATGCACGATAAATACATTCACGTAACTTCTTTATGGATAGGATTTTATTTTCATAAATCATACAGTGTTATGCATTCAGTAATATTTACTGATGACCACCTTTCGAGAACAAATTATTGCCACTTATAATCATATCAAGGCACTATACTCACACAATTTTCTTGCTCCATTTATATACATGAGTAAAATTGATTAGGAGAGGACATCTGAGACCCTCACCACGTAGGATTCTGAATAAAGCAGGAATTAGAGTGATATTTAAACCTACAAACTCACTCAGGTAGGGACACCGCCTCCCCCGACGGGCTTTGCTAGCTGATATAGGTTCAGGTTGGAAAAGAGCCAGTGGTGGCCAAACATGGCCTCATCAATCCATGAAATCCTTGACAGTTAAACTGAGTCAGGTAGGGAGATGCAGACTCCCGGGTTGGGGCCCTCGGGACTCTAGGAATCAATGGCTGGAGACAATAGGTGACATGGCTCAAACTCATCGTTGTCAATGACAGCGCAGATGTATTCAGTCTCTGTAATCTTTCATATTCCTTTCTACAATTACCCATTCTGTTTCACTCTTATATTTGTCAAACTCTATTGATTCTCTTCACTCATCTTCTTGTCTACCTTGTGTGCCAATAGGAACGTGGCAACTGGAACTGCTGCACTTCGGTGCCAAGTTCTATGTTGAATCCGGACAGACAGACAGAAGCTCTGTAGGCTAAAGGAACCTGTTGACCCAATTAGACAAAGTAATATAATTTACAAAATACCTGGCAAGGACTGTGAGTGAAGTCAACTACGTAGGCCAGACCAGTAGATCAGAAGTAGTGAGATTATCAGAACATAGGAATTTTGTTATGTACTCGTCGAGTAGTTAATAGTCCTAACGCAGAAAGAGGGAAATCAGAAGACCACCAGGTTTACGATGATACTTTTATTTTCCAGACAAGGAAAATAAATGTCACACTAATGTGTGAGTGAAATGGTACGAAACGTACGAAAAAGTGTCAACAAGAATGAACAAGTGTCTAATACAAAAGTATATATGAAAATGGCTAATACACATGAACCAATAAGATAAAGTCTTACCATGATTGGTTGTAATGTCATGTGATAATAAGGTCATACATTGTTTATTTGGTTAGTGGACAGACAAAAGCATAATGTCAGTTAGAATGGAACATCGGTCCATATACACATAGCAAAATATAATAGACTGTCAAAACAAAACACACATCATGAGGATACATATCAAATTTAATGGCTAATTTTAGAATGATTGGTCCCACGAAGACAGATGAGTATTTTAGAAAAAAACTCAGCTATAGCACTTCATCCATTAACACACAACCACACAACACACAATAGGGTGGTGAGAGAGGGTTAAGATTCTAAGAAGTAATCTATGTAGGTGGAGAGAGAGAGAGATTGAATACTAAATCCTGCCTGGTTCATTGAGTCTACACACAACCCATGCAACAGAAATGACTCAATGCAAATACCAAAAATATGGAAGATATTATTACCACCAGTCAATCAGTCGAATCAGAAGAGGATAATAAATAATCAAATTCCATTTCAATCCAATTCACATACATTATCACAACATTCTAACAAATTACTTATTATGACTGTATAAAAAACACTCGCCTTATTTGCCATCTGATTGTATTTCATCGATAACATTATTACTATTATTATTTCTGGATGTAAAATTTATTTTATATTCAAGTGATGGTTTGTAGGGATTTGATTGCTTTCAGGATTTCATCATGAGCTGAAATTAGTTAGAGAACCATTGGAAAACCTGGGAGTACTGGACAGCTGTTTCGTCCTAGTTTGGGACTCTTCAGCATTACGCACCCACCGGGATTCGAACCCAGGACCTTCCGGTTACAAGGCGAGCTCGTATACCATTAAGCCACTGGGACCCGATCCAATGGTCCTTGAATTCTAACTTCTGCCAATTCACGACATAGCGCAACCGCTAGACAATGTCTTCGGCGAGTATTTGTCCTCACACCCGACCGGCTGCACCCTACTGGTCACGACTTCCCACTGGAACCCAGGTAACTGCCTACCTGAATAGGGCCAGTCGCCAGTGAGCATCCCATTGGTATTCAAGTGATGGTTTGTAGGGATTTGATTGGTTTCAGGATTTCATCATGAGTTGGCATTAGTTAGAGAACCATTGGAAAACCTGCTAGGGAGTACTGGACAGCTGTTTCGTCCTAGTTTGGGACTCTTCAGCAGTACGCACCCACCGGGATTCGAACCCAGGACCTTCCGGTTACAAGGCGAGCTCGTATTTTATATAACTGATTTTATTCAATCAAATGTCTAATCGTCAGTTTAACTCAATTTATATGAAAGGAAACCAACAGTTGTGTGAGTGAGTACCCTTGATATGGTGATGAGAGGCAATAATTTGTGTTCGAAACGTGGTCATCAGTAAATACCGTAGCCAGATTAAAGTACTTACTATAACTTTGCTTCTTTCCTTTATTATGTAAGTTCACCATTATTATTATTATTGCTCTTAATACTTTTATTATCATTATTATTCCCACCATCCATGTGTCGGTGGTATAGCGGTTAGGACGCTCGCCGACCATGCATATGGTCCGGTGTTCGACCCCCGGCCGGCGCACTCCTTTACCTCACTGAGCCAGAAATAATGCCGGTAAAGAGGAAAAGTTGGGCATGAGGCTAGCAACTTCATCCTGTAAAAATTAAACACTGCTACAGAAACTTCAAGCCACTAGCTTGGAGTCCTATGTTCCACTGGGAACGTGAAGGAAAAATTTATTATTTATTATATTTTATTACCACTTTATTACTGTCTATAAATAACATTGCTTTTTCATACAGATTTTATATAAAAACACTTTATCGCCTTTCCACTAGCTCCTGTCCATTCTGCATGATGAGCTTATTGATTAGTTATTATCTCACACTTATTACATCATGCCAACTTCTGCGCCCTTTTCTAACTTACAATTAGTCATCCCTTCTAAGTTACACCATACATTACGTAATCGATTTTTCAAGGACAAATTTTACCAGTGATATAAGAATAAAAGTTGTGCACTGTGGTAGAGTGTAATTCCATTATGGGTAAATTTTGTTTTGATAAAGTCTCACAGTGTTGTCATACAGTAATGTTTACTGATGACGTTTCGAGCACAATTTATTACTGCTCATAATCATATCAAGGTAATCATACGACTTCCTAAATTCATTTATATAGTTCCATTGTTTTTCTCTTGATTTTCACTTGATTTGATTGACAGTAGTATTTTCCATATTTCAGGTATGAGTGACGAGTCATTACTATTGCATGTGTTGGGTGTAGACTCGATGAACCAGGCAGGGATTCAGTAATTAACCTCTCTCTCCACCTATGTAGATTACTTTTTAGAATTTTGACCCTCTCCCATCCTATTGTGTGGTTGTGTGTTAGCGCATGCATTGCAATTGCTGAGCTTTTTTCTAAATTACTTATCTTCTCGGGGTCAAGCTACACAGGTCAAACTAGTAGGTCAGGGGTAGTCAGATTGTCAGAGCATAAGAATTTAGCTAAGGTAAGAATGGTTGACCCCGAGAAGATGAGTAATTTAGAAAAAAGCTCAGCAATTGCAATGCATGCGCTAACACACAAAGTTCTAGAAAGTAATCTAGGTAGGTGGAGAGAGAAGTTGATTACTGAATCCCTGCCTGGTTCATCGAGTCTACACCCAACACATGCAATAGTAATGACTCGTCACTCATACCTGAAATATGGAAAATACTACTGTCAATCAAATCAAGTGAAAATCAAGAGAAAAACAATGGAACTATATAAATGAATTTAGGAAGTCGTGTGATTACCTTGATATGATTATGAGCAGTAATAAATTGTGCTCGAAACGTCATCAGTAAACATTACTGTATAACAACACTGTGAGACTTGATCAAAACAAAATTTACCCATAATGAAATTTTACCAGTAGTATCTCATTGGTTGTCTAACGACTTCTTTTTTAAATATAATTACCATGATTGTATAGCAGCTTATGAAAATGAATCGGCGAGGAGAAAATTCCCCTCAATGTTTACGACTTTTTCTTATGAAGTGGTGTGTATTGATTTTATAAGAATTTTATTTGATTCCATGGAGGATTTCATCATGAGCTGACATCTCAGTTGACAGCAGTTCTCTAATGACTCAATCAACCAACGATCTTGTTGTACACATTAGTAGTAAACTCACCGAATATTTGAGTAGAAATATCGATTATCAGTTCTAGGAGCATCATTATGATTAATATTAGTGTGAGATGATTTTGATTGTAAAGTTTCCATAGATCCAGAGTTGACTCCCACCGGATCACCACTATCAATAGTAGTAGTAGTATTATTATTCCATAGAAATGTATTAACGATTTTCATTCCATGCAGCATATTAATGACTAAAACTTTTGAACTAGTCGAACACACCGGGATGATCAGATTCATCGGGTGATGAGCTGAGATATTCAAATGTAGACAACACAATGAGGTGATATCTGCTGATGTCGGCATCTGGAATAAATGGAAAAAACAACAACTTTTAACGTGAATGTTTTAGTACAATTTGAATAACAAGGTTAGAAAAAAATGGAACAGTGATCATTTAAACGCTTCTACAAGCAGCTTTGCACACACACACACACACACACTAGTGACTGAAATGTAACCTTGTTAAGCTTAGGTACCCGATTTATCAGCCATCACCTCCAAAGTTCGAATCCCACTTCACCTTCTTCATAAAAAGGGATGATGACTGGGTAGTCATATCAACCACTAATCAGTAATGATAGTGGAGAGAGGATTATGCGGAAGATTGTGAGTAGGGAGCAGGAAGACAAGAATATGTTGAACCACCGATAGAAAGACTCTAGAAGATGTGAACTTCGTAGACGATGTATGTCTAATGTCACACAAACTGAAAGATACACAGGCGGGAAACCAACAAGTTGGAAGAAGAGGCGCGCACAGCGAAGACAGAACTCAAGGTGAACATTAATAAGACAGAGATGATGAAGATAACCACTCAGCGAGATAAAAAAATTGAGACAGATCACCTCTTCCTTCATTTATCTAGGTACTATGCAGTCACCACAGATGAGGATAGCAAAGCCAGTCAGAATTGAAAAGGCAAAGAGGATCATCACTCTGAGATCAGTTTACAAACCTTCTGAAAACTCAACAACAATGAAATTCAGATTTTCAGCATCAATGTTAACCCAGTCAATCACTTCTTCCTATTTGGATCAGAAACCTGACCAGCGCGTCAAGAAAAGCATTTTGAACACGCTATTGAAGACTTTCATCAACAGCTGCCTTCGGTCAATACTAAAGATCACATGAACGGCGAGAAAGGATAAACAAGAAGTGATCCTCGCAATGAATAATCCGAAAAGCGATGAGTCGATAAATATCCCAAAGTAAATGTAAATTGATCACACGAATACTGTAGAGACCGTTAAGTGACATCGCGTGCCACGTCACTGTTCGAGTGGTAACCAATTAGGAAACGACGAGTCGGACCACAGTTTGACGGTGACACGAGGGAGACCATGTAGTAAGGACAGATGAAAGCTTATTGGCAATGCTGTGGCCATTTAAAGATGACCACAGAGAACACACAGAAATAGAGATGTGACGCTGAAGCACTATGCCCCGTTCAGAACTCAAAGATATAATAACAACTTCAGTTCAGTTCATTCAGTGAGGATGATGGATGTTGAGGCATCAGAATTTAATAAAACTTCAAAATACCATCTTAAGTTTTGAGACAACAAAATAATAATCGCTGAATTCAATGAAATACATTCGGCTTTGAAATTCATGTGAGAAAAGAAATCGCAAGACAGAATTGCCTTCCTGGATGTCCATCCTACTTACAAGAAAACTAGATGGTAGCATAAAAAGAAATTTGCATATGGGAAAAGTACATGGTCAGGACAATATACACATTATCACAGCTTCGTTCCTCTATAGCAAAAAAGAAATTTAGTAAAGACCCTCAGACGCAGGATTAGAGCTATATGCCCAGTCGAAGTAACTGAAGATAAATTAAGCATTGTATATGATACTTTGATTGAAAATATCTAGCTATCCCGACAAATTTATCAAGAAACACATGGTAAAGAAAGCGGAAAAGGACTATTCTCCATCTGTAAATAAGAGGCCTTTGTACACACGACTGCAATTCAAGGGCAATATGCCTAGCGAAATAATTATGAAGAAATTAAGAAAATCAATTCAAAGAACTCTTATTCTCTACACGACCGATGGTGATTCCTCTACTGAAAGATGATGTGCATAGACTCTATCTGTATTTACCAACCCAACCGCGCTTGTGATGGAACGAGTTATATCGGCAGTTGCTCTAGAAGCTTGATTTTTCGTGCTCACTCGAGAACATCTCAGTAGGGCTAAGTAAGGGGGTGTAAAGTAAAAACCATCAACAATTCGATATTAGACCATCTGGTCCAAACTGACCGGCCACAAAGTCGACACCAGCATTGAAGAATCCTTCTCTCTTATCTAATGGGTACCGACCGAATAAATTGCCAAAAACATCGAGGTGCTGCATACTCCAAACAGCACAGGCTATCGCGATTCGTGTGAAACAACCAGTGCTCTGAGTTCAGAAGAAGCAAGTCCAGTCACTACCACTGCCCTTACCGGCCTTCAGTGGAGACTATAAATTCATGAATTTGTATTATTATCTTTCCTAATTTTTCTAGCATTCAGTTTATTGTTATGTCGATGCTGTCGAACTGTCATCCATTGATAATATTATTAATGATTCGATGTTACTTAAACAACATTAATGGTGTTAGTAACAACAATTCATTCATTCACTATTATGGATGGATGCATATAACTGTAGAACCTGATGAAGAGGAAGTTATCGAAAAGAGTACTCTTTGTTCAGTAAGAATTCTTTTGAAAAACATTTTAATTGACATTTTTAATCAGTTAAAACAAGAACTCTTCAAAAGTGTAATAAACTCCCACCTGTATACCGGATAAACCAGAGAAGCAATGTATATATGCATATATTTATGGTGATGCGATTCACTGGAACAAGTAGTCGACCTTTATTTAACCCAATGGAGTCACAGGTTAGAATTCCACTCTGCTAACTTCAGCCTATACAACCCAACCGTATACACCGTATAATATCATCAGACCACAAAGCACAAAAAAGAGTGTGAAACTGATATAAAACACTACGTATGCTACTGATAATTTGATGTAAGTAGTCTGGATACTAACACTCACATCACTCACTATCGCCTTCCTTGACGGCAATTATTAGTGCATAAATATGAGCAGATTACAAAGAGGCTAGTAATGGTGAAACCAAAGCTTGAGATCAGTCTATGAAGCCTTTGATTTCAGCTATGTAGGGTATTCCAAGAGCCAATGACTGGAAATCGTCCTCGATGACAGCGTACATGCATTTACTCTTTGTGATTCCCTATTTTTGAACCCTCTTTTCTGCTTCCCGCCAAATGTAAGATAATCAAGCTACAGGACTGTAATACATTGACTCCTAGTTTAGAAATAAGGAATGAAGTGGTTGGTAGGGCACTTTAACGGCTTCACTTATTTGGGAAGTTGCATCAGCCAGCGCCAACGGGTTGATCACTGACGAAATCTCAACACGGATACAGAAGGCTCCTTTGACATATGCCATTTTACGTCGTCTCTGACTTAGTTGACGTGATATCCGACTGGTTATCGACCAAAGGACGTGTATACTGCTCAGCAGTTCGCTCCGTCCTCCTTTATGCCTGTGAGTGAGACCTGGCTATTGAGAGTGAAAAACATGAAAAGGCTAGACAGTTAGCTGTCTTTGATCATAGTTGTGGCTGCGTTCTATCTCCTGTGTGAAGTAGTATAGTAGGGTGAGCAATATCGAGGTTAGGCGTCCAGGAGAGATCAGTAGACGAGTGGTTAGGACATCTGTTAGGCATGCATCTCTAGCCATCGCCTTCTTCGACAACGGGCAGTGTTAGCTGACTGACATAGGATTCATCAGATTAGAAAAGAGCTGGCACATGGTGATCAAACCAAAACATGGCTTCATCAGTCAATGGAATTCACAACAGTTAGTTTAAGCTAGTCAGCTAGTCACGTAAGAATAGGCAGACTTCTTGACTATCTGACTGGTTGGGGTTCACGGGACGGTAAACATCAATGATGGCTGGAGACAATCAGTGATATGGCTGACTCAAAGTCATCGTTCTCGATGGCTGGTACAGATGCATCCAATTCTTGTGACTTATAATACCCAACAAAACTATATTGTTCTTCGACATTACTATTCTTCTCGCCTCATATGTCTGTGTACTGTCTCCATTTTGCATTTGCTGCTTTCACTCTCTTTTCTTGCTTTGTGTGGTACGAGGGAAGGTGGCGACTCGAAAACTGCTGCACGTCGGTGAGAAATTCTATGTTGAAACCAGACAAAAGGCTAAGATAGATGGATATATATACTACTTAATTTTGTTTAAACATTAGTAATATAGTTTTTTTTAAACTCACCTGTAAACCTTTAACACAATATCTTGTTTGCTTTAAAGATGTGTATTGTTCTATGCAGTTCTGTAAGGTATTGATAATACTCATTAAGAAGGAATGCGTATGGATATATGACACGCTGGATAATAAATGTATCCGAAGATTGGCATTATTGTTGACTGCCGGTTGTTTCATCATTTTGTCAGTGGAATTAATACATCGGTTAGTGCTGGTTGTTGTTGTTGGTGGTGGTGAAGATGATAATTTTTTAGCTTTGTTGAACTGAAAGACTAAAAATGGCAGTTGAGTAGTATTCATGACACTGTCAACACTTAAAGGCGTCGATTGTGTTGATGCAGACATCAAACGAACTCCATATAAGGAAGCATATTGTCTTGGCAAAGCGATTAACTACACAAAGGAAGAAAAGAGACAACATGACAGATGGAAAAATGAAATGAGAGAGAGTAAAAGTGTGTAGTGAGAACTACTATAATGCTATGCACTGCAGTACAATACAATACAACTCATCTCCTTTATATCACCACCTTTGGACCCAAGTTCAACTAAACTAGTAGTCGCTATCCATTTGCATTCCCACTTGACGGCGGCTTGAGTTGCGCGCCAAGTTGTCATTCAACAGTCTCTCTCCAACGCTGTGTAGTATCCGATCCATCCATCCGTCTCCATTTCCTTCAGCATAAGTTGTCGCATAGTACAGTACACCGCCAGAATACATCATTGCTCATTCGTAGAACCCGGCCATTTGATTTTAAGCTTACAGTCACCAAAATAGGTGGCTGGTTGATAATCAAACTTTCCAGTAGCCTGTTCGAAATGCCTTTTTTGTGACGACACCTGTCCCAAATCTTTGGATTCTATAGAAACATTGACCGACTTAACATTAGTGTCGAAAATTCGAATCTTCTTTTCCATTTTGAGTGCAGCAGATTTTCAAACTGAGCAATAAAGATCAGTCTGACTTACCTGAACCTAACTAGTTTTGACAGCCTCGTCCGCGTCCTGAACGTTTGTAGCTGAAAGAAGTTGCCTGGATATGTGAAGTAAGGGATCTCTTACAAATTTCTCCCAGATGGTAGTGATTCGTGCTTGCTGTAGCGGTTGGTTGGTTGGTTGGTTGAGTATCTTCCTGCGTCTTCTCTATGTTCACTTGAAGTTCTGTCCTTTTCTGTTGGCTTCTTTTCCCAACATCGAGTTTGTGTGATTGGACACAAATCAACCACAAAGTGCTTTACCATAGTCTTCTTGTCAGTCTAACGAATGTCTGTCTTCTGGCTTCTGACGGTCTGTAGTATAATCCTCTCCACAATATTGATGATAGTAAGCAGATGCCTTGTCTTACTCCTGTCTTCACCTTAAAGGCTTCGCTAAGTTTTTTTTTGTGGGTCAACTGATATATATATATATCACTGTCATATAGCTGCTGAATGAGAGTGATGAAGATTCAGAGCACTCCATAGTGTTGAAATAGTTTTTCAATTCCTTAATAGTCAACGCTGTCTAAGGTTTTTCCAAACAAGATGAAATCGAGGTAAAGACATGACTGCCATCCTACATTGTGTTAGATGATGATGATGATGATGCGTAGCGTTGCAATTTGATCCACGCATGATTTACTCTTCTTGATTCCAGTTTGTTACGATCAGAGTTCTACACATAGTGAATCTTTCAGTCTCTCCAGAATGATATGACTTAATATTTTCCCTGGTGTGGACAACAGTTCTTGCAGTAGCCTTTCTTCCAATCAGTAGTTACCTTTCTCTCCTTCCAAATCTATTACAGCGGCGGTGTCTCTGGATCCATTTTTAGTGCTTCAGGAGGAGGGATTCCATCTTGTACCGGTTTTCAGTAACTTGATTGCATTCAAGACTTCGGTTGTTGTTGTTGTGTTTTTTCGAAGTTGAGGCAGTAACTCATCGAAGAAGACATTGCGAATCGGTCGCGCTGTGCCATAAATTGGCAGAAGTTAGAATTCATGGGCTGACCATTGGATCGGATCCCAGTGGCTCCACAGTCTACAATCTCACCAGCCTTGTAACCAGTAGGTAATGTTTTCGAACCCTGTCGATGGATGCATACTGATGAAGAGTTTCAAACTAGACTGATGAAACAAGTGTCCAGTACTGTGCAGTGTGGTGAGAGCTGTCTGCAATCCAAAACTGGTAGACAGTAATTTACGTCAATGTTTGCGTCCCAAACCTAGGTCATGAGAAAAAGCGAGAACAAAGCTACTTAACCTTGAGGAACTCAACAACCAATCACAGTAGACTTTGCGTGGGCGGATACGATTCGCAGATATATGATCTGACCTTCGAAGAAACGGTCAAACAGAGATGGCAGAATAACTTTCAGCGTGAAAACAACCAATCAGAAGACGCTGTTTCTCTGCTCACAATAACGCTAATAATAACATACATAAACCTCTATAAATATCTATTGATTTTCTCAATATTCGATCTGTTGCTTGGCCCTTCTCTTCTGTCGTTACACCAGGTTTCCCAATGGTTCTCTAACTGATGTCAGCTCATGGATGAAATCCTCCATCTTCTATTTTTGTTGAAGGATTGTAGATCATCGACATATCTACGGCCCTAAGTAAAGGAGGGGGTGATGTGTAGATAATGCTTAGAAGTTAAAAAAAATTATCTGCAATACAACATAACAACTTACTTTAATGCTGTACATATGACCTTCAACTTGAAGACACGAATTAGTCAGCAAATCATCATCAACACGATGATTATCATCACCATCCTTAATGTCATCCCAATGCTCACCACCAACATCAACACTCCGGCAACGGACAGTAGCAGTAGCGGTTGTGGCATCAACAGAAGGTGTATAATTGACTTGAAGTTTTATCCCATGAGAGGACAAAACAGCCAAATCTGTATCCAAATTTCCACAGGTCAATATTGACTGAACTTTATCAGACGAATCACTATTTGACAAGGATTCTTCAGCAGTTTTACTGGGTTCAGTAAATATACAATTCACAGAATTGATGTCTAGCAGTAGACATAACTTTGGATAATTATTTATCGAAATGGGGATTGATTTCGTCGCCACAGGAGAAGAGTTGGAGTAACATGAAGGAATTGTGTCTATGTAAAAATGTGTAGAATACGACAATAGACATCAAAAAAATAACAACACCAGGAGTGACAAATTAAACAATTCAGCCAAAACATACAAGAACACACTTGAATACTGAGTGGTTAAGTAAAGGACAAACAAAATCTATTCACATAGCGCTAATCAATCTCACTCATCTGTCTGTCTGTCTGGATTCAACATAGAACTTGTCACCGAAGTGCACCAGTTCGAGTTGCCACATTCCAAATAGCACACAAAGGTAGACAAGAAGATGAGTGAAGAGAATCAATAGAGTTTGACAAGTATAAGAGTGGAACAGAATGGGTAATGGTAGAAAGGAATATGAAAGATTACAGAGACTGAATATATCTGCGCTAGCCATTGACAACGATGAGTTTGAGCCATGTCACCTATTGTCTCCAGCCATTGATTCCTAGAGTCCCGAGGCCCCCAACCCGGGGGCAACAGAACACACAATATTGATGTCAACGAGGCTGCTTTCAAAGTCATTCCATATTAGTTTGTTTATTGGATGTATCACACAGCGAGTGAAACAGTATTATTTACTAGACGACAAAGCATTGAACACAATTTATTGCTGTTTATAATCATTTCATCAATTATAATCACATGACGTTGAAACTTGAGTTTTATAGTTTTCTTTGTCCTCTCCTGTTTGTCTTCGTTGGGGTAGTAGAATTTTTCAGATGTCTTCGTGGACAGGCGTTGAATCATTCCTATTACACGTATTCTCCTCAGTTGATTCGATAAACAAAGCTTCAGTCAGTTATCAATCTCTCCCTCCCTACACCCTGTCACATTAGATTTTAAAACTGTCATCCTATCCCATCCATCCTATTGTATGGTTGTGTGTAACTGCCTGTGGTGAGTGCTACAGCTGAACTATTCTCTAGATTTCTTATCTTATTCGGGTAAGTTAATCTAGAGTTTGCTATCTGTTAGTCTGACTGACTGCCTCTGTTCTACTAGTTTGACCTATGTATTTGACCTGAAAATCAACGCAAACAGGGTATTAGGTAAACTAAATTGTTTTGTTCTAAAGGCTTCACAGGATCCTTTAACCAACAAAGTTTGTTTCTAATTGAGTTTGTGGGTAGTTTGAATACCAGCCACTTTTATTCCTGGCTGTATTGTTAAGAATTCTGCGTAAGGTGGACCTGAGGTTCCTTCCTAGTATGGAATTACTACTGATGATTTAAATTCCAATAAGGAATCTTAACAAGGCAGGAATAAAGGAGGCTGGCATTCAAACCACCCACAAACTCAATTAGAAATAAGCTTTGTCGGTCAAAGGATCAATCCTGGGGAGCCTTTAAAACAAAACAATTTAGTTTATCTAATACCCTACCTGCAATGATTGTCAGGTCTAGTACATAGATGGGTCAAACTAGTAGAACAGGGTCAGACCGACTAGCCGAGCATAAAAACCTAGCAAAATCTAGATTATTAATACCTAAGAAGATAAGAAATCTGGAGAATAGTTCAGCTATAGCACTCACTACATGAAATCATACACAACCATCCATACAATACGATGGGATAAGACGACAGTTCTAAAATCGAATGTCATAGCGTGGAGGTAGAGATTGATAACAGAAGCTTTGTTTACCGAATCAACTGAGGAGAATACGTGTAATAGGAATGATTCAACGCCTGTCCACCCAGATATCTGGAGAATTCTACTACCCCAACGACGACAAATAGGAGAAGACAAAGAAAACTATAAAAGTCAAGTTTCGAAGTCGTGTGATTATAATTGACGCTATGATTATGAACAGCAATAAATTATGTTCGAAACTGTGTCATCCATATATTAGGCTTTCAAAGTCATTAACCGCATACCGAGAAATCTTAACTATATCTAAATAGTTCATCTAATACATATTGCTGAGGCCGTTGAGATCCACATTAAGAAGCCTAATCTGTGCGTTCAAAAGAAGTTGGTTAGTTCAGACATTATCCTTACCTGCTTGGCCATCTAGGTTTGAATGATCCTCAATTTGTTATGGGAATTTTTCTTTATTTAGATTTAATATTCTATTTGCTATTATGTTATCATTATAATAACTTAAGCATCTTTAATGAACTGTGGTAATTCCATTGTGATCTTACTTAACAAATCGATATTGCTCGAAAAACACCAATATAGTTATTGACGAATATATTCTAGAATAAGGAACAAAATTCGAATTTTCAGCACCAATGTCAAGTCGATCCTTGTATACGGGTCAGAAACTTGGCCAGTGCGTGTCAATCACGAAAAGGATTTCCAACAGCTAGTTGCAGACTTTCATCAACAGCTGCCACCTTCATTGACTCTATACTGAAGAAATAACAAGAAACGCTGACTGGGAACAAACCAACAAGCAAGAACCGATCGCTCAAGAAATATGCAGGAGAAAATGGAGATCGATGGATCGGGCGGGCATATGCCACTGAGGAGGCCGTCGAATGATATCGTATGTGTGCAATGCAGGCAATCACTCGAAGAGGAATCCGGATGAGAAGCGACGGGTCGTGGGTCGTCAATATGCGGGTGACATGGAGGAAATCGTGTGAGTAACAGATGAGAGAGTTTAGCCAATCATGGATCCAGATGAAGCAGACAACAGAGAATGAAACAAGGTAGAGATATTTTGCTGCAGTCCTATGTTCCCCTCAGAACCCAAGGGTTAATATTGATGATAATAATACAGATATATATGAAACTATATATGCCCATATTATTAAATGGTAGACTGGATAATGCGACAGGCAACGGACAGCGGGGAAACAGGCATAAAATGAAACCTCACAAAAAACTTGGAGGATCTGGACTTCGCCGATGATATATGTCTGATTTCTCACAAACTGTAAGATTTACAGTCGGTGGATGGTGGCTAGCAATGGAGTCCAGGATGAGCATTTCACCGGTTCTATTTGGGACTCGTCCTCCAGCTGGATGTACTTGCATTTCTCACTGAGTGATGATGTTCTCACCACCGAGGCTCGAACCCAGTGCCCATACTTTCAAACGCCAAAGCGTTGTCTACTAGACCACTTGGGCCATGAGAGCCACCTCTTGTGCAACGGGTCATATTAATTATTGAATTGAATTTTTGATTTTCCCGTCGATTGATTGGACCGAAGTGCTCGGTCTCAGGTTGACATGTCTGTCGGCTTCTTGTGCAGATGCTTCGACGTTGTCTGTCATTTAATTAGTATACAATTAGGGATGGTGCAAGTGATATGCAAGTGAAAAGCAACAAGTTGGCAGAAGAAGCATCCAGAGAAGATGGAACTTCAGGTAAATAAAGAAAAGCAGGGGTAGGCGATGAAGATTCTTGGCTAACAACAACAGACAACAATCAGCCAGCATAAATGGAAGAAATCTGAAAGAAGCGATCTCCTGCACCTACCGACCTGCCTAACTGGGAAGCACTGTTTCAACTACAGGCGGACGGAACTCATGAGGATATCAAAACAACGAGCATCGGGAAAGCAATGTAAGCTTTCATTACTCTCAAGTCTGTGTGGACATCAACACCACTCAGCAATCAGCATGAAAATTAACATCCCCACCTTCAACTCCAATGTGAAGTCAGTCAGTGCCACTTACTGTACGGATCAGAGACTTAGCGCGTCACGAAAGGCACCTTAAACAAACTACAGAACTTCATCAACAGCTGTTTCAGCTCAATACTACTCAAGTTTAGATCTCCGGCAAGGAAAGATGAGTAACAGGGATCTCTGGGAATGGGGAACCAACCCAGCAGGAACCAATTGTACAACAAATATGCAGGCAGAATTGGAGGGCATACTCTGAAACATGTGGCTGAAGCCCTATGCTCCTCTAGGAACTAAAGGAAACAATAATAATAATATATGAAACCATAATTGTATAATTTACCTTGATCTAATTTTCCAACAGTTTCTTTCACAGCCTCCTCTTTATAATCATCGTACAAATTCAAAAAATCCAAAAGCAACACCCATGGTTCAGATAGTAATCGAAAATCCAATGTGTCCATGCTTAACATGACAAAATATTTAGTCTGTAAAAGAGACAAAAGGGGGTGGGAAACAATAAAAATATGAGAAGAGAAGTTTAAATGCGCACAGACACATACAAATTATAAATAACTTTAAACCAATTTGGATTTTCCCATTGACCGCTTGTACCAAAATATGTTCAGCCGCGGTCCAAATGACGAGTCCTAAATATGACGAAATGCGGCGTGTTCATCCACAGTCCACCAAATCATACTTCAAGTTAGTTGCCAGATACATCACGGATGCGCCCGTTCTAACTAAGAGCCGACATGTCGACTCACAATCAAATCAACGGGGGGAAAACAGAAAGTGAATTAGGGCGAAATAATAGCTGATATTTGTCTGAGAGCACAGGAGGTGGATGTCATCCTGGCTTAAATGGTTTAGTGGACATTGCTTTGACATGTGAAACGATTTGTACTGACTGAGTTCACTCACTCACCCATTCACTTCCTGGAGGGTACAAATACATTCAGTTGATGAGTCCCAAAAAGGACAAAGTGAGCATACTGGATTGCACTGGGCTAATCACCATCCTCGCGCTGGATACATCTACACACTTTGTTGAATGGCATTATTCATTATCATCTATCATTCGCTGACTTGTTATGTTGGTGAAAGAATAAGTGCTTTTTAGATTTGTTCATGGATAATCCCCCATCCAGGCACTTCTATGTGCATATATCAGTTCACCTGCTACTGCTGCTGTGGAGCCAGCCAGGTATATCGGTCGTTCAACGCTCACCCAGTCCAAGAGGATTCAAGAACACTATCCAGCCAGCATAGTTGCGAAAAGGCAATAGTGGTGCAATAAGGAGTGCGATAATTGAACAACACGTGGTTAACACTGATCATTCCATCTCAACAACAAACGTCTCCTGCTTCAAAGTAGCCTACAGAGTCAAGAATGACCTATCAAAGGCAATACGATTTTGTCTTCTTTGTATCGCTGAAGCTCTGGTCATTCACATAGAAAAATCGGAGCTGTGTATACAAAGGAGGAAGGATTACTCAACCACTTCTACTGTCATGGTAACAACTTTGGTGATTTTGATGACTTAATTTTGTTTGTTTGCCTGTTCTTTAATTGCTCATAATTCCTTTAGTTATTTAGAATTCTTACATAATTTCTTATTCTCTACTTTGTTTCTATGTGTATCCTGAGTAAAACTCAATCATTGAACTATTCATATTATTATTACATAACTTCTTTTTTAACAACTGTTTGTGACAACTCATCACCTTTGTTACCACCTTAATTTCATTAACACCTAACTTTCTTGACTGATTTTGTATTACGTAACTCTAACAACCAATCTTCACCTGTTTAGTCAAAATAACCATAACCAATTGTAATTTTGTTTGACAAACTTAATGTACGCATATAAATACAAAATAACCCATATACATATTTGTGATTGTACAGCTAAGGTGGAAAATGAATTCGCCGTCGAAAAAAAACTCTTCGCTGAACTACGTGTTTTAGATTTGTGCCTTTACTAGCAGCTAGCAGACCCACCGATACAGGATAAGTTTGGATACACGAGTTTAAAGAAAGACGCTTTTCTACCAGCGCGCACCTAACTCCCCAGAGAGGTAACAGGTAGCATAGCTGACTCGCTGATCGTTTGAAACAAACAGATTACTGATGACTGATGTTCCACACCCTTATTCATCATCATTATCATCTGTCTGTCTGTTTTCGACATAGAACTTTGAACATATGTGCGCCGGTTCAAGTCGCCACACTTGCTCCATGTAACACACAAAGCAAGAGAAGAAAGTAGAAGAAATACACAATAGAGACAGTAAACAGGGTGTAAGACAAAGGAGCAGTAATAACGAAGAAGAATATAGTTTCATTGGAAATCATAAGTCACAAGGAGTGGATGCATCTGTACGAGCCATTGAGAACGACTTTGAACCATGTCACCAATTGTTTCCAGCCTTCATTGGTTTTTACCGTCTCGAGGACCCCAATCAGCCAGCGAATATACACCTTCCTACGTGGCTTAGACCAACTGTTGTGGATTTCATTGACTAGTGAATCCAATTTTTTGTTTGACCGCCGCTAGCTTTTTTCCAGCCTGACTCTATATCCGATAACATTGCCAATTGTCGAGGAAGGCGATGACTTGGCATACCTAACACATGTCCCAACCATCTCAGTCTTTGCAACTTTACGACTTCGTCGATTGATTACCCCTCTTTACCTAGAACTCTACGCCTAACCTCCATGTTGCTCACCTTATTATGCCACTTTACACGGGAGATAGAACGCAGGCACCTATGATCAAAGATAGCTAGTCTTTTCATGTCTTCCACTCTCAGTGGCCAGGTCTCACAACCATAAAGGAGGACGGAGCGGACTGATGAACAGTACACCCACCCTTTGGTCGATAGTCGAACATCTTGTCTACGCCAGAGTCGGCGTAAACTGGCAAATGCGAAACGAGCCCCCTGTATTCGTGCTGAGATTTCGTCAAAGATCAACCCGCTGGCATTGGCTGATGGTACTTCCCAAATAAGAGAAGGGGTCAACATGCTCTACAAATTCACTTCCTATTTTTAGACTAGGAGTCGCTGTAATCTAGTCCTGTAATATCATCTTGCATTTGGCGGGAGCGAATCGCATGCCAAACATTCGGAAAATTGCAGCTCAAGGTGTTCATCATCATCATCACCGATCAAAAGTACAACTTCAATCTGAGACAGCCAACATAAAACCCCTGGAGTAACACATTCATTGAAGGCAGTGTAACACACTTGTGTTAGGTTATCATGATATATTGCTAGAAATTGCTAACAAAGATGGACACTTTATATATTTTTCAAAAAAAGAAAAGGGGGGAGGGAGAGCAATTTCCACCTACCTGACAGAATGATTCATGCTGATCAGACAGAAGAATGACACGTACAGATATCGGAGATACCTAAAAAAAATTTCAAGAAACAAAAAATAAAATAAAGGACACCGTAGAAGATGAACTGGACAATCTCAAGAGAATCCTCGTCGAGAATTGTTACCCAGAACGATTAGGTTCAAAGTTCAGCGAAAAGACTCTTTTCGACGGCGAATTCATTCACATAGCTAGCTGTACAATCGCATTTATACATAAATCATTTTGTGTGTGTGTGTGTGTGTGTGTGTACATGAGGTTTGTCAAGTTTAGATAATTGATTAGGTAATACAAGAATGATCTCATATAGAAACAAGGTTGATTAGACAGCAACTAAAGTAAGATTGAGTTAGTTAGTAAGTTAGATGACTTAATACAATTGACTAAAATGCTTCAACTTGGGTCAGGGTAGCAACAGAGGTAATTTCAGGTAGAGACTAAGTAGAAGTGTGGTAGATAATAATGTCATTTAAATTAGAACTGAAATTGAGCAATTAAGTTGGATGATATAATATAAATGACTAGAAATTTAGCGTCGGTCAAGTCAGTAACAAAGGTGGTAATGAGATGTAGAAATTAAATCGGGTGGGGGTAGAGAACAGGAAAGTTGAAAATGCGAAATATTACAATTGAGAAGACAAAATAACACCAATGAAGAGACAGAAGTGAAAAAAAATTAAGTAGAATTAACTTGTGACGTAATAAGATAGATTACGTCCATTGCAAGTGTTGTGATTGAACGAACTTCTTCTGTATGCATAGTTCAGGGTTTAAGCAAGTGAATCGCCATTATTGCTTCTGCAGTTTGAAGAAGTCTGATTCGTACACCTTTAGGAAGACTACTTCCTACTCTGTAGACTACTATGAAGTTTGTTTGGGGTGCAGCTTGATGTCTGGATTCTATCAGATGTTCTTCTAAGATGGAGTTGCGGGGACATCATTTTTCTCTTTTGTAAAACCATGTTGGTAAGTGTTCGGTGATTCGCTTGGAAAGCGAACGCTGGGTACGGCCGACATACCTGGCTCTACACGATCAGGTGAATTGACAAATACGCATTGATGAGGCCAGCAGTGGTAGCTTATCCTTCACGTTCACATGAGTCATAGGTTTTGTGGAGAAAGTTAGTCGTAGTTCAGCTGCGAAGAAGGTCTTCTTGAGTGAGCACGATAGTGCAATGTGATTGAATTCGTCGACAAAGAGTCTCTTCGCTGAACATCTTCTCTTTTTCATAATTCTATATTAGATGAGTTTATTTTCAAATATCACGCAGAGGTGATGATGCAGTATTATTAACAACACGACGACAAGGTTACGAGCACAAATTATTGCCACTCATAATCATATCAAGTTTAAAAGTCAATCTGAACGAAAAATATTCTTTTCAATAATTTCTCCTCTCCAGGTTCTTACAACTGAACTGGCAGAAGTTAGAATTCAAGAACTATTGGATCGGGTCCCAGTGGCTTAATGGTATACGAGCTCGCCTTGTAACCGGAAGGTCCTGGGTTCGAATCCCGGTGGGTGCGTACCGATGAAGAGTCCCAAACTCGGACGAAACACCTGTCCAGTACTGCCAGGTTTCCCAGTGGTTCTCTAATTGATGTCAGCTCATGGTGAAATCCTGCATACAATTATAAAATATAATATTTGAGGTCGTTACAATAATGCCAAGTTATGCGATGGATACATTTTTAACGTAGAATAACGGATTAGTTATGGGGTGTCAAAATAAATAGTCGTATTTGTGTGACAAACGTCGTGCTAGGCTGAAATCGATTAGAAAATATTGGCAGAATGGGAGACAGTGGTGGTGATTAGTCGTCATAATAGAATTGTAGAGTGTGCGTTAGGAAAATTGACAAATCATTTCAAGGTTATCGAAGGTGTCAGGTGAGTGGCTAGTACAAAGTGGTCTGTCTTAAACAGGAGATAGTAAGACTGCAATGAGAGGTTCACATAATGAGATAACGAATATGTGAAATGAAATAGGTGGAGGCATATATTGAGAAAAGAGACAATATCACTACCAATAATAAGTCCGGATAGTATAAATGAAAAATTCGATAGTATTGAGCATAAATTATGACGAATAATAATAACTGTAATAATAATATTTATAATAATAAGCAAAGTAAAAAAAACCAAGAGGGTTAAGGGGAAGGAGCACTTTTGGTGAGAAGAAGAATCATCAGTCTAAGTTTGACCACGGTAGGAACAGCGTCTGGACGTGTTCTTTTCTTTGGATACAAAGTTACGGTTTAGTCGATGATCTTATTGCAACAGCTTCAGATATGTGTAGGGGACGTAAGCGGACTGACTGTACGTGATAATGACTTCGGAATTCGATATATAACCCTGAAAGGTGTCTTGACATCGATGCGATGTCCAGTATCGACCAAGTGTGACAGGATCGAGCTTTTTATGCACTTAATTTCCCATAGGTCAAACTAGTCGATCGGGGCTAGTCAGATTGGCGGAATATGAGAATTTAGCTAAGATAACAATGGTTGACTCCGAGGAGATAAGTAGTTTACAAAAATGCTCAGCAATTTAACTGCATGCATTAATACACAATCAAAAGTAATCTAGGTAGGTGGAGAGAGAGAGACAGGGGTTGATTACTGAATCCTTGTTCATAGAATCTACGCCCAACACACGCGTTACAAATGACTCATCACTCATACCAAAGACATGGAAAATATTACTACCAATGAAATCAAGAGATGGAAAGCAATAATGGAATTATATAAACAAATTAAGAAAGTCGTGTGAGTAGCGCCTTGATATGATTAACCAAATGCAGCTTTTGATGAAAAGTGTGCAGGGCAGACTGTTGGAAATGCTTTCTTCGTTCGTGACTGGTACTCACTCACTCACTCACTCACTCAGCAAGTCTATAAACCTTTATAAACAGAAACTCCAATCTTATATATATCGAGTTTTATTTTCCGTCACTTCTTGTTTGTATTTTGTTCTTAATTTTATTTTATATTTTCCTTTGTATTTCAGCATTTAATTCACAGATTGAACAAAGTGGGTGTCTTGCGCTGCGGGTTGGCCACCCCTCCGTACACCTCTTGAAATGCTCCCATATGACCAGGCGTCTTACATAGCCTCTCCTGAGGAAGTACTACTCACTGACTTCACGTGGCGGAGGTGTTTTTCACCAAAGTGAGAGGGCAAAAGCGAATGCCCGGCGTTCTTCACCGGGTTGACTGTCCATTGGATGACAGTCTAGGGGAGATGGCTAAACCCTGATTCCAAACCTCCAACAACTGGCGTATGGAGCTCACCGGTAGACGTATGGACAAAGGGTTTATTGGATGCCCTGGATGACTGGCCCCATTCAAAAGCCGTATGAACCGGACTCCGGTCACTGGCTGGCTGACAATGGATAGTGGGCTCCCTACTCCACTCCTACTGCCTTGTAGGTCACACTTGGTTGTGTAAAGGCTAGAGCTGCACTCTCAAACAAAAGGCCGAGCGATTCTGGGGACATCACTCGTACCTAATTCCCATGAAACTTCATGGTTCATGAAGCCGGCTCATCCTCCCCCGTAGGAGATAGCCGAAGTAAAGTAAGTAAGTATACATTTCTTATGGCATGTTTAACATGGTGTCCATCGTCTTCTTCTTCTTCCTCTTCTTCTTCTAAATTAAATCGAGCAAATAAAACAACACCGGCTGATTCATCAATTGGTTCCTGTTTCATTGAATTATCTATGGGATATTTAAAGATTACTGGTTAGTGGAATTCTGTATATATATATGCATTTTTTATAATAAGTCATCTTTTATTAGAGGTTTCTTAGAGTCCATCGGTGGTTGTAGTGGTAAAACGCTCATCAACCAACCATGCCTCATGTGGTCTGGGGTTCGATCCTCGTCCGCCAACACACACACACGCACACACTCCTTAACCTCGCTAAGCCGGTAGTAAGAGTGGTAGAGAGAGAAGGAAAGCTGAACTGACTTGTGAGGCCGGGAGATTATTTATTATCCTCCTCTGATTTAACTGACTGACTGGTGGTAATAATATCTTCCATGCATATATCTCTGGTATTTGAATTGAGTCATTTCTGTTGCATATGTTGTGTTGGGTGTAGACTCAATGAACCAGGCAGGGGTCAGTAATCAGTCTCTCTCTCTCTATCCACCTACCTTCATTACTTCTTAGAATTTTAACCCTCTCCCAACCACCGTATTGTGTGGTTGTGTGTTAATGTATGAAGTGCTATAGTTGAGTTTTTTTTCTCTAAAAATACCCATCCGTCTTGATGGGATCAATCATTATAACCTTGGCTAAATTCTGAAAATGTTCTGATAATCGCACTACTCCTGGCCTACCTAGTTAACCTAACTCGCAGTCATTGCAAGGTATTTTGTAAATTATATTATTTTGTTTAATTGGGTCAACCTATAGGGTCCCTTTAACCTATACAGCTTGTCTCTATATTGATAACAGTCATATTATTATTATTATTTCTGAATGTACTTTATCCATCTCATATTGATTTTATTCAAATGTTTAATCATGAATTTTACTCATGCATATAAATGAAGCAAGAAAGTTGTGTGAGTAGTGCCTTGATATGATGGTTATGAGCAGGAATAAATTTAGTGCTCAAAATGTGGTTATCAGTAAATATTAATTACTGTACAACAACAAACACTGTGAGACTTTATCAAAATACAAATTTACCCATAATGGAACAATCACCAAATATATATCATAAAAAAAACTGACCTGATGTTGTAATAATCCACAGACACCATTATCATCATGATTCCCCACAGAGGATAAATGATGCCTTCCACAAATTGAATAATTTCCACAACACCAATCCCTCTCTGTATAATAGATTTTGTCATAATCCTCCGTGGAGCATGAATTAATCCTTTTACGTCTTGAATGCTTGTTATCCTTATGAGCATGACCATAATCTTTACAAACAAGTAGAAGCTGTTGGTTCTTTTTTATTCCACATCGTGTTGTTGAAGTCTTGCTTCCCTTTCGTCTCTCTTTATCATGATCATGTTTTGACGGGGGTAATCGATTTTGTAAATATGCACGGTTGACAGTCAATTGAAGACATGTAGGCAGTGTAATACCACCTTTAGACAGATGAACACTTGATGAAGCCTCTAACGACTCGATAGTCAGAGAAGCTAATGGTATCGGTGTGATATCTAAATCGCCTAACATTAAAATATGAATTTGTGAACAATTGACACGGATACCAAATTCTAGAGAACCGCATTGAGCATTATTCAGTCCGATAGGAATTGAATTCAGATCAGAGTAGGAAGGCTGTTTGAAAGCGATAATAATAATAATAATAATAAACCAAGGAATAATAGTATGATTTGCTCTAAAATCGAATTATCAGCATTGATAAATATACACATAGAAGAGAAAATTTCGACCCGGTCATAGATCTACTTACTATGCACGATAATTTGAAGACTACTTAAAATGGGGGTCAGGGTCTATAAGTATGGTGTCTGTGTGTGTTTGTGGGCTTGAAGCGGTCTAAGTACACCGTTCCGTTGTTACAAGATTGACCAGCAGGAGTCTGCATCCTACACTCACTAATGCAGTTGAACTCTACAAGTAATCTATATGTGTTCATGTGTAACTAGGTAGCCGCTCCGTTCTCCTGTATAGCTGTGAGTGAGACCAGGTCATTGAGAGTTGAAGACATGAAAAGACTAGGCAGTCAGCTGTCGTTAATCATAGGTGCCTGCGTTCTATTTCCCGTGTGAAGTGGTGGTATCATAAGGTGAGCAATATTGAGGTTAAGCATCGGCTGAGTGCTTAGTAAAGAGGAGAAATTAATTGTGCGTCGGTGGCACAGTGGTTAGGATCCTCGCCTACCATGCACATGGTCCGGGGTTCGAGCCCACACCGACACACACCCAATATCTATGGTCGGCCTGCGAATTTTGGGCTACCGATATCCACGCTGAAAATTCCATACTTGTACCAAAAATACAGTGTGGAATCAAGCTGTAAATCAAAAATAAAAAAATAAATCAATCGACGAGGCTGTGAAGTTACATCGATTGAGATGTTTAGGACATGTGATACGCATGCACAGCCGTTGACTTCTTCGACAATGGGCAATGTTAGCTGACACACAGTCAGACTGGAAAAGAGCTACTGGTGGTCAAACCAAAAAAAATGGCTTCATCAGTGAATGAAGTCCACAACAGTTAGTTTAAGCTAGCCACGTAGATAGGTGTCTTCGGGACGGTTAACACCAATGAAGGCTGGAGACAGTTGCTGATATGCCTCAAACTCATCGTTCTCGATGGCTGGTGCAGATGTATCTACTCCCTGTGACCCGATGAAATTATACTGCTCTTCGATATTACTATTCTTTTTGCCTCATATCTCAGTTTACTGTCTCTATTTTGCGTTTCTTTTAACTTGTTTCTTCTTCTCTGGCCTTGTGTGCTGAGTGAAGTGTGCCAACTCGAACTAGTGCATATCGGTGCAAAGTCCTTTGTTGGAACCAGTCAGTCAGTAAATAGATGGTTAGCTTTTTTTTATTATACACGCAATCGTTAAATCAGATCAATGGTAAACTAATAATGAATAATGAGTACATAATTACTGTATTATTTATTACATAATGATATGAATTATTGGAAATCAATAATGACAAACAATCAATAATGCTAAATATTTACATTTTAAACAAAACACAAAAAAAAAACACTAATCGATTGTTCTCTATACCTGTTATGTCAGATTGGAGTGTTTAGACTAACTGAATTCTTAACTATATATCATTAAATAAAATATTCACCGTTCCAGGAGAACACCTGCTTACCAAGTCATGGTGTCAAGGCTGCCTACTATCCCTTAATTCTGGTAGATTGGATTATGAGGGAGATAGTGATCTGGGAGTGCGAAGACAGGAATACCTTGACTCGACAAGAAGGCTCTAGAAAATGTGGACTTCGAGAATGACTTATGTCTATATGTCACATAAAACCTGAGTATACATACATAGGCGAGAATCAACAAGTTGACAGATGAAGCAATAAAAACATGACTTCAAGAGAACATGGAAAAGACTAAGGTAATGAATATACGCAACCAACAACGCGGATAACAACAATCACTTCAGATATGATAGAGAAGATTTGTAGCTCGGGTGGGTGATTTTGATGTGGTTGTATTCTCTGAGCAGCTGGATAGTTAATTTGCGAAGCTTTCATCGCCCTCCCTACTAGGCGACATCTTCAGCGCATACTTCAGTTAGAAGTGAACTTTTAGATTTCTCCACAAGTTTATTAATCATCTCTCCTGGTGACCACCTTGAACGGGATTGGTTGTTTTTTGTGTTTTCACACGCACTCTAGGTTACTTGTATTGGAACTGACTGTTTCTTTGACTTCAACTTTGACCCTTTGTGTGTGTGTGTGAGGTTTCTTTTTTATCGGTTGACAAAGGAATTGCATACAAACACTATTCAATAGGGCAATGACTCGTTGCAGCACTCCTACGCTTAACGAAAATTAAAGAAAAAATATCTCATGGACGTCTTCTAAAAGAATGCATAGATATCCACGGAATTAAATCAAAAGACATATACCCCCAAGCCAACCCATCAAACCGAAAGCCTCCAAGGAAAGCACAAAGAAAATCGCCCTACCATTTATAAAGGACATCTCAGAAATCATTCTACAAGACTCTTCAAACCTTTAGGAATTGATGTCGTACACAAACCGACAAAGTCACTTCACTCAACTGGTTCTATGTCAACTAAAAGACTCAACAACGAAAGAAGATAAAACCAACAGAATCTACAAAATAAATTATAACAACTTCGAAAAACACTATATTGGCCAAAGTGGACAACGTCCTCTTCGTCTTCGTATCCATGATCATAAGCTAGCTGTGAAAAGACATGACATCCACTCCCTCACTCATATCACTACATACAGACATGCACGGGTATCAGTTCAACTGAGACAACGTTCAAACATTGGACAGAGGAAACACCAAGAACGTTAGAGAATTTTTCGGATCGAAGTATGCTCTGAAGATGCTCGCCTAGTAGGGAGGGCGATGAAAGCTTCTCAAATTAACTATCCAGCCAACTCAGAGAATACAACCACATCAAAAACAATCACTTCATTCGACATTATGCAAACCGAAAGATCTAACAGAAAAAGGGGATAAAATTAATACCATTTACACAATTAATTGTATGAACTGTAACCCACTTTACATCGATCAAAGTGGGCCTCCCCTTCGAATAAGAATCCAAGAACACAAATTAACTGTAAAAAGACATGATATACATATTCTCTCATATCAATACATGTAGATTATTATGGACACCGATTTGATGATTGGAATCATGTCGAAATTTTAAATAGAGATGTGGTGAGAGTTGTCTGCTAGCCGAAATTGGGAGACAGCAATTTACGTGAATGTTTACGTCCCAAATTTTCGTCATGAGAAAAAAAGAACAAGAACAAAGACTAATTCAACAACCAATCACAACAGGCCTAGCGTGAGTGGATATGATTCGCAGATATTTAGTCTGACCTTCAAAGAAACGGCCGCATAGAGATGACAGAATAACTTCCATCATGAAAACAACCAATCAGAAGAAGCTGTTACTCTGCTAACAATAGCCTATAATAATGTACATAAAAAATTTATAAATATCTGTTGATTTTCTCAATAAACGACCTGTTGTCTGGCCCTTGTCTTCTGTCGTTACAATATCACTAACAGTCTCCAGTCATTGGATGTTAGCATCTCCAGGACCCCACAATCAGGCAGTCTACACCTCCCAACGTGTCGAGTTCCAACCAAATAGTGGAAGACTTTATTGAATGGATGACAGTCAGTTGATTAATTTCATAAATCCGTCTCCATTCAATAAATGTGACTCACATGATGTGATAACCACACGATTCATACAGGCATTATCGAAGCCTCCGTACTAAGAGCCAACATACGCGTCAACAAAGACTCAGTCCAGTTAAAAGACAATAAACGCACCAATTCAAAGCAACAGGATCAATATTTCAGAGTAGATTTCCACACAAACTAACATATCAATCAGAGAGAGAGAGAGAGATCACTGAGAGCCAAGGAATATATGAGACCACTAGCTGTTTCGTCCTGGTTTGCGACTCTTCACAATACAGTGCACATTGATAGCCCCAACCTTTAGGAATCATCAAACCCACCGAACCCCACAGAATCACTCTAATCTAAATAATGAGATTTGGCATGTTTCAAGCTTAATCACAAGCTGCGTTCTATCTCCCGTGGGAAATGGTGGTATAATAAGGTGAGCGATATTGAAGTAAGGGGGCCCGGTCGAGTGCTAGGTAGGTGGGAGGGGAAATCACTAGACGAGGCTGTGAAGTTACACCGATTGAGAGAGAGAGAGATGATTAGGGCATGTGTTGTGCATGCGTACCCTAGCCTTCGCCTTCCTCAACAATGGGCAATGTTAGCTGACTGACATAGCATCAGGTAGGAAAACTGCTAGCGAGTAGTGGTGGTCAAACCAAAACATGACTTCATCAATTTGTCAATCAAATCCACATAAGTTTGTTTATTAGATGTATCACACAGTGAAACAGTATTACTTACTGGATGACGTGTCGAACAAAATTTATTGTTCATCATCATATCTGGAAAATTCTACTACCCCTACGACGACAACTAGGAGACGACAAAGAAAACTATAAAACTCAAGTTTCAAAGTCGTGTGATTACAATTAATACGATTATGAACAATAAATTTTGTCCGAAACGTCATCAAGTAAATAATACTGTTTCACTGTGTGATACATCTAGGAAACAAACTTATACGGAATTACTAACTACCACAGTGCCCAAGTTTTACACATATATTAACAATCAAATCCACAACAGTTAGTTCAAGCCAGACAGCCATCCACGTAGGAAGGTGTAGACTTCCTGACTGGCTGGTTGAGGTCCTCGGGACGGTAAACACCAATGAAGGCTGGAGACAATCGGCGATATGGTTAGCTCAAACTCATCGTTGTCGATGGTTGGTGCACAGATGCATCCAATCCTTATGACTTATAATACCCAAAGAAGTTATATTGTTCTTCGTTAATACTATTGCTTTTGTCTCATATCCTTGTTTACTGTCTCTATTTTGCATCTCTCTTACCTTCTCTTCGTTTGCGTGCTGAGTGAAGTGTGACGACTTGAATCGCTTCACAACGCTGCAGTAAGACAGTGACATCAGTTACACCACCACCATTGGAAAACTAGGGAGTATTGAACAGGCCAACTGTTTTAGCCTAGTTTGTTTAGGACTCTTCATAAGTAACCACCCCCAACAGCGTTGGAATCTAAGGTCGCTCCAGTTGCAGGGCAAGTTGGTACACCATTCAATCAGTGGGACATTTGCTGGTGGTCAGTCACGTGAAAATCACGAACTGGTAGAGGCTGAAATTCATAGACCACTGAAACAGGTCCTAGTTATCGAATGGTTTACGACCTAGCGTAAGCTGATTTTCCAATCGTTCTCTAAGTGACATCAATCCACGATCAAACTTGAATTAATTAATTAATTATTTAAAATAAATAAATAAATGCCCATGAGAAATACTTACTTGTTGTATTACAGCCTGATCAGTATGTAACGCCTCCTCATTATTCATACCATTATTGGATTGATTTTCTTCGAATTGTTTCAATAAATAATTGTCGAATAAATCCTTGACTAAATCACAATTCATTTTAGTCAGATTGAATCTCAACGTGTGAATGTAGAAGACAATAGTTAACTGACTAGTGATTGGTTCAGAGAATAAGAGTAGATTAACACTCGGAGAACATGTTGTTGCTGCCTCCACTGACCTATTTGTAGAAGGCACTGTTGATGATGTTGTTGTTGGCGGCGGTGGCGGTGGCGTCGACGACGTATTCATCTCACCGTTATTCTCACCACCAACAACAAGGTGATATTTTGTAAATTGATTCAACTTTGCTGTTTGCATGATAGATAAATCACAGAAATTGAAACGAACTGTCTGTAACCAGCTGGAGGAAGGAGGCGAAGATGATGAGTAGCTTTTTGTTCTGGCTGGATTCAACTTTATGTAGTTTATCTAAAAATTGAACGTTAAAATAAGAATAAAAAATAATAATAATAATCTACTTTATTCCAAGACGAACAGTACTTATAATACAGAATGGAATTCTCCGCATTTGTCACAACACCTTGCATCTGATTTACTCAAAATATAAATAAAATTAAAAATTAAAACAAAAGTAATCAGAGGAATTTGTCCACGTTTACGATATACAGTCAAAAATATTCAAAGCGCGAATTGACAGTATTAAATATAATAATAATAATAACAGTGAGTTTGTTTCAAACAGTATTGTCGATTCAGTTTGGAAATTTTAGCATGTTATTATAGAGGCATAGAATCGAATGTTCTGCTGATATAGCAGCATGGTGAGGGGAAATACAAAATTAACAGTTATTAACACAGCTTAAACGATGTTCACACTTATGAGAAATAAATAAATAACAAAAAATTGAGAGGATTATAAATATAAGAAATGCAATAACAATAAAGTTTGGTACTGTAAGGGTGGAGGTAATGGTTTGTTTACTAGTGCAAAGAAGATTAGTTAGTTGGTTGATGCCTGACACTATTTTTATCACATAAAGTACGTGCAGTGAAATATGGTATAGTGGGATTTTTTATACTTAGACGTACGTGCATAAAATCTTCTGAAAAGACTTCTTGTTTTACCTGAAGACACACAAAGTTGCAGCTGCAGGTAGAGCGGGTGGTATCAGTCTGACAAAATTCCTTTAACAAATTTGTTGCATGAAATCAAGTGCTTATCAGTGACAATGTCAACGATATGCCCCAATGAGATATCACTCATCCTACTGACAGTCAGTCTTCAGATTTCTACGAAGTATGACAGAGTCCTCTTTAAGCAATCCAGGAAAGAATAAGCAGGGGTGAACAGTAAAGAACAATAGGTAAAATAGACGAGTTGACAAACTGTAAGACGAGAGGTCCAGTTATGCCTGAGTGCCATAACTTCCTCTCGTCGGATTTCCGAACATCACCTTGCGTGGTTGGTTAAGTAAAGGACAAACAAAATCTATTCGCACACCGATATTCTATCTCATCTTGTGGATACAATGGAACACAAGACTGATGTCAACGAGGCTGCTTATAAAGTCATTTACCGCGCATACCAACAAGTCTTAACTTCGCCTTAAGAGTTCGATTACTAAATATTGTTGAGGACTGTTGGAACCCATATTAAGAAGACTAATTTATGTGCTCAAAAGAAGTTAGTTCAGACATTATCCTTACCCGCTTGACCATCTAGGTTTGAATGATCCTCAATTTTTGTGAAATTTTCCCAATTTTAGTTGATATTCTATTTGTTATTCTATTATTATTATTATTATTATTATTATTATTATTATTATTAATTTATGCATCTTTAATGAACTGTGATAATTCCATTGTGATCTTACTTAACAAATCGATACTATTTAAAAGAATACTAATATTGTTATTGACTATTAATCTAGAATATTCTATGTATATAAATATAAACGTATATTTAATTGTAGAGCCTGAAGAGGAGGAATTATTGATATAAGTATAAAACTTGGGCACTGTGGTAGAGTATAATTCCATTATAGATAAGATTTTATTTTGATAAATCGCACAGTGTTTACAGTTATATGAACTGTAAACACTGTGCGATTTATCAAAATAAAATCTTATCTATAATGAAGAGGAGGAAATTATCGAAAAACAAATTCATCTTTGCTGGCTCGATTATTTTGTGTTTTATAGATGTCTGAATGAATATTTTCGCAATATACATATATAGCTGATAGAACACGATCGAAAGTGAAGGCAAGATCAGAGTTGAGGAAGAAGTAGTCAAACCAGGAAGCTGTCATTTATCTAATAACCCAGTCAGTGCTCTATCAAAATCACAGTACTGACATGATGAACAATTTAGAAAAAAGTGGAGTTTTCCGATCAACAGGATCATTATTCTGATCTACTCATCACTGGCCACCCACCCACTGGTTCGAATTCTTGCTTCCACTCAAATATAAATAGCACTCAGCTATTTGACACCCATCAAAACCGGCCTATGAGATTTCCAATCGTATAATGAAGACTAGGGTGGCATACATCAACTTCAGCCACCTCTGGTGCCGTCACGACGTTAGCCTGGCTGTGAAAAGTCGGGCATACAATGCTTCGGCGTGGGATGTCTTGCTCTACGCCAGGCCTGGGAAACCTGGCCTCTCTGAGCTGATGATGTGCGGCGGCTCTGCGTGTTCAATCATCGCTTTCTCCTCAGGATTGTTTGCATTTGATGGCATCATCGTGTGAGTAATTCTGAGGTTCGGCGGCGTGTGTCTGAACACAGTGGAGATCACCATCCATTCATTCATTGTCATCATCTGAAGAAACACCGGCTCCAAGGGCTTGCAAATGTGCTGCGAATGTCATCCCAGAGGCTTCCGTACAGGTCTCTGTTCGCTAGCCAGCCCTGGGACGGGATGGAAAAGGCGGAGTGTTGGTCAGTCCATGACGCGTGGCGTCGTGGGGTAAAGGACGTTTGTGCTAGATTAGCATTGGTAGGTGTGTCACGACTCCCTCGTTGGGGTCCGTGAGATAGCTCGAATCGATGGCCAAGAATCTTAATCAATCTTCCCTTCCGGATATTAGTTGATGAATACTGTTTTAACGAACTTGTTAAGTATGACTGTTTTCCTTCCAGATGAAGTTCTTTATCCATTCTCTACTTATATATATATATATATATATATATATATGTATATATATGTATATATATGTATATATATATATATATTACTTTTGATCTATGTTGTTTTATTATCACTGTGTGGCACATCTATCTTGGTGCCAAAATGTACCAAGTTTTTTCTGCGTTTAAATAGATAAATAATCCATCAAATCAAACCAGAAGATTCATTAGAAACTTACATAAATTGAAAAATCCATAGGGAATACAATCACTTGATGAAATGACTCATACTTCATTGGATCATTACAACACATCATCTGCTGACGCCAAAATTCATACAACAAGCGGAAATTTAAATGAAATAATTTTTTCTCCATTGGTGGTGATGTTCCCAGTAAAAATTGATTCGCTGCTTTCACTGCCTCATTAACATAATGCATAATACTAAATTTTTCAATCGAAAATGATACAGACTTGCTATCACTTGAATTACAATTGAACATTGAATTCGATTTCAAAAAATTGTGGTTAATTTGAATTTGTTTAAAACTAAACAGTGAGAAATGCGCGCATGGATTAAAACTACTCGGGATTAAAATAATTGAATTGTTGATTTTTATTGAATATTGAACACAGAATGAGAATAATTTATCAAGTCGACTGGATATTTCATTTCTGTTGTTGTCACTGTCAATATGCGCATTATGTGAAGATTGAATTACTACTGTCTTGTTGAGCCGTAGATACGGCATAATACATTGAAACCACTGAATAATTTCAAGGATATCACTATAGGAATGAATATAAACAAGGTTGGAGAGGGTAATTTGAATTTGTGGCTGATGAAGCTCAACAGAAGGGCAACCATTATGTTGTGTATTCCATTGAATATTGATAAGCATTAGATCAGAATGTTGTTCCACAGTAGAAGAACATGAAGAAGAAGGAGAAGACGAGGAGGAGGATGGAAATATTGATCCAAATAAATATTGATCACTTTGGATTTGTGAATTGCATAAAGGATGGAGTTGAAAAGTCCTAAGTTTTATTGATAAAGAATTTAGTAAACCTGAAATAAGAGAATACAAAGAATTAAGTAATAAATATGGATAGTGTAATTAGAAGACAGAGACAGTCTGGATAAGTAATGCGATGTGATGTGTATTTGCGCAATATGCATTTCGAACAACAATCTGAGCCCTCACACACACACACATTCACTTGTCAAGTCAATTTATATGTGAAAAATAATGACCGATTAAAATACACAAAGTGGCAAAAAAAGATTTAAGAATAATAATAGTTGGAATAGTTAACACCACGTTTGGTTATGTAATCTGATAAGGATTACCAAGGTAGCAATAATAATAATTTACCTTATTCCTAAAACAGTACTTGTGTGTTACAGAATGGAATTTTCAGCATTTAATCACAATATTCCATCTAATTTCCTCAAATTATAAATAAAAATTGTATGCGTCGGTGGTATAGCGGCTAGGACGCTCGCCGACCATCCACATGGTCCGGGGTTCGACCTCCGGCCGGCGCACTCCTTCACCTCACTGAGCCAGAAATAATGCTGGTAAAGAGGAAAGGTTGGCCATGAGGCCAGCAACCCCATCCTGTAAAAATTAAACACTGCTACAGAAACTTCAGGCCACTAGCTTGGAGCCCTACGTTCCACTGGGAACGTGAAGGAAAAATTATTATTTTTATTATAAATAAAAATTAATCACACAGAAAATCTTCCACATTTACAATAGGGGTAGGTTATGTCAAAAACATGCAGCATATAAAATGGAAATAATAATAAGAATACAAGTGAAAATTGCTGTGGGCTCGTTTCACACAGTATTGGCAATGTGGTATAGAAATCCTAGCATGTTTCAGAAGTATTGAATATAATGTTCTCTTTACATGGTGATGATGGTGAGGGGAAAAACAAAGATTACAGCAGTCATAGAGATAAGTTGGTGTTTGCGATTATGAGAGTAAAACAAACAAAGAAGCAACTGGACCATGAATATAATAGTAATAATAAAAGTAAGGCTTGAAGGTATATAAGGATGGATGGATGGATGGAGGAAATTGTTTATTTACTAGGTGAAAAAAGGTTAGTTAATTCTTGCCTGACACTATTTTCACTATCACATAAAATACGTGCCAAGTATGGTATCATAGAATTTTTATACTTAGACGAACGAGCATACAGTTTTCTGAAGTTACTTCTTGTTCTACCTGAGCAGATGCAAGGTAGTAGGTTAAGAGTAGTAATAAATAATTTTTGAGCACACAAGGCGTCCAGGGGTGGAGGAGGGAGGCTTAAGTTGATGAACAGCTATCAGGCCAGCGTATTTCAATAAACGCCCTTCATCATTTTTACGGATGATCTTAAAAACTGTTTTGATATTAATCTTGTGGTGGTTTATATCGATTAGGTGTTTACCTATAGAGGAAGTTGGCAGTCTACCACTTGTGGTCTATTGATTTTCTAAAGTTCATATATTTCTCTAACCATTTTGGAATATGCTCTCCCACCCTCACATGCAGAGCACAATTATCTACCTACCCCCTGTGTATGTGTCTACACACACACACACACACACACGTAAATTGTTATATATATAGGATGTGACATAATCACTTGTGCAATTCTGAGATTTGCAGAGGAGCATACTATTGACTTTTACAATAATTATAAGCCGAGTTACATAATAGGTCCTACGGATGACTGAGTTTAGTCTTTGTGGTAATTTAATGAAGATATCTTTCCAGGAGACACAATAGATTGTAAGTTTTAAAACTAACTACCTTCTACACTAGTTTAAAATATTTTAAAGGATATCCATTTGCACCAAGAGTATCCATCATTATTTTATTTTAATCCTCTATAAAATCAGAGGTACAGATATGCTAACTTCTCTTGAATAACCACTTTGTCAAGCCTCTCTTATACTGCAGTGCACAGGAGCTGAGTGATTACCCCTAACCTACTACCTTGGTAATTCTTATCTGATTACATAACCAAACGCGGTGATACTTATTCTTACTATTCTTATTCTTAAATCTTTTTTTGTCACTTTGTGTATTTTAATTGGCCTTTATTTTTCATATATAAATTGACTTGACAAATAAGTGTGTTTTACGAGTTGATCACGGATTGATATCAGTTAGAGAAGCATTGAAAACCAGGGAGTACTGGACAGCTGCTGTTTCATCCTAGTTTGGGAATCATCGGCAGTACCCACTCACCAGCTGTGGTTGGAACCCAGGACCTTCCAATTACAAGGCAAGCTGGGTCGTATACCATTCAGTCACTGGAACCCGACTCCTTAATGGCCAGCCCATGAATTTTAACTTCTACCAATTCGTGATTTAGCGCCACTGGCACCAACCATTGTCGTTGGTGGGACATCCATCCACACACGTGACATATAATTGGACCTCACTGGTCACGACTTCTCACTAGAACTCAGGAAACTCCAACCTGTAGCAAGTCACTAGCGAGCTTCAGATTAACTTCCTATAGTTTTGTTTGTAAGGATTAGTTATGTTTTACGAGTTGATCACGGATTGATATCAGTTAGAATTCACGAGCTATTGAATCGGGTCCCAGTGGCTGAATGGTATACGAGCTTGCCTTGTAACCGGAAGGTCCTTGGTTTGAAACCCATAGTGTGAGTGCGTACTGACGATGACTCCCAAACTAGGATGAAACAGCAACTGTCCAGTACTCCCTGGTTTTCAATGCTTCTCTAACTGATATCAATCCGTGATCAACTCGTAAAACATAACTTATCCTTACAAAACAAACTATAGAAAATAAATGTGTGCGTGAGGGATCAGATTATTGTTCGAAATGTACACTGTGCGATTACACATCACACTACTTTTCAGAGAAATCTTAATCTTTCAAAGTGGCCTGCTAGAATCACTGGCCTACGGGGAAATTACTTTCCACCAAAATGCTTCATTAAACATCTGGATTTATTTATCATTATTGTTTTAATTGTTCACAATTATATCAAATGACATATACATTAAAAAAAAACTTGCACACTGATTTAACTTGCTTCCAAGTGTGAATACTGTGCAATTCTTCAACCACAAATGAAGAAATGCCTGAGATTATTATTATTATTAATTTACAAGTGAATACCGTATGAAAAAATAAAGTATTTTGGAACTGAATACGCTGAAAATGTTTGTATCACATGTTTTCACATAGTCTGCGATAAAGCTTTATTATTATTATTATTATTCGATGGAGAATTTCATTACGAGTTGACATCGGTAAGAGAATCATTGAAAAAATTACCTGGGAGTAATGGACATCCAGTTGTAATAATAAATAGTAATGTATATACAGGATCATCGGCAAAACCTACCCGCCGGTTGGGGTTGGAACCCAGGACCTTCTGGTTACAAGTCAAGCTAGCTCGTATACAATTCAGCCCCTGGAACCCGATTCAATGGCCCATGACCAGTGAGGTTCATCCAGATGTCACGTATGGGGATGGATGTCCCACCGATGACATTGGTTGGTTAGTGCCAGTGGCGCTAAATCACGAATTGGTAGAAGTTGGAATTCATGCACTGACCATTAAGGAGTCGGGTCCCAGTGGCTGAATGGTATACGAGCTTAAAAAGATGTGTTGACTAACGTCAATTTTAATACCTGTCCTCTATCGCGAAACGTATTATAGAGACGAGACATAGAAAACATTGTTACATCACAGTGATAGGCGATCATGCACATGGTCCGAGGTTCGATCCCCTGCCACTGACGCACACCCGGTATCAATGGTCGGCCTGCAAAATTTGGGCTACCGATACCCATGCTGAAAATTCCATACTTATACCAAAATTACAATGTGGAATCAAGCTGTAATAAAAAAAAATACAAATCCTAAACTTTAGGCCTCAGAAATTATATTCTTATAGCATTATTATTATTATCATTCCTTCGGACTCCTAGTGGAAGATGGTAGGACTTCAAAAGTACACATCACTATTTCATTCTCTTCTCTGCCTGAAATGCACTTCAACTGGTCCAACGATTCCCCATAAGCTTTCATCTTCTCCTCACACGCGATCTTCTCATGCATGCAGGATATGATGTGGAAGCTACCGAAAATATGAATATTCTATGTTCCTCATTCCGTTCCTCATTTGATATCTTCCCCCATATTTGATTATTTTAAGGATGGCAGATTTCTGTGATGGTTTTTACGCACAATGTAGATATGCCGCCACCGCTATGGCATTATGTGCTCGAAATATCACTCACTCACTCACTCACTCAATCACTTTTTTTAACACTATATCGAACCTGTGAGACAAGGGTTCAAAAACTGAAGTCCCGGGAATTCCATATTAATTTGTTTATTAAATGTATCACACAGCGAGAGAAACAGTATTATTTTCTGAATAACGTTTCGAAAAAAATTTATTGCTGTTCATAATCATACGACTTGAAAACTTGAGTTTTATAGTTTTCTTTGTTCCCGCCTATCTGATCCATAATACTAATATTATTAATGACGGCATCGATGTCACACATCCGCAAGACAACAGGAACAATAAGAAATCTAAATCATCAGTAGTAATTCCATACGAGGAAGGAACCTCAGATACCACCTTACGCAGAATTCTTAACAATGCTGGCAGGAATAAAAGTGGCTGGAATTCAAGGACCCCACTAACTCAATTTGAAACAAGCTTTGTCGGTTAAAGGATCAATCCTGTGGAGCCTTTAAAACAAAACAATTTAGTATATCTAATACCCTGCTGGAATGATTGTCAGGTCAAATACATAGATGGGTCAAACTAGTAGAACAGGGGCAGTCAGTCAGATCAGCCGAACATAAAATCCTAACAAAATCTAGATTGTTTGACCCGAATAAGATAAGAAATCTAGAGAGCAGTTCAGCTATACCACTCACTACACGCAATTACACACAACCATACCATAGAACGGATGGGATAGGATAACATTTTTAAAATCCAATGTGACAGGGTGGAGGGAGAGATTGATAACAGAAGCTTTGTTTATCGAATCAACTGAAAATCAACACATGTAATAGGAATGATTCAACACCTGTCCATCCAGATATCTGGAAAATTCTACTACCCTTACGATGACAAATAGGAGAGGACAAAGAAAACTATAAAAGTCAAGTTTCGAAGTCGTGTGATTATAACTGAGAATATGATCATGAACAGTAATAAATTGTGTTCGAAACCTCGTCATCCAGCAACATTGAGGTTAGGCGTAGAGTTCTAGGTAAACAGGGGAAATCAATCGACGAAGTCGTGAAGCTACAAAGACTGAGATGGTTAGGACATGTGTTACATATGCCAAGCCATCGCCTCCCTCGACGAGCAATGTTAGCGGATATAGGGTCAGGCTGGAAAAAAGCTAGCGGCGGTCAAACAAAAACTTGGATTCACTAGTCAATGAAATCCACAACAGTTGGTCTAAGCCACGTAGGAAGGTGTAGACTTCCAGGCTGGGGTCCTCGGGACGGCAAAAATCTATGGTTGGAAACAATTGGTGACATGGCTCAAAACCGTTCTCAGTGGCACAGATGGATCCACTCCTTGTGACTTATGATCTCCAATGAAACTGTTTTGTTTTTCTTTAATACTCCTTTGTCTCACACCTCTACTCACTGTTTCTATTATGCTTTTCTTGTACTTTCTTTTCTTGCTTCGCGTGCTACACGGAGTGTGGCGACTTGAACTTCCGCACATTTGTGCAAAGTTCTATGTCGAAAACAGACAGACAGACATCCAGTAAATAATAATACTGTTCCACTCACTGTGTGTGATACATATCTAATAAACAAACTAATATGAACACCCATGACAATGAAAGTTACACTATAGTTGTAGAATGTGAAAAGTCAACTCAACATACTACTTTAAAAGGGGCAAATGTTTATCATCACCATTATTATTATTATCAATCATCTAAAATTTCACTGACCTGAAGTTTGTAATTCTAAACGAAGATTAGAAAATGTCATCTGAACAATTTCTTTAACTGATGCCGTCGTCAATGAATGGTACACATTATTATTATTATTACTCATAGGATGACTAATCAGTAATATGTCTAAATTAGTCAATGATATTTGCCAGTTATATTCAATGAATGGAGACAATGAGGTATCATTATCAGCTTCAATGAAGGAGTCATCATATTGAAAGTAATAATGATGACTGAATGAGGATTGTGATGAGTCGTCATCCAACTGGCGATCAGATGAATTCATTTGGTCCCGGGAATAATGATCCGTTAAAGATAAGCTGAGATCAGTGATAAATTCATTGATAATTCTGATTGTAATTGGATTACCTATAATAAGAAGGATAGAAGCAAAGATAAACAAAAATTAATTCAACTAAGCATTATACTACTTAATTAGTACTATTAATACTGGCATCGGCCGAGTGCCAGCTAGGTAGGTAGGAAAAGAAATCAATCGACGAGGCTGTGAAATTACATCGACTGAGATGGTTAGGACATGTGTTACAGATGCCTAGCCATTGCCTTCCTCGACAATGGGAAATGTTGAGCTGACTGACTTACGGTCAGGTCGGAAAAGAGCTGGCCAGCGGCGGTCAAACCAAAACATGGTTTCATCAGTCCATGAAATCGACAACAGTTAGTTTAAGCCATGTAAGAAGGTGTAAACTTCCTGATTGGGCAAAGTTAAACTTTCGACACCACTAACAACCAATCAGAAAACGCCCTTGAACGGACCAGTCACATTAAAGAGGCATATATGACGAATGGAAATGTATATTTGTAGAAAAAACATAAAATAGAGAATAAAAAAGTTACATGGGATATCTTTCTCGAACATGTGAGAGAAACATCTCCCAGTTTAGCATGGGACTGTCAATCGAGAAGTTACACCATATCCTGTACATATATTCATCCAAATGACCATAAATGAGATCCATTTATAGCCCTTATCCTATTTTTCAACCTGCCCCAAAATCCTTCAATAGAATTTGCATGTGTCCTCGTAACGGGATCCACAAAATCACTTGAATGGTTGACTCTATGATGAATATATCCCAGAGATGACAGCGAATTGTAGCCTTTCCGCGTGTATAATTGACCCCAGCTTAACAAGTCTGGTAATAGTAGGTATAAGAGTAGTTGCTTTTCTATCTGCTATCCTTAGGGAGAGAAGCGACCTAGCGAAAAAAGTTCCTACGAAATATTAAAATTATCAGCTTACTCTCTCTAGCGTTAGTAGGCTTCAAACATATAGCACAACGATGAACAAACCCATCAGTTGATTTGGTATAGCTTTTTAAAGTCATGATACCACCATACAATCAAATTCGTTCTTTCCGGCGCAACTCAAATCTAGGAAATACTGGGAAACACTAACCTCCTCGAATTGCAACAATAGCCTTGTAGGGTCACGCATTAGAAATGAATCAAGCGCTATACAACATTGAACTGCATTCGTGAACCTCATTGGATAATTCGACATCGTTCGTGAATCTCATTGTATAATTCTCTGATTGGTAGTTAGTGGTGTCGAAAGTTTAACTTCGCCCCTGATTGGGGTCCTCGAGACGATAAAAACCAATGAAGGCTGGAGACAATTGGTGATATAGCTTAAAATCCTCGTTTTTAATGGCTGGTGCAGATGCATTCACTCTTTGTGATTTGCCAATCATATCCAATCAAAGTGTACTCTATTGTTCTTCCACCATATTACCATTTTTATTCCCTCACTCACATTTGTGTTTATTATCTGTCCCTTTTTTGTTGAATCTCTCTCTACTCTCTACTCTTGCTTTATGTGCTACATGAAGGGAGTGTAGCACCTAGAAGTCCTGGACACTTGCGCCATGTAGTTCTATGTTGAAACCAGTGAGTCAATCAGTCATTGTATCCAATCATTCAATTTTTTGTTTACACTTGACCTTTCTAGGTAGAAGCTAAATAAGTATAATTTCTGAGCACTGTTCATTACTGTTACAGTCTCCTGTCACTAACTGACATCATGAAACAAATTTGTATGTTAAAAATTGCTCTGTACATAATCTAGTTTCGTAGACCCTAATATGAAAGAAATCTAGAAAACAGGTCAACTATAGCACTCACTATATATGCCTGTCAACTCTCAGTCAGATTGTTCCAAATTAAATAGCTTTCTGTCGGAAATTAGTCAGTGGTCCTCTTCAAACGGACTTAAGCTTAATCCGTCTAAATGTCACGTAGTCAATTTCACTTTCAGGCGTAAATGTGACCTACAGCAACTAGTTAGCTCACATGGCCCCACTATCATTGACGGCACAGAGGTTGAAAATACATCTAATGTCAAGTACCTTGGGCCGAGTTTTTCCACCGATCTTTCCTGGTCTTCCCACATCTTGCTAGTTACTAGAAAGATGTTTCGCTTAACGTTCTACATTAGGAAATTTAGGCAGTCTGGTATAAAGCAGTCTTTGCTTTCTCAGTTTGTAAATTCTTGTATTCTACCCATCCTCCTTTACTGCTCCCCATTAGTTTTTCCTGGACTACTTAAGAAAGACTTTGCTTCGCTGAGAAGGGCACTAAAAGCTGTTAGTAGGGCAAGTGGGATATCGTTAGACCAACTGGTGAACACTATTGTAGATAGACATATAATGTCATGTAAGAAACTAGCGAATACAATATTGTCGGACCCCGAGCATCCTTTCTATACGCATCTATCTCCTTGCATTTCATCTGGTAGAACTGGAAGTAGCTATAGGAGGCTATATGCTAGGACTACTGTTATGTTCTCGTCGCTAAATTTATTGTTATGGACTGGTCGAGAAACTAATAGTCCTGACGCAAGAAGGCGGAAATCAGAAGACCACTAGGTTTGCGATGATACTTCTATTGTCCAAACACAAGGAGACAAAAATAAAATGGTCTCACACCAAAGTGGTAAGCAAGTCAAGTAGTTCACACAAATTGTGAATGCGAATATATATAAATAATTCAGACAAGCGTGGGAAAATCATTAGACAGTCTTAACATGAATGGCTAATTATAATGGAGTGTCGATCCAATTATACATAGCGAATATAGCAGACATGCCAAACAAACATATATGGATATATGTCACCAAGCAACGGACTGTCAACAAACACTCATATCATATATAATATAAGGGGAATATACATTGTTAACGGCGACAGGTTCATACAAGTGAAATGGTCACAGACTAAGCGAGCAAACAGAAAGAGAGACCAACATACACACATATATATATATATATATATATATATATATATATATATAAATGGATACATATCAACTACCAAATACAAAAACTCCACAATACCATATCTGGCACAGCTGTTATGTGGTGATGAGAAATCCGTTAGGTATGACACGATCAACTTACTGCAGCACTCTAACAAATAGTCTCATTAGTTTTTGTTTTCCTTTCCTCGTTACTATTACACTGTTGTTCTCATCTTCTACCACACATCAACTTTATGTTTCATATCCTGTGGTGCATTGTTTGAAATGTAATACTCTACGCTGTTTTTTCTTAATTTTTAATTTTTATTTATTTAATTTATTTATAACTTATTTATTTTATTTTTATTTATTTATCTTTGTTTTTTAAAAATCTTATATAATTTATGAGGAAGTTAGATACAATATATTGTAATGCGCGCTGAAAATTCCATACCTGTACCACAAATACCGTTTGGAATAAAGCTATTATTATTATTATTATTATTATTATTATTATTATACAATTCCACACACAATCATACAACTGTCTGTCTGTCTGTCTGTCTGTCTGGATTCAACATAGAACTTGGCACCGAAGTGCAGCAGTTCGAGTTGCCACCTTCCAAGCAGTTGTCCCCTGGGCTCTGCGGTCACGCAATCATACAACAGGATGGGGAAAGATAACAGTCTTTAAATCTAATATAAAAAGATGGGGTAAGACTGTGGTAACGGAAGCATTTAACTTATCGAATCAGCTTAAAATGCAAACAATAAAAATGATTCAACGCTTCAAACGTACATTGAGTCTTTGTCTCCTGATATTTCCTTCGCCTAGTAAACCTTCGGGGGAGGGGGGAGTGTGTGTATGCGAAGGAGAGAATAGTCATATTCAGTATCCATACAGATGGGATACCGCCTACTCCGGTCATTTGTCAGTATGCCTCTAATGTCCAGTCGGATACACACATAGGGCCACCTTCGTAACTACACAGTAAGAAACCTTTTACTATTGTTATTATTTCAATTATTTATGTTCCACGTGGAACATAGAGCTTCAAGCCACAGTCTTGAAGTTTCAATAGCAGTGGTGTTTAATTCTTACAAGGATGAGACTCCTAGCCTCAAACGTCAGCCCAACCTTCCCTCACTTTACCGATATTTCTACCTGCTTAGAGAGGTAAGGGAGTGTGAGTATTGGCGGACGAGGATCAAACCCCAGACAACAAGAGGCATGGTTGGTTAGCGGGCGTTCCACCGCTGCCACCACAGACGGACACTAAGAAACCTCTAATAAAAGATGACTTATTATAAAAAATGTATATATATACACAGAATTCCACTAACCAGTAATCTTTAAATATCCCATGGATAATTTAATGAAATAGGAACCAATTGATGAATCAGCCGGTGTTGTTTTATTTGCTCGATTTAATTTAGAAGAAGAAGAAGACGATGGACACCATGTTAAACATGCCATAAGAAATGTATCACTTTGTTCAATCTGTGAATTGAATGCTGAAACACAAAGGAAAATATAAAATAAAATTAAGAACAAAGTACAAACAAGAAATGACCAAAAATAAAACTCGATATATATGAGATTGGGGTTTCTGTCTATAAAGGTTCATAGACTTGATGAGTGAGTGAGTGAGTGAGTACCAGCCACAAACGAAGAAATCATTTCCAACAGTCTGGCCCGCATGCTTTCCATAAAAAACTACATTACTTTTTATGTTTCGTTCAGTGCTGAAGATCAGATGAGGCTGGTCAGGCAACAGGGAAATCTGGCGCTCAATGAACTATCCGATTACCTAATATCCAACGAATATGCCGGAGGGAAATGGAGGTGGATGGATAGGAGAACACACGCCAAGGAGACCATTGTATGGCATCACGGGCGAAACAAGCCCTCAAGTGTAACAGAATTAGGAAACGATGAGATGAGTACGCGCGTCTGAGTGTGACATTCAGGAGATCACGGGAAAAAGAAACGAAACCTTCTAGGAAATTGTGTAATTAGTGTTAAAAAGAACTACAGCGAACCGAGTGAAATGGAGCTATGCTACTAAAGCCATATGCTGCACACAGAATCCAAGAGTATACTAACTATATGAATTATGATGATAATAATAGTGAGGGTGAAGGAAATACTTCGATGATGACAGACAACTAAATATCGTGCTAAGCGAATTTAATTCAGGTTACTTCATTCACTTATCTAAAGAACATTGTCTCAACTACAGGAACGGAGAAACGGACGAGGATGTCAAATAGAGCGAGAATCGGGAAGGCGAGCGAGAAACACATTCATCAATCAACCTGAAATCAATCTGGAAATCTTCGTCACTCAACTCTTCGTCAAAAACAAAATTCGGTAGGATTTTCAATACAAACAACGTCAAGTCAGTCAGTTCTTCTATACAGACCGGAAACTTGGCGGGCGGGTCACAAAGAATATTTCCAACAGCCTGTTGAAGACCTTCATCAACCAACAACTGTCTTCGCTTTCTCTATACTGAAGATCAGATGGCCGGGCTGGAAAGAATCACTAACAAGGAACAATGGGAAGAAACAAAACAAGAACCGATTGCCCAACAAATATGCAGGAGAAAGTGGAGATGGATTGGACAATACTCGCTGAGGAGACCACTGGGTGGCATCGCATGTCAGGCCCTCAAGTGGGACGTCCGAGGGTGACATGGAGGAGATCGTGTGAAGAAGAGTTGAAACAGTAAGGGCTAACATGGATGGATGCAGGTGAAAAGTACAGCAGAAGACAGAAGTGGCAAGTGGAGACGTGCAGTTGAAGCCCTATGTTCCACTAGGAACTCAAGGGAACAATAAAAATAATAACCATAAACCTTGGATACCAGGTGCCGGTTTGGCCTCAACTAGCCCTTTCCCATCCTGATCCCATCAAGGAAGACGATGGCTAGTTATATGCATAACACATATCCTAGTCATGTCAAATGATGTGGCTTGACAACCTCGTCGATTGACTTACCCTCCTTGCTTAACACTCAGTCGACCCCTAACCTCAGTATTGTTCAGCCTATTATACTACCACCTGATACGGGATACAGAACGGATATCAAAGACAGCTAGCTTTTTCATATCTTCCATCTTCGCTGACCATGTCTCACAGCCATTGAGGAGGACAGACAGAGAACTAGTGTTGGGTAGTTCTTTTTTATTCCTTTACGTTCCCTTCAGTGGAACGTAGGGCACCTTCAAGCTAGAGGCTTGAAGTTTCGGTAGCAGTGGTGATTATTTCTACAGTATAGGGTTACTAGCATCAGGCCCAACTTTTGCTCCTTTGCCTGTCTTATTACTGGCTTAGTGAGGGAGGTAAAGGAGTGCGTTGGTGGCCGGGAATCAAACCTAGGACCACATGAGGCGTGGTCGGCGAACACTCTACCGCTGTGCCACCGACGCACTGGTGTTACACGTAGCACATAATTCCTTTGATCGACAACCAACAGGACACTTGATGGGTAATGGTGGCTAACAGCGGAATCCAGGATGCCCGTTCTGTTCTGTTTACGACTTATCTGCCGTATTTTTGACGGGTGCTTAGCTCGGGGGGGGGGGGAGTCTCTTTGAATACACTATTACCCACTAGTATGCAGATACATAAAGCTGAAAAGTCTCAAATACAACAAATCTCACATTCTCAGTTCCACGGATGGCGATCATCATCATAAGGTATCATCGAATCAACCGTAATGGTAACCCGGTATACTAACAAAGACGGAGAATTAAGGTCCAGTGGAATCAAACAAAAGTTTCACGAGATAACACAGCAAACAGCAGCAACGGCAGGACTCCAAGTGAACATAGAGCAAAACGGAGGTGATGGAGATAACCAACCAACCAACCACACACCAACAACGAAATCCAGTCACCATCAACTGGGAAAATTGGGAAGAGGTCATTTACTTTAGTTATCTAAGAATCGTCCTTTCAACCACAAACAGTCAGGACAGGTGAGGGGATATCAAAGCCACCCAGGAAGAATTGGAATGGCGAGACAAAACCTTCTTCAATTTGATGAATTCCGTTTGGAAATCTTCTGAGCTCAGAATAAAGAATAAAACTGGGATTTTCAACACCAGTTTTAAGTCAGTTAGTTTTTTCGATATAAGGTAGAAACTTGCGGGGTTCACGTGACGACGAGAAGTATTTCTAACAGCTAGCCTCCGTTCGATGCTTAAACATCACATGGTTGGTCAGAAAGGATAAGCAACCAGGATCTCTGACAATGAACTAACTAACCAACCAAGTGAAAATTTATTAGCCAAAAAATATGCATAGGAAAATTGAGCCGGATCAGATATACATGATGAGGAAACCTCTGGATAACACATTGCACGCTAGACAGACAGACCATTGGCTGATTGGTGTCCGAAAGAGAAACGATAAGTTGGACGTGAGTTCACAGCTGATCTGGAGAAGATCTGTGTGTGTGTGTGTGGAGAAAATAAGAGTATATGGGCAATCATAGGACGATCTAAAGAGGATTGCCCCCAAAACATGGTGAAATGAAGGTGGTTCGTTGAAGCCCTACGTACCACTTGCAACTCAATGGAATAAAACTAATAATAATAATTGAATAATGTAACAAAAACGTATCGAGTTGTTACAGTACAAGTTTTCTGTACACGTCGTCAACATATCATCATCACACAAAACAGTTCAGTATTGAGCTTGAGAGATGGGAAAAAGTTTACAATGACTTCAGAGGAATTGAAGGAAAATATCTCATGGACGTCTTCCAAAAGAATGCATAGATATCCACGGAATTTCATCAAAAGACATATACCCCCAAGCCAACCTATCAAGCCAAAAGCCTCTAAGGAAAACACAAAGGAAATCGCCCTACCATATATAAAGGATATCTCAGAAATCACTCTACAAGACTCTTCAAACCTTTAGGAATTGATGTCGTACACAAACCTACAAAGTCTCTTCACTCAACTGGTTCTATGTCAACCAAAAGACTCAACAACGAAAGAAGATAAAACCAACAGAATCTACAAAATAAACTATAACAACTTCGAAAAACACTACATTGCCAAAGTGAACACCGTCCTCTTCGTCTTCGCATCCATGAACATAAGCTAGCCGTCAAAAGACATGATATCCACTCCCTCACTCATATCACTACATACAAACAACCACGAATATTAGTTCGACTGGGACAACCAGCGTTCCACTATTAGGTAGAGGAAACAACAAGAATGCTAGAGAATTTTTTGAAGCCTGTCTCCTATTTCAGTGAATCACCAATCAATAGATACATCGAGATAAACAAAATTTACTAACCAAAGGTCAAAGTTCAAGTCAAAGAAACAATCAGTTCCAATAAAAGTAAGTAGCCTAGAAGGTGTGAAAACACACAAAACAACCAATCACGTCCAAGGTTACCCACTCGTGGAGAAATCTAAAATCTCATTTCAATTGAAATTGAAGTTTGAGCTCAAGATGTCACCCAGTAGGGCGATGAAAGCATCGCAAATTAACTATCCAGCCAGCTCAGAGAACACAACCACAACAAAAACACTTCAGAAGAATAAACCTTTAAACTGACTACAAACTTACGCTTAAATTCATCCAGTGGATTGATATGATCTGGTAAAGGAGGTGTATAGTTCTTCCACAATGAAAATGGTAACTTTGAATTGAATACCACCGAGGCTTGGTCGCTGCCACCATCATCATCATCATCACCATTGTTGTTGCCATTATGATCATTGTTATTATTCTCTGCGATCATTGATTCGATTGCGTCAGCTCTAAGAAAACGGAAAGAAAGGCGATAATTACTTTAACTCAGTCACATTCAGTGAGTATTACTTCATGTTACTTTCGGAAAGGTCAAAAAGGAGGAAGCCCTACGGTATTTTCGCCGTGGATCGCGATTCTTGACCAAATCTGACAACTTTTAATTCAATTTTAGATATTCCCGTCGATTGATTGGACCGAAGTGCTCGGTCTCAGGTTGACATGTCGGCTTCTTGTGCAGATGCTTCGACGATGTCTGGGCATTTAATTAGAACTTAAGTGATGGATGGTGACTAGCAGTGGAATCCAGGATGTGCATTTCGTCCTATTTGAAACTCGTCCTTCAGCTGGATGTACCTGCATTTCTCAGTGAGTGATTATGTTCCTACCGAGGCTCGAACCCAGTGCCCATAGAAGCCGACATGTCAACCTGAGACCAAGCACTTCGGTCCAATCAATCAACGGGAAAATCCGAAATTCAATCAAAATTAATATAACCCGTTGCACAAGAGGTGGCCAGCTCTCGTGGCCCAAATGGTCTAGTGGATAACGATTTGGCGTTTGAAACTATGGGCATCGGGTTTTAGCCTCGGTGGGAACATCATCACTCACTGAGAAATGCAGGTTTATCTAGATGACGAGTCCCAAATAGGACTGGTGAAATGTGTATCCTGGATTCCACTGCTAGCCACCATCCAACAATTAAATTCACATCTGACAATGTTTCGAGCCACCGATTCGAAGTATCTGTCGTCCCCTATACATGGAGGGGGGGTTAGGGTATGCCAAAGAATGCTAACTTAACACAGATAGCCTTCAGTCGACGGCGTCAAGTTATTAAGTGACCATTACCTTTCCGCCTTCCTTACCAAGTCTTAAAGTTGGAATAATGACATTAGTAGCATGTTTCCAAGCGCTACGGAAGCAGACGTTTCAAGGAGTCGAAATTCCCTGAAGGAAGGCTACCCCCCTCATGATGTCCTAATACACACTGCCGAACCTTTGAATTACTTATACAATGATAATACAGTTGGACGCAAATAATTCTAAGGCGGCAGTGATGATCGAAGAGTCGCCAGACATTCTTAGCTCGGAGATACCAGCTTTCATCAAAATTTTGTAAACCCAACCTCTGACACCCAGGATGACGCCAAGACAGTGAGGAGTTCACAATGTGAGTCAATGCGTCTGTGTCATTTCAGCACGATTCGGCACCATACCACCAACAATCTGTCTGTATAACCGGGAAGTTTGCGTCCTTCATCCTGTCGAACATAACTCTTCCCTAACAGAATCCTACTATGACAGCTAACGCTGTTCACAACCAAAATAGTTATCCTCAAATACCTTTGAAAGTATTTACCCAGAACAGATTTCTCATGTACTATGACGCTATCCATGCACCACACTAACTGAGAGTGAGATACGATAATATCCACTAAGGTTGTCTATGTGGAAAGAGAGCAGGGTCGGGTTCGAACCCCGAATAAATGAGTTGAAAGTCAATTGCTTAATCCAAAACATCGTGACGATAATAAATAGAGATGAATAAAATTAAAACTAACCTTTTCACTTTATCTGAATTCAATATCACATCATATAAACCGCCAAGATTGCTTACAGCATCCACAATAGATATACTGCCTAATTTGAATTGTACGCTATAATCAGCTAGACAGTCACGATAAACAGACCAATTGACAACGGCTCCGTCTAAACGACATTCAGCCAATGGACGATCTATAATATAATAATGAAATAATAATATTATAATTATATTAGTTTCTTTCTGGACAGTGTTTATGTAGTGGACAAATTGTTTAGAAAACCCTTTCTAGACGACCGATTTATGACATATCTGTTTGCCTGTCTGTTTTCAACATGGAACTTTGCTTCAAGTCGCCACACTCCCTCCTTGTACCACACAAAGCAAGAGAAGAAAGTAAAAAGGAATGCAAAATAGAGTCGGTAAATACAGATATGAGGCAAACAGAATAGTAATGTCGAAGAACAATATAGTTTCATTGGGTATATAAGTCACAAGGAGTGAATGCATCTGCGCCAGCCATTGATAACGATGAGTTTGAGCCATACCACCGATTGTCTACAGCCTTCATTGGTGTTTACTGCCCCGAGGACCCCAACCAAGAATTCTACATCTTCCCACGTGACTTAAACTAACTGTTGTGGACTTCATTGACTGATGAAGACATGTTTTGGTTTGACCACCACTAGCTAGCTCTTTTCCAACCTGACCCTTTGTCAGCTAACATTTCCCATTGTCGAGGAAGGCGATGACTAGGCATGCACAAAACATGTGCTAATCATCTCAGTCGATGTAGCTTCACAGCCTCGTCGATTGATTTCCCCTCCCACCTAACTAGCTGGCACTTGACCAATGCCTAACCTCAATATTGCTTACCCTATTGTACTATACTATACTATCATATACGTATTTAGACATACCAACTAACTTTGTAATAATTATAGGTTTGTAAAGAAGAGAAACAAAACAGCGCATAACAAAAAAAGAGAAAAGGAAAAGAAAGAAAGAAAACGTTCTACCTATAAACGATATGAGTTGAAAAGACGAGATCCAGTTGTTCTACTGACTATTTAATAAGTTATAAGTTACACACCTAATGCTTTCTTTATCGCACAGAACACGAGCTAGCCAAGTAGGGTATGGTTGAGTTTTTGTACTTGCTAGTGCGAGCATATAGTTTTCTTTACAAGTTTCTGTTTTTGCCTGATGAGATACAAGGGGAGAGTTGTGAATGAATGAAGAGGGTAGTGTGAGTTAGATAGAATGGATTTAGCCCATTTTTCACATAAGTCCAAGTGCCTGCCAACCAGAATATTAACAAATTGGTTAAGTGACACGTTGCTTCCCCTGCTGACAACCTTTAACATCCTGCGTAATAAGGTACAGTCTTTTTTCAGTAGCCCTGGAAAAACTAAGGGGTAACAATAAAGAATAATAGGCAGAATACGGGAGTTAACGAATTGTAGGAGTAAGGGTTAGGTTATACCAGAACGTCTTAACTTCTTGATGCAGAATGTAAGACGGATATTTTCTTAGAAATCATTAAGATATGAGACGACCAAGAAAGATCAGCAGATAGAATGACGCCTAGGTATTTAATTTCCGATTTGGTCTCTATTTCAGTGCCATCTATGCTGCACACCTCGTAAGTGTGACATTTGACAGGCAAAGATACAGTCAGGTCGTTAGTATATTTGACAAAATTAATGTCATTTGAAGATGGTAAGTCATGTAGAAAGAAAGAAAGAACAGAGAAGTTGGGAGAGTACAGAACCTTGGGGCGACACCAGCTTCAGTGAGCACAACAGAGGAGGATTCGCCTTTATATACAGTGCACTGCATTCTGTTTGAGAAGTAGGAATCCAACCAGTTAGTGACCCAGGTTATTCTATACTGCTTGTCACCATTTCTTAGAAAATTAAGCCATATATCTGCGAATCCCTATTTGTACACGTTAAGTCTGGTGTGGCTGGTTGGTACCATGGTAACATAACCCTGTGGACAGCGAGTATCACATCTCAGTATCATCATAATCACCAGTTAAACAAGGACAACGTTCACTGAAGCATAAAAAGTTACTAAATATCCCGTCGATTAAGCAAAGAAGAGATCAATTTTCACAAACGATAAAAAAATACGCAGGTCTAACTCACCTTTTGATTCAAATTGTATAATAAACGATTGAATAGAATAGGTGGCGATAATTTGTATCCTCTGAGCATTTGATGATATAATTGATTTCAATGAATACTTTTCATCGTGCTGATGATTGATGACACGATGTGAAGATTGGCATGGCTTTGTTGTGGTAGTCTGTTGAGAATTATCATGGATCGATTTATATAGTGATGGTGTGCTTGCCGTGAAATTCATCGTTTGATGTATATTTGAACAGCTCTGACTATGCTGCTGACTAGGATGACTTTGATCCCATTGACGTTGACATGCTTTTAGACATGAATAAAAATCTGATATCTTTGTATTCGATAGTTGAATCACACAAGACGGTTGAATTAAGCTGATCCACAGGTAAGGAAGATAGGCTACTGTTGGGATGATGGAATAAGAAGAAGAAGACTTCGGCATTTTTGAAGTATGTTGAAGGGTGGGAATTCGTCGACTGATTAGCAGGCGTAAATCGAATGGATTAATTAGGCATAAACGTGATACAAGCGCAGATTTACTCATACGTAGAACTGAATGACTGTCGGATGGTGAAGGTAAGGAGGTTGGATGAAGAGGCGGCTTCTCTTTCTCATCTAAAATTATATAAGAAAAGAAGAGGTGAAAATTGATACTTGTTAAGGGATTTAAAATTAACTCTACAATAATAAAAACAAACAGTGGAAATTAGTCAAGCTTTCAAAATAATCAATACACAAAAAAGTCATGGTGACTTCGGTACCCAGAAGCCATTGCTATCATCAAAAGACTGCTATCCAACCTATGCAAACAGAAAGATAATGTGACTAATCTTTCACTACCCTACCTGGTAACCGTGATTGTTTTGTTCGTGTACTTTTGTACTTTGTTCTGTTGCATAAAATTCAATTCAATCTTGATTTTTGGATTTCACTCACTGAGTTGAACTGATCAGTGATAAGGTTCCAAATTTACTAAATTAACTTGTTTTATGTATTTTATGATTTTACTTCACCATTCACTGCGCAGGACCCACAGAAAAAACTTGGAGGATCTGGACTTCACCGATGTCATATATATGTCTGACTTCGCACAAACTGGAAGATATGTAAGTGAAAAGCAACAAGCTGGCAGAAGTAGCATCAAAGATAGCACTTCACTTCAGGTGAACATAGAGAAAACAGAGGTGGTGATGAAGATTCCTGGCCAACACCAACAGCAACAACAACAACAGACAACAATCAGCCAGCATAAATGGGAGGAACCTGAAAGAAACAACCTCCTTCGCTTACCCTACCTGGGAAGCATCGTTTCACCTACAGATGGACGGAGATATCAAAGAAGCGAGGATCATCGAGAAAGCAAGACAAACCTTAATTACTCTAAAGTCTGTGTGTGGAGGTCAACACCACTCAGCGTGAAAGATAAGATCCGGATTTTCAACTCCAATGTGAAGTTAGTGCTACTTACTATGCGGATCAGAGACTTGGCGCCACGTCACGAAGAGCACCTCTAACAAACTACAGACCTTCATGAACAGCTGCCTTAGCTCAATATTACTCAAGATCAGATGACTGGCCAGGAAAGATCAGCAACAGGGATCACTGGGAGCAAACCAACCAGGAACCGGTTGTGAAACAAATAGGCAGGAAGAAATGGAGGTGGATTGGCTGGCCATACTCTGGAAAAAAACACCATCAAGTGAGTGACATCACTAGACAAGCCGTCGCTCGAGTGGAACCCGAAAGGGAAGCGGCGAGTTGGTCGTCCAAAGGTGAGGGTGACTTGGAGGAGATGAAAGCGTGTGGGGAGACTTGGAGCCAGGTGAAAACTCTAGCAGAGAACCGAACGCAATGTAGATGTTCGTGTGAAGCACTATGTTCCTATAGGAATTAAAGGAAATAGTAATAATTCACTGCGCACCCTACTGAACTCTCCATCATAATATATATGAAATAACTCTGTCGTTCTGACATGTATTATGTCTTCTAGTTCATCCTTGTTTCCAAGACAAATCTGAACTCTACCCCTACCCCCACTTTTTTAATTAATATATAAATAGTTACTCTTTATACACTAAATAATTTGTCTACTTACATCGTCTTTGAAATTATGTTGCCTATACTTTCTGTCTATATCTGGAAATAATTGCGTAACACATAATTTATTTATTTAGGATGCAGGCAGATGAAGAGGATCCACGAAATACAACGAATTAGTATTATGTTCGTTCACTCTTTATTCAAACTAATAAAGGGAACAAGGTGTATGAAATTCAAAAGAAATAATACATATGGGCTATTTGGCTTATTCGAGCCACTGGCTTCCTAGACAAGCGATGTTAACTAATATACGATTCAATAATTAATATATGACCCGTTGCACAAGAGGTGGCTCTCGTGGCCCAAGTGGTCTAGTGGATAACGCTTTGGCGTTTGAAACTATGGGCACTGGGTTCGAGCCTCGGTGGGAACATCATCACTCACTGAGAAATGCAGGTACATCCAGCTGACGAGTCCCAATTAGGACGAAATGCGCATCCTGGATTCCACTGCTAGCCACCATCCACCAATTGTATACAATATACGATTAGGTTGAAAAAGAATTAGGAGGGGTCAAAGCAAAACGTGTCATCATTCAAACCCATAAATTCTTTGACTGTTGGTTCGAGTCAGCTCCTCTGGTTACTAGTGTAACGACAGAAGACAAGGGGCCAGGCAACAGATTTTTTATTGAGAAAATCAACAGATAATTATAGATTTTTTATGTAGATTATTATTAGCGTTATTGTTAGCAGAGAGGCAACGTCTTCTGATTGGTTGTTTTCCTACTGAAGGCTATTCTGTCATCTGCTTGTTGTCGTTTCTGAGACAGTGTCCGTTGATATGCCTGCCGATCATATCCATCCACGTTAAGTCTGCTGTGATTGGTTGTTGAGTTCTTCAAGGTTAGGCTTTGTTATTGTTATTTTCTTATGTCCAAGATTTGGGACATAAACCATTGACGTCAATTGCTGTCTACCAATTTTGGCTAGCAGACAGCTCCTCTCACCACAATAGGAATCAGTAGGTGGAGAATATTGTGAATATGGCTCAAAATCGTTCACAAAATAGATCAAATGCATCCACACACTTTGTAATCTCCCTTATAATACTTTTCCATGTCAGTATTCTTTCTCTCTCATACATTTCTGCTCATGTAGAAATTCTTATGAATCTCGTTTTTCTTTTCTTTTTTTTTCACTGCCTCACTGTGATGGTATACGAGCTTTATCTAGCGACCTGAAGGTCCTGGGTTCAGGGTTGTGGGTGCATACTGACGACGATTGCCAGACTAGAACGAAACAACTATCCAGAACTCCCTACCTACGACGTTGTTGTCTGGAGTTTCTAGCGAGAAGTCGTGATTAGTGGGATCCATCGGGTCACCACATATGACATTGGCTGATGCCAGTCGTTCTAAAATCTCGAATTCCTAGAAGTTTGTATTCATCGGTTGTGGCCAGGGAATCGAGTCGCAGTGGTTAAGTGGTCTACCAGCTAGGCTGGGTTGAGTGCGGGCCTCTGAAGAGTCCCAAACTAGGATGAAACACTTGGATATCCATTACTTATAAAAACAAACAAAATACAAACAAACTCTTGATGATGACAACAATAATAACAATAATATGACTCGCACAGAATTGGGTAAATTAAAAAAAAAGAAAACAGAGAACAACTTCTTACCCTGTAACTCTGTTGGCACTTGTATAGAATTAAACTGACTCCATAAACCAAGTGTCTCTAGTGTGTGTAAACTGCCAACCAATACACGAATATTATCAATATTTATCATATATGAGGTATAAGTGTTATCAGTTGGTAAAGACTTTTCCGCCTCATTCACTTTGCTATGACTCGCTATTATGGGAGGTTCATTTCGCCTAGCCAAAAAAAACCGAAACAGAAATATTTAAAACAGAAGATGGGATTATTATTATTATTATCACTATTACTGCTATTATTCTTTTGAGTTCCAGGCGGGAAATAGGACTTCAACAGAACACCACCATTTCACTCTGAACTGCCCCCCTCCCCCACCAACATTGATCGTCAGCTATAATCTTCCCCGCCTCACATGATCTCATCCATGTTAACCTCCAATTCACACGCCCAACTCACTGTTCCCCTTTCCAGTTCCACTCCAGACGATGGCCTGGCTAACGTGAGATGTCACTCAACGATCGCCTCAGTGTATACCCCATCCGTTTTCATCTCTTTCTTCATACAATCGCTAGACCATGTCTGTCTGTTTGTCTGCCTGTTTTCCACATAGAACTTTGCACCGATGTGCAGTACTTCAAGTCGCCACACTCCCTCCTTGTACCACACAAAGCAAGAGAGGAAGGCAGAAGAAATACATCATAGTAGACAGAAGACAGGGATATCAGACAAAAGGAATGGTAATAACGAAGAACAATATACTTTCATTTGAAACCATAAATCACAAGGAGTGGATGTATCTGCACCAGACATTGAGAACGATTTCGAGCCAGCCACATGACCAATTGTCTGCAGCCTGGATTGGTGCTTACCGTCCAGAGGACCCCAACCAGTCAGATAGTCAGGAATTTTGCACCTTCCTACGTGACTGGCTGGCTGGCTTAAACTAACTGTTGTGGATTTCATTGACTGATAAAGCTATGTTTTGGTTTGACCGCCGCTAGCTAGCTCTTTTCCAGTCTGACCCTATGTCAGCTAACATTGCCCGTCACTCGAGGAAGGCGATGATTAGGCATATGTAACATATGTCCTAACCATCTCAATCGGTGTAACTTCACAGCCTCGTCGACTGATTTCCCCTCCAACTCACCTAGCACTCGACCGATTCCTAACCTAAATATCGCTGACCTTCTTATACCACTTCACACGGGAGATGGAACGCAGACACCTATGATCAAAGACAACCAGCCCTTTCATGTCTTCTACCCTAAATAACGAGGTCTCACTCACAGCCATAAAGGAGAACGAAGCGCCTCTTGAGCAGTACAGACGCCCTTTGTTCGATAGCCGGATATTACGTCTACTAAGCCAGAGATGGCGTAAACTGGAATATGCGAAACTAGCCCTGTGTATCCGTTCTGAGATTTCGTCAGAGATCAACCCGTTGGCATTGGCTAATAGTACTTCTTAAATAAGTGAAGCGGTCAACGTGCTTTACCAACCACTTCACTCCCTATTTCTAATTCAGGAGGCCGTGTAGTCCAGTCCAGTCCTGTAACATCATCTTACCATGGATTCTTAGTTGGTTCGTCACCCTCCAGAGTTTCTTGTTCTTAATTCATTCTGACCAGCCATCTCGTCTTCAGTATGCAGCCAGAGAAGCCGGCAGCTGTTGATAAAAGTCAGCAGAGTAGCCTGTTGGAAACGACTTTTGGTGACGCTTACGCAAAGTTTCTGACACATGTACAGGAATTGACTGGTTTAATATTGGTGCTGAAAGTCGGAATTTTGTTGTTTACGCTAACTTCAACAGATTTCCACACTGATTACAAAGTGACAATGATCTTTCTTGCCTTTTCGATTCTAGTTTTGACAATTGGATCCCTCCTGACTGTATGTAGTTGAAACGATGAAGCCTAGATAATTGAAGGAAGTGATATTTCTATCTCTCTTGTGCGTCGGTGGCATAGTGGTTAGCACTCTCGCCGACCATGCACATGGTCCGGGATTCGATACCCTGCCAACGCACACCTGATATCTATTGGTCGTCCTGCAAAATTTGGGCTACCGATATTACATGCTGAAAGTTCCATACTTGTAGCGAAAATAACTACAGTGTGGAATCAAGCTGTAGTCAAAAATAAAATAAAATTTCTCTTATTGACCGTAATTGTTCATCTTTATTACGTTTTTTTTCATTATGTCCAATGGAAGTCATGTCTTCACTGTCGGCTGCTTCTGCTTAAAGTTTCCTAATGGGAAGTCTTGATCAACGACCCAATCTACAAATTAGGCTGTGAGAACACATACTCGCCGATAAGATTGATTGGCAGTGATTTCATGTATTGTGAGTTAACAGAATTACAAATTTAGGCGCCATTAATATTCTGTCTCCCTGGCTGAAAAAAAGTCTTCAACGTCTCCTTGTAGCCTGAACGATTTGGATCCGATCTCTGTAGGTGGGTGGAGTCACGAAGGTTTACTGCTGAAGAGTCCCACACTCGGACAAAACAGCTGTCTAAAACTCTCTGCTGATTTCCAATGATTCTCTACCGGAAGTCAGTTCATGAATAAACTTGAAACCAATCGAATCCTTTCAAACGGGCACTTGAATAAAAGAAGAGTCAACATACAGATACATAAATAAGATGCTCAGGAAGGCTTCGTGTGCTTTTGGAAGTGTGTGGGCGGTTGTTACTTCCCGGCTGCCGACACCGTGAAAGTTGATTAATGCTTCGGGTACCTGAAACAGAGAGATGATTAGTGTTGCGTGACCGCAGAGTCAAGAGGACAACTGCTCGAGGCCAGCCAGTCACACACGGCCTGTATGAACTGGTTTCTGGGACTGGGTCCGCATCAGTAAACTTACCGCCGGTTATGGACCACCGTAGGTGGGGTAATTCGGGATGTACAATTTTCGAGGTCGACCTTTTCTAACTCCCTCTCCCCTGAGTGGAGAGACACCATAGCTGACATGCTGGTAATCTGAAACACCTGACTGCTGTTACACCCCTTTTCCTCAGCAGTACAACTTCGCCCTCAGACCCCCACCACAGTGTAAAAAACAATTCTTACACTGAGCCGATAACTGCTTTTAGTCTAATCACTATCCTAACAACCTTCCTGGCATGGTAGGACCTGCAAGAACAATAGTTCCAGTCAGTGTAGCTTGTTGGGTTATTGTGATATGCAAGCCCGACCACCATGTCAAGGTCGGGCATACATGAATAAAAACAATTCCAGACAAAAAGTACACACTTTGATTGACGAAAGACACTTTTGGCTCACCTTTGAGATGATTTTTCAACTCTATTAACATCATCATTACCGTCTTCAATATTATTGTTGTTCTCATTGTCATCATTGTCGGATAATTCCCCCGGTGTACTGCACGGGGTTTTATATTCATCAGCGTCGTCATAGTCGTCATCATCATCATCATCAGCAGCAGCAGCAGCATCCAATGATTCCACAGCTGGAAACTTTTCATTCTCTAATTTACTCAAGTTGTCCAATACACTAGGATTTCGCATTGAATTCATTTCTGCCTGAAATATATACATAGAGAAATTACATAGTAAAATCGATAATATGAGTAAAGACGGCTTTCTGTGTGGAAAACAGGGCACGAAGCAGCTTATTTATTTATTTATTTAAATGCAGAAAAAACTTGGTACAATATGGCACCAACAAAGATGCGTCACACCATAATATATTAAAACAACATAGGTTGAAATGTGAAAAATATAAGTGGAGAACTTCATCTGGAAGGAAAACAGTCGTACTTAACAAGTTTATTCAGACAGTATTCGTCGGGAAGATTGATTAAGATTCTTGGCCATATTCGATAACGTTTCGAGCCATCGATTCGAGCTATCTCGCGGACCCCAACCAAGGAGTCGTGACGCATCAACCGATGCTAATCTACCGCAAACATCCTTCATCCCACGACGCCACACGTCATGGACTGACCAACACTCCGCCTTTTCCATCCCGTCCCAGGGCTGGCTAGCGAACAGATATCTGTACGGAAGCGTCTAGGATGACATTCGCAGAACATGTCCAAGCCACCGAAGCCGGTGTTTTTGCAGATGACGACACTCAATGAATGAATGGTGATCTTCACTGTGTTCAGACACACGTCGCCGAATCTCAGAATTACTCACGCGTTGGTACCATCGAACGCAAGCAATTCTGAGGAGACAGCGATAGTCGAACACGCACAGTCACCGCACATCCTCAGCTTGGAAAGGCCATGTTTCGCAGACTTGGCGAAGAGCAAGACAGCCCGCACCGAAGTGTTGTATACCCGACCTTTGACAGCCAGGCTAACGTCACGACGGCGCCACCAAGCAGACTCGAGTTTTATGAAGTTTTAGTTAACTAGCTGTGAGCTTACCATTTGTGTCAGTAAACTATGCGAAATGTACGGGTTGTGTCCGATTCGGAGCGAACATGGACCACCTGAGTGTGACTGGAAAGCACTCACCTCATTATTGCATTGAGCCACCGAAATTATTACTAAAATCTGCTAACTAACTAATTCAGTGATATATTAGTAGCGTCTTTGAAGTTAGTTACCCGGTACGGCTTCCCTTTAAAGTATACCACACCGTAAGCCACACATATCAATATGTGAGGGCTAGTGATACTAGCCAGTCAGTTGGCTAAGCTGAAGTAGTTAGAGTAGGGATCCGGACCGGGACTGTATCAACCAATCCTTAGAATATTGAGGATCGAAGATAGATGATCTACAACACCACCGACTTGTCATGTTGAAACCGATAAGTCTATAACTTCTGACTAACAACTACAACTTTTTCTGAAACTTAAATCCTACTTCAGGTATTAGTAGTCATTAGGTGCACGTCGTCAGTGCTTCACAGCATGCATAAAATGCATGCAGGGACTTCACAACCTCGTTCGTCGATCGATTCAGCCAACTTAACTAACACACATTATTATTCATTTTTAACTCGATATTGATTTTCCCGTTGATTGATTGGGACGAAATGTTCAGTCTGTGTTGACATGTCGGGTCCTAGTTCTATTTTTTTATTACAGCTTGATTTCACACAGTATTTTTGGTACAGGTATGGAATTTTCAGCATGTGATATCAGTAGCCAGAATTTTGCAGGCCAACCATAGATATCAGGTGTGCGTCAGTGGCAGCGGATCGAACCCCGGACCATGTGCATGGTCATCGAGAGTCATAACCACTGTGCCACCGACGTACCTTCAGTTGCCATTCGTCAATAGCTATAAAGTAGGGGCCGGAACGTACTACTTTGTAGGCAGCACACATTTCCTAATTCTAACTAACTTTAATTTTATCAAAAATTGTGAAAAATCCATATTATCGATGGTCTCAGGTGAAAAAATATGACACGTGCATGGGATAAACTACTAGTGTCTCAAAGCAAAGTGTTACGAAATCATAATCAATATTGTTTGTTTTATGCTTTCTACTGAGTCACTACTACTACTAATAGTACACTATTAATTATGCTATAAAATCAATCAATAAATAACTGATTTCGATTATTATTATTATTGCATCTTATAATCGATAGCAAAAACAACAATGACTGGATTATATAAGAACAGGGTTTGCTAATCATACGACCTAAAGCCTCGACACTCGATCCCTAATTCTTACGCCATTTTCGGCGTAGACATGATGTCCGGCTAGCTATGTATCGATCAAAGGACGTGACTACTGCTCAGCAGTTCACTCCCTCCTCCTCTGCTATCGCTGTCAATGAGTCATGTCCATTAAAAGTGGAAGATAATGAAAAGACCGTGTTTGATAGCAGGCATTTATGTTCTAACTTACGTGTTAAGTAGTCTAATAGACTGAGTATTGTTCAAGTTAGGCGTCAAGTGCTACATAAGCAGGGGAAAATGAATCAACGCGGTTGTGAAGCTACTATATCGACTGAGATGGTCAGGACATGTGTTACGCATTACTATCCTAACCATCACCTTATTCGACGGGCAGTGTTACATGACTGACTTAGGAAAAAACCTAGCAAATAGTGGTCAAACCAAAAAATGACTTCATCAGACAATCAAATCCACAACAGTTAGTGTAAGCCAGACGTCCAGTCAGTCATGTAGGGAGGTGTAGACTTTCTCATTGACTGACTGACTGATTGGAGTCCTCAAGATGATAAGAACAACTGAGGGTTGGAGGCAGTTAGTGATTTTGTGATCTAAAGTCAAACAAACCCGAAGACCAACAGATGAGAAACCAACAAGTTGACAGATGAAGCAGACGGCGAAGACACGACTTCAAGTGAACGTAGATGGGACGAAGGCGATGACAAAGATACCTACCTAACTAACTAACAACAACAACATGCGTAAACCACAGACAATGGAGGGAATTTTCGGGGAAATCTCCACTTTCAGGCAGAACGGATAGGAATGTCAAAACCAGGACTGGGAAAGCATGTCAGATATTCAACACTCTGAAATTAACATGGAAACCTTCTCCTCTCCACAGTATAAAGAAGAAAATTCGAATTTTCAACACCAGTGCTAAGTCAAGTCGGTCACTTTTTCTATATGCATCAGAAACCAGCGCTGGAGTACTGGACAGTTGTTTCATCCTAGTTTGGGGATCATCATCAGTACGCACCTTCTGCAAGGATTCCAACCCAAGACCTTTTAGTTACAAGACGAGCAAGCGCATATACCCAATTCAATGGCCAGCCCATGAATTCTAACTTCTACCACTTCATGATTTAGCGCGCCTGACACCAACCAACCAATGTCATCGGTGGTAAATCTATTCTTACACTTGACTGGTTGTACCTCACTGATGATTGAATCAGGTTCCAGTGGATGAATGGTATACGCAGGCGCTCATCTTGTAACCGGAAGGTCCTGGACTCGAACCCCACTGTAGTGGGTGGGTACTGCCGATGATTCCCAAACTAGGATGAAACAGCTGGCTGTCCAGTAATCCCTCCACCTGGTTTTCAATGGTTCTCTAATTGATATCAATCCGTGATCAAACTCGTGAAAATGTAAAATCGAAGGAAATGGAGATAGACTGGATATACGTTGAATGACATCATCCACTAACCAGGCGCGCTATAGTGGAACTCAAATTGGGAAACAACGAGTTGGGCGTGAACCCGAAAGCGACATAAAGGAGGTCGGGGTGCCAGCTAAACAGGAATCCAGAGAACGGCATAAAAGATGGATGTGAGGTGCTAAAGCCTATGTTATGTTTCACTGGGAACCTAGAGGAATAATAACAACCTGCCTCATGAATGTTTTTTTAAAAAAATACACCAACTTACTGATAATACAACATTGCTACATTTCTTCTGCTTCATAGACCTGAATTGTACTTCAGGCCAATTTGTTACACGTAAATGCCCGAAATCACATAGGACACACGTACACAATGAAAGTGACGTACTCATCAAGGTCGTCGTCGTAGTAGTAGTAGTAGCATTATTATCCGCCTTCTTCTGCTGTCCTTCTTCATCACCATAAATATTAAAACGATTAGGAAATAGTATTCTTGGTGCAGCTAAATCAAAATTTATAGCCCAACGATTTCTTGACTTAACTGACGATACTGCCGGTGCTACTGCTGCCGATGATGATGATGATGACGTGAATGTTGTCGACTTCTTTGGAAGTGGAATGTTCTTACCACCAACACCACCACTGCCTATACTACTAATGTCATTATTATCAGTAGTATCGGCATTAGTATCAGTATCTTTGATTAATGAACTTAGATTTAAGGATATGCCTTCTTTAACTGAATGATTCAATCTGAATTGTTTTGAAGCTAAAATAATTGGGAGAGGAAAAAGATTTTAGTGATAAGAACAATAATAATAATAATAATTAGACTTTCAAGCACTGTCACATAAAATAAAACATTTTATAGATATTTCTATAGTTTGGTTTGTAAGGGTTAGTTTTGTTTATCTTTTACGAGTTGATCACGGATTGAGATCAGTTAGAGAACTATTGAAAACCAGCCACAGGGAGTGTACTGGACAGCTGTTTCATCCAAGTTTGGGAATCATCGGCAAAACCTACCCGCCGGTTGGGGTTGGAACCCAGGACCTTCTGGTTACAAGTCAAGCTAGCTCGTATACAATTCAGCCCCTGGAACCCGATTCAATGGCCCATGACCAGTGAGGTCCATCCAGATGTCACGTATGGGGATGGATGTCCCACCGATGACATTGGTTGGTTAGTGCCCCAGTCACGCTAAATCACGAATTGGTAGAAGTTAGAATTCATGCACTGGTCATTAAGGAGTCGGGTCCAAGTGGCTGAATGGTATACGAGCTTAAAAAGATGTGTTGACTAACGTCAATTTTAATACCTGTCCTCTATCGCGAAACGTATTATAGAGACGAGACATAGAAAACATTGTTATATCACAGTGATAGGCGATCATGCACATGGTCCGGGGTTCGATCCGCTGCCACTGACGCACACCTGGTATCAATGGTCGGCCTGCAAAATTTGGGCTACCGATACCCATGCTGAAAATTCCATACTTATACCAAAATTACAATGTGGAATCAAGCTGTAATAAAAAAAAATACAAATCCTAAACTTTAGGCCTCAGAAATTATATTCTTATAGCATTATTATTATTATCATTCCTTCGGACTCCTAGTGGAAGATGGTAGGACTTCAAAAGTACACATCACTATTTCATTCTCTTCTCTGCCTGAAATGCACTTCAACTGGCCTAACGACTCCCCATAAGCTTTCATCTTCTCCTCACACGCGATCTTATCCATGTCACCCTGAAATTGATACCCAACCGGTCGTTCCCCATTCGAATTCTCCATCAAGCGATGACATGGCTAGCTCGTAATGTCAACCAACGGTCTCCTCAGTGTGTGACTAATCCATTCACCAGCATTTTCTTCAGGATGTTGGTTGAGCAAGAGGTTCTTAGTCGATTGATTCGTTCCCAGAGTTTAGTGCTGTTAATTCTTTTTGGCCGACTGGCCATCTGATCTTCAGTATGGAAACAGAGAAGGAGGCAACTGTTTATAAACGTTTACAGTAGCCTGCTGGGAATACTTTGGGTGTCAAGAACGCTAAGTTTCTGATCCATACAAGAGAACTGATTGACTTAAAATTGGAGTTGAAAATCCGATTTGTTAACTGATTTCAGAGTGACAAACGTCTGTCTTGCTTTTCTGATTCTCGTTTTAACATCCTCATTCGTGCTGCCTGTCTGTAGTGGAAAGGACGGCGCCCGGATAAGTAACCTAAGAAATTACGATATTATTACTTTCTTTCTAATCGATTCTACCGGCCGCAATAATGAAAACCTTAGTTAATGCATCCCACTAGAAGAGTAATGACGAATATTTATACTAAGCGAAAGGTGATTGGTTAGAAAAAGGGTGGTTCTGATTGGTCAACCATTTTCCAGACTGCTGATTGGTTATCACTGGCGAATCGTATTTTTCACAAAACAGGATAGTTTTAATTGTTAGATTTTCGTTCCAAACAAAGACGAGTTAGAGAGATCATTGAAAACCAGGATGTATTGGACAGTCGTTTTGTCCTACCTTGAAAACCCTTGGCAGTAAGAACCCACAACCCCACTAAGGATCGAACATAGGGCATTTAGGCAAAGAGATCAAGCTTGCTGACCACTATTCAATCGTTTTAGGGCTAAGATTGAGTGACCCGTGAATTTCTAACTTTTTCACTTCATGATATAACACGTTAAACGCCAACCGATGCCTTTAAATAAACATCCAATTCATCATGACGACAGGGTTGACCTCACTGTTATGATGCTAGATCTTTTGTCACGAGTTCACTGCTTAACTAATGACCAGTGCCCACTTAATTGGTAAAGCAGAACACGCAAGAATCAGAGGTAAAACCAGGTTCTTTTATTATGACAAAAGTGACTGTATTTATACAGAAAGTAAGGTAGACTGGAAATCAACCAATCCGGTTGAGAGTTGGAATTGTGCAAGCGTCCAATCAGAGAGCATGAACAATTGCATGTCAACGACTTGTTAATAACGCGATAATAACTTGACTGAGACATGATAATGACCTGATAATTGCATATGTTTTGCCTCTTCCTAACACTCACTATAGTCACGACTTCGCACTGCAGCTGTGGGAAATGTATCCAGTAATCAGATGATTACAGGATTTGTTGAGATTTTTGTTATATTTTCGTCATGAAATTATAATCTAAAATCCTCGTAACCCTAATAATCTGAAAAACCATTAGTATGTGAATGTGACTATTACAGGTAAAGAGAAAAATGAATTCCCTTCGACAAAAAAGAAGCCCATTCCCTGAACACTACTCATCTTGTGTGTATGTGGGTACGTGTTTCTCATTAATGACTGGATAGCAACTATTCATGAACTTTCTCTCTCTCTCTCTCTAACACAAATTGGATGGGGTCATTAAATGCATTAAATCTGCCAAAGGCAAAATCCCACTGCTGACAACTTCAATGTACATTTACCAACTCACTTGCTCTTATGAAGCTAAGTACATAAGCCGTACCAGCAGAATATTGTCTGAAACCGCCCATCAACACCTCTACCGACATGGTTGTCAAAAGGAGAAGGCAGAATAGCCCAACAGATCAATTCTAGAGTACTACTACTATTACTTCTGGTCAGACAGCAGCATTAGCAGAGACTTCCATTCATAGTCATACATAAAGTAAGACTAGATTGTTCACAAGAGGATTTCGCTTACATCTTCTTCATGCAGGCGAAGAGCTTTAACAATCCATATAGGAAGAAATGTGTGTTCAGAAACATTCTGTCCAGTCTCTTTTTACTACAGTGACCCTCCTTAGTGCTAATTTTGTCTTCCTGAATAACCAACTGTATAATTTTACGAGTTAATCACGGATTGATGTGAGTTAGAGTATCATTGAAAACCATCAAGGAGTACTGGACAGCTCTTTCATCCTAGTTTGGAAATCACCGGCAGTATGCACCCACTGCCAGGGTTCGACACCAACCTACCGGTTACAAAACGAGCTAGCTCGTATACCATTCAGCCACTGGGACCCGACTCCTTAATGGTCAGTCCATGAATTCCAACTTCTACCAATTCGTGATTTAGCACCACTGGCACCAACCATTGTCGTAAGTGGGACATCCATCCACACACATGACACATCTGGATGCACCTCACTGGTCACGACTTCTCACTGGAACTGCTCCAGGAAACTCCATCCTGTAGCAGGTCACTAGCAAGCATCAGGTTTTCAATGGTTCTCTAACTGATATCCAACCGTGATCAACAAGTGAAAACAAAACTAACCCTCACAAACCAAACTATAGAAACAAAAAAGCTCTATATAGTCCTTTTTGGTGTTTGCAACTATAACTCAACTAACTACTTGTTAACCTTTTTCGAATTACGTGTGACCATTGTTAATTTTTTCAAATATAGTTATAACTCACCAACTCTGATCTGTATTATTACTACACGACAATGACCTATGACCTCTGTTCTCGATCTATATTGTATATATAAAAACCCCAAAAATAACTGTACAGCTTTGAAGTTACGCAAAAAAAGGGCATCTCTTTTCTGACTAATGCGTTCTTAATTACAGAAAGCAGGAATTCTTCGAACATAAGAAAGCATTGAATTGCATTGTTCAGGGATCTTGAAAAGAGAGCTCATAATGAAATCCTGTTACCAATCAATGAAATCCCTACAAACCAACACTTTAATATCAATGAGATGCTCACTAGCAACTAGTGAGAAGTCGTGACCAGTAGGGTGAAGCAGGTCGGGTGTGAGAACAAATATTCGCCAGCGAAGACATTGGCTAGGGGTCGCACTATGTCGTGAATTGGCAGAAGTAAGAATTCATGAGCTGGCCATTGGATCGGGTCTCAGTGACTGGCTTAATGGTCTGCCAGCTCGCTAACCTTGTAACCAGAAGGTCCTGGGTTCGAACCCTTTGTAGGGTAGGTGCGTACAGCTGAAGAGTCCAAAACTAGGCTGACGAAACAGCTGTCCAGTAATCCCTGACTGGTTTTCCAATGGTTCTCTAACTAATGTCAGCTCATGATGAAATCCTGTAACCAATCAGTCAAATCCCTACAAACCAACACTTAAATAAGAATAAAATTATACTAAGCATAACTTACACTCACGTTTTGATGAATGTACAACTGATTTGATAAAATTGATAATATGACGAAGTAATTCCGGTTGACAGATCACTTGGAGTGGATCGGTGTGTATTTCAAGACTACAATAAAAGAAAAAGGATGTAACAAGTAAATAACACACGTATATGGATGTACTCAAAAGTTAGTTAGTTTGTAGAGAGAGATTTGACTTTGTTTCAAGTTTGATCAGACAGATCGATATCAGTTAGAGAAAAAACACGTCATTGAAAACCCCCAGGGAGTATTGGATAGTCAGCTGATTCGTCCCAATTTGGAGCTCTTTATCTGTCGGTCAGTCTGTCTGTTTTCGACATGGAACTTTACACCGATGTGCACCAGTTCAAGTCGCCACACTCCATGTAGCACGCAAAGCAAGAGAGGAAGGTAGAAAGGAATGCATAATGGAGACAGTGAACAGAGGTGGGAGACAAAGGAATAGTAATAACGAAGAACAATATAGTTTCATTGGAAACTATAAGTCACAAGAAGTGGATGCATATGCACCAGCCACTGAGAACGATTTTGAGCCATGTCACCAATTGTTTCCAACCACTGATTTTTACCGTCCCGAGGACCCCAGCCTGGAAGTCTACAGCTCCCTACGTGACTGGCTGGCTTAAGCTAACTGTTGTGGATTTCATTGACTGGTGAATCCATGTTTTGGTTTGACCTCCGCTAGCTCTTTTTCAGCCTGACCCTATATAAGCTAACACTCCCCATAGTCGAGGAAGGCGATGACCAGGCATGCGTAACACATGTCCTAACCATCTCAATCGATGTAGCTTCACAGCCTCATGTATTGATTTCCCCCTCCTTACCTAGAACTCGACCAATGCCTAACCTCAATATTGCTCACCCTATTATAGCACTTCACACAGGAGATAAAACGCAGGCACCTATGATAAAAGACAGCTAATCTTTATCAAAACCCACCAACTGGGAGTTCGAGGCCAGGACCTTCTAGTTACAAGTGAAGCCAGTAGATCATTCACCCACTGGGATCTGAACCAATGATTCATATATATATATATATATATATATATATATATATATATGGAGAGGGAGTTTAATTGGCTGGAGGCAATCGATAGCGATCCGTAGATCTACGGTTTAGTGATAATACAGAAATTCGTCATTCAGCAAGACGTATGTATCAGCCTCCTCGTCCTCCTCCTTATCCTCCAAGGAACTTGAATCCGAAAGAAAAACAAGTGTTTCTGCAGAATAATATCTAGAAGTCATCATTTATTTCGTCATTGGGTTCCCCTCTTCGGCTACTTGCAGCCTAAAAGTTGATTATGTAAATATGTACATGGAATATTGTCATACTTGCAGCAAAGATTAACATGATTTTTGTTAACACAGACACACATGAACGAAATATTCCCATATTGAGTCCTAAGAAAAAGACGTAAACAGCATAAAAGAAAATTTTCCCTTTTTTCGACGATTCATTTTCATGAATGAGCTGTTGTACAATCGTAATTATATCAAACGAAGAAATGTGCGTCGGTGGCACAGTGGTTAGGACTCTCGCCGACCATACACACATGGTCCGGGGTTCGATCCGCTGCCACTGACGCACACCTGATATCTATGGTCGGCCTGCAAAATTTGGGCTACCGATATCATATGCTGAAAATTCCATACTTCTACTAAAAAGTACTGTGTGGAATCAAGCTGTAATCAAAAATCAAAAATCTTTAAACCAATCAGATACTGGTCCGAACTTTTCTTATCTCCCTTTTTCAATGATCATGTCTCATGTACTGCTGTTGGACAGTACATATGTCTTTTGATCGACAGCCAACCAGATGTCATGTAAGAGATGGCGAATCCCACACGAGACTTTTGTATCCTGTGCTGAGATTTCGAACGAAGATAACAATAAAAAAGAGTAGGATAACTTACACATAATCCGCATTTATCTTCACAGGATTCACTTCATAAATCAATGAAAAGACTCGTCTTTCTTGAGCGTCATCAGCAGTAACATTAGCAGTGGTTGCATCAGATTCTAAATTACAACCATACTGATGATAACTTGGATAAACAACAACTGGGAATAGAGGTGTCAATTGGGACGAATCCCTTTCACGACGACTACTATTGCGCTGTGCAGATGACCATCTTTCATCATGTACAGTAAATGATTGAATATAAGTTGATATACGATATGAATTACATTTCGGTCGAATTACCAGACTAAAATTCATTTGTTCTCCAGACATACTCACAAATGCCGGATGCTGAAACATGAGAATTGGGAGAGAGAGAGAGAAAGACACAGACTAATCAGAAATATACATAAATATCATGTTCATATTAAAAATTTATATTTCAACAGCAAAATAATATCTTTTAGGTAAATATATAGAAGCGTTTCGTCCCAACACTGGACTCTTCAGCGTTGCACAGTCTAGACCTCATGAACTTGAGAGCGGATAACAGTAGTGCATTCAGGATCGGTGTTATGATCACATTTAGGAATTGGAAACAAGTATAGAATTGTTGTTATAAAGCAGGATTTAATGAATTTATCGAATTTCGGTAGAAGTACTCTTCAACTGCTGAATACTCTACATACAAGGATATATATGTATGCACCATTGGAATTACACTGGGAGACATCAGACTAATAAGTGGATAAACTACATTGAATCAATTATGGAAAATAACAAGTGTGAAGATTTGATGAAGCTATCAGGAGGACTTCTTAGGCTGCAGGCGACTTACGACTTCCTCTCATCTTTACTATGGTTCACCTCAAACCCTATCGGTTGGTTTTTGCCTGTGTGGATTTTTTCAAGTTTTTGTGTGAAATTAGATCGTATAAATTCTCAGAGTAGTCCAGATCTTTTAGAGAGCCGGTCTAGTGTATGCGCTTGTCTTCTCACATTCGCCCCCCCCCACCGCCGCCGCTACCGCCAAACTATGCTACAAGATGCAGTCCACCATGAATCACACACACTTTGAAACACTTAAATTCTATAAATACAAATAAATAAGAGTCTCTAGCCAACACGATCTTAGCTCAGAGAGCCGAGAAGCCAACACATTCACGCACACCCACACATACACACACATAGGCGAACAGTCATCATAAATAATAATACTAAGGCTTTAAGGCTAGTATAGTGTGTTCTTGGCACAGCGGTTAGGACGCTCGCCGACCATGCACACGGTCTGGGATTTGATCCTCGGCCGCCAACGCACTCCTTTACCTCGCTAAGCCAGTAATAAAGCTTGTAAATAGGGAATGTTGGGGGGGGGCATGGGGCTAGTAACCCTATCCAGCAAAAATAAACACCACTGATACAGAAACTTCAAGCCTCTAGCTTGAAGGTACCCTATGCTCCACTAAGAACGTGAAGGAAAACAAACAAAAAGGCTAGTATCCAATAAAGTCGATTCCATAGCAGGTTAATCTCTAATCTGATTGGCTTCGTATTAACACCACTGACTGCACCAATGGCAGGTGACACGAGTTCGAATTTCAGACAGGAGAACATAAGTTCCTTCAAGATTGCAGATACACCTTGATGACTAGTGAATACCACCCAACAAGCACGAAATCTGGGTCCAATCAAGACCTCTTTCCAGTGAATAACAGTAATTAAGAGTTCACCGTGAAGTTGTTGATAAGTTTATGTATCTGGGTAGTTGTGTGAGTGCTGGTGGGGAGAGTGACGGATGAGATTTCGAACGGTATAACGAGGGCTAGGGTGGCATACATCAACTTCAGCCACCACCTCTGGCGCCGTCACGACGTTAGCCTGGCTGTCAAAGGTCGGGTATACAATGCTTCGTTGCGGGTGGGCTGTCTTGCTCTACGCCAGGTCTGCGAAACATGGCCTTTCCAAGCTGAGGATGTGCGGCGACTCTGCGTATTAGATCATCGCTGTCTCCGCCGGATTGCTTGCGTTCGGTGGCATCATTGCATGAGTAATTCTCAGGTTCGGCGGCGTGTGTTCGAACACAGTGGAGATCACCATTCATTGAGTGTCGTCATCTGCAAAAACACCGGCTTCGGTGGCTTGGACATGTTCTGCGAATGTCATCCTAGACGCTTCCGTACAGGTATCTGTTCGCTAGTCGGCCCTGGGACGGAATGAAAAAGGCAGAGGGGTGGTCAGTCCATGATGCGTGGTGTCGTGGGATGAAGAATTTTTGTGCTAGATTAGCATCCGTTGGTGTGTCACGACTCCCTGGTTGGGTTATCCGAGATAGCTCATACCGATGGCTTAAAAGGTTATCGGATATGACCAAGAATCGTAATCAATGGCGAACGTGTTGCGATTTCCTTCTTTCTTCCCTTCCCGATGATAGTTAATGAATACTGTTTGTACTTGTTAAGTATGACTGTTTGCCTTCCAAATGAAGTTCTTTATCCGTTCTCTACTTATGTATTTGTTTACTTTTAACCTATGTTGTTTTATTATTATTACTACTGTGTGGCTCATCTTTCTTGGTGCCATATTATACCAAGTTTTTTCTGCGTTTAAATAATACACCGTGATGGCAACCCATCTAGTGTCATGGTGGTCACACACTACAGAAGTGATTTTTTCCGCCCTAACACTCAGTGCTATCCCTACACCAGTGAGTCCTAGCGAGTTGGCTGAGGGGTCTTTTGACACCCTTAAAGTGAATTTTGCAGATTCACCTCGCTGACCGGGTGAGGTTAAATGAATGACCACAGTTGGGTCTTGTATGCATGTCTCCGAAGCATAAAATACATCCATGGCTCGAGATGCCAGAGTTCTTGCTAGTGGTGACAGAGAGTGAAGTGAAAATAACTCACTAGCCTGCAGAATAGTACTAACTGTAGTAGAAAAGCAAGATGAGGAAGGTGATGTGAGTAAAGGAGAATGATGCTCAAGAAGGCTTCGTGTGCTTTTGGAAGTGTGTGGGTGATTGTTACTTTCCGACTGCCCACCCCATGGAAGTTGATTGATTCTTCGGGTGCCTGAAACAGAAAGAGGGTCAGTGTTGTTGCGTGACCGCAGAGCCCAGGAGACAACTGCTTGAGGTCAACCGATCACACACCGCTTCTATGAACTGGTTTCTTGGATTCGTTCCGTATTAGTAAACTTACCGCCGGTTACGGACCACCGTAGGTGGGGTAAGTCAGAAGAGACAGCATAGTTGGCTGGTATGCTGGTCATCTGAGGGGAACACCTTACTGCTGTTACACCCCAGTTCCCCAGCAGTACGACTTCACCCACACACACACCCAGCATAGTGTAAAAAACAAAATCCTTACACTAAGCTGGTAACTGATTTTAGTCTAATAGTTATCCTGACAACCTTCCTGGCATGGTAGGACTTGCAGGAACATTGATTCCAGCCAGTGCAGCTTGTTGGGTCATCGCGACGTGCAAGTCCCCGATCACCACGTCAAGGTAGCAGTTATCGATCGGGCTCACACATTACAAACTTGACACACGATTAGAATTCAATCATAACACTAGTTAGATAAACACAACAATCAACTCAAAAAAATAAAAAATGTTCACTACCATAAACACCTACCACTGCGTATGCATGCATAGCCTCTTCTTGTTGACTATCAATCAGTCGTAGACTACATCCATCTATAGTACAAATAAATTGTAGAAACACGGGATAATTTATACTTGTATAATCAATATTATTATTCGTATGTTCAGCAAATTCATCCAGTAATTCAAAGATTGTATCAGCAAGTATAATCGATGCAGAAGATGATGATGGCGGTGACGATGATGACGACGTTGAATGATTGAAACTAGAATCAGCGGTTGATTCTCCTTCTTCTTCATTCTCTTGTTGTTGTTGTCGTCGTCGTTGTAGTTGTGCTTCATCAGCCGTTTGATCCGTTGTACTGTCAACATTATTTGATGAGAAAAAAGATGATGTTGTCAGGCCTAACCATGAAGAATATCTCCACCAAGAATTATAATAGGATTGATTTGATGTCGTGGTGGAAGCTGGAGATGTACTGTCGACAACTGAAGGACGAGGAGGAGGAGGAGGAAGGGGTAGAGGTGTACCAGAAGGTTGTCCTGAATCAACTGACGAACGTTTACTTCCATGTTTGCCATTTTTATCACATTTCTAAGTTTCACGGGGGAGGGGGAGGCGGGGGGAAATGAAATCAAAGAAAAACAACGACAATCAAGAATAACACAGCTGAAATTATTATTAAATTAAAACGTAGACTTGGTGCACTATGGGCACCAACAGACGCGTCACACAAAAGTCTAATAGTTAGTGCGAAGGATGGTATACTGTCTCGACATAAAACAGGACTTGAAGCCTAATAACCCACAAATTATTGGGGCAGGAGGTACATTCCCCTGGTTTCTGGTGACTGGTGTAAGTTGTTGATAATCCCCATATACAAAAAAGGAGATAAGTCTTCCTGTGATAATCACAGAGGGATTAGCTCGACTAATGTGGTATCTAAAATTGAAGGCTCAATAATCATGAGTAGACTAAGCAGTCCATGGGAGGAACAAACACGAGACGACCAGCACGGCTTTAGACTAGGAAGAGAGTGCATTGATCATATCTTCACCCTTCGACAGATTCTGGAACATAGGCATACTTACCGGTGTCCAAAAGGCAGCTTCGATTCTGTCGACCGAGAGGCACTCTGGCGATGTTTGTCTGTGAAGGGAATGCCTATAAAATACATTGCACTGATCAAGGCACTATACTCGAACTCATGAGGTCATTCAGGTGACAACTTACGGCGAGTTGTCATCTAAGCTGGTGACGACTAGTGGTGTCCATCAGGGATGCCCATTATCCCCATTTCTATTCAACTTCATCATAGATGTACTAATGGACTTAACCCTAACTCACTTCAGAGACTCAGGGATTGACTTGTTACCAGGGTATGAAAAATCTGGTTGACTTAAAATATACAGACGATATAGTCCTACTGGGTGAAGACGCTGACAAAATGCAAAGTCTTCTGAACACATTGAGCTGCAATCTACGAATATTTGGCATACGATTCGCTCCCGCCAAATGTAAGGACTGCACTACATTGACTCACTTCTAGCCTAGAAATAAGGAGTCAAGTAGTTGGTGGAGCGTGTTGACCACTTCACTTATTTAGGAAGTTGCATCAGCCAACTCCAATGGGTTCATCGCTGGCGAAACCTCAGTACGGATGCAGAAGGCCTTTCTACATGGCTCAAAACAACTGCCTTCGATTTGAACAACACTACACTTTACTCCTTTCTAACCGAATCTTTTGTCACCAAAAACACACTACTCGTCGAGGATGGAAGTAGCTCGACGTGCGCATCACATGTAGAGTTACAAAATACAGTTTTACAATATTAGTGTGAGATAACAAGAAAGTGGAACTGATTATCACGTGAATAAAGGAAGAAATCGACAGGTGAAATGAGACTTCAATTGAAGCATACCCCCCAGAATCCTGAGTCGAAATAATACAAAACACAAGAGACGTATGTGCTTGGTAACCAATTTCTAGTTCTAAGTTAGATGAAGACAAATTAGAACAAACACAACAACAAAAAGCCGAATAAACTGGACTTCCATATCAAGAAGGAAGAGTTCACGACTGATCACGAACTTGACTTCAGTTAAACAACCATTGTGAAACACAACAAAGAGTATTGAACACCTGTTTCGTCCTCGTTTGGAACTCTTTAGTACCACGCAGCCATGACTTCATCAGGTATTAATCTGTCTGTCTGTTTTCGACATAGAACTTTGCACAAATGTGCGGAAGTTCAAGTCGCCACATTCCGTGTAGCACGCGAAGCAAGAGAAGAAAGTACAAGAAAAGCATAATAGAAACAGTGAGCAGAGGTGTGAGACAAACGAGTAATAGAGAAATACAAAACAGTTTAATTGAAGATCATAAGTCACAGGGAGTGGATGCATCTGCGCCACTGAGAACGATTTTGAGCCATGTCACCAATTGTTTCCAACCATAGATTTTTACCGTCCCGAGGACCCCAGCCTGGAAGTCTACACCTTTCTACGTGGCTTAGACCAACTGTTGTGGATTTCATTGACTGATGCCAAGTTTTTGTTTGACCGCCTCTAGCTTTTTTCCAGCCTGACCCTATATCCGCTAACATAGCTCGTCGAGGGAGGCGATGACTTGGCATACGTAACACATGTCCTAACCATCTCAGTCGATGTAGCTTCACGACTTCGTCAACAAAGATATTAACTGACGGTGGCGCTTAACATTCTGAAATGGCAGATGTTAGAATCCATGAACAGTCAGGTTCCATTCCAATGGCTCAACGGTCGTCTGTGAGCTCCATCAGTCATCAAGAGTCTTTAACCATCAGTTTTGACCATCTTGAGAGCAGCCTACACCAACTCCCATTCCGATTCCAACGTGATCGTAACCAAAAGTCATGGGTCTTATCAAATTTTCAAGTGAAATTCACGATTTGTAGCAGTTTACGCACCTACAAACACACACACACTCACAAACACACATCATTTCCATCTGAAAACCGAAACTAATTAGACCACACATTATTTGATGATCTAATTGATACCATCATAAAATTGGTAATCAGGAAAGTAAGCATAGATAGACGTGCAACGCAATGTACTACTGAATGACTCCTGTGAGAAGTTGCTCGATACCACTCAAACCAACTGACCAGTAGGGCTTTCTAGAAAACAGATCCCACGGGTCGAAACAACAGACAGTCGGCCGTTTTGCTTGTTTGGAGCCGAATTCAACGGCCTCCACCACCACAGGCTGATGCGTGTGATGGGCACCTACTACTCATAACACCCAGTAAGTAGTATATAGCGTGAGTTATAGATTTTACAGATTGGCAGCATATTTCTATTTGACTATGTCACACTTTCGCAAACAAAGAATAGTAAATTCTAAAACATGACAATATCCACCCCCCCCCCTCCCTCTCTTCTCATTATAAATGGAACTGTGAAAAATCGATAGGAGAGGAGACAAAATAATAAAAAAAAATAGCCTGAGGTATATTACTTACTAATAATTTATGCAGTATCACTGTAGCACGTCGCATAGCAATCAGACGGAGAATAGCAATTCTTTGTATTGACCACAACTCATCGTGTTTTGATCGTTCACTATCCATTTCTGGTGTGTAATTTAAACTTTTGCATATAACGCTGACTTGATCAATTGTAATTAAACACTTTGTTGTAGAAGTCGACGTCAGCGTCTCGCCAGAAGATGACGATGGCGATGACGAGGATGAAAGTCCTTTAATCAAATAAGCTGTATAGGCTTTCACATAGATAATGTTCAACTTGGCTTCATTAGCTAAAGACGACAGTGTGACATGTCGAAATGTTGAATTCAGGTATAGTCGAAGTGGTGGATGAACCTCGCCAGCTGCATAACGCCACCAATCGGCATATCTGTAAGACACATATACACAATACATGTAAGGAAAAATTTTTAAAATTCCTATCGAAATCTCGGAATATACAACTTAGATGATGGGAAATACTTAAAAGAAAAGACGGTTACAGCAAAGAAAATTTCCTTTCCGACGAAGTCAACATCAACGGTGGCACAGTGGTTAGGACTCTCGTCGACCATACACATGGTCTGAGGTTTGATCCCCTGCCGACGCACACCTGATATCTATGGTCGGCCTGCAAAATAATATAATAATACATAATATATAACAATATAATATATAATAATATAATAATAATAATTTACTTTATTCCAAAAACAGTACTTGTGATGTAGAATGGAATTTTCAGCATTAATCACACACAATATTCCATCTAATTTCCTCAAATTATAAATAAAATTAATCACACAGAAATTTTTCCACGTTTACAATAGGGGTAATGTCAAAAACATGCGCCATACAAAATGGAAATAATAATGGCAGCTAAGGTAATAATAATAATACAAGTGAAAATTCCCGTGGACTTGTTTCACACAGTATTGTCAATGCGATATAGAAATCCTAGTATGTTTCAGAAATATTGAATATAATGTTCTCTTTACATGGCGATGATGGTGAGGGGAAAAACAAAGATTACAGCAGTCATTGAGATAAGTTGGTGTTTGCAATTATGAGAGTAAAACAAACAAAGAAGCAACAGGACCATAAATATAATAGAAATAACAAAAGTAAAACTTGAAGGTATAAAAGGATGGATGGATGGAGGAAATTGTTTATTTATTAGATGAAAAAAGGTTATTTAATTCTTGCCTGACATCATTTTCACTATCACATAAAATACGTGTCAAGTATGGTATTATAGAATTTCTATACTTAGACGTGCGGGCATACAGTTCTCTGAAGTTACTTCTTGTTCTACCTGAGGAGATGCAAGGTGAAAGCTGAGGGTAAAGGGGATGCTCCAGGTCAGAAAAATCCCTTTAGCGAATTTATTGCACGAAGTGAAATGCTTATCGACAACCACTCACCCTACTGACCGTCTTCAGCATTCTACAAATTGTGACATAGTCCTTTTTAAGCAGCGAACCAGGAAAGAATAAGGGTGAACAATAAAGAAGAACAAGTAGGATGCAAGAGTTTATGAACTATAAGAAAAGGGGTTGAGTTATACTAGAGCGCCTTAACTTCTTAATGTAATATATCAGGCGGAAGATTTTACTGGAGATCGCTAAGACATGGAAAGACCAGGAGAGATTAGAAGAGAGAATAAGTCCAAAATACTTGATTTCCGATTTAATTCCTATATCATTGTCGTCAATCCTACAACTGTCATGAGAATCGATGACTTCTTTTAACTGTCTTTTACATCTTAAGCTGAAATTAACATTTTGACATTTATAAGGATTCAGTTTAAGACCGTTAGACTCAGACCATTTGCTGACTCCCGACAGAAAGCTATTTATTTTGGTACAATCTAGCTGAAAGTTAACAGCCATTGAAACTGTTAAATCATCAGCGTACTTCGCAAAGTTGTATTTCATCAGAGTAAGGCAAGTTATGTAAGAAGAAAGAAAGAAAAAAAGAAGAAAAGGCGAAAGGATAGCGCCCTGAGGGACACCAGCTTCAGTAGGCAATGTAGTGGAAGACTTCGCTTTATACACGGTGTACTGCTTTCTTTCTAAAAAATAGGAATGTAACCAGTTAACAGCCCGCCCATCAGTCATTTAGTCAATGAATAGTATATACAGTTTCATGCAAACAATGACTCACCTTTTCATTGTAGTCGTAGTACTACTACTACTGCAAGGTCGACGTTTCAATTGTTCAGTACGTTCATACTGGCACTTCAACACTTCAGATAAATGTAACAAGCTACGACATAATTCTTGTGATATTTGTATGTCTAACTGACTCAAATTTAAGGCTAACTCAATTTGTGCTTCACTCGACTGATAATATTCCGATTGATACTTTTTTCTGTTTGTCAATGGTCCAGTAACAAGAGTAGAGTTAGTAGTAGTAGTAGAAGTAGTATTGGCGGTATTGGTGGTGGCATTATTGATTGAAATGTTAGTTTGTTTACGTTTTAAACGTCCAGTTAAATGGCATGGAGGTAGGATATGCAGAATGCTTTGATTCGACGGTTCCTCTGTTTCAATAGATGCTTCCTTTAAGAGAAAGAAGAAACAGAGAAAATAACGACAATCATTATAATTTTAGTAACAGCATAAATTCACGTTGAAATAAGGCTGTTTGCCATGGCTAGTTTTATTACTGGACAGAAAGAAATCGACTTCCACAAGAAGTGAAACAGAATCATGCTCTTGTTCATGCCAAAGGGAATACTAAGTCACGTCATGGGTCGTGAGGCCCTCGGTGAAGTGAACGACAATGGTGAACTCTGAAGCTGAGAAGGCAGCAGGCAAAAGGGACCTGAGGACACTACATCAGATAACCAAGTGTATATCCGGGAAGAGATCAACACAAGTGAAACCTATAAAAGACAGCCAAAGGGAACCCAATTACCAAGAAAGAAAGATGTCAAATCGAGAATCGGGAAGGCGAGCGAGAAACACATTCACTCATCAACCTGAAACCAATTTGGAAATCTTCGTCACTCAACTCTTCGTCAACAACAAAATTCGGTAGGATTTGCAATACAAAAGTCAAGTCACTTCTTCCATACGGATAAGAAACTTGGCGGGTGAGTCACGAAGAATATTTCCAACAGACTGTTGCAGACCTTTATCAACAACTAACTGCCTTCGCTCTATACTGAAGATCAGATGGCCGGAATGAATCACCAACTATTGGAAACTATGGGAAGAAACAAAACAAGTACCAATCGCCCGACAAATATGCGGGAGAAAGTGGAGATGGATCGGACACTCGCTGAGGAAACCGCTGGGTGACATCGCGCGTCAAGCCCTCGAGTGGAACCCGAAAGGGAAGCGGTGAGTGGGACGTCAGTGTAAGGGTGACATGGAGGAGATCGTGTGAAGAGGAGTTAAAACAGTACGGACTAACATGGACGCAGGTGAAAAGTACAGCAGAAGACAGAAGCAAGTGTAGACGTGCAGTTGAAGCCCTATGTTCCACTAGGAACGCAAGGGAACAATAATAATAATCATCCTGGAGAGAACAGAGGATGCACTGGATGCAGAACTCCTCCAGCCGGTGCAAGCTGAATTCAGGAAAGGCATCATCATCGAACTGAGAGTAGAATGCCAGTTAAATCTCTCCCTACCTTCAATTCGTTGACTCTGAAAGGGCCTTTGGGACAGCGTTGACGGCGAAGTTGTTTGGAAACTGCTTTCAACATACTATAAAGTGCACCAAATCACTATCAGCCTCATTCTACAGTTAGCTAACATGACAATGCCATGTGTTAAGTGATACACAACGGAAAACTCAGCGAGGCGTTTGAAGTGAACATATGAGTAGGACAAGGGGGTTGACCACTATCACCGTCGATATTTCTAATTGTGGAGGTGTGAATTATGTGGAAGACTTTGAAAAGGGAGCGAGGAGAGAAGGATACATTAGGTTTATAGAAAGACTCCAGATCTGAACTTCGTGGACGACTTATGTCTGATGTCACATAGTCTCGAACATCTAAAGGTGAAAACCAAAAAGTTGGGAGAACAAGCATCAAGCAAAGACACGACTTCGAGTGGACATAGAACAGACAAAGGTGATGATGACAACTACCAGTCATTATTGACAGCAGAAACTGGAAAGAGTCCACTTTTCCTTCATTTATCTAGACAGTGTCGTTTCAACTACAGGGCAGTCTAGACGCATGAAGATGTCAAAACCAGTCAGAATCAGAAAGGCAAAACAGGCACCTCTTCATCACTCTGAGATCGATTTGAAAATCTTCTCCACTCATCATGAAGAACAACATTCGAATTTTCAACACGAAAATATTCACACCAATCACGACAAGCACTTTGAACAGACAGCTACAGGCTTTTATCGACACCTGCCCCCTTCGCTCCACATTAAAGATCAAATGACCAGAAAGGCTAAGCAGCAAATTAATCAGGAACCTTAATGTATGTGTAGCAGTGGACAATCTGAAACCTGCAGATGTCTGTCTGTCTGGGTTCAACATAGAACTTGGCACCGAAGTGCAGCAGTTCGAGTTGCCACGTTCCAATTGGCACACAAGGTAGACAAGAAGATGAGTGAAGAGAATCAATAGATGCAGATGTCATCCCCAAAATAGAAATAGCACTATGTGTGTGTGTGTTGGATAGACAAAACAACGGTTGACGAAGTACACAGGGCACAATGTGCACTTACATTAAATCGACAAAAACGTACGTGGAAAGCCTAACCTGACAAAACCAGAGATAGAGGCCCTGAAACACCTTAAGAATAACAAGGATATATAGTAATCACAAAGTCAGACAAAGGAAATGCAACAGTAGTATTAGACAAATCAGACTATTCGGACAAGGTAAATACTCACATACAAACAAGACCATATGAGGAAATTAATAAATCAATAGACACAGTTATGAATAAAGTTAAGAAATCCACAGCGGACCTTATACGCCGAATGAAGCCATTTCTAGGTGAGTCTAAATGATGGTTTAATTTAATGGCCAAAACTAATAACCCGAGTAGGGGTTAAAGTTCATAAGTCAGGATACTCTATTAGACCTATAGTTGATCTTAGAAATTCACCTACTTATGAATTATCTAAATACTTAGCCATGGTATTAAATCCCCTCTTAAAAGCCACTCAAAATCTAGACTAACGAATTTTTATGAACTAAAACATAGATTAGATAATTTAAGATCAGATAATGAAGAGAAAATGGTTAGTTTTGACATTGTCAGTTTATATACACGTATACCAATAAATATGGCTATAGAGACAGCCAGAAACGAACTCATTTCTGATCAAGAACTCGAACTTAGGACAAAAGTGCCACTTGAGGACATAATGCTGGGAGTAAAGCTATGCCCGACTTCCACATTATTTAAATTCCAAGGGAAAATATACAAACAAACTGAGGGAGTTGCCATGGGATCATCAATATCCCCGGTTGTAGCAGATATATTCATGGATAGGTGGGAAAACATAGAGATTGGAACGTTCACCCCCACTCACCCCAAAAGTATGGTGAAGGTATGTAGATGACACATTCACTGTACTTAGAACACAGGATATAGACAGATAGATTTTTCGAACACATGAACTCAAAGGTGGAGGCAATTCTTCAATTCACTTATGAATTAGAAAGTTAGGAAGGGGAGTTTCCAATGTTAGATTGTAGCGTAAAAAGAAAAGAAGATGGGAAGTTAATCAGGAATCTGTTGGTGGTCAACAAATATCCCGAAGAAAATGAAGATAGGTCGGACATACGCCAAGGAAACTGTTAGGTGATATCATGCGGAAGGCTCTCGATGGGAATATGAATGGGAAAAGTGCCATATGATGACAGGGAAGATATCGTGTGAGAAGGAGGTGACAGCCTATAGGCGATCATGGAGTCAACTAGAGAGGGGGACTACACAGAACAGGGTAAAGCGGAAGTGTGCTGTGGAAACTCTACTAAATTCCACTTGAAACTCAAGAGGATAACAAAAATATATAAATATATGCAGCCCCCCACCCAAATAAAATACATAAATAAACCAAATTCTCTTTTCCCCTTTGTTATAATATATAAACACTCACGTCAGTTACCTTCTCATCAACTGTACAATCGATTGAGTGTATTGATGACTTTGATAAATCTGGATGCCATGTGATATTTAATCCACGAACATTAATCAGTTTATATTCAACAGGTTCTTGAGATGTTGAAGTAGTCCGTTTCTACATGGGGAAGAAGATGAGGGAAATGATATAATAACTAAACACATATGACACTAATTGAGATACCACGAGGAACTGCAGTACTGGTTACAGGATTTCATCATGAGCTGAAATTGGTTAGAGAACCATTGGAAAACCTGGGAGTACTGGACAGCTATTTCGTCTTAGTTCGGGACTCTTCATCAGTACACACCCGCATCACGGGGTTCGAACCCAGGACCTTCTGACCACAAGGCTGGTGAGCTCGTAGACCATTAAGCCACTCATTGGGATCCGATCCAATGGCCAGCCCATGAATTCTAACTTCTGCCATTTCATGGCATAGCGCGACCACTTCACAATGTCTTCGGCGAGTATTTGTTCTCACACCCGACCTGCTGCACCCTATTGGTCACGACTTCCCATATTACTAATTAGCCATTATGCATCAGTGGCTTAGCGGTAAAATGCTCACCGACCACGCATATGGTCCGGGGTTCGATCCTCAGCCAACGCATTTCCTTAACCTCGTTAACCGAGTATTAGGACCGGTAAAGAGGGAAGGTTGGGGATGAGGCTGACTAGCGACTCCATCCCGTAAAAATAAAACGCCACTGCTAACGAAACTTCAAAGCTCTAGCTTGAAAGCGCCCTATGTTCCACTGGGAAAGTAAAGGCATTTCTTTTTAAATTCTGTCTGTCTGGATTCAACATAGAACTTGGCACCGAAGTGCAGCAGTTCGAGTTGCCACGTTCCAAATAGCACACAGAGGTAGACAAGAAGATGAGTGAAGAGAATTAATAGAGTTTGACAAATATAAGAGTGAAACAGAATGGGTAATGGTAGAAAGGAATATGAAAGATTACAGAGATTGAATACATCTGCGCCATTGACAACGATTTTGAGCCATGTCACCTATTGTCTCCAGCCATTGATTCCTAGAGTCCCGAGGGCCCCAACCCGGGAGTCTGCATCTCCCTACCTGACTCAGTTTAACTGTCAAGGATTTCATGGATTGATGCCATGTTTTTGTTTGGCCACCACTGGCTCTTTTCCAACCTGAACCTATATCAGCTAACAATGCCCGTCGGGGGAGGCGGTGGTTAGGCATGCGCACCACGTGACCTAGCCATCTTAGTCTATGTAACTTTATAACCTCGTCGATTGATTTTCCCTCTTTGCCCAACACTCTACGCCTAACGTCAACATTACTTATCTTGTGAAACCACCTAACGTGAGACAGAGATCGCAGACATCTATGATCGAAAGCAGTCAACCTTTTCATGTCTTCAACGCGTATTGGCCATGTTTCAGAGCCATAGAGAAGGACGGAGCGAACTGATGAGCAGTACACACGTCCCTTGGTTGATAACCGGATGTCACGCCTACGCCAGAGATGGTGTAAGTCAGCGAAAGCAGCTCGAGCTTTTCGGATCCGTGCTGAGATTTCATCGCCAATCAGTCCGTTGGTGCTAATACAACTTCCCAAGTAGGTGAAGTGGTCAACATGTTCTATCACTTCACTCCCTATCACTAAGTTAGGGGTTGACGTCGTCCAGTCCTGTAGCAGCATCTTACATTTTGCAGGGGCGAATCGCATGCCAAACATACGAAGATTGCTGCTCAAGGTGTTCAGAAGACTCTGCATTTTGTCAGCATCCTCCCCTAACAGGACTATGTCATCTGCATATTCTAAGTCCATTAGATTATTCCCTGGTAACAAGTCGATTCCTAAGTCACTACGTTCAGTTAAGGATACTTCCATTAGCATATCTATGATGAAGTTAAACAGAAATGGGGAAAGTGGACATCCCTGTCGGACACCACTGGTTGTTACTAATTCAGATGACAATTCCCCATAAGCCCTTACACGACTACGTGAGTTTGAATAGAGTGCCTTGATTAGTGCAATGTACTTTCTTGGCACTCCCTTCACAGTCAGACATTGCCATAGTACTTTTCGGTCCACGGAGTCGAAGGCCGCCTTCAAGTCAAGAAATATGACAATTGTTGGACGCCGAAAAGTGTGTCTATGTTCTAGAATCTGTCGAAGAGTGAAGATATGATCTATGCACCCTCTACCTGGTCTAAAGCCTGCTTGATTTTCCCTTGTCTGTTCCTCCCGAGTTCTGCTTAGTCTATGCATGATTACTGAGCCTAGGATTTTAGAGACTATGTTCGTTAGGCTGATCCCCCTATGATTATCACACGAGGACTTGTTTCCCTTCTTGAATATCGGTATAATAAGTGACTTACCCCAGTCTGATGGTACTGTCTCTGATTCCCAGACTTTGCCTAGTACCTCAGTTAATCTACAAACTAGTATGTCACCCCCATATTTAAACACCTCCGGAATAATTCCGTCGGGTCCTGCCGCTTTGCCTCGTTTCAAATTACTGATAGCTTTTGTAACCTCACCTACAGACGGCGGACCAGTGTCTATATCCCATTCGGGTACGTGGTGGATGGCGGGGAGGTTCAGTGTGGCTGTAGGCAAGTTAAATTGTTCCTCAAAGTGTTCTTTCCAGCGTTCAAGGCGTCTATCCTGAGAGCTAATTAAGGAGCCATTTTTCTCAGAAATAGTCTCACTTATGAATTGCCTTTTCCCGCCCGATTCTGTGATGAGTCTAAAGAGTTGCCTAGTGTTGCCTATCGCCAATGCTTTTTCCATCTCTTTCGCCTTTGTCACCCACCACTGTTCACGGTCCTTGCGGAGACTTTTAGTAAGTTTCCTTTTGTGCAGCTTTCGCTCCTCATTGAATTCGGAGCTCGCCGGAATAAGTCTTCTAGCATCTATCAGTTCGGATGAGGCAGTCGAAATCCAGTGGTTTTTACTCACCTTTGGATTTGTCTTATTCACAGCTTTTACAGCTGTATCTATAGCTGACTGAATATTCTTCCAGGCTTCTCCAGGGTGAGCACAGCTGTCGGATTCAGATATGCGTTTAGCTAGTTCTTCCTCAAATAGGGATTTAGTTTCAAAAAAAAAAAAAAAAAAAAAAAAAAAAAAAAAAAAAAAAAAAAAAAAAAAAAAAAAAAAAAAAAAAAAAAAAAAAAAAAAAAAAAAAAAAAAAAAAAAAAAAAAAAAAAAAAAAAAAAAAAAAAAAAAAAAAAAAAAAAAAAAAAAAAAAAAAAAAAAAAAAAAAAAAAAAAAAAAAAAAGCGTTGGTTTGATGATGGGGGTCGCCAGGTTAAACAGTGTCTCTCCTTGTGTTTAAAGTTAGTGCTTACAAGAAACAAATGATTATCTGAACAGAACTGTAGGAGACGGTCACCGTTGTCGGTTCGCTGGTACGGAACTCCATAGGTGCCACCGACATCCTTCTCAGATTGACACAATTTCCCTACTTGAGCGTTGAAGTCACCAGCTAGAACGACTATATCTGAGCGTTTAGCCTTTCTCACCAAACTAGACAGCTTTTGGTAGAACTCATCCTTCGTTTCATCCGAACTGCAGTCAGTGGGGGCGTAGGCGGAGATTACGAAAAGGCATCGGCGAGTAGTGCAGTCCTTTCTCCTTCTTACTGATCCGTTCAGACGGACAGCACACATTCGGCTATCTACTGGGATCCAGTCAAGCAATGTCTTTTCTGCCCTAGTACTCAGAGCTATCCCTACGCCAGCTAATCCCGTGAACTAGCTGTGGCATCTCCTGACACCCTCAAGGTGAATTTTGAAGATTCGTCCTGTTGGCCAGGTGGGGTTAGGTGAATAACCACACTTGGGTCTTGTATGCGTGTTTCTGAAACACAACATACATCAATGGCTCGAGATGCCAGGGTCTTAGCTAGTGATGCTTGTTGTCCTATTTGGCAAAGTGTCCTTACATTAAATGCTCCTATATGAAATTGGTGGCGTGGCTTTAGGAGACTATCCGTGGTGGTTTTTTGGCTTTCGTCGTTTTTAGTGGACACAGAGTGAAGAGGGAGTGAGGAGCCATCAAGTAGAGGAGTTGCATCACTGGGGGGAAGGTAAGGTAATAGAGATGAAGATGAAGACAAAGATAAGTGAGGATTAGAGAGGTTTTGTGTGCGTTTCGGATTGTGAGGGCGATTGTTACTTCCCGGCTGCCCACACCGTGGAAGTTGGTTGCGTGACCGCAGAGCCCAGGGGACAACTGCTTGTGGCCGGTCACACGCGGCCTGTTTTTGTTCGTTCTTCGTTGTTTTGTGTGCCTCAGTAGCATACTTATCACTCCCGCCCTGTGACACGGCAGCAGGAAGCGCGGTCGTTGTTAATCCGGGCCACGGCCGATCCGGCATGAAATTTTGTGAATTTGTTTGGATCATGGTATTGGATGAGGTAGCTGCTTTTTGTTTAACCGCTATCCAAACAACCTTCCTGGCATGGTAGAACCTCAAGAGACATAAGTCTCAGCCAGTATAGCTTGATTAGGTCATTGCGGTGTTCAAGCCCGACCACCACGTCAAGGTAGCAGCTTTCGGTCGGGTCTTTTTAAATTAGCCACAAAGATTATCCGTAAAACTCGCCGAATTTCTGATAGTTAAATTTTATATACTGGCATAGTTCACTATCAATTTTTACATACAGGAAGAAAACGTGTGAAGCAGAATGCAAAGTTTTTACAGAATTCTGTGATTTTTAAGGCAATATGATGAAGAATAAACAACATTTCAAAAAGGTTCTCCAAGAGTTTCCAAAAACTGATTCTTAGTACGACAGTCTCAAGCTGACACATCGGCTTCTTGTTCAGATGCTTTGACGATGTCTGGGCATGTAATTAGAAGTTGATTGGTGGATGGTGACAAGCAGTGGAATCCAGGAAGCGCATTTCGTCTTGTTTGACACTCGTTAGCTGCATGTACCTGCCATCCGCAGTGAGTGATGTTGTTCCCACCGAGGTTCGAACCCACTGCCCATAATGGTCTAGTGGATAAAGCTTTGGCATTTGAAACTGTGGGTACTGCGTTCGAACCTCTGTGGGAACATCATCACTCACTGCGGAAGGCAAGTACACCCAGATGACGAGTCCCAAATAGGACGAAATGAGAATCTTGGATTCAACTGCTAGGCACCATCCATCATTTTGAGTTTATATGTTCGAAAAATCTATTCATGTCATGTCAGTCCACTCCGTCCTCCTTTATGGCTGTGAGACCTGGCCATTGAGAGTGGAAGACATGAAAAGCCTGTTTAGCTGTCTTCGATCATAGGTGCCTGCGCTCTATCTCCCATGTGAAGTGGTATAATAAGGTGAGCAATACTGAGGTTTTGCTTCGGTCGAGTGCTAGGTAAGGAAAGGACATCAATCGACAAGGCTGTGAAATTACACCGACTGAGATGGTTAGGACATGTGTTACGCATTTATGCTTAACCATAGCCTTCCTGGACAATGGGCAATGTTAGCTGACATAAGGTCAGGTTGAAGAGTTGGGCAGTGGCGGTCAAACCAAAACATGGCCTCATCAGTCAACGAAATCCACAACAGTTAGTTTAAGCCACGTAGGAAGGTGTAGACTTCCTGACTGGTTGGGGTCCTCGGGACGGTAAAAACCAATGGTTGAAAACACTTGGTGACATGGTTCAAAATCGTTCTTAGTGGCGCAGATGCATCCACTCCTTGTCACTTAAGATTTCAAAGAAACTATATTGTTCTTCGTTATTACTATTTCTTTGTCTCACACCTATGTTTACTGTCTATTATGAGTTTCTTCTACATTCTTCTCTTGCTTTGTGTTCTACATGGAGTGCTCCGTGCCAGCGAACCGACAACGGTGACCGTCTACTACAGTTCTGCTCTGATAATCATTTGTTTCTTGTAAGCACTAACTTCAAACACAAGGAGAGACACTGTTTGACTTGGAGACCCCCTTCATCAAACCAACGCTGGACACAAATAGACCACATAGCAATAAGCTATCGTTGGCGTGGGTCGGTAGGAGATTGTCGCTCCTTCTGGAACACGTGTGTAGATACCGACCATGCACTGGTCCGCGCTCGGGTGTGCTTACGACTGAACGGACGTAGGAAACAGCTGGCGGTAAAACCATCACGTCCCCAGCTCGATCAGGAAACTAAATCCGTATTTGAGGAAGAACTAGCTAAACACATATCTGTGTTCGACAGCTGTGCTCACCCTGAAGAAGCTTGGAAAAATATCCAGGCAGCCATAGATACAGCTGTAAAAGCTGTGAATAAGGTAAACCCAAAGGTGAGTAAAAACCACTGGATCTCCACCGCCTCATCCGAACTGATAGATGCTAGAAGACTTATTCCGGCGAGCTCCGAATTCAATGAGGAGCGAAAGCTGCACAAGAGGAAACTTACGAAAAGTCTCCGCAAGGACCGTGAACAGTGGTGGGCGACAAAAGCCAAAGAGATGGAGAAAGCTTCGAGGATAGGCAACACCAGGCAACTCTTTAGACTCATCAGGGAAACGGGTGGGAGAAGACAAATCATCAGTGAGACAATCTCGGAAAAAAATGGCACTATAATTAGCTCCCAGGATAGACGACTGGATCGTTGGAAAGAGCATTATGAGGAGCAGTTTAATTGGCCCACAGCCACGCTCAACCTTCCGAGCATCCAACACCTCCCTGAATGGGATATAGACACAGGTCCTCCGTCCTTAACTGAGGTTACTAAAGCTGTCACCAATCTGAAACTAGGCAAAGCAGCGGGACCTGATGGAATGACTCCAGAGGTATTTAAGTACGGTGGAGACAGCTTACTGTCTGCATTAACTGAGGTACTAGGCAGCGTCTGGGAATCAGAAGAAGTCCCATCGGGTTGGTGTAAGTCACTGATTATCCCCATATACAAGAAGGGAGACAAGTCTTCCTGTGATAATCACAGAGGGATTAGCTTGACTAATATAGTATCTAAAGTCTTAGGCTCAATAATCATGCGTAGACTGAGTGGTGCTCGGGAGGCACAAACACGAGAGAGCCAGGCAGGCTTTAGACCAGGAAGAGGGTGTATTGATCATATCTTCACCCTCCGACAGATTCTAGAACATAGGCATTCCTACCGGCGTCCAACAGTCATTATATTTCTTGACCTAAAGGCAGCATTCGACTCTGTCGATCGAGAAGTTCTCTGGAGATGCTTGGCTGTAAAGGGAATTCCGAGAAAATATATTGCACTGATTAAGGCACTCTACTCGTACTCATACAGCCAGGTGAGGGCTTACGGCGAGCTGTCATCTGAACTGATGACGACCAGTGGTGTCCGTCAAGGATGCCCATTATCCACTTTTCTATTCAACTTCATCATAGATGTGTTAATGGACTTAACCCTAAGTGACTTCAGCGACTCAGGGATTGACTTGCTACCAGGGAATAATCTCGTTGACTTGGAATATGCAGACGATATAGTCCTTCTAGGCGAAGACGCTGACGAAATGCAGAGTCTTCTAAACACCTTGAGCCGCAATCTACGAATGTTTGGCATGCGATTCGCTCCCGCCAAATGCAAGATGATGTTACAGGACTGGACTACATCGACGCCTAGTTTAAAAATAGGAAGTGAAGTGGTAGAGCACGTTGACCGCTTCACTTATTTGGGAAGTACCATCAGCCAATGCCAACGGGTTGATCTCTGACGAAATCTCAGCACGAATACAGGGGGCTCGTTTCGCATTTGCCGGTTTACGCCGACTCTGGCGTAGACGAGATGTTCGACTATCGACCAAAGGGCGGGTGTACTGCTCATCAGTCCGCTCCGTCCTCCTTTATAGCTGTGAGACCTGGCCACTGAGAGTGGAAGACATGAAAAGACTAGCTGTCTTTGATCATAGGTGCCTGCGTTCTATTTCCCGTGTAAAGTGGCATAATAAGGTGAGCAACATTGAGGTTAGGCGTCGAGTTCTAGGTAAACAGGGGAAATCAATCGACGAAGTCGTGAAGTTACAAAGACTGAGATGGTTAGGACATGTGTTACGTATGCCAAGTCATCGCCTTCCTCGACGAGCAATGTTAGCGGATATAGGGTCAGGCTGGAAAAAAGCTAGCGGCGGTCAAACAAAAACTTGGCCTCACCAGTCAATGAAATCCACAACAGTTGGTCTAAGCCACGTAGGAAGGTGTAGACTTCCAGGCTGGGGTCCTCGGGACGGTAAAAATCTATGGTTGGAAACAATTGGTGACATGGCTCAAAATCGTTCTCAGTGGCGCAGATGCATCCACTCCTTGTGACTTATGATCTCCAATGAAACTGTTTTGTTCTTGTTTTGCTCACTGTCTCTATTATACTTTTCTTGTACTTTCTTCTCTTGCTTCGCGTGCTACACGGAGTGTGGCGACTTGAACTGTCGCACATTTGTGCAAAGTTCTATGTCGAAAACAGACAGACAGTCTTAACAATCCGAAAGGGGAATTACAACAAATGCTGATCAAGAAAACATGGTGAGTATAAGCATAGTAGTAACAATAGTCACAATATAATGACGATAATATTAATAATAATTCTTGTGTTATTATTATTATTCACAAATATTCACTACTGAACACTGGGACATACTCACACACACACACACACACACACACACCTTAAGCCTTTATATACACAATCAAAGACACACACACGGACATACATGCTGCCAAATACCAAAAATATTTCAATGATAATAATAATAATAGTAATAATAACAATGGTAACCTACCCAACAGGAATCTGTAGTCTCCATTGTCAAGTGTTCTAAGGTGATGGTGAAAATTCCAAAACTTGGACAATCATCGTGACAGAAGGTATGTTCACTTTCTGAACTGTTATTGCCACTTACAGTACCACTACTACTATTTGGATCGATAAGTGAGATACGCACCTGACGAATCTCAATCTATGCATTAACATGAGAAGGGCAGACAAGGTGATATTAAATACTTGTAAAGTAATAAACATCTTAGTATTGATTAAATAACTCAAAATATTCAAATAATAATAATAATGATAAAAGTCACCATAAACTGTGTCAACATGTCAAAATAAAAGAAGGAGAAGAAGGATGTATGGTATATACTACTTTTGGTTGAAAAAGAGTAGTAAAAGTCAATCTATTTTCGACTAGCCCACTGTATCCGTGCTGAGATTTCGTCAGAGATCAACCCATTGGTGTTGGCTGATGGTACTTCCCAAATAAGTGAAGCGATCAACGTGCTCCACCAACCTAATCACTCCCTATTTCTAGACTAGGAGTCAGTGTAGTCCAGTCCAGTCCTGTAACATCATCTTACATTTGACAGCAGGAGCGAATCGCGTGCCAAACATTCGTAGATTGCAGTTCAAGATGTTTAGAAGACTCTGCATTTCGTCAGAGTCTTCGCCTAGGAGAGAGGACTATATCATCTGCATATTCTAAGTCAACGAGACTATTCCCTAGTGGTAACAAGTCAATCCCTGAGCCTCTGAAGTGAGTTAGGGTTAATGCATTAGTACATCTATGATGAAGTTGAATAGAAATGTAGATAATGGGCATCCTTGACGGACACCACTAGTCGTCACCACTTCAGATGACAACTCACTGTAAGCTCTCACCTGGCTGACTGCATGAATTCAAGTAGAGTGCCTTAATCAGTGCAATATATTTTCTCGGGATTCCCTTTACAACCAAGCATCGCAAGAGTACCTCTCGGTCGACAGAATCGAATGCCGCTTTCAAGTCAAGAAACACAATGATTGTTGGACGCCGGTAGGAATGCCTATGTCCTAGAATCTGTCGGAGGGTGAAGATATGATCAATACACCCTCTTCCTGGTCTAAAGCCTGCATGGCTCTCTCGTGTTTGTGCCTCCCGAGCACCACTCAGTCTACGCACGATTATTGAGCTTAGGACTTTAGATACTATATTAGTCAAGCTAATCCCTCTGTGATTATCACAAGAAGACTTGTCTCCCTTCTTGTATATCGGGATAATCAGTGACTTACACCAACCCGATGGGACTTCCTCTGATTCCCAGACGCTGCCTAGAACCTCAGTTAATGCAGACAGTAAACTGTCTCCACTGTACTTAAATACCTCTGGAGTCATTCCATCAGGTCCCGCTGCTTTGCCTAGTTTCAGATTAGTGACAGCTTTAGTAACCTCAGTTAAGGAAGAAGGACCTGTGTCTATATCCCATTCAGGGAGGTGTTGGATGCTCGGAAGGTTGAGCGTGGCTGTGGGCCAATTAAACTGCTCCTCATAGTGCTCTTTCCAACATTCCAGTCGTCTATCCTGGGAGCTAATTATGGTGCCATTCTTCTCCGAGATTGTCTCACTGATGATTTGTCTTCTCCCACCCGTTTCCCTGATGAGTCTAAATAGTTGCCTGGTGTTGCCTAACCTCGAGGCTTTCTCCATCTCTTTCGCTTTTGTCACCCACTACTGTTCACGGTCCTTGCGGAGACTTTTCTTGAGTTTCCTTTTGTGCAGCTTTCGCTCCTCATTATAATCGGAGCTCGCCGAAACTAGTCTGCTTGCATCAAGAAACCTTACAATAACTAACTATTTATACTCATTGTCCCACTCTTTCACAGTGGACCTTAATGACGATTTAGCCAGAGTGATGACTAAGCCTAAGCAGTAGAACTGTAGGGTGATACATATTGATAGAAAGCGGTTAAAAGGTGAAATCAATATTTTAAATCAATGGTTGGTTGCAGAGGTCTACACGTTGTAAGCATGAAATAACCTCATTGGACAACTTCTTATTTGACCTTGCGCCAATTAGCAACCAATCAGAATAATCTATACTCCTCTGACCCAGCTGAATTTTAATGTGACTAAGAAAGTATAAGTTTGACGTGCTTTTCTTTAATAAAGGTCTGTTACGAATTCTGTTATCTTCTGCAGCACGTCCGCCATTGATTGCGATTCTTCACCATATCCGATAACGTTTCGAGCCACCGATTTGAGCTATCTCTCGGACCCCAAGTAGGGAGTCGTGACGCATAAACCGATGCTAACCTGACACAAATATTCTTAATCCCACGACGTCACATCATAGGTTAACCAAGTCTGCACTTTTTCCATTCCGTCCCAGTGCTTGCGAAAAGGGACCTGTACAAAAGCCTCTGAGATGACATTCGTAGCACATGCCCAAGCCACTGAAGCCGGTGTTTCCAGATGTATCCAAACAGATACAGCTCAACCGCAGAATTGCTCATACGATATTGCTAATGAATGCAAGCAATTCTACAGAGACAGCGATGATCGGATACGCAGAGTTGCCACACATCTTCAGCTTGGAGGGACCAAGTCTCACAAGAGTAGACAAAGACTGTGCAGACACTGTAGCATTGTAAACCCAACATTTGATAGCCAGGCTGACGTCACAACAGCATCAGAGGTGGCTCAAATTGGCGTATGCCATCCTGGCTCTCACTACATACATCATGATAGATACCTAAAAAGTACATAGTCTAAAGTGGGATTACACCATAACAGATGGATGGTTAAAAAAATGAAACCAGCATATTTAAACATCACACAATGAAACGTGATACCAACTCCGTCTGTTTATTTCATGGTGACGATAAAGCTCATCAGTCTAATAGGGGATTAAATCTCACAGTACGCCTGCCTCTTCAGAGATAACCAGGCAATAGTGGTCACCCTCACAAATTGAGAGTGGCTAATAATTAGTTTATAAATAAATCTTTAGAGAGACACTGAGTTGCATTCTCCTACCTTCTTTTCGATAAACACTCAGTAAGGTTATTTCCCAATGAATGAAACGATGAGAGTTCTACTCATCTTTCATGGTAGATTTATTTTCTCGATACAAAAGTAGAGGATCGTGTTAATAGATCTTAGATTTTTAGTTTTATTGATTTTGTTTTCCATTGGTCTTACGTTAAATCCCTCTAAATGTCAGATAGTTAACTTCACCTTCAGGTATAAACGACGTGATCTACACGAACTCATTCGTTTACAAGATGCTTGTAGTATAGAAGGCACTGAAACAGAATCTAAGTCAAGCATTTGGAATAGGCCTTGGAATAGTTCTTTCCTCAAGCCTTCCTTGATCACTTATCCTATACCTTGTCGACTTCTGAGAAAATGTTCCTTCTATAACCACCTTCTACATTGAGAAGTTAAGGCAATCTGGAATCACTCCATCTCTACTTTTACGATTTGTTAACTCTTGCATTTTACTTATGGTTCTTTATGGTTCTCCCATCCTTAGTCTTTCCTGGACTACTTAAAAAAGATTATGTCATATAGAGAAGGGTATTAAAATTTGTCAGTAAGGCAAGTAGTTTGCCACTAGGTCAACTGGTTACTGCTGTAGTCGACGGACACCTGAAATCATGCGAGAAATGGTCTAAATCTATATTGTCTGAATCTCATAAACACCCTCTCTATTCACAACTCTCACCTTGCATCTTCAGGTAGGACAAAAAATCATTATGCCGGCACAGCCAAGTACAGGAACATAACGACACCCTATTTGACCCTACGGTGTTCTGTGTGACAGAGTAGGCGTTAAGTTTGAAACTTACAGCTCACCATGTTATAAGCAAAATAAGTGGCTCTTTAGTCTTCTGCTATTCGTAATTTATGGTCCTGGGTTCGAATCCCGACGGGTGAGTACTGCTGAAAAGTTCCAAACTAGGACGAAACGCCTGTCGAGTACTCCCAGCTGGTTTTCCAATGGTTCTCTAACTGATGTTAGCTCATGATGAAATCCTCCAACCAATAAAACAAAAAATTCCCTACAAAATCAATACTTGAAAACTATTTCAATTATCTTATAATTTTTGCAACTAACATTATTATCTACATTTTATGCAGTTTGTACATTTTTTGACCTTATTGTCAATGCTAACACCCAAAAAAACGCTGCCATTATGAATCCCGTAATATCATATTTCATATGTTTTTCCTGTTGTCGAGTAAATTAGATGCAATATCATTGTCTATAGTTTGGTTTGTAAGGATTAGTTATGTTTTCTCGAGTTTGACCACGGATTGATATCAGTTAAAGAACCATTGAAAACTAGCACCGGAGTACTGGACAGCTGTTTCATCCTAGTCTGGGAATCATCGACAATACGCACCCATCCCACAGGGGGTTCGAACCTTCCGGTTACATAACTAACGCTTACAAACGAAACTACAAAAAAACTAATCTGACGCTCACTAGTGACTTGCCACATGATAAAGAGTCGTGACCAGTGAGGTCCATCCAGAATGTCACGTTTGATAATGGATGTCCCACTGACGACATTGGTTGGTGCCAGTAGCGCTAAATCACGAAGTGGTAGAAGTTAGCAATATCATTGTACGAAATGCTGAGAATTCCACGATGTGTCGGATAAATACTGTTTTGGAATAAACCAAATTATTATTATTATTATTATTACTAAAAAATACTTTACAAATGAATAAACATCCTCTTACTTGAAGACTACGAATAATGCCATAACCAACCGACGATATATAAGACCACCAAGAAGAATTATCGCCTCTATTATCCATAGCAACTAGTTCAGCGATAGCAGCTGTATCGCTTAGTACAACTCCATTAATTGTCTGAAAAAAAACAATAAAAAAATATTAAAAATTACAACAGCAACAACAAGGGGATATTTTCTCCTGTCACCTCTTGTGTTTTGGATGGAACATACGGCTTCAAGCGCAAACTCAGCAGCAGATAGTGTTGTGTTCAAAGAATGGGACTACTAGTTATCCCAACATCCAGCATTTCTTTTATCCGGACTTACTACAGGATAGATATCGACTGTCAACGAAACTTGGACTATATGGGCGGCTGTTGGGGGTATTCTGCTATAGAACCACTAACGCCTAAGGAGGCATTATGATGCTGACAAGCTTTTGCTTACAAAACAATTCCATTTCATCTAAAATTTCACTGTGGGAAAGATAATAAATACCGATGCTTTGCATATACAACCAAATCAATTTATTTATCTTTTAAAACATTTTCTAAGATTAACACTTAAATTATTTAAAAGATTGTAAGCATTAGTGGTTCAGCTTGGCGGAAGGCTCGCTAACCATACACGTGGGGTCAGGGGTACCTGGCTGATGTATACTTTTATTTCCTTTAGGCAGTTGTAAGCCCCACAAAGAGCAAAGGTTAGGCGTGAGACGAGCAACCTCACTCTGTAAAAAAGACACTTATTGAAACCTCAAAGCTCAAAAACTTGGAGCCCTCGCTATGTTCCATTCCAAACTAAAAGGAATAAAATAAGTAATACACCGTTGGTGTCTTCATTCAAAATGACCATGATTTCTAGATGCTGACGTGTACCTAGAAGGCGTGGAACATTTTTAAAAAAACGCCTGATGGACTTTTTGTGAATTTACTTATTTTTTCAAGTCTTCTAATTGTAGAATTCACTAAAGGATTTCATAGTTATACAACTTGATTTAATTTGCTTTTCATTGTCATAAGACCATTTCGCGTCTTTAATTAAGACTAAGAGGAAGAATAAGTTAGTTCAATGAGGTAAATATACATCCAATGTCAAATACCTTGGGCTGAGTTTTTCCACCGATCTTTCCTGGTCCTCCCACATCGTGCTAGTTACTAGAAAGATGTTTCGCTTAACGTTCTATGTTTGGAAATTTAAGCAGTCTGGCATAAAGCAGTCTTTGCTTTCTCAGTTTGTCAATTTTAGTATTCTACCCATCCCCCTTTACTGCTCCCCATAAATCTTTCCTAGACTGCTTAAGAAAGATTTTGCTTTGTTGAGAAGGGCACTAAAAGCCATTAGTAGGGCAAGTGGGATATCGTTAAACCAACTGGTTAACACTATTGTAGATAGACATATTATATCATGTAAGAAACTAGCGAATACAATATTGTCGGACCCTGAGCATCCTCTCTATACGCAGCTCTCTCCTTGCATTTCATCTGGTAGAACTAGAAGTAGCTATAGGAGGCTATATGCTAGGACTACCAAGTACAAAAACTCCACGATACCATATCTGCCACAGCTGTTATGTGGTGAGAAATCCGTTAGGTATGACACGATAAACTTACTGTGGCACTCTAACAAATAGTCCCATTAGTTTTTGTTTTCCTTTCCTCGTTACTATTACACTGTTGTTCTCATCTTCTATTACACACCAATTTTATACTTCATATCCTGTGGTGCATTGTTTAGAATGTAAACGCCACGCTGTTTCTTTTTTATTCGTTTTTTTATTTATCTTCTTTTTTGGGTGTTGCTTTTTGATTTTAAAATCTTATAAAATTTATGAGGTAATTAGATGCAATATATTGTAATGCACGCTAAAAACTCCATACCTGTACCACAAATACTGTTTGGAATAAAGCTGTTAATATTATTATTATCATTAAAATCATGGTCAAATGAGGTAAATGAATTCACAATAAATACAGCATAATATTATAACAGTAAAACATCTAATAAGGTAGTTAGTCAGTCTATAAACTTGCTTTGTAAACCACAAGGTCCTGGGTTTCGATCTCGGTGGCTGCGTACTGCCGAGTCACAAACTAGGACAAAACAGCTGCGCAGAATTCCCTTAATGATATTCTAACTGATATCGATCTGTAGTCGAAATTGAAACAAAACAAACCCTGAAAACTAACTTTTGACTGCTAGACAATTGGCTTCACCGTAAACAACACCTTCAAATGTCATATGAACAGTATAAACTTATAAAAACCAATAGTGATGATATGGATATTCGAATTACAGTTTAAAACATCAACGCCGAATTGATTGTATTTAATTTTATCAATTTAAGAAGTTTGGAAGCCGAAATTTCGAAAAGTTTTATCAAGATCGATGAATATTAACCAAAAGAAACAAACCTGAAACCATTTCTTCTCCATTTTATCCAAACTATACTTTCCATGAATAGATGATGTGTCAGTAGGGGATAAGTTGTCTCTTTGGCTTTGTTGTTGAGTAGTCTCATTATTGACTAATGAATCTTTTGATGTTTCATTTCGAGCCAAAGATGTGTGACTGTCACTTGGGGAATTATTTGGATTCAACTTATCCCATAGGTCATCAGCTGAAGCATAGGCAATTAAGTCAACATTTTCCAGGGAAAGTTGCCATGCTTGACTCCATGGATGAGTATAAGGCACGAATATAGACACATTGCCAACTGTACCTAGAATAGAAGAAGGGTATACAACGAATTCAACACTTATAAGATTTTTTTAATGCATATGTAAACAGACGTTTAACAGTAACGAACAAACGAAATTATCAGGTAGACAAAGAATCAGAAATAAAATCAGTTGTGTAAGACCCTTTGAAAATACATTTATCCAGTGATTTAATAGTTCTGTACACTTTTAAATTGTAGTGAAACGGAATTAGATCTAGTGTATTTTGAAATGAATGGTACCAACATAGGGACACAGTTTTTAAACACCCGTAAAAATAACTGGCTGATCTACTATGAAATAATCCTTAATTCTAGGAAAATAACATGTTAATTGATTTGATAAGCAATTAAATAGCCTTGGTTTGGACATATACATGTTGTTAGCTGTGAGGATGCACTTAACAGAATGCAGGAGAGGGTAAAAGTAGTGAAAGGTGGTTGGACGAGATATTTCCCGAAATCCCATTCACTGAACTGTACAATTTTAATGCCGCAAAGTAAAAAATATACGATACATCAGGCACCATTATAATAGAAACAAACTACCAAGATAGTTAGAATCCCCACCGCTTTGGAATGAAAAAGACTAATGACGGCCACAGAAGGTGATATACATTTCTATGGAATATTTGGAGAATCAGATGTGACTAGAAAGACTATATTGTAAAATCATGAGTGAATATTACACATTGAAATGGACAGAATGAACGCAAGCACAACCTTTTAGGGATATTTCCAGATAGAATATTGAGTAGACAAAGAATTAAGTGGATAAGAACTAAATAAAAGTGGTTGGGCATGTTACTTCGTAATGGTAAAGTTCTTTACATGGGTCTAAGCAGTCGGCGATAAAAATATCTTAATCAAAATACATCTATTTATGTTGTAAATGAGTTGGAATAAATTCTCTCTTGTGATTGACTGACTAAGGCTGAAATTGTTCGGTCATAACCTGCGGACAAACCATAACTACATAACAAGGCATCTATCTACTTTGTTTATCCCCTCCTTTAAAAACAGGTTATTTTTATACGTTTAGTGTCTTTAGAATAACAACTCAAAGTATGACATATGAACTAACAGTCTAAATGCCTACAACGGGAAAGCTCATTTCTGATTATTACGAGTGCAAATTTCTTAATTAGGTAGCTAAATTCACGTTTAGTTAATACTCTACACAATAACTTAAATTTAAATCTTCAGCTTAAAGAAATAATTCCCTGGATGCAAAATGATTATATCACAATATCAATGGTTGGACTCATCACTTACCTGACTGCAAAGTTAGAGGGATATTAAAAAGACTATTTAATGTGTCTTTCTTGAGAGTCAAATTGCTCAGAGTAATATTTCCTAAGAAATACTCATGAAAGCTCAAAATAATTTACCATTTAGAAGACCGTAAGATAAATTTTCACCGTTGAAATTCTCCACATAATTTCCAATTATGTAGTCAGTGATACTAGCAAGAAACTTCTTGAACATGGGACAGGCAATGAAATCTTAGGAAACTGAGAGATATACTCAGGATCCCAATTTTAGCCGAAAACTAGCATACAAAGAAGCGATTCAGGATAAAATAACATAGATGCGCCGGATTTCCTGACTTTATTACAATTTGCTGAAATCAACAGCTGTGCCGCAAGACTAAAAAAAGTTGCGTTGTCCTTGAAATTTTGTTCAATACCCAATAGTCTCTCTACCAATTGACATGGTTCTCTGAGCTGTAGAGTCTAGAACATCGCGATTGTAAGGTTTTTTGCCAAATGAAAAAAATGGAAAAATTGTACGCAACTTTTTTAAAAGACTCCAATATCCAATATCGTTTTTACGAGCTAGTATAAACCAATTTGATTTCTTTGTGCTCGCTTCTTGATTGTAAGGTATAGGTTCCTGATCTTCGGTAAACTTCTGCGTAGCTTGTCCCGCCACTCGGCTGTCGTAGCTTTGGTTGACTCCAAAGGGAGTAGTGCTGCGATTAATTATATGTGGTTTGTAGTATGAGGTGTGCTAAGACTGTTACTGCTGTGATTGGAGTTGATCCTTTCGCCAGTTAGCCCTTCGGTATCGTCGACAAGAGAAAAGAAATAGTAATAATAATAATGATGCTAATAGTATATATAATTAGCGAAGTTATTCGGACTAAGGGACAGAAACGGAAATAGGAAAGCGTAATAAAAGTCAGCTGATTAAGTTTGAAGAATTATATATATATATATATATATATATATATATATCGGTAATAATAATAAAAATAGTAATAATAGTGATAATAATTATAATAATAATAAGTTGTCAGGAGAGTAAGACGAGAGAGAATGTAAAGAAGTAAAACGACGAGTTTAATTGTCTGCCCCTGAATGGTGTATGTGATTTTAAGGGGATAGGCCATTTGGATGCAGTCCTTGTGTCACTGCATGGTTGTCCAGCCTTCGCTTAAAGGCGTTCAAAGACGGTGTCATAGCTATATCTGCCGGCAAGGAGTTCCAGGGACGGAAAACCCGCAGTGAAAAGAAGTAGGAGCGCAGCCGGGTCCTTGCCCTCTGGTGAGCTATCCTTCTGGGATTTCCACGTGGGAGCCTATACCTACTCAGTGGTAGAACACCTTTATTTGGGTGATTCTGGTCATTTGTTAATGTGTAGGTAGCAATCTAATCCCCCTAAGCCGACCGTAGCTAAGTGTGAACAGGCCTAATTTCTTCAGCCTTTCATCATACGGTTTGTTTCGGAGACCAACCACTCCTTTTGTCGCCCGCCGTTGGACTTTTCCCAAGAGGTTGGCGTCTCTTCTCAGCATTGGGGGTGCAATAATATTATGCACCTCAAGGTGTGGCCTGACGCATGTTTTGCACAACCTTAGAAAGAGAGCATGAATGAGTGCACCTAATTGTCTATGTGTAAAGTGTATGACCGCATATGCCCTCGCTATATCCCCTGTGTAATTTACGCTTGTGTCCATTTTTCAGTTAGAACTAGACCTAAGTCGCGTTCCGACGTTGTGCAGGACAAGCTTTCATTGCACAGGGATTCATCGTAAAATTTAAATAACTTTGGAGTGAAATCAAGAATACATTGTGCTGGTCTACGCTTTGTTCTCTCACCGTCCATACTGTCCATTTACTTCACTACTAATCGTATTCTAACCTATGATGCGAACACTATTCTACAACTGTTTTACCAGTAGACACGACTCCACCAGCTAACACTTAGACGGCCTATTTGAATCACTGGGTCACCGAAGTTACTTTCCTCCAAAATGCCTAATTTAATCTGGATTTATCAATATTTTAATGGTCCAGTTATATCAGATGACCCATACGTGAACTTGCTCGCTGATTTAACTTGCTGCCAAGTACACGCTGTGCAATTCTTCAGCGAAATGAAGATATCCTTCAGATTATTTATCTATATGTAAATCCTACATAAAGAAAAATGTATTGTGGAGCTGGATACGCTGAAATTTTTTACCATATGTTCGCATATCATCTGAAATAAAGCTTTATTATTATTCTGTGGATTATATTAAAAATTTGTAGCGGCGGAATTCAACTGTCTCACCAAGTAACCATTAATTTCTATAACTGGCTAACTTTATTTTTTATAATGTACTGTTAGACTATTTGTTCCTTTGCCGAGATGACCATTTAGTCCCCTACAAGGCTTTTTCAGTGGTCAAGTAAGAGTTCGTGATATGTAGCTAATTCCCTCAACTTGAGTGACATACCTTTGAGAATAACTCTTAGGGATGTTGCTTGAATTTTCAGTGTTGATATGCTGACATTTGTGATTGCAGTTAGTATTATCACTTGTTTGTTGTTCGATGTAGTTAGTGAAGATGAAATCATGGTGATTGTATTGACTGATGTAGTGGCAGCAGAAATGATTTGGGAAGGGTGACATTTAAGAACGAGAAAATGAGTCAACAGATTCTCAAAATGGTTAGGAAATTACTGAAAATAACCTCAACGTATTTCGAAAATCGAAACAAGATATCCCTTAACGTTTGACTGCTTAAAGTTAATTAACCAGCATAAATAAAAGCTAGATCTAAAACTGTTATGACGGCTATGATGACATTTAACGCTTAACGTTTAGTCACAGGACGCCGTTTGAAGTTCCTTATGTTTGGGCTCAGTATTAGATTGATCATGGCTGTATATCCTTGCATGATTATCTGACTGACAGCTGAAACCTTTCACCAGCGGTGCATAAGTGACAGGTACTGGTGTGGCGAGAGCTGGCTGTTAGCCAAAAATTATAGACAGCAATTTACGTCAATGTTACGTCCTGAATCGAAGATATGAGAAAAACAATAACATACCTGAACACTGGACTCACAAACCATTCACAGCAGACTTAAAGTGTGTAAATGCGATTTGCAGATATGTGGTCTGACTTTCTAAGAAACGGCCACAAAGAGATGACAGAATAACACTTGTTACAACCTTCAGCTTGGTTACTTAAGTTTGTAATTGGTACTTATTACTTTATAGAAATTCATACGACCACAGGTAGGTTAAACCTACTACAGGACATGAGGTGTGACTGAAGTCGGTGCTTACGAGATCGGAAACCGCAGGAATTGTTATTGCCTTTGTATATGTGTTTGAAGATTGAGCGACCAATTCAAGGTTGTTCGCACAAAGCCAACTCTATATATTTCGCACCAGTCATATATATGGAACTCATCGTCACATCGTTAGCTGTTCGATTGCAGACAGAAAACTATCAAAAGTATTAGTGTGATTTATTGTTATAACATTTATTTTTAGAAACATTCTGTCAGACACGTCACGTAAACCGTCAATGCCCAGCTCTCGCTACGCTGGGACTCACGCTGTTCCTCGAAGCTTTTCAGAAACACTAAGTGCGAACGCACGCAAAAAGCAGAACCCAGTTTGGTGACTCGAGAATTATTTATTCTAACACCAACACATAATCAATGTTACAGCTAAGGTTTCTGACGGTTTTCTCCTGACTTCTTTCTGAACAGCGACCGATGAGACGATGACTGGTGTATTGATGCCTCCGCGAAAATTGGGGAAGTTGGTTTTGAGCAAACAACAATGAATTGATCGTTCAATCTTCAACTACATTGACACTCCCCGGAAAAAAGGGATCCAACCCTTCTTCCCATCACGACCAATACACGTTGGCTTGGATGCCATTGCGAGAACCTGGGTCACACGGACAAAGCCTAAGTGGAAAACAAACAGAAAAGCCAACACACCACAAGCATACCCACAGCACAATCTCACTCATCGTCGACGACCTACGACTTCCAGTTAAAGGCATCCTCTTGACACATCCTCTTGCAACACAATCGCCACTTGCCAGAATGACTCTTGCAGATTATAATGTGATCATAGCACCGCCTCACGATACTCTACGCACATCCTCTTATATACTCACTACCAATTACCACTGAAATCGCTTGTCACTCATTTTGCCTCAATTCTAGTAACGGTGACGCATGCGAGCCTCAGTCGTTTACACCCTTTCTCCCCGACGTATACGACCCATCTGATGTCTCTAACATCAATCAATTCATTCACGGATCTAGAAGACTGGAAACAACTTCAGAAGTAATCACGACGAAAATTTTAACAAAATTACACAATAACAACAAGACACGAAAACAACAAGTAAACACAATGAATCCTAAAAACACCAATTGATATGATACACCACACGTATATACAAATAGTACAAACAACCTCGCGGATCACATCTTGACGGAATTCCTTTGAAGAATCGCAGGACTTACACCAGTACGCCTACAACCCTTCACAGGTTGACGATTGTAAGTTGTGGAATGTCCGGACACAAACAAGATTAACCAACAATTACAATAATTGGAACTCACACAATTATTTAACACAAACATATGTACAATCAACACATCAAATGTTGTGGATTCTGGCACGACAAACTACCCTTGAAGGAATGTAGGACTTACATCAGTACGCCTACAGTCCTTCTCAGGTTGATGATCCAAGTGGAAGTCGTTCGGAAACAAACAGAATTACCAACAGCTAGATGATAAATGATACCAATTCAGTATATACAATATGAACATATATACGAAATCACGCACCAAGCACATTGGACTGCTCATTGATGCGCTACCCTTCGAAGAATTGCAGGACTTACAGCAGTACGCCTACATTCCTTCTCAGGTTGACGCCCTAGGTTGGAAAATCGTCGCAGAGTTCATTTGCTGACTTCCTTCTCTCAGCTATATCCTCAAATCTGAACGGTAACACGCTCATGTCATTGTATCGCAAAATACAGATGACGAACAAACAGACGACATATCTGATCAACCAAGCGTAGAAACAGAGTAATTTACACCAAAGATAATAGCATTCAATTAGTAATTTGAAACTAGAAATGCCTTTATTCATGCAAGTCAATTTAACAATTACTCTCTCGTTTACATTTGGCTTATTCTCACTAAACTGAGCAATATCTTTCGTCTTTTC